TTATATACATGGGGAACAGGCTGATCTAATACTAATTACATGAGCTGACAAACCCATAGTCATCCAATACACAGCCTGAGTCAATCAAGGATACATAGCCTGAGTCATCCATCTGCACAGCTTGAGTCATCCATTTCACAGCATGAGTCATCTGTTTCACAGCATGAGTCAGCCATAACACAGTGTGAGTCATCCATCAACCAGCATGAGTCAGCCATTGCACCTGTGAGTCAGCCATTTGTACAGCATGAGTCAGTCCTTGAGTTTGGGGTGCAAACCTAGAGTGCTTGGTAATCGGGGTCCATGTGGCTGTGTCTCCTAGAAACTGGGGCTCTCGCTGATCCAGGAACCTTGGGGCTTGAGTCTAGGCTATTCTCTGTGCATGTTCCTTGAGCCAAACACTTTTGGCTCAGGACATCTGGTCGGCACAAGAAAATGCAACTGTCCCCAGTTGCACCCTCCTACTCCTGGGACACCTGGATGACTGTTTCCGCTATAGGTCTTCCTCCTGATCTTCATCATCTGTAGAGCTGCTGCTGGAAATCTCTTCCTCATTCCAATTAACATCCTCTAGATCTTCTTCATCCTCATCATCCTCGTCTTCATCCATCCAGTTAAGCTCCTCAACTTGTTCTCTTGATATGAATGGCAGCAGCCTGAATGCTGCCACTCCTTGTCGCCATATTGCTCCATCTAGTTCAGAAACAACATAGGATCCTCCTTTGGTCTGTCGAACAACCTGGAAAGGACCTAAGTAGCGCGGATGATGCTTGCGGTCAGCACTCTGTTCAACTGCCTTGTTGCGCACAAGCACTAGATCTCCTGGCTTGTACACTTCTCGGTGCAATCTCCGTTCATAGCGTCGCTCGAAGATTTCCTTGGATCGGAAGCGTGTCTTCTTCAAGAGGCTTGCAGCTTGAGCTATGTCATCCGGTTTCTTCATGAGTTGGCGAATGCGTAGTGCGAGCAAGTCTGAGGTAGACATTCCTGAGTGAAAGCCATCTACCAGCAAAGTCATTTCTGCTAGGTCAAATGGTAGTACTGGTTCTACACCATACAGAAGATAGTACGGTGAGAAGCCAGTAGACTGACTAACTGTGACACGATCAGTGAAGAACGCATGCTGAACATAGTCAGGCCACTTGTCCACGTTGCCTTCGCATGACTTGAGGATTGATTCCCGAATGATGAAATGACCTCGTTCCACTACTCCATTGGCCTTCGAGTTGTAAGCTGAAATCTTGATCTGTGGCAACTTGTATCGGTTCATCAGAAGCTGGAATGCTTCCTTGAATTCAGGGCCATTGTCAGTCACGACTTCTCCAACTGCTCCGTATCGGCATAGGATCTGCTCAAAGAAGAAGATCGACACTGATTTTGCCTTCTTGTTCCTCAGTGACCTTCCTTCTCCAGCTCTTGACAGATCATCTCGGGCAGCAATGACGTATTTGAAGCTATTGGCTTTTGGCATCTCCATGATATCAAGGTAGACCTTCGTGAAGATAGTTGCTGGGGTTGAGACCATGAGGGGTACTTCTACCTTGCGCACACTGCGGATCTGACACTGCTTGCAAGATCGTACATGGTGTCGTATGTCATTCCACATGCTAGGCCAATAGAATCGCTCTTTGACGGTATGCATCACGGCTTGTTCTCCTCGGTGGCCTAATCCTTCATGTGACTGAGTAAGGATCTCCAGGCGCTTCTCAGCCTTGAGAATCACTAAACGTGGGGGTTGTGATCCATTGCGTCGATATAGCTTCCCATTCCTAACAAAGTACCGGCTTGCTCCTTGAATGAACCTTCGCTTTGCTTGTTGAGTAGGGAACTCAGGGATTGCTGCTGTTGTCAGGAACTTCTGGTATTGATGAAGCACTTTGTCTGCCTTGGTATTAGCTGAGATGAACACATCAGCATGACTTGCGCTGAGCAGTGCTTGATATGGCTGGTCTTGAGGCTTGCTCCATTTGTTCTGACGGTCGCGGATCTCCGCATACAAGGCTATGTCATCCAGCCAAGAGTCATCATCTTCTTCAACCTCCTCTCCTTCTCCTAAGGGGCGTCGAGACAGAGCATCGGGTCCTCGATGTCGTTCCGCGGGTACATGAATGAGTTTGAATGTGAACAAGAGAACACCTTGTATCCATCGGTTGATTGTGGCATTAGGTTGTAGGTCTGGTTCATTCAGCATTCCTTTGATGTACTTAGCATCCACTTCAACCTCCAAGTTCTTGACTCCAGTGAGATATAGTCGGTATGCTCTGAGTGCGCGGTACAGGCCATATAGTTCCAACTTTGGCTGCGAATAGCGTGATTCTCGTTCCGACATGGGTATGGATCCATACCGGGCAGGTCGCTTGCGTCCAGCTTCATCATATTGTGACAAGATGAATCCGACTGCATACTTGCTGGAATCCACCGAGAGTACTACTGGATTGTCGGTGCTGTAGTCGACTGGGCGAAGTGCAGGTGCTGAGATGACAGCCGTCTTGAGGGCATCAAAGGCTTCCTGGCAGAGCGGAGTCCATTCAAACTCAGCATCTTTGTGCAAGAGTTGAGTCAATGGACGAGCAACTTTGGAGTAGTTGTGGATCCATATGCGAACAGTGCCACATAGGCCCATGAAAGCGCGGATGTCGTGAACATTCTTGAGTACTGGCCAGTTGAGGATCTTGTCAACCTTGTTGGGTTCAGGGAGCCTTCCTTCGGGGGTACATTTTTGTCCTACGATGACCACTTCAGGGCAACAGATCTGAGCCTTACTAGGTGCAAATGTTGCTCCTGCATGTCCCACTCGGTGCATAATGCGATGAACATCATTGGCATGTTCCCAGACAAACCGTCGGATTCCTGGGTTCTCATGGAGTACTTCTGGGTCTCCGTTCTCATCTGGATAGTCTGTTGCAGGTCCTCGTATTGGCAGATCATCGATGAATATGTTGGCTGTGGAAGGGATTTCGTCCTGAAGAATGAAGGCCATGCATGTCTGGAATTCTGCAGGAGAGTTGGTGAACCCCATAGGCAGCGATGTGATGCGCAGCAGTCCTAGCGGAGTCTGAAACGATGTCATGTCCCTGCTCATGGGGTGTACCTTTCGAGCATCAAAGCCCCAGAACAAGTCAAAGACAGTATAGCACTTTCGTCCCGCAAAGTCCTCCACAAACTCATCTACCTTTGGAGGTAGACCAGCATCGCGGATGGTTACTTTGTTGAGTGGCTGCAGATCGTGGACAATGCGCAACTTTCCGTTCTTCTTGACAACACAGAACCATCGGGACCGGTATGATGACTGGCTAGGCTCATATACACCAGCCGAGATCTTCTCCTTGAGTAGTGCAATGACCTTTTCCTTGATGCCAGGCGGAATGGGAATGTTTGCATATTCCCATGGCTCGTGCGGGACGACCGGAATGATGTACGGTGTGAAATAATCCTCTCTGAATGTTCCACGTTGTGATTCCTCAAAGGCAAGTGCGTTCTCATTGAGGCGGAGGATATGTTCGAATAGCTTCTCTTCTTCTGGCCAGAGAAATCCCTGCGAGTTGATGTTAATTTCATCAAGACGTTCCCGAGTTAGGCGTTTCCCGGGTTTGAAATCAGGCGGATGCATCGTTAATGGCGCCAATGATGCGAGTGGGTCTTCAGGGAAGCGTCGTTCAACGCGTGCATCTTCAGGGAATACACCGGGGACGGGTTTGACTCGTCGGTCGACACGTTTGTAAGCTGCAAGTACGTCGTTACCATAGAAGGCAAGTAGCTCCTCATCGGCGTCTAACTCCAGCGCACGTGCTAGCGCGTCTCGGTCTTCGGCCAGCACGACCTCGCTCTCGCTGTTGCACTTGTCGTCCTCCTTGTCGAGAGTGATTAAGCCTACAAACAGTCCGAGCCCTGTCTCCTTCGCGCCCCCATTTTCTTGTCTTTCATCTGGCTCGCACTTGTCATCTTCAACCCCTTCGCAAGAGAATGCGGGTTGGCCGCGCTGGCCACTCGCCTCCCATTTGGACACGTCGGTTCGCTCGGGTTGAAGTCGTTGGTGTGGGGCCGGTTTCATAGGTCCGTTGCGTAGTACACGTTGAGTGCTGACGTCTGTGTTTGTCAGTAAGCCAAGACAATCACAGGGCTGGTCGATGGTCGTGACATGTGGGCGGCCACGACCACTAAGTGTTGTGTTCCATGACTGCTTGTCAGCAGTCCTGGGCACTGTACATGGTACGTTTCCCGTCATCTGCATTGGTACAATGCTAACGTCTTCTTTGCACGTGGATGGTGCTTGGATGATCGAGGCACCTGTGATCAACCAGCTCGTGGGATCGCCTGCTCCTGCGCAGGCCCTGTCCTCGTCCACGTGGTATGAATGGGTTGCTTCGGAAATCGGGTGCGTAATTTTGCCTTGTAGTTGTATACTTCTTGCCGATGGAGTTAGTTCATCGCACCCGAGCAAGTACCGAATATACGAATTATATTCGGGGCTTTTCGGGGGTTTTTCTTCAGTAAGTCGTACACCGCGCAGAACACGAGACAGAAAGTACAGTAACGAACACGGGAACGGGCAGAGATGTATCGTAGAGAGACCACGTCGAGAATGTAACCACGTGCCGAAGAGGGAAGCATAGGGAAGGAACCACATCGAGTCGGATTGAGAAGTGAAGATGCCGTGCACTGCGAGACACTCTAGCGTGTATCGCAGCACTCCGGAATCATGTCTAAGTAGAGTAAAAATAATACAATCTGAACAAAATTTTGAACGAGCCACTGAGACCGTTACCGAGACATAGGGATACAGAAGATCGAGAAGTAGTGGATAATGAGAATAAATAGACAACACCTCTAATGGGGGTGGCTGGCGGAGAGCCAGCCGAATTTTAGGCTGTGGGTCGTGAACGTACCGGGACTGGGCTAGCCGTCTGCCAGTTCGCTGTCTCGCAATGTCAGTGAGTATCCGCGGCGTAGGGCTCGTCGCGACGTACAGGAGAGCGAGGGCAGATTCGAGCTTGCTGATCTTAGTGTCCCGGGTACTCGCCTGGGCCACCGAAGTCACCGCGCATGCATAGTGAACGCAGGATGAGCGCATATTCGTGAGTCGGGTCGAAGGCGAGGGCGGCGTCGATGAGGGCGAGTACAGTGTCGGTGTCGTCGAGTTGTCGCTGAGGGTCAGTGGTGCGTTGACCCGAGAAGAAGGCTCGGAGCTCACCGAAGCCCTCGCGTTCCTTCTCGTGCAGGAGGTGGTTGGTCCGAAAGGACTCCTCGGTCGGTTTGCGAGCGTAGTGGCCGTTCTTCTTGGATGCTTTCTTGCCCGTCCTTTTCGCTGTCTGCTGCTGTCGGAAATCAGCCAGACCTTCGCGCCGAGCACGCGCACGTACCGCACGATAGGCCTTGACAAGTGCGATGCGAATGACGTCGATAGTGTACCGATCCATAGGGTGCGTTGCAGAGGTGGTCGCGTCCGTTAGCTTATGGAGTAAGATCTCCATATCCGGGAAGCGGCGTACCTTGGACGTTGTTGCATCGTCCGTCTCGTAAGACGAGTCCGCCTCGTTGTGTGGCTCGTACTCCCGGACACCTTGGCTAGGAGTTCGCGGAAGGTCTGGGCCGGCTTGCTGTCGGTTTGGGGCGACGAGGACGTCGACTCACCCTTCCGAAGCGTCGCGTTCGGGAGGTCCTCGGCGTCGATGACGATCGTGTCCGAGTCGAGTTCGTCGGCGCGTGCCCAGCGTGCGCGTTCTTCAGGGGTCGGCGAGTGCTCACCTTCCTCCCTTGCAAGCTCCCTGGCCTTGGCTTTCGTCTCGGCCGGGTCCAGAAACTCGAAGCCGTCTTCCTCCATTGAAACATCCTTGATCGCCTTGATGGGCTGCAGCGCCGAGGGTAGAGTTAGTGGCGATGGTGATTGCAGAGGGGGAGGCGATGTTGCAGGAGTGGACGGGCTGGCCGCGCGGCTCGGCGGGTACTGTAGACGAGGTGAGGTTGATCGAGCAAGGGCAGAGGACACAGACGACGGGGCCGGTGCCGCCGGGCCAGGCGACGTGTGCGGCAGGGTTGACGAAGAGGTGACAGCCGCGCAGCCAGCAGCGCTGCCGACAGCCGCAGCACGCAGTACTGCCACATCGTCGTGGTAGGGGTACATACGCGTCAGGGAGGGGAGTGGAGGTACATACGACGACCACGGCTGTTGAGGCCGGGCGGTCAGTTGATCTTGGCGTGCACGGCGCTCGGCGAGAGCGATACGCGGGTCTGTCGTTCGTTCCGGGATGGTGGAGCTATAAGGGGTCGGGAATGTTGACGGCTGGTAGGCGTATCGGTCGAAGGCGCTGGCGTGGTACGGGGGTGCTCCGACACCGATCGCGTGCGGAGCGTGCATGGTAGTCGTGGTGCGCGGCGCAACCATTGACTGCGCCGCACGACGCGCATGGTTGCGTCGTCCGTGGTTGCGCGGCGTGACCGGCGTAGGAGGGAGGTTGGGCTGGGAGTAGGGAGTCGGTCGAGGAGGGCGAGGCTCCAGGTGGTCGGTGTAGCCAGCCCCGCGCAGAGAGCGTGGCGAAGAGTCCCGAGCGTAGACGGTGGACGTTAGGAAGCGATCAGATGGACGACGATCGCCCTGCCGAAAGTAGACGGTTGCGTCACCTTGTGCGATGCCTGTGCCGAGCTCGTCCGGGTTCTGGAGGGCGAGTGAGCTGTCGCGGCACGTGAAGATCGTGCAGCGTCCATGTTCGTCCTCGAAGCTGCCCCGCTGGACGCAGTGCAGGCTACCGAGGACGCACGATGCACGACGGTAGACGCGATCGGTGCTCACCTCGTCTTCACGCATTAGGTGAGCGAGCACGGACGGGTGAACATACCCGCGAGGAAGCGTAGGGTCCGGTCGGACAACTTCTTCGTAGGGCGAGACGTCAGTGTAGACGGTGCCTACCGTGTGACGTGGGATGTTGATGGGTGCGGACATGAGGGGCGTGTCGTAGCCAGGCGGGGCAGACGGGGCGAGGACGGGGATTCCGTCAAGTCCATTCGAGGAGCTTATATACGTAGTAGGGGGCTCACCTATAGCCCATCCTGTCGCGCTAAGTCCTCGCTTTCTTGGTAAAGCTCCTGCTAAGTGTCTCCTGGCGGCCGTGTTCGTAAATCCGAGGGTCCGGACTTCAGAGTGAGGTAGGGAGGTCGAGGCTGCATGACGAAGAACGAGGGTGGCGGGAGGGAGGTCGGTTGACGTGGCACGCGCCCAAGGTTCAAGCGCTACCGCCCCGGGCGCTCGATCGTGATCGAAGCTGTACAGGCCCGGGCGCGTCTGCACCGTTAAGTCCGCGCCCCATTGGTTGGTTACCGCTGCGTTGGTAACTCCAACCTTCGGTGGCGACCTCTTGCGCGCGCGCGTCCCTCTCTTCGTCGCGTTCACTGATGCTCGACGCGCGGCCTTGCGGTCGTGCTGTCTTCTTATCTTCTCGGTTGCTTGGCTCTTCCGTGTTCGTATGCGCGCGTTATCGGTAAGTGTCCGTCTGACTCTTACTTTCTTCCGGTCTTGTCTCACCTCCCCTATCCTCAGTCGTCCTATTCCTTCTCCAGCTAGCCCAGTCCCGTCGTCATATCCCCGTTTTTGCAGCACTGCCGGGTTAGTCGGAGGGTCGAGGCTGTGCTGAGAGGCTAGGTCGAGGGGAGTGGTCGTCATAGGGTCCGAAATCGAGGGTGAGTCTTTGCTCTCGCTAGGTCGATTGCTGACGTCCTCTTCTGGGTCATTCATCGCGTGCGTGCTGCGTTTGCACGGAGTCGGTTCGTGTCGTAAACGTGAGCACGAGCACGTCCGCTCGCCTCGCCGGTCCCGTTCAAACATTCCGGACCCGCTCTGCTCGACGTGTCGCGACGCCTCACCGGCGGATTGCAGGGATAGAGCCCGCAGTTCGTCGGTAAGGGAAGCCATAAGGACGTTGACTGGTATCTCTGGTGAGTCCAGTCCCCCCTTTATGCCGTCTGCTCGTGATTGGCTCACAGTGTCTTGTTCCCTCGCCTTGATTCGGGGATCCGAGCTGTCCATCTCGCAGTCGAGGCGTCGATCACCAGGCACATCGACATCCTGGTTCTCACAGAGCATGATGCTCTCAGTGCTCAGGTGAGCCGTGTCCGTCGGGGCCGTGAGTGTCGTGTGTCGGGTGACGGCGTGTGTGGTGCTTGCGAGGACCATTGGTAAGTGGCTTACTCTTTGGTTCTCACATTCTGGACCCTTTCCTTCGCTCGTCTGACCTGTCTCGCTTGCAGACTTCGCCGATCGTGCAAGACCGTACAGCGGGCGAGTTAGTATGCTTACAAACTGTCCGTCGGCTTCCGCCGGTCGATCGGGGTCTCTTGGTGAGTCTAAATGCTTATCTTCTCCTGACTCTGTGTCTTCTGAGTGTGGTTTTGCAGTGGCTGTGTGATCAGCAACATTCGAGGGTACGTCCGGAGGGTCCTCGCCGTTGGCGTACCATACCGCCGGTTCGTATGACCAAGCCGGGTCATATCCATCGGGCATGACTAAGATCTCGTGCTGAACCTCGAGGTCTTGGTTCTTGAACATAAGGTAAGTGCCGTCCACTCGTTCATCGATGCTCACATAGTTTCCTCGCTGCCAAGGTCGTCCTAGCAGCAAGTCGAACGGAACGTGTTCGCCGATGTAGAGGTTAGCGAAGGTGCGAACGTTCCCGCAAGTTAGGGGAACGTTCTCGACTAGTCCTCGCAGCGCTCCGGCTCCCCCGTTCGTGTCGTTCATCTGACACGAGCGGGCGATGTCCATTGGTCGATTTAGGTGAGTCTTCCATAGCTTCCTGCTTGCGATATTGAGCTGAGATCCCGTGTCGATGATTGCTGTAACGGGGCGTTCATCTACCTCCATTCGTAGATAGATTAAAGCTCCTTTCGAGCGAGGACCAAACGCGGCGGCGACGATGTTCTTTGGAGGAGCGTTTGGCTTAAGCACCTCTTGTAAGTGGCTGGACATCTCCTTTGAGATACCAAAGATCTCCCCGACTGGTAGTGTTACTGGAGTATTGAGAACTTTCCCCAGAACATGCCAAGTATCAACCTGTGCTTGTACTTGACTCTGGCGTGGAGTGCGCTTTGGTGTCTCTGCCTTCGCAGACTCTGAACGTTTCGTTGTATTGTCTGTAGTGCGTGATTGAGTGGATGATTGCTTCGGTGGTGAGACATCTTCCATGATCTCGTCGTCGTCGTCTGCATCAAACTGGCGGCTAGTGACATCAATAGGTTGCTTGGGCGTGGTGGGGATCTCTCTACGGTTGTGTTCGGTCGGCACTGTTGGCTGTGTTGCACGATCACCAGGATGTTGCAGGATAGGTGGTCCTTTGTCTCCTCGCAGGCGTGCAGAGCTGCGCGTCGCGTCGGGAGACTGCTGGGGTGGTGAAACCAGGTGTGGCGGTTTGTCACGTTTTGGCTCCTGCGTGGCTCGTGGCTTGTTAATCTTCTCTTGAACTGATACTGGTGGTATGAGTGGACCCTTCGTGGCCCGTTCACGAGCATTCCGAGTTGAGGTAGTGCCACGTTCAGCTCCAGCAAAGCTGAATGTGTTCTCTGAGTCTTCTTCGTCTGCTACATGGACATTCCCTTGCTCTTCCTCTGTCTCATACTCTTCAATCGTTGCTTGAGCATAGTAGGATACCTTGGGCTCTGTGGTAATGTAGTGTGCTGTGGGCGCAGTCTGCCGTTGAATGGCCGAAACAAAAGTCTCGTCCATGTTACGGAAGATGCGTGAACCATCCTTCATGACCAGTCGTCCAGATGCATCACGTGCAATCACTCCCTTAGCCATAAGGGTGTTGATTTCAGCACATGTTCCAATGCCATGACCAGTTCCTCCACAGCCGTAACACTTCATGGGAGGTCGGATAGCACTTGGTTGCGTAGGAGATGGAGCTGCTGACGGGTTTGATTGCGGGCTTGTGAACGCATTGGATGTTGGACTTCTCTGAGTAGATGAGCCTAAGACCGGAGGCCGGATTGCTGAGGCAGCTAAGGGACTCATGGTGCATGCACGGAAATACAGAACACCATACTCAGGGTCACTTAGGGACATCTTGTTCATCTGTCGGATGAGTTCCTCCACTTCATTGGCTTTCTTCTTCTCATCCTGAGCTGCTCGGCGACGTGCAGCTTGTGCTTTCTTAAGATCAGCCGTATCTTCATCCTCATCCGTGTCATTCTTCTTGCTCGAGTGCTTCTTCTTCGTAAGCTTGCGCTTCTTGTTCTTGAGTGAACTCTTCTTTGACTTGATGTCCTCTTCTGATTCACTGCTTGAATCATCAGATGAATCCGAGCTACTATCATCTGAGTCTGACTCTTCGTCTGAGTCATCCTCATCATCGGATGGCAGTCGGTCGGCGTCAAATCGGTTGCGTTGGAGCAAAGCCTCAGCCTTCTGATTTACCTCAGTCATACTAAATGGCTTTGATAGATCATAGGTGGGCTTAGATGCTAAGAGTCGAGGTTCCAGAGTCTGGCGGAATTTACGCGGGATTCCTTTCCAGAAGTAGAGAGCTTCTTCATCTACGGAGATTCGACCATTCTTCTTCAGCCATCCGGAGATAGTCAGGAACTTCCTTGTATATTCCCTCCATGCTCCTAGGGTCTTGATGGTTGACTTCTTGCGGGCTTCCAGGACGTAGGATTCCAGGTGTCGGACCTTGTACTTCTTGTCATCCCGATCAGCATCGAAGTACGTGAGAACATCTTTCTTGAGAGTTTCCCAGTTTGGATCCTTGGCCTCAAATGAGGGTAGGCTCTCGATGAACTGACGGACTTGGCGGCTGCAGTACTGAGTGACGTTGTCGATAAGGTCCTTGGCGTTGATGATTCCAAGTTTGGTACAGATACGTTCGTAGTGTTGAAGGAAGGACTTGACTTCGGAGTACCTTCCTTTAAACTTCCTGGGAGCACATTTGCTACCAGGCATAGGCAAGCCAGCTACACCAGTTGTAGTAGCCATGATTGCTGAGACTTGATCCTTAGAGATATCGAGTGGGCGAGTACGTGACGTAGAGGCGTGGACGTGCGTTGGATTGGACGTGATCCCAAGGGGCGAACTGACTGAGCTAGCCAGACTGTAGTGATGTACTGTTACCAGTAAACCCTTACAGTTATAGTATGGTTTCAAGTGATAATGGTCCCCCTCATCAGGAAAAACCGTGCCTACATAAGGTCTCATCAGAGGTCATCTACAAGACATCTTAGGAACGTATAGGACACAAAAGACATAAAATGTTACATAAGACCAAAACATGGCACTTAAGACAAGTCCCCGTCTTATTGTGTCTTCGATATTATGCATAAGAGCACTAATGTACGCAATAAAGACATCTTGTGTCTTATTCAGTCTTAATTGTGTTGTCATTTTGGTCTTTAGTTGCCCTTATTTCACCTACAATATGTACTTCAGTGGGCGTGCTGAAGTACAGTTATGTACAGAATTAAGTCTGCTGATGTCCACTTATGCACATGTACCAGATCACATCATAAATATTAGCAGTGCGGGTTGTTGTACAACATATACAGACACATAACTACTGGTATAGCACGATCAACAGATAGGCATAGACTCGAGGTCAGACGGCGCCGGGATGACGACCACGGCTGAGACAGGCAAATAGTAGTAGAGGGGGAGTGGGATACGTAGCAGGCACGCACGTCTGATGTGTAGTAGTACAGAGGATGATAGATATAGTAGCTGCAGGATTGTCGTATGAGTAAGTGTAGATAGAGGTGGTATGGGCATAGAAACACTCGCCTTGGAAATGGGCCGATTCTACTGCTCCTGCCACGCGAAACAGACAAAGTTGATGATGTTCACGGCCTTGATGCGACAGGACAACTACGACATCTTGGTGATGTACCTCTCGCAGTGAGATACAAAGAAACCACTGGACACTGACTGACTTACCACTCATTGCCGAGTTCATCGACCTCACGCTCGCTGCTGGAAGTTTGCTCCCCCAAACTCTCCTGGGCCTTCTTCGCGCCGGACTTCGATCGCGACGGACGTGACGGTCCACTCTCTGCGTTCGCTGCATCCTTCGATGATCCAGCTGCAGTCTTGGACGCCGCAGGAGTCTTTGCCTTGCTGCCTGATGCCACGGCTGGCAAGGTGACGTTCAGCTGGTCGAGGTCGATAGCCGCACCGCCCACACGTTCCCCATCTTCTTCCTCCTCCTGGTTCTCCTCCACAGCGTCCATATCACCATCCTCGTCCCCTTGCATCTTCGACCTACGTCCCTAGTGAGCAAACCAAGCCATATTGATTGCGAGAAGTTACCTTATATACGACCAGATTAGTGACTGCGTCTCCTGAAGGTACGGCTTGTTATTCATGTACTCCAGTGCACTCATCAGGCTGTCCCATCTTGAATTGCGCCCAACATTTAGTATAGATACCACAAGGTAAGCTGACTTACTTCTTGGCGTAGACCGAGTTTGCAAATTTCAGGTTCACTTCGTTGTCTTCTTCCACCTGCGCGGCGACGTCAGCCAATGCTCCCTCTATCTACACAAGTGCAATGACGTCAGTTGGTTTTGTGCGTGGATTGGAATAGGGCTTACGGCGGTGCACACTAGTGCGATGAGGTTCAGAGGCACCTTCTTGAAGTCTACCATCGCCGCCTTGATGCACGCACCCTCACGTTTGGCGGGCCCCCAGTACAGGTAGATCAGCTCTTGGATTGCCGGGTGCCTGAAAGGTAGCAAGCGGTTGTACTTGCTCATGATGTAATTCATGATCAGTGCTTCCTTCCGTAGTATAGCTAAGGCATTGTACTCACACTCTTCTCCACGGACGAGCCCTGTTCCTTCCCAAGGTTGTGTTCTATCTCCCCGAAGATGAAACGAGGAAGCAAAGCCGTTCGATCGCCCATCTTCACGCTGACCTTGCCGATCAGCCACAACGCAATTGGCCTCCTGTCATCAAGAGAGTATAGGTGAGGGCTCAGGTCGTAAGCCTTCTGGATCACCTGGGACGCCTTCCCCTTGAGCTCGTTTCGAGTTTGAGATAACGCGCGCACGATCTCCGCTATATCAGCTCATGCCAACGCATCAGAAGATCTGTTTGCTTACCAGTTTGTGCATGTCCTGCCTATGACGCTCTCTCTGGCTGTTGTCCTTGCCCTTCCGATCCTGCAACATCCTCCAGGAATCCCGCACCTTCTTGTCGCCTTTCTCATATGCATCTTGAACGCTCGCCTTGATGAGATCATCCACGCTGGGCAGCCGCTTGGAGACGACTGACGGCTCCTTCGTCCAGGCGGACTTCAGAGCGGTGCGGAGGCGCAGCGCATCTTGTGCTGCATGGAAAAGTGGAACAAGCCATGTTGGCAAGTCTGACACCCTGAGGCGCGCGCCCTTGGCCCCACCGGTGCGATACGCCTTGGGACGAGCACCCTTGCCCTTGCGCCTGGAGTCAGACAAGACCTGTAAAGTGTGAGAGATGTCTGCATCATTCAATATGATTGCAGAGATGATTGACACTGACGATCATCCCATCGTCGTCGCTCTGTCCCTCTTCTGCGTGGTCTGTCTCCTCTTCATCCTCCTCATCTCTGTCGTCTTCATACGCCTCTCCTTCCTCTTGATCATCATCCTTGCTGCTGTTGTCCTGATCTGAGTCATCGGATGGTTTGTCATGTGGGCGTGCAGCCGTGCGCTTGGCCTTGTCAGAATTCTTGCGACTATCGTCGCTGGCGGCCGGGGATTTGCTACGCTCGTCATCCGAGTTGTTGTTGGCGCGATTCTTACCCTTGTCCTGCTTCTTCGTGAACGTCACTATGAGTCATGTCACCAAGAGCAAATTACGGAACAGGGTGCGAACCCTTGCAGCCGCATCTGTCGCTCGTGAGGGGGTGTTGACCGACTTGCTCGGAGGAGCCCGAGCGTCCTGTTCTTTTCGTCCGCCGCCTAGCAGGTGGTCATAGTTTGATGTATGCACGATGGCCAAAGGACTTACCCAATGTTCGTGCCAGGTCCTCCTCGTCCGCGTCTAGCGTAGGTGCAGGTTTTGCATGTTGGCCGTACTTCCGCTTTGGCATAGCTAGAGCAGCGTGGTGTTGTGAGTTTCATGTGCCAATGTATATGAATCACATACGCCGTGGCTTCTTGGACTGCTCGCCCTCGCTGTCAGCCGTCTGGTCTTGCATCACCACGTCAGCTACCTTGTTGCCTTGCGCCGTGTCATTGGCAGGCTCGTCGTCCTCCTGTGCGTTGTCGTTGCGCGAGCGCGACTTCTTCTTCTTCTGGGGCCTTATGTCCTCTTCATCATGCGATGCTTCATCTTCCTCCATCATCTTTGATTTTCTCTTGCGTATCTCTGACACACACAGCAAAGTGAAGTTGATTAGTGTGTGTCGGAGTAGACAAGGGCACGTACTATCTGTTTGTTCCTCCTTCTCCCTCTGCTTCTCCTGAGCCTTCTGACTTTTCTTCTTAGCTGCGGCAGACGATGTTGCAGCCGTATTTACCACTTTCTGCTTGTCCTTGGTACCCTTCAAGGCTGTGCTTCGCTGGCCTGCAGGATTCTCTGCTTGTTTTGAGGCAGCGGATCGGGTCATATGTCTGTCCATTTGGGTTGTACGATTTGACCAGGGCAATAGTGTTAAGGTGAGATGATACTCACCGCAAAATGAAACGGAGACCAGTTGAGATAATCACGGGATTACCCACGGTTCAATATGTACCGCCGAAGTAAGCGCCAAATCCGACAAATATATAATATGTCATTCTAAGAGCATACAAGACATGTACCGAGTCAAACCAACATTCTATCCTGCTTCTATCTCTCATCGTGCGGTCGTAGGCAAGAGTTCTCGGTCCCGTTGCACCCATTTTCGCCTTAGCTTGTCGACGCCCGAATGGGTTGCACTCCTTCATAGTGAATTGCACGGGTAAGCCCCCGGGTGTCCGGGGGCTTACCCGTACCCGTACCCGTACCCGCGGGGGTCAGGTACCCGCCCAGCGGGTGCGGGTCGTCCGCGGGTCTCGCGGGTTGGTGCGGGCACGGGTACTGGCGACGGGTCGAGCGGGCGAGGAGGTGAGTGATGGTGGGCGAGCGTGCAAGGACGCGGGTAATCGCGTGCGGGCACGTATGCAGACGATCGCAAGCGAGCAGTGGGCAGGCATGCCCTGCCCGCTGCTGATTGCCGTGTGTACCACGGGAGCGTGCAGCCTGTGCTGCACGCGCGGCGTCCGCTCGTCGGCCGTTGTTGTGTGGGGCATTTGCCCTGCCCACTGCCGGTCGTTGTGCGTGTCGTGGGCGTGTGCGGCGCGGAAGCCGGGCAGCTGCGAGATGCGCAGAAGATCGCGCAGCTCGACTTAACGGCTGAGGGGTTTGAGCCTTGACGTGTCGACCAGCCGGGCGAACTGCGTTCCTTGGAGCAAGAACGCGACGCGACGAGTGAGGGAGAGCAAGTGAATTAGTACTCACCTGCCCGTCTGCTCTGCTCTGCTGGCCTGCTCTCTCTGTCTCTCTCGCCCCCACCCATACCCGCCGCCACTGTTTGCTCGCGTGCAACCTTGCGTGTGCGGCATCCATTCGTCGGCCATCGTTGCGCGTGGGGCATTTGCTCAGCCCGCTCGTGGTCGCCGTGTGTGTCGCCTGCGCGGCGGGCAGTCTGACGCGTCAGCTCACATCTTTGGATGTGTTTGAGACGCGGTGGTGAGGACGTACCTTACGTGCGCGTTCTCAGCCGCGCTTGGCCTCTCCTCTCTCGCCTCATCCCTCGGAGAGTACCCGGCGACGCTCTTGCGGCGTCGCTGGCGGTATCTCCGGCTGACCGGACGCGGTTGGTGCTGCGCTGCTCGCGTTTGAGACGCGAGCGCGCAGACCTATGGTGCCGAGCTGGCGGCGCGGCCTTGCAGCGGTTTCCTGCGCGTCGCGTCGCCTTTCTTCGCGTTGAGCGCGGGATCGGCGGTGGTCTGCAAAGGCCGGGAGGCGGCGAGGCGCGCGGAAGGTTTGCGCACTGCCTCGCCGTCGACTTCGCGCTGGTGCACCCTTCTTGACGCGGGGCTGGAGGGGTCGAGTGCGAGGGTGGAGGAGCGACGCGAGAGTCGAGCGCAGAGGCACGCGCTCGACGTGTTCGGGCGCTCGGGCGGTGGTGCGGTTCCCACGGCCGTTCGAACCAGCGCGTCTGGCGCCAAGCAAGTCGCGCCGGCCCGGGACTGGCGGGTCCGCGGGTCCGGATCTGGCTACCCGTACCCCTACCCGGCGGTACCCGTACCCGTGACCCTCACGGGTTGCCCGTACCCCTGAAATGCACTACTCCTTCAACACCCCTCAGACTCGGGGACCCACAACGCTGTCCATGCCGACGCTGAGTCACTCGTCCGGCGAGAGCGTGTGGCGTGGGAGCGAGCCGCCTCCGCGAGGCGGCTCGCTCCCACGCCACCGGACGCCCGGGGGAGGGGGGGGTACGGGTTGTCTGCAGGTCTCGCGGGTTGCGGCGGGTACGGGTACTGGTGAAGGGTACCAGTCGGGGGCGAGGGGCATGGGTGGGCGAGCATACTTAGACACGGGCGTCGACATCAGCCGCGCGACAGCATCACGCCAGTGGGAGGTGAGGTGGTTCCGATAGTACCGACACATGTTCGAGTTGACGTTGAAGCTAGTGCGGTTGCACCCCGGATAGCTGCACACAAACGCTGTGGCGCAACACTCAATTTCAGCATTGAGGTGCGTCTAGACGTCATCGAGAAGGGTGCGTACCCTTTGCGCCGGTGTGGGTGTTGACGCAAATATTCAGGCTGCTCGGCCGGTTGAAGCGCTTGTTGCAGCGCGGGCCTGGTTGTCGGATCAGGTTGAGGTGACATACGGAGGGCACTCACTGAGATGTTCATTTGCTCCGGTCGCCCTTCCTTCGCAAGCCTCCGGGAATCCTTCGTGAGCCTCCAATTCTGGCATCACTGGGGTTCGTTGCGGCTGCGTGCCACGCAATCTGGGGCGCACAGCGGGCGCCCGGGCCATTTCAAATGCTGTCGGAGAGGCGCCCCTTGTACGCCATAGAGATCAGGGGTGAGGAAGTGAGTGTGCAAGAGAATGAGAGACGATGAGGCAGAGGCTACTAGGGGTACACACGACGGTTAGGGTAACAACTTCAAGAGCCTTGCTGGCAGTGGAAGAGCGGCAAGCGCCGGCACGTGTGGCGTGTCGTGGCAGAGGCGCTTACTGTTAGCACTTCAACCGTTCCTCCTCCTCCTCCTCCTCCTCCTCCACGTTGACGTCGACGTTCAACGTTCAACGTTCAACACCACGCGGTGAGTACACACCAAATGCGACGGGAAAGCGAGGGCAACACAGAAGTGGAAGATGGGGATAGGAGCAATAGCTCAGGTGAGTGTTCCTTCGGACCATACCTCTTACACTTCGAGTCATTCTTTAGTAGTTCACTTGCACGCCTTGTGCACACCCCTGCCCGCTCATTCACTCGATCGCGCTTGCTCACGAGGCTACCCGCCCATCGCTTGTCTTCCTGCACGTATGTTCACTCGCTCTTTGTTCCCTTCGTCGCTCACCCACACATCTCCGATTGCTTGCGCGTTCACCCACTTATTTATACATTCTCCCGCCGTCTACCCGATCACCACTCGCTCGACCCTGTCCTTCTCCCTTTTGAACACATCCCTTTCTCGCGGGTCGCAGACGGGCTCGTGGTGCTGAGCAAGTCCCTTCGCTCCGCGGCAATGCACGCTCTGGGCACCCCGAAGATGCGCGTGCTCGTGCTCGTGCAGCGACAGTGCCGCGAGGCCATGTGCGTCCTCACCTGCGCTGTGCCATCCTCGTAAGCTTAAAACAGGACGACAACGGCAAGGGTGGCTACGGGTACAAATGGCAGCCCAATGTAATGTAGGTTGTAACTTCCTCGCAGCATAATTCTCAATGCTAACCACAAGCCGGTATGTTCGCCCTCCGCACTCTTGTTATCTCACTTGCTCCCCTGATCAGCGCAGAGGCCGAGCTCGGCCGTGCCGTCTCCCTGGCTGGGCGAACGTGTCGTGCAAAAAGCGTGCGTGCAGGAGTACGGTCGACTCATGCACATGGTAAGCTCCTTCGCCCTTCGCCGCCCACGTCCCTCCGAGTCCGACCCGCCCTGCAGCGCCCTGGCTTCCGCCTGCACAACCGTTTTGATGAGGCATAACTCTACCACCGCCGCTCCTCGACCTCAGCGAGCACACGTTCGACTTCCGGCATGGGACGTTCCGCATGCTGTGTGCCTTCCGCCCGGATGTGGACCCTGAGCGCGCGAAACTTGTCTGTAGACCACCCGTTCTGCGACACACGCCATAACCTCGACATGCCCAGGGTGGTCAGCGACTGGCACTGATGCGCGCGAGCGTGGGGAGTGAACGGGATAGCACAGGTGTGGATGGAGAGGGTACACGAGATAAAGTGTGCAAGCCCGATGAGACCGCGTGCAAACACACCCCATTTGTGTGCTGTAGAGATGTAACATAATGACTGTAATTTTCAAATATATCGCCTTTTCGACCCTTTCGTGACTAGTGAGGTTTGTGCCAATTTCGATGTAGCTATTGTCTGATGCTACTGTGCTATCTGGTGCTGTCTGAGGTCGACTGAAATGATCTGATAAGGCAGGATGCCTGAAGTGTCCTGACGCCTCTGAAGACCGGCTCTCAGACACACATACCATCAGAGATTGCACAGTTTCCTGATGACTTCCGCGAGAGGCGTCCGTTCACCGGCCATCGTTGCGTGTGGGGCAGTTGCCCTGCCCGCTCGGTGCCTCTCGTTCCGAGGCGGGATATTGCCCGTGGGCTCGTAAAATCTTTTAACTTCACCTCCCACACATCGAACTGGTGCGTACTAGCTTCCCCGCTTATCAGTTCACTCCCTCATGCTCGCTTCGCTGTCTTTCCCGCCTCCATCCATGCGCTCTCAACCCGATGGAGTCCGCAGCAAGAAGATGTGTATGGGTAATGTATCGTCCCTTCAACATCCCAGCACTTCAGTGCGTAGACACAGCCAACCGCGGTAGCGTGCGGACTCGTGGTACCGCGCATTTGAAGAGGGGCTCATGCCTGTTGTGCCCGCCTCCACCTTTCCCGCCTCCACCTTTCCCGCCTCCCTCATGCCTCGCGCGACTTACTGTGTATTGTAGTCATCCCGTACTGTAGCTTCGAGTATATAACTTGTTCATTAGTAACCAATACACTCATTTTGACGTCTAGTTCTGATTTGTGTTTGTGTTTGGTCATGGTGAATGCCGTTGAGTGAATGTATTGTACAGTCACATACATTGTCAATAATGTGATATGTGGTACAACAGGTCTACAGTACAATCAAGCAACAGTTGACCATATGGTACAACAGAGACTTGGCAGAATGCAACAGACTGCAATGGGTGTGCAACAGACTGCAATGGTTGTAACCAGCCATGCAATGAGTCACAATGTAGAGGGGAGTATGCAATGCCCCAATGGCTGCAATATTGACTGCATTGTGTCACATAGTATATGTTTTTTTCCTGATGCATCAGTTTATGCAAGTGGCACTTTGCGTTACTTCAGTCAGCCATTGATAGTCAGAGCCGGTCACTAGTGTAGCAAGAAGAGCCCTAATGTTTACAAATGTTGGCTGGCATGCACATATGTTAGCTGAAGACTATTTCAGTAAAACAGGGTTTTCCTGATGCTCGCGGTGGGCTCCACTGGTGTCAGGTCAGAAATGGTTTCTGCTGCGGTTCACCGGGTATGGCAGTAATACCGGGCTATCACAGTTGTTCATTGTGGAGGGGAAACACACAAGAGATACTATAGTGTTCTGCAAAGATAGATCAGTAGGCACAGTTAGTACTTACTACAAGCAGGTTGACTGCTCAAATGATCTTGGGACAATAGGCGAGCGTGGCGAGTATTCTTGATGTGAGGCTGATCTTGGACTTGAGAGACGAGCGTGGCTAGACGAGAATGAAGTTGCTGGTTATGGATCACAGCTTACCCAAACAAGAGCACTAGTGTAGCACTTAGCAGAAGCTTACAGTCACACGTTGACTTTGGGCTACCGATACTAAATTGCTTGGCTAGGGAGCAGCTTGCAAACTACTCAGTGAGGTGGGCAATAAGGGGGCACGAGTTGCCGGGGGGATTGCTCTCCTACGTACTTGCTTGCCTGCTCCCTGCGCCGTGAGTCCTTATATACATGGGGAACAGGCTGATCTAATACTAATTACATGAGCTGACAAACCCATAGTCATCCAATACACAGCCTGAGTCAATCAAGGATACATAGCCTGAGTCATCCATCTGCACAGCTTGAGTCATCCATTTCACAGCATGAGTCATCTGTTTCACAGCATGAGTCAGCCATAACACAGTGTGAGTCATCCATCAACCAGCATGAGTCAGCCATTGCACCGTGTGAGTCAGCCATTTGTACAGCATGAGTCAGTCCTTGAGTTTGGGGTGCAAACCTAGAGTGCTTGGTAATCGGGGTCCATGTGGCTGTGTCTCCTAGAAACTGGGGCTCTCGCTGATCCAGGAACCTTGGGGCTTGAGTCTAGGCTATTCTCTGTGCATGTTCCTTGAGCCAAACACTTTTGGCTCAGGACAGCGGTAATGTCCAATGTAATAGTAATGTACTGTAGTAACCGTAGGGAGGCGGTTACACTGATTCCGTCATCTCGGGGTTCAGATATCAATCAATCTCGGGGCTGATGTCGGTTTCGGTGTGGGTCTGATGCTGCGCCTGCTCAACCACGTTCTGGGGTGCTGATCCAGAGGTCACAGGGATCTCGGGTTCGTCGGATTCGTCGGACTCGTCGGCTTCAATCTCCTTAGACTGTTGGGAGATTGATTGGAGGAGCGATGCGGTCGCTTTCGGTTCGGGCTTCGGAAGGTTCGCTTTGGCTTTAGCAAACCGGAGTTCGTCGAGGACAGCTGCAGTGAGGGATGGGTAATCTTTCTGCGGAACGTCCTTGTGGAAGTGGTACCAGTGCCACTCGTTCTTCTCGTCCTGCCGTGGGCGGATCCCAAGGGGAGAGGGTTCGTGGTCGATGTAGAATACTCGGAGGGTAGGATCCCAGAGGAGAGTGCCTTTTAGCGCAGGCAGTCCGTAGATACTGGGTTCGATTTGGCGAAGGTCCGAGGTATCCACCTTGGCGAAACTATCGACCTATCGTCGAGCGGCGTTGTTCACCCTAAGCAATTGGATAGCGGAATGACGCTCGAGGTCTTGAGATGGGATAGCTACACCAGAGGAATGGTGGCAGAGGGTACGTTCGACCTAATGTTACGCGACGGGTAGGAGCGGGACAATGATGAAGGCGATAGCCAATACGAGAACAAACTTCTACTGAAGACGCTGCCTTTAACAAGGGCTTACTCTCGTCTAGAGTCTGGATCCGTCGGGGCGTTCGAGAGGACTAGCTGTGCTGGCTTCCTCAAAGGCTCCTGGTCGGTCGGGCCTATCCGAGCTTGGTCGTCACCTGCCGCTAGGGCGTAGGGGAAGTGGGCAAGCGAAGGAGATAGGATTCAAGAGTTAACCAGGTCAAACGTGAAGTTCGACCGCTACTGTACAACAAGTTTAAATACAAGAGATAGTGCGATCAGCGCGGAGAGATACGTAAGCAGATCACTGGGGCAGTGTCCGGTAGCGTATGGTACAGATGGCGGGCCACGGCTACAGATGGCCGCCCGAGATAGATAATCACCGTCCGGGGTGATGAGGATGATACGAATGATGCTGATCGTACTGATGAGATGTGAAAGGACTAACCGTTCCGTAACACCCATTGTCGCAATGGAGATTGAAGCAGCGATCTTACCAGTCCGCGAGCACCTCGATCTCACGAGCGCGAGAGCAGCCGTAAGGCTGAACAAACTGAGCGCATTCAACCCCATCCTAGGCAGACTCCCGGAGGGATGGCGGGTACCTAACACCGCCACCCCTGCACCGCCCCGCACCACCCACCGCCGCATCACCGCTCGCCGCCGAACTCCCCCGGCAACAACCCGACTACACCGCCTCGCACTCAAGTCCGACCCCATGGATGAACGCATAACACCGTTGTGCGTCCCGCCATGGAAGAAGACCATACGAGACTACAACGGACGACTCACCATATCACCAGCGCCGAAAGGAGTGGCGAAGGAGAACCCGGAAGCAAAGAAAGCAGCTGCCGCAGAACACAACCAAAAGATAAGTCAGATCAACCACCTACCGAACCACCTGATGCTCTACTCGGACGGATCCCTACAGGAACCGCGAGGAGTGCAGAAAGTGGGAGCAGGGTTCCTAGCGATAAGCATGGAGCACATGCTATTCGGCAGGAGGATAGCCATGTCGCCTAAATCCGAGGTGTACGACGCCGAGATGGCGGGCCTACGCTTTGCAGCCACGGATGCGACTACCTACGTGTCTCAGAACAACCCAGCCATCCAACACCTCCACTTCTTCACCGACAACACCTCCGCCATCATCTCCATCTTCGAAGCGAAAGCCGGCCCTAGTCAAGGCCACTCACGAGTCTTCCGCGAAGCGATCATCGCGTTCCTTGATGCCGACCCAGCGCGATCTGTTGAGATTGCATGGACCCCGGGGCACCAAGGGATCATCGGAAACAAAGCTGCCGACAGACTAGCCAAAGACGCAACGGACCTGGACGCAGGCCACAGCAGAGCGACGAGGGCTAACGCCCTAAGCCGAGCAAAAGCACAGGCGAGAGACAAGTGGGTTGCGGACTGGACAAAAACCGCACCCACAGGCCGATTTGCAAGCGCGAATCGACTGCCACCGCAGATGAAGCCACGCAAACACTTCCTCAAGCTCCCGAGGGAAGTGTTCGGCCGGGTCTTCCAGTGCAGGACAGGACACGGATTCACAGGGGAGTACTACCGCTCATTCGTACCCTCTGAGTCAGCAGACTGCCCCTGCGGAGAACCTTACCAGACGAGACGACACATCCTACAGGAGTGTCCCCAGTACGAAACACACCGACACCTTCTCCGCGACATCAGCCCCACCATCGACCTCCCGTCGATCCTCGGAACGACGGAAGGGATAACAGCACTCGCAGTGTTCCTAGACGCGAGCGGAGCGATGACCAAGACGGGCACCCCACGACAAACGTGCGACGTTGAGTGGGGAGCAGAGGACGAACCAGATCGTGACGAAGAAGAAGAAGAAGCCGAAGAAGAGAGCGACGACGAAGAGGAGGATGACCCGGACCCGCCGCAGGACTAACCGGTGGCGGACGCTGCACGGCGCCACCACCCGTACCCCCCTCTATCCATACCAGACTCGACAACCACGTGCACCGAGGGTGCAATCCCGACTTGCGACTTCGGGAGAAGACACCGACAGGACCCAACCCGGCGGCCACATTTCCCCCTCTCTGTTTCTTTCTTTCACCACATGCTAATTTATTGAACATGCTACATGAACCCTATGGACGAATCGGTTGATTACCGCGCGCATCGCGCATACCCGCCCACACACAAACTCCCCTGACCGCATTGAATGCGCCCCGTAGCCCGTCAACTACTACATACAAACGTTACTAGACTACGACTATACTTACCTGACATGACTACTGGCTTGCAAGTGGCGCATTATAATGCCCACTATTGTACGCACCGGCAGTCGCCGCGTCTTAGCACGTTTGTTTGCTTGTGGCGGTTAATAAATGCAGAATTCATCATCATCATCATTGGCTTTCCGCTGCGCGGTGGTTGCACGGCTCACAACTATTTTCTTGACCGCGACCATTACGTGCGTGCCCACTCACAGCTGTTATTCTTGACCTTGATTGTGCCACTCTACAGACACAAGCCAACGTCTTTTGTGCCGACCGAACATGCCGTCGTCCTGGCTCGGTAACATTAAAGACAACGAAGCGGCTCAACGATGGGCTGCAGAAATGTCGGCCATATCTGCGACCTTTGACCCTGCGTGCATGAGCCTGAAGAAGCAAAGGGTAGCTGTTAAAAGGATGTTTGAGGAGTTTGTTGAGCTGAAGCATGGCATCTCCCTGGACAATATCTGGCAGAGAGAGGACATCAGCGGTATGTCATATCACGAAGCAGTGGGACTGTGGCGCGTATTGATCATAACACAGTCTACCTGGAATATTTTCTGTCTCTCCGGGCTAAATTCACCAATCCCAATTTGCAACGCATCCGCAGAGGGCAAAACAATGTCTCTTTTGATACACTGCGCCAGTGGAAGGATGTGCTCGTGTACTTGGTATGCCTTGATTGTGTCATTCTGCGCATATATCCTGATTAACGGATACATAGGTCTTTACCTATCATCCTCAGGGTGGTGAAGTGCTGTCAGGAGGGTATATGCTCAACTCACTCGGGTAAGGCTCATGTTTTTGGTGTGCACAATCAGAGTGTCAACCGCTCAATCACGTCAGCACATCACATCTATTCAAAGGGAGCTCGGAATGGAGCGCCACACACCCAGTCAAGAAGGCTTTGGGAAGTCCGAGCTGCAAATTCTCAAGGAGCACCTATACATGAAAACCGGTGACGCTATATGGGTATGGTTGATCGATTCTCGCACACGGTGACTTGTTCTCAATGCGCATTACGATCCCTGAGGTACGAAGGAATCGTTCTTATGACTGTTGAACTTCAACTGTTTTAGGTGTTATCACACGGGATAGGACTTATCCTTACCCGTTATGGACTTATGTTCTACTATGCTACATATTACGTACATTCTTTTCGGATTTGATCCAGACCTGTAGCACATGATTAGATCTAGACCCTGATGGAACATTCCACCGCTTTCCATCATGTTCCAGCACATTCCTTGATTGCATCGTATTGCATCATTGAGCACATCACTGTTCCAGTCCTTTCCATGACATTCCATTCATGGTGCAATATCGCCTCATCCTTGTGTATTCGCTCATTGCACCATATCGCTCCGTTATGACTCTACGCTGTTACGCTTACTGTACGATCATGTGATGGCTCTCTCATGTGTATATATACCGGGCTGGATACGCCCTAGAATGTAACGGTCTCTCCTCTCGTCTTACGCCTCTGAGTCTTCCCTCTCAGTTCTTAAGAGATCTGTTGTAAGTCCTCCTTTACTACAGTGCTCTTTGTGCTCCTGTAGTATACTTTTGTAGCCTTGCCTCAGGCTAGCCACAACACTCCTTGTTCATCAATGACTGGAGGGGATGAAACGCCTTACAGTGGCGCCCGATTTGGAAGGAGTCCACGTGACTTTTTGAGGCCCAGATAAGCAAAGATAAGTAACTGATACTAATGTCCATTAGTGGGACCTAAAATTTGAAACTCCCAGATGACGCGACTTGCACCAACAGATACAAATAAATGCTGTGGCTGGCTGCTCTGTCCTGGGGTGAGGGCCCATGAAACACCTTCCAGTGGCGCCCAATATGGCAACTGGTGGCTTTCATCATGTGACTTACAGGCTGGCTGGCTGCTGCGGCCTGCCAGCGCTCACACTGTATACAGTCAATTAGTAAGTAATCATAGTAGACATAGTATGCCCATCTGATAGCCATTTGTTCAAAGAGTATACAGTAATATTCCTAAGCACTTACAGTGGCTGGTTGGGCTGGAAAGCGCAAAACAAAAAAGTCTACATGTGCCTTTGCATAAGTCAAAGCACCTGTGTCTGCTCCAGATACTCACTGAATCATCAGGACAGTGACCTCATGCAGTTGAATGACTTTGTATGTGTCAGTTGCTTCTGTGATACAGCAAAGATGAGCAATATTGGGCAATTTGAACACTAGTGAGCATATTATTGCTTGTGTGTCATGTCTATCACTGACCTGTGTCATTGATGATGACCAACTGTACCTGTTTAGCTTCTTATTATATTATCAGGATTTTGCACATTTTTACAAGCTCATAACAAGCCCATTTGCCCTGTATCAGCTATGGTTTCCTTATTGGGCAGGTTGCCTACTACTTATGGCAATACACAGAACAGCACACTTATAGACCTCATCTGGGCGCCTCTGACTAAACACTGCATGTATGATACATGCTTAGCATCTGTGGGAGTATGTGTGCTACACAGACAGTGACTAGAGCCTAATGTATTGCTTCTGTAAGCACTGGGCCGATGATACAGCAACCAATGTAAATGTATTGAAGGTGTAACATGAAATAGAGTCTTCCTTCTCAATTGGAGCCTTTCAATTCATTGTCTATGCTTTTGATAATATTCACTGATTTCTCCGCATTTGTTTAGATCTGTACAAGCTAGTTTAAGAGAAGTAAAAGGCTTGCATCGCTTACTAAGCGCCCATTAAGCGCCCGTGTGCCGTTCGGAGTTGCATCCACCTGGAATTTCCAGGCGGATGCAACTCCGTGCGGCAGGGGAGAGATGCCGATTGGCTGATAAGCCCTTTTCCTTGCCCTGTTAAGGCAGGCCTGCCGATGTTTGGGCTGAGTTTAAAATTCAGCTGCAAGACCATTAGTAGCATGGTTACTGTGCTACTATAGGCCAATAAAATCCGTAAAATCTTCAAAATATTATGCCTTATAGCCCTCATACTATAGAGTCTATTGCTAGTCTTACCTTCTCATGCAGTTCAGTACACAGGGCACAATTTACAAAATAAGAAATCACACAAATGCCTCAGTGACATGCTTGTGGTCCTTTGTGCCTGGTAAATGATCTTGAAGAATGCAATTGTATGCCTATAAGCACCTGAGACCTGCTATTTGGAGCATCTTTGTGTCCTGTAGTGTACATTACAATCTACTTGCTGCTGTTTCTGATATAAGCCCCACCCTTGTAGATGCAGAGGCACATGTGAGTTTTTTTCTTTTGCATTTTGTGGCTTCACTAGCCATTGTATATGCATAGCATTCACACAATATATCCTCTGAATGAAGGGCTTTCAGGAGGGTATAGTATGCTTGTATCATTTGTTACTGATGTGTGCTTTGAAGGCTTGTAATGATTCAGTTTACATTGTGCAATAAGTGCTCAATAAGCGCCCATGCCATGCGAGATTCACTCGTTGACAGGTCAAAATTTTGACCTGTCAACAAGTCATCTTGCAGTGTAGTCTCCCAGACTCTGTTGCAAACTGCTGCAAAAAGTAATTGTCCTTAATAGGATTCACCATTCTCAGCCCAGCCACAAGTTGAAATGAATCCAAAAGACCTCGAAATATTCATGCTAGTAGTCCTCATACTATAGACTCTATAATGGGTATCAGTTTGCTGTAGTGTCCATTACTCATGCCACAATATGCAAAACAAAAAGTGCACAAGTTGTCATGGTTTTCTTTACTTTGTTCAAATAAATAACACAGCATATCCACATTTTTAGACCCACTGGATAGTGAAGTTGTATCATTGCTAGACTGCTGAATCAAAATGCAAAACTGGGAGATTGGATCCAGGGCAACTTTCATTAAACATACAGTTCATGAGGTTCCTTAGATAATATCTATGCAGGATAGCAATGACACTCGTCAAAACTGCCCTTTTGAGTGTTACTGCTCTTCCATGGCCATGATAAAATCAAAAATACCCCAAAAATCCACAATGGTATGTGTCATATCATAGATCTGATCTTGGGTATCACTTTACCATGTAGCTCGAGGGACTTCTGACTAAATTTGGTTTCTCTCCCACTTATCTGATTCATATAACCAAATAAAATACTCACAGACATTCCATCAAAGTATCTGGCTACTATATTGGGCAGAAGGATTTCCCTGTGAGTTGGTGGTTTGCTAGTTGATCTGAGCTCAATGATCATTACAAAATTAGGGCTTGACAATCTTTGTGGTGTTGCTTCACAACAGTGATAGCTTCTGTGCAAGTCATATGACTGCATTTGTGTTTGCAGCCCAATCCAATATTCAAGATGGCTACTACAGTGCTGCTCATGTGATTTCTGATAAAATATTGGTTGAAATGACTGACAATGGCTATATAGTGCTGTACCAATATCAATAAGTTGAAACTTGTCAACAACTTCATGCTGCCCACATTTTTTGTTGTGGCAACACCTCTATGTAGCATCCAATGAAAACCATTGAGTGTTCACTGACTTCACTACAGGGATTCCAGCAGCTATCTGTGTTGTACCAGGCAAAATGAAGCATACTTACATGTTGGATCAATACTATATAGGTACTACCACCAGAATACATCTCCACATTCCTATTCTGTCCAACCTATGCCTATATCACCGCATAAAGGGTCACTCAGCATTGTGTACTTTATGCCAATGTGCATGCCATCACTCAAAATCAAAAAAGAATTGATGGGTAGAGATTCAATGAGAACACTGGCTCAGTAGGGGAAGTCACAAATACATGTTCCTGAGGCAGATGACCTTGGAGCTCAAGCAAGGAAACCACATTGTTTTTCCATTAGCAAGTGGCTACATCTGTTGAATGTTTTTAATGTGTATTCTATGTCTGTCTATCTTTTCTGTCAGAATTTCACTTGTCATCATTGCATGCTTTTGTTGTACTATTACCAATATATTTGCACACTGACATTTCAATGCTTTGAAGCACTTAACAATGCATATACTATCTGGACTATTATTGTGACTATTTCCCAATCTCCCAATCTCTACTGTGTTCCTGCTCATTCCAGTTATCATAGGATCCTTCAGTACTGATATAATTGCTGTTGTGTGCTTGGTAAATGATGATTATACTAATCAATTACTAAGTTATAATGGTATACTCCATTTTGGTAACCATGTCACCAAGCATTATCAGGGGTTTCACAACCTCTTACCACTTTGAATAGCTCAGAGATCTTTGTCACTGAGATTCATGTCCCTATTGACAGCCTGACAGGGTGATTGATTTTGTAATCAGCTGTCTACAATTTAAGCAGAAATATGACAGACTGGAACTCAAAGATGGCAGAGAAATTAAGAGAATATGTTTATTGACATCATCACTCACACTGGGCAGTTCTCTTATGACATCTGTTTGATCATAATGGTTGGTCACAACATACATATGAAAGCCATTAATTGTTGATTTTACTGTAGGAATCAGTGACTGATAAACACATCATACGTCAACCTCCCTGTACGCTAGATATGTCAGGCATACACTTAAATAATGAAACTATATGCCTGAGCCTAAGGGGCAATCATATGCAACTCAACTGTTCTGACACCATGTTGGCATGCCTATGCACCCTCTAAAATGTGATTTTACATGTGACACCATCATAACTGTTCATGACACCAATCAGCAATAGCATCTGCTGGAATGGAGTGACTATTTGCAATGAATGCTGCTAGATATATGAGTGACTCACTTGTGCCTTTATTACAATCATGTAATTCATTTTGGATAATACTTGTCAGCTACCATGCACCCAACAGCATCACAGGCACAGATTATAAAATGGACTGAGGACCAAAATTGTGAAGCACTCAAAACAGAGATTATAGATCATATATGCAGTGAGGAGTGAGAAATGATTACCAAAGCAATGTTCTAGCCATAGGCAAGGCATTTGAACTCACAATTCTGTGGACCCATGTAGATTAAATGATGGATGATGGGCTCAATAGTTGTTGGTATGTAGATGGTACCATGTCTGTAGGGAAGCCTGGATGTGTAAGTTCAATCATGAAGAAGAATAGTGGGGTTATCAAGGCATGCACAAGTCAAAATCCAGAGTGAGAGATATGTAAGATTGAATGTCTGGAGCTGAGGAGGTAGTGTTACAGATGTGACACTACTAGACATGTTGCCTGCTTGCTCTGAGATTTCAAACTGAAGGGATCGTATTGCCAGACATGGCCCACTCCCCAGCAAGTACAGGTGAACCAGGCCGACCTCGCATGGACGTTATGCTTTACGTGTGGGTTAAGAATAGGGTCAATCTGTGCTACATACGCCGAGTCCGTGAGACTTGGGTTTTACATGAAAGTCGGAGTGAGTTGCTGGCGTCCGTAGCTCATTATTTGACTCTGACTAGCAGCAGGATATTCACCACATCATGCGGGTTGGACACATGGCTTGGACGATTGAGCTGTATGTCGACGTACTGAAGGGTCATAGCATCGGCAAGGGGAAGAGGCATGTCTGAGTCGGCTAGACAATCTGGACATCACTAATGTTGTGACAGGATCATCATCACACTGCATTCGGTTACGTTGCCCAAGAACGTTATGTTTGACACCCCCCTTCTGGTCATCCTGAACCTATTGATGCCAGGCATGCTGTACCATGATACATGGCATGCCATCTGTGCCAATCAAGCGGCAGAAATACCCATTCATCCTGAATTCAAGGCACATCCTCTGATATGTAAAGGGTCATGCAAGAGCTGTTTGCCAGGATCGCTAAACAGTGTGGCTTCAGTAAGTCATACTGTGTAGTACGCCCACATTGACTAATTTGTCCACAGAGGACGCACGGCTATACAACTTTCGACATGGCTTTGCTGAAGACATGCTGGAGACCTTTGGGGAGAGTTTTGCCAAGGATGCCATGGGACATGATCTGGGTAGCAATACGCTGGTTCGCTCAGTGTACAGCATTGATAACTGTTGTGATGCTCACATTCACAACAGCGCAAACACTACGTCCAAGAGACGGCTGGGAAGGATCTTGTTGGTGTTTGAATACGTGAGGCGCAGGTCTCACAGGAGGAACTCAACTGGGCAAAGCAGCCTGCGTTCCAAGCGAACATCAATGTTATGTCTACCGCAGACCTGGCACATCTAAGCCATGGTGCGTTGTCTATGATGATCAGCAACAAGACAAAGGTCACTCCTGTCCCGAGCCCATCACTGGGGTAGCTATTACCCAATTTGTCAATTGCTGCTGGATAGCTCACAATGTTGATAGGTGAACGGCTTTCATGCGCCCGAGTTCTCCAACAAGGAGCTTAATGCGACCGATGAATACCAGAAGTTTGATGCCCGGCCGGAGCGCCAGGCAAAAATATCAGACACTCGACGAAATGTGGGATGAGATAGAAGAGGCTATTGGTCCCATCCACACGAACAACAGGGGTACGAGCATCTCAGTCATTGACCGCATTGCAGTGCATGCGGAGAAGGACAGGCTAGAGGCACTGTGGCAGGAGTACAAAAGGCTCCAAGCCTGCCTGGGAACGGCCTGCTCACGTAAGCGACGCCAGATCAAGAAGAGGCTTGTCGAGGCAGCAATGTGGGAGTGGAAGGCAAAGCAAGCACCATCAGGTAACGAGCAGACAACAGCTGAAAGACTGGAAAAGGCGGCCCTAGTACGGAATGAGCCGGCTTTGCTTCAGGTTGCTCTGAGTTGTTCGTGCATCTTTGTCAGTTAAAGTGACTCTATTTTGATTCATTAATGTATTTTTTTCTGTATTAACTTGATTCAAAAATGTATCCATGTTGAGTCAGTATTACAGCTATTTTCAGAACGTTGGACAGTCCCAAACGCGCGCAACATATGCTGACTAAGAGCCCCGCCCTTCGGGAAGTTGGAGAAAGCGGCGCTCGCGCCATCGCCCCGCTCTTCTGCCCCACTGCACAGCTGTGCCCGGAACTTGAGCACGACGACGCGGTCCTCGCAAGCGACATGATACGACCTGCTCGGCGCGATCCCGTGAGCTGTGTCCCAGACGCGTTCCAATATATTTGATAAAACACGTCTATGGCTCATTCCGCCCTTGCTTGGCTCAGGGCTGGCCTCAGATGCTCCCACTCGGACGCGACGACAACCAAGGTCCCCGATCAAGCACATACACAATGGCACCAACTTTGAGGAATATTTAAAGCTGCAGGGCACACTGAGGTACGTCGACTTGCCTGCCATGGACGACGACAACGGCTCTGGGCCCGCCGAGTACAACCCATTCGGTGACGAGTCCTGGCTGCATGAGACCGACGTTCCTCCTGAAGCCTTACAGCAGGCTCTAGCTTCGTCACCTCCGCCTGTACCGTCACTTGACTATGGCTCTCAGATTCCTCCTGCCGTCTTGGATGCACGGTATCCCTTCGCAGCTTGGTGGCGGACCATCAGTGGCCAACCACCAGTCGGCGTCACCCAGATACAAGCAGCAGATTTGGTGGCGGGTCCGAGTCAACTTGAAGAGCGAGTACCATCGCCTGTCAGTGGGCCGCGCAGGCCGCCAGGTGCGTCGTGTTCACCATCATTTACATTGTCATGCTCACTCAAGGCTCAGCGCAATCGATCCGCGTATCTGTTCCGCTCGACACCGCATCCGGCAGCCCACCGTACCTCCGTGACACTATGACAGTCGACAGCGACATATCCTGGACGGACTTCATTGACCGTCTCAGGGCACGCATGGGGCTGATAGACGGTCCGGTCAACCTCGGATTCAGGATAGACGCCGCTGGTGCTCGCAGCTCGGGCGACTTCAAGATCCTTGCTAATACCTTCAACATGCGGGAAGCGTTCGACGAGTATATCAGTACAAACTCGAGGGCGCGGAAGAAGCGGGACCTCGTGATATACAATTTGGTAAGCAGCTCACCTTTGCGAAGTGCCAAATTGACATGTAGTGATAGACGGCTGAACACGACAATCGCTCGCATCCGGATTCCAGCAAAGGCACGAAGAAGAAAGACGGTGGAAAGAAGAGCAGCAAGAAGAAGGGCAAGAAGAAGGGCAAGAAGGGTAGCAAGCGCAAGCGTGAGGCGTCGGAGAGTAGTGACTCGTCTGATGAGGCGTCGGAGGCGTCGGAGCACCTAGCCGCACTGCGTGAGCTCAGGGAACACTTACGTTGCCACGATCCGCACTGTATCAATAGCGACAAGCCGAACCGATGGTGCCACATCAATCCACGTACTCTCGTTCACGAAGACATAAACATGAAGGAGCTCACCTGGTGGGCCCACGAGATCATAAGCCTTTGCTGCCGGTGTCCTGCCTAAGTAATTGCTAATGTCCCGTCAGTCTGAAGGAAACGCGTCACTCAACACACCGCCGGAAGGCCGCGAGTACGATACGATCAACTCAAAGCGGCGATCCATTGAACGCGCACGGAAGGAGCGGCGCACTGTGCCTGCCACCGAGTCAAGCACATCGTCCTTACCTGCGGCAGCTCCGGCCAGCCATGATGTAGGCGATCGTCTCTCAGACCCGAGCGACGATTCGGTCGTTTTCCCGACCACCACCACCCTGCTTTCAGAGCTCAATGAGACACGCCCCGATCATAACTACCCGCAGTACACGCAACGTCTTGCGGAGCTGGGGTTCCGTTACACGGTCGACTTCGAGAATTTCGAACCGTCCTTGTTCACCGATCAGGCTGGAATGCCTCCTGGTGCTGTTCGGTCAATGCTTGACTGGGCGCATGTCTTGACGCGCCGTGCTCGCAAAGGGAAGGGACGAGCTGACTAGAGTGGATTGGAACGTATCAAGCATGTATGTTATGTATAACTATTGTAGATACTGTCCACGCTGAACGGGAATCATACAAATGTACTAATCATCTTAAATCTACTGAATAGCCGGAATTGAAGAACCAGCCTTTTGCCATACTCGCTGTGGTAGAGAAAACAGCATCCCAGAGCATTTGGTAAGGATTACAGGTATCGAGACGAGCCAATTCTCCTAACGCATACGTACGGTGACGCCGAAGCCACGACTTGACGTGGGAGAACATCTCCTCAATCGGATTCAAGTCTGGAGAGTACGTCGCCCATCCTGAAGCCGCTCACGCACTACCTTGCCTGTCGAGGACCACAGGCTGTATACTCGATAGACGGTCCTTACGCTAAGCCCAAGGTAACGAGCGACCTTCTTTGGATGCAGGAACGCTAGCATGTAGACCAATTGTTCTTTGGTGGTTGTTGGGATGTATCTGTGATTTCCGAGGCGACGAGCCATAGCGGGGGATGCGAGCTGCCAGTGTACTGTATGGGCTGTACTAGTCGCGGTTGGCTCAGATCTGCCTACTACCACGAGATCTAGAACGTGATCGCGACGCGTCTCATTGTACCGCGCACAGTTACAACTGGGGCGAAAAAGGCTCGAGCGAGCACAGACGTGCGGAAGAGTGGTGCGATGGCGCGAGCGCCGCTTTCTCCAACTTCCCGAAGGGCGGGGCTCTTAGTCAGCATATGTCGCGCGCGTTTGGGACTGTCCAACGTTCTGAAAATAGCTGTAATACACTGGCCAATCCATGTCCCGAATTGGGTGACTTTAATGCAGTGATGACTTAATACACTTTTGATACACTGACTAAGCCACCTGACTCAGATCTCTTAATACACTTGTAAGACACCTGTAAGACACTCCTTAGCCATTGTCTAAGTTGCATGTTACACCATTAAAACAAATAGATACAGTCCTACTGCATACATATATGTGGTCCTGAGTCACTGGATTAAGTAAAATCAAGGGAGATTGGATTTAAAAAAACATCACAAGTGGGGTTTGAACCCCTGACATCAGCAAAGGTTACATAATCACACAATTAACTCGGACACCAGCATCACTAACCACTACACCATAAGTCTGTTAGAACCTAGGTAACACAATGTGATATGACACAATGCTGGAATGCTGGACTTGAACATATTTTGGATGCTGGCACAGGGTGCCCTGTATCAGTGGTGACTTAACCAGGTGCATTAGAGGTGACTTAACCAGGTGTATTAGAGGTGAATCAACATAGTATATGAGTGCTAGCCAGACAGGTGACTCAATAGTGACTTTAACCTTTGACCTGACAAATTTGACATCTAGCATCCATTGTTGGTTAAGTCACTATTGAGTCACCTGTCTGGCTAGCACTCATATACTATGTTGATTCACCTCTAATACACCTGGTTAAGTCACCTCTAATGCACCTGGTTAAGTCACCACTGATACAGGGCACCCTGTGCCAGCATCCAAAATATGTTCAAGTCCAGCATTCCAGCATTGTGTCATATCACATTGTGTTACCTAGGTTCTAACAGACTTATGGTGTAGTGGTTAGTGATGCTGGTGTCCGAGTTAATTGTGTGATTATGTAACCTTTGCTGATGTCAGGGGTTCAAACCCCACTTGTGATGTTTTTTTAAATCCAATCTCCCTTGATTTTACTTAATCCAGTGACTCAGGACCACATATATGTATGCAGTAGGACTGTATCTATTTGTTTTAATGGTGTAACATGCAACTTAGACAATGGCTAAGGAGTGTCTTACAGGTGTCTTACAAGTGTATTAAGAGATCTGAGTCAGGTGGCTTAGTCAGTGTATCAAAAGTGTATTAAGTCATCACTGCATTAAAGTCACCCAATTCGGGACATGGATTGGCCAGTGTATTAATACTGACTCAACATGGATACATTTTTGAATCAAGTTAATACAGAAAAAAATACATTAATGAATCAAAATAGAGTCACTTTAACTGACATCACTGGTTCGTGACATCTATCCGCAGTGCTACCATATAAGTACGCTGAGTCTACTTGCTGTGCAGATGCCGCCAACCAGCTGCATCAAGTCAAAGATGAAGATGTTGTGACAGACGTACCACCAACTCAGGTGATCAGTGACTTCATTAACACTGCTGTCCCTGACTTGGAGCGCGGGAAGCTTGATGAGCTCCCAATTACAACTGATCTGGAAGGGGTGCCGTTGCACGTCATGAAGGACGCATACGCTCAGTGAGTTTGGGTTTTTTCTGAGGACCAGCGAAGTTTACAGAATGATTCGTAGAATGGTTATGAATATCCACTGATGGGACACACGCCAGCGATGCCTCGATTGCGAGAATGATCTGACAAGTGAGGCTGCAAAGAAGAAAACAATGTTTCCGCCTAGCGAGTTGCGTATACACCAGTGAGTATTCCACCACCTGTGCATAGCTGAGAGGGCGCACTCACCAGAAGATGTCACGATAGGCGCAGTTACCATACAATTGAGGCGCAGATAAAGAGATTCTGGGAGCACGGAGAGACATGGAGCAAGGCACCAGGTCGGTGGCCATCAGGTGGCTGCCTCTTGTGTCGAGCTGAGGGGCAATCATATTGAAAGTAATCTGGTGGTTTCAGCATTCCACTGTTGCTGCAATTGACGATTCTGGTGACAATAGGTACACCCGGCATGCTCTTCATAAACATGTGCACACATCCAAAGCACATGCCAATGACGAACAGATTGCTTCGAACAAGGAGAAGGAGAACATGAGTGCTACAGTGTCTGAATCACAGAGCATGACTAACCGTGTTCCTGCAGAAACAAACCGCTGGTGCCATGCCTACCGAGGCAACCCTCCTCAAATATGTTCAGGCCAGCGACACTGTGCGAACGGCCCCCGACCCTATGTGGCGGCCCCTTCGTGACAACCTCCCCATCCCTGACCCTATGACACAGCACCTTCGTGGTAACCTTCCCGTTTTCAACAAAGAGAGCTATGTTGGTGCCCTTGCCTTGATCAGTCTGACCTATCCGATGTTGCAGGGGCGACCTCTCCCCGTTTTTGTCTAGGTACTGAGCAGTGGATAACACTACGGCTGCGGGTGGGGGACAGTGCAAGCAAGGGATGCAAGCGAGGGATGCGACCCGGAGTTGGGCGCGCCAACAGGGCACAGGTTGCATGCGGCAAAGTATCCTTGCACAAATGTTGATCCGATAGCATCATGGTGTACTACCATTATTATCGGAGACAATCGTATTCGTACGTGTACATGCATGTACAAGACTACCCATTGCGTGCACACAGAGACGCTGGGGAAGCATGGGGCTTGGGGCAGAAAGGGGTGCAGGAGCCATGGAAGGATTTGCGGCCGTCGTTCGAGAAGGGCTTCGGGAATGACTTCAGCTCATGGTTTGGGAAGACGTTCAGCGACTCGTCTTAGCCTGCGCGGTCTCCTCTGCCGTCACCCAAGCCTCAGCCGTCACCAAACCCGCAACCATCGCCTTCTCCAAAGCCCACCATCAATGCCAGCAGGGCTAAACCGTAGCACTTCTATACCCAAGGCGCAGGATGCATTCAAAGGACTCGGGTTGACTGGAGACCTTCAGCATGCGCAGTGATGCGGCAGGCAGACGGTCATGCCAATCGTTGTGCTACGCAAACTGCAGCTGCACGAACGACTCGGCAATGATAGAGCGGAAGTTTGGAGAACAGCACGAGAGCCCCAGATACTAGGTGCATGCGCACAAAAAAAGTCCCATTACTATTGGGGAAGTATTATAGTACATGAACAGCGTCCTGAGGATTGAGAGCACAAGTCCGAGTGGCTGGGAAACATACACATAACACGTATTTTTGGGCAGCTAAGACGAGGGCAGCTAAGACGAGAGCAGCTAGGACGAGAGCAATACTGGTGGCCACATAGCCTTGGAGCGTGACACTAGGCAGTGGAGACTAGACAAGAGCAAGGACACTTGGAGAGCAAAAAGGAGCAAAAAGGAGACTGGGAGAGCGAACAGACGAGAGTGGCGTGATGATAAGAGCATGAAGGTGAACTTAGTAGGCGGCATGCAGCCACTCAGCCGACATGGCCATTGGCCTTGCGAGAAGTAGATGGCCCGCTCTGGGCTTGATGCCCCAGCTGGGCGTTGCTGACGTAGGGCGCAAGTTGGGTCGAGTTCTGGTCTTCGCCAAACTGGAAGTCGAACCAGCCCGGGATTTATGGACCGATCGCGCCGAGAGTGTTTGGACCCATCTTGCCAAGGAGGGTGTCTGTGTCGGGCAAGGCTGATGCGGGGGCAGCAAACTCCAGAGCGGGTATCTCCTCGCCAACCTTTCGGGCAGTGCTGCTGCCAGCGTAATAGTCCTTGATAGCCTTTGCCTGGTTTGTGGCAGTTATGGCTGGCTCCATGCAGGCTTTTTGAAGTTCAGCAGCATGTTTGATACGCAGGTCGGCCAAGACTGCGGCCCGTTCAGAGTTGAAAGCATGGATTCAAAAGCGAAGGTCTTCGAAATTGAGCACCTGTAAAAGGTGAGCTAATCGTTGCGTCTGCGAGTGCACAGAGGGTCGTACCCTGTCCTGTAACTTCTTGGCCTGGGCTGGGGTGGCCCGGGTGGTGTTTCCGGCTGTGTTTCCCGGGCAGTGGCGCTTGCAGTAGTGGAAGCTGCACCGGTCTTTGCACATTGCAGACAGAGATCAGTAGGGGATGACCACCCAGGCAAATAGTACTCACAGTCTGGAAGTTCAACAGGGGAGTATCTTCGTCCGATGACTCCATGAGTTGCTCTGCAACATCATACTCATTGTCCGATGAGTGGGATGAAGAAACCTCGTAATCAGAGTCCTAGGCATTGTATGAGCATCATGGTGTGACAAGGCTAGGTATATGCACATATATGCGTGCATATATGCGCATACATACCGTGATTGCAATTGCCGAAGCCGTGTCTTGACCCTTTCCCTCATTTTCCACAGCTTTACCCTTTCCTTTATCTGCTGCCACAGAAGCTGCGGCTTTGCCCTTTGACTTGGTTTTTTTTGCTGGTGTCGACACAGTGCCTGCATTGGAGGCCTTGCGTTTTTGTGTGGTCTCCGTCGCGGTCTTTGTTGTGTTTGAGCCCTGTTTTTGGCCTGTCAGTCTGTAGAGAAGGGAAGAATGAGGCTCACTGACCTTGGCTTCAGAAGTAGACGCTTCGGAAGTAGACGCAGGTGTTCCCTTGATCACCTCCTTATTGGCGACACCCTTGCAAAATGGTTAGCATATAGTCTGAGAAATATACGACCAGCTCACCGGAGCGGGTGCAGGGATCTTGCCGAGGGACGGGCTGGCTGAGGTGAAGCTCCGTGCAGCCAAGGGGACAGTGCCCGGCTTTCCCATACACCGTGGGCAAACCAGGTTTTTCGGGCTCCGAAAATGCTAATAACATCGGTCCTCCATGGGAACCTTTTTGGAGAGCTTGACTGACTCCGAAAATGCTCCTACATTTCTCATGTTCGTAGCATGTTCGCCGAAAACACGCATGTTCGGCCTCCGAACATGCTGAAATCGGCTGAAACGCATCATGTTCGCAGCATGTTCTGACAATATTCGGAGTCCGTAAAGGTTCCCAGGCGGGACCGATGTTCGTAGGGGTTTTCGGAGTTCGAACAACCTGGTTTGCCCGCGGTGATAATGGCGGCGCTCTGTGCGAACTGCAGGGCAGTCACCGCAGTGAGAGAGGTCTGATTATGGGTCATGATGGGCGAGGATGAGGAGACGGGGACGAGGAGACAAAAGTCGAGGACATTGTGGTTAAAGGGAAAGAAGCGGGAGAACAGCATGGGCGCGTCGTGCGACGCATTTGGAGCCACAGACACGTGACCGTGACAGGAGGTGCACACGCATTTGTGTAACGTTTATTCACGGGGAATTATAGGCCTTCAGCTATGACATTTTGGCCATGCCTACCAAAGGTATGGCTTGGGTGTCTCTTGGGAAAGACACATACACGCAGCACCTTGGGATCAACAAGGAACAGTTGGACCTCGCTCGGCGTCAGTCGAGCTGGCATGCTTCACATGAACGCCCGTGCTCAAACATCGGGAAAAAGCTCCCCTGGAAATTACCTCGTAGACGTTGTGTGCTGTTGAGTTCGGCTCCCTCCGTACAGGGTAAGGAGGAAGGGTAGATTTTTAGTCAAAGATGGGTAGTGGTATTAGGTGTATGTGATGAGTGTATCGTCGAGAAGACAAGTCTATGCGAGAGCAAAATATAGAGAGTTCCTTCCGAGCCGTCTGCCCGAGTTGAGAGCCTCCGAGTCCGAGTCCTAGTCCGCGTCCGAGAGTGGGTCCTACGTGTCCCCTCCCGCTCCCTCCAACCCGCTACTTATCCTCCTTCAGCCGAGCTCACGTGCCCCTTCCTCCTTCCCTCCGGGTCTGCCCCCACTCTTCCCTCTCCCCCCGCTCACGCCTTCTTTCCCGTACCGATGGCGCAGCCCCCGAACCACACCACTTCGTCGCACTCCGCTCGCTACCTCCGTCTAATTGAGGTTCTCCGGTGCGAAGGAACGTTCGAGCCCCGGTTCGACGTGGAGCACGCCACTGCCTGGCTTGCCTGGGCTCATGGTGCTCGCTGGCTCGTGGTTCGTCACCTTCCGTCGTTCTCCTCGTCCCTCCTGACCCATCTGCCTTGCCCCAGTGGATGCTCTTCAAGTCCTACGCTCTAGCGACTGCTCACGGCGACGCCCGCATCCCCCTTCCGTCCGGTATCCCCGAGGTCTGCGAGCTTATCGAGCACCTGGACCGCGTGTTCCTCAACCTCCGCTCCGAGCAGAACGAGGCGCCGCTCCTATACGCGACCATCCCTTGGTCCCCGGACCAGCTTCAGAAGGAGCAAGCCGCCGCGGAAGAAGCCCGACCCCCTCCTCCTCCGTCATATGATGATCCTCCCCTCCGCCTCTCCTCCCTCCGCGGTTCGACCGACAACTGGGACCGCGTCCTTGCCGCGACGGACCGTTCCTTGGATGTCCTACGCCTCGAGCTTGGCCACCTCCACCGCGGCCTGGCTGAGGCCCGGATCGACCAGCTGTCCGTGATGCGCGAAGTAGTCTCCATCTCGGGCCATCTAGAGGACATATGTGACGCGCGAGACATCCCTCCCCCGTTGGAATTAATCCGTGACTGAACCCTTACGAGTAGCATCTTCCTCCGTCCGGTTTGTTCCCCCCGGTACCCGTATGTCCTGGCATGTAACAGCTTGCGGAGTTCAATAGATCTGACTTGTGCTGCGTTTGAATCACCTCGTAAGACGTCCCGTTCCAGTCCTGTTGCCGCGGCCCGATCCTTGTCTCCCAGCTAACGTCCCCGGCCTTCTCTGACTCTCCATCTTCCGGCGGTTCCGGCCTCAGCCCGTGGGCCCTGCCCACAATGTAGAGATTCTTTGTAAACCAAACAAACTCAGTAATATCGAGTCCTTTCACGTATATGTTCATCATTCTCCTTGCCCAAATACATCCCCAGGGAATTTCCGAGACATTTGCACTAATTTTCGAGCATACAGAGTAGTGGAGATTCATTTGAGTGGTCGTGCGCTTGCAGGGCTGATGCAGAGCATGTAGTTTGAGAGAAATATATTGGACCACGGTGTTAGGTACTACATAATGAGTCCTGCTATTGTACACATATCCGGGAGTACTACTATCTTGTCCGGCGACGCAGCCGACTCGCCATTGCGCAGAGCGCGTGGCTGCTTGACCTCAGGCCTCGAGCTGGTGACGGCTGAGCGGCTACCCATACCAAGCATGCGGCCGCACACAGCTCGGTGTCTTGTAAGTTGTTAGCCCGAGAGGTACAGTGAGTAGTCGGAGGCTAGAGGAAGACACAATTGTCGGACACATAAAGCCGTGGGAGGGGCATGCAACGAGAATTGACAAAGGCGGGGGTGCTTGCGTGATGCTGAGATCGACGGACGTGGGCGCGTCGACCAAAAGCGGGCGTGTGTTGGACAAGAGAAGAGGGTACAGCACCGTTGCCGGCATAGGGCTGTGACATGGGAGGGTTTCCGTGATGAACAAGGAGTGGTGTGGCTAGCCTGAGGCAAGGCTACAAAAGAATACTACAGGAGCACAAAGAGCACTGTAGTAAAGGAGGACTTACAACAGATCTCTTAAGAGCTGAGAGGGAAGACTCAGAGGCGTTAAGACGAGAGGAGAGACCGTTCCATTCTAGGGCGTATCCAGCCCGGTATATATACACATGAGAGAGCCATCACATGATCGTACAGTAAGTGTAACAGCGTAGAGTCATAACGGAGCGATATGGTGCAATGAGCGAATACACAAGGATGAGGCGATATTGCACCATGAATGGAATGTCATGGAAAGGACTGGAACAGTGATGTGCTCAATGATGCAATACGATGCAATCAAGGAATGTGCTGGAACATGATGGAAAGCGGTGGAATGTTCCATCAGGGTCTAGATCTAATCATGTGCTACAGGTCTGGATCAAATCCGAAAAGAATGTACGTAATATGTAGCATAGTAGAACATAAGTCCATAACGGGTAAGGATAAGTCCTATCCCGTGTGATAACACCTAAAACAGTTGAAGTTCAACATTCCAGTGTGTCACGGCGAGCCCAGAAGTCAATTGCCACCACCAATATACTGACGCCAGCCGGGATCTCGGCCACCTAAGCAGTCGATGTGTCCTACTGAGCCTATGTGTGCATTGAGTGCCCGGGTGAGTGTCTATAACTTTGATAGAGCATCCTAGGTATACGGTAAAAATATTCAAAGAATTTGTGGGTCATTGAGATGGCAATGGGAGGGGATTTCATGACAAGAGTACTGGCGGCTGAGTTAACTATGAAGTCGGCCACGTAGTTGCACATGAGCCTATACGAGGCTGTTGAGTGTCTATATGGGCAGTGTCTATATGGGCATCAAAATTTTTTGTGACGCTCACAGACATTATCACAATACTTCAACAGCCACTGGGCCTGAGCTGTGAGCACAGTGACTGGATGCAGTCAAGGTGTACAGGATATGCAGCCGGGAATTTCCAAATATGGGCATCACCACACAGATTGATTTTTCCTGCTTGCACTTCTCGGTATATGGACTTCATATATGGTACATGGATAGACAGGATGATTAGTTAGACCCTAGTAATCATTCCGTGACTACAGAATATGTTTCAGTAGACAAAGAGGACAGTGACCGACTACCGAGGGTGGCCGGGATCCTGGCCGGCGTCAATATTGGCTTTGCAGGGAAAATGTACCAACGGCCCAATGGTCTAGTCGTATGATTCGTGCTTCGGGTCACGTGAAGTTCAATTCGCGAGAAATTGCAGATGCACGAGGCCCCGGGTTCAATTCCCGGTTGGGCCCATTTCTTTTGTGTTGCACTCCCAACCTACGAAACTGCAGAGGCCTCATTTTTGCGCGTTCGTACGAGACAGACGGTCGGTAAATCGGAAACTACGCCCCTACGGAAATAGCCGCCCGCTGCGCCGCGTACTTGCCCAATATGGCAAGTGCACTTTTGCCCGCTGTTTCGTAGCAAAGCTTGCCATCTGTGCACTTTTTTTGACATAGAGAAACTAGAAATGACCTGAAAAGTGCCTCACATCATGAATCAGATTAGCATAGGAGCGGGGAGTCCGGGAGCAGTCCAGGGTGGTTGAAAATCTCAGAGGGCTTCAAACAGGCGCCTGTCGGGCGCCTGTGCTCGGGCAGGCAAGTACTGTAGTCACTGTACCATGGGAGAGGGCCCGCTAAGCTCTATCACCAACACAGACAAATCAGAGTGTAGGTCACGTCTTTGCACTGAGCCAGATTCGGGTTCGCCGGGCCTCTGACGGGCAAGCGATTGATTACGCGTACAGTCGCTTTGCTACTGCGGTACGCAACGCATTATAGCGCGAGCAAGCGTTACAATGGAACTGAACATGCATATGCAGCTTCGGGTCTCGCACACAGCGGGCAAGTGCGTTGGTATACCCTCTGGCGTGATTTGATGCGCGAATCATGCAACGTCGAACGTCGCAGCATTGACAGCACCATGATGTATAGACAAGGCTAGATCTAAATGCAAAATCCGAGTAACAAACATAAAATGGCAACAGCACAGAACGAAACACACACGCGGAGACAATAGAATAGCTAGTCCATGACCCATTCCCGCAGTATCTCGCAGCCGCCGATGTCGGGGTGGAGAAGTATCGACGAGAGCCAGTGCTGTAAAAGTCGTCTCCTCTGGTCGAGAAAGGATGGGCGAAACTTGGAAAGAGGTGATTTCGGCGGCAGAGGCGCGATGAAACGCTGATGGCTTTGCTACGCAATGGTAAGGAGATGCTACGAATACAGAGCCACAGCATACGCACCGGAAGCTTTGCACGAAGTCGTGCATACAACTCTGCGAAGGCGCTGTATCGCTTGTGTACATGGATGACAGTTCCCTGCGAGGGGTTCGTCGGGCTGACATTTCGAATTGCGCAGGTAGATTACATACCTCCTTTGTTTTAATCGCACAGTCGTACACTTTGCCACATCCCAGTCAGTACCTGCTGGATATTTACAGTCTACTGCGGAGACTCACCTATGTACGCGCCGCCTCGCTTGTCCCCGACGCTGATCCATCCGACGACCTCCACCTCTCGCGCGAACACCTGGCTTTCGCCGGAGTGATCACCTAACCAGATGTCCTTCGAGTATACCGAAGGCGCGTCTATTGACGGACGGGCTTTCGCTCTGAAGTCAAATTCGACCGGGGTCTGCAGATTGTGCGTCCCATTCAGCTTGTGCACCAAACGAACAGAGCGGCGGCTCACATCACACAGTTCCTCATACAAGCGCGCCTCCTCTTCTACATCGATCTTGTCGGGAAGGATCTCGAGGAGGCCCTGTGCGTGTTCGAACGGACGCGGTGTGGTGGGGGAGGGCATTCCGTCCAAGGAAGTAGGGCTTCTTGGAGCCATTTCGAGCGAGAGACAGAATGATTAAAGGACTTGAAGCTATTCAGTACATGTGCCGCAGAGCAAAGGAACGGGGCAAAGGAGTGTGAGGGAGGTCGGACGCTGCCCGCTACGCAGCTGTGGTGCGTACTGTGCGAACCCGACCCGTCTTGGCGCAAAGCCCGGTAACACCGAGCGTCTAACGTCTCTAACTCTCCTTCCCGAAGGTCGACCGGGGTCGCCACATTCCACTCACAAACTCGCGGACCTCGAGCCTATCACTATAGAAGACGTGGGCAAGGTGTGCTGAATGACAGACAGCGGTATGGGTAGCTGACAATCTCTGGGTTTCAAGCGTGGATGCAGCGTGGATGTCATGCGGCCTATAATTCAACTCTCCAGGCTGAGGCAAGGCGTGCGGAGGCTCTCGACCTCGCCATCTACTGGCGTGCTATCGACCACGCACAAAGGTGTCGCCTTCGAGAAACGCTCTCTTGCTCTCCTTGAGGAACACCTCAGCATGTCGCTTCGGCGTATAGGCGGCAAGGACGACGGCGGGATTGACCTGCTCGGCTGGTGGTGGCTTCCTGCACTTTCTCCTCGTCAAGGGGGCGTGACGGAGTCTGCTTCGAGCCTGTCTCAGCAGCTGAACAAGGTGGCATCCGCCGAGCGGCGGCGTATCCGCGTCATCGCTCAATGCAAGGACGAACAGAAGAAGGTCGGCCCGAAGTATGTTCGCGAGCTTGAAGGAGTGTTGTATCGGTACGTGGCAGGCGTTCACGCGGCCGGGAACGATGCCTCGCCAACGGAGCGACCGGACGCGAAAGGCGAAGACGACTGCTCGCAAGAAGCGCTTGATGCAGTGGTCGGCTTGTTGATCTCCTCTGCTCCCTTCACGAAAGCCACGATGCTCCGAGCAAACTCTTCGACCATGCCCCTCATGCTGCTGCACGTCCCTCCTGCTTCCTCAAGTGCGGATACTGTGCAGAGCGTCACTGGGCCCGACCCGGCATTGCAGGATGGAGAGCAGCAACTGGCCGACCCGTCTGAGCACCTCCGTGGCTATGGTACCCTAGGATCTCTTGTCTTCAACGCAGCTCTAGCTAGCGGGCTCCTTCGTAATCAGCTTCAGCCCCGCTGGGAACACCCACTGGGCAGTGATCTGGGTGGGCGTCCAGGGCTATGGTTCAACGGACAGCGTGTGCGCAGCTGGACGCCCGAACGCAACCTCAACTAAGCGATGCGCTGTCGCTCGGGAGTATATTGTGTAGCTTGTATAGCCCTTCTGCCTTCTGGGATGCGCATAAGAGCTGAGTGTCAAGATGGATGGATGACCGTGGGGGATAGCCGTTGTTGCTCCCATGCGATTGAGCGTTCTCCAGCGAGACGTTGTACCCAATGTGAGCATCTACCCTTTCTATATGCGGGGCCCTAATCTTATGATCAGCTCCAGCTTACCGATGTATATGTCTCGCTATGGACTTCGGGTTCATCCAGTCGATGACCCTCCCGCGGCCGGAGAGCTGTTCTTAAGGCATTGCCAACAACCAGAACGATGCACTGTATGCGCAGATTTTGCACGTATTGGCTGCCTGCATCCTCGCGTCTACCAATACGGACGTTAGCACAGCATAGAACTGGCTGTTCGTCGCCAATTGAAAGTCAGAAGCGCACAGGTACCTATCCATAGCTGGGACTCCCGGGTCTGTGATTGTATGCAATGGACATGCCGCCTTCATTTCCGGATGCGCGCCGCGCGAAGCAAGCTTAACTCGCAGAAGAGGTGCAGCCTTATTCCGGGTCCACCTGCCTCGTTGGTGCCTCGTGGCTCATATATACCGGCCGTACAAAGACATTGTCTTGCGCGCACTATCACTTCCCATTCCCTTTCACCATTCCCTTTCATCACCATGTCTATCCCGGACTACTTCCAAGTACCAGACCTCAACAGCATCCAGGTCGACCAGTCGTGGATGGGCATGGACTCGCCATATCCCCCTACGCCCTACCGCCGCTCGCGCAAGAGCCATGCCAGCAACCCGAGTTGGATTTCAAACTCGATCATGCAGCCAAGCGCGCACCCCTGGCCGGGCAACTCTTCGAGGCCACTCCCCCAGCCCACGCATTCCAGAGGGTTGTCTGCCAGTTCGCAGTGGCAGTCTGAACGCCTGAACGACTACGCGTCGGAGTCGGCTGCACCTGAGAGGGACGAGACGGGCGGTGACCTGGAGGCGCAGCTGGGCGAGGACGAGGCCATGGGCCAGGCTATGGACGGAGGCGAGGGCGAGGGTGAAGGCGAGGTTGAAGGCGAGGACGAGGAGTGGGGCACGCCGGAAAGCACGGACCACATAACTGTTCCGGAGGGTGCTATACCCGCAGCAGACCATTCTCCTCAGAGAGGGAGGGCCAGAGCCTTTGTCGGCGGGTTTGTCACCGGGCTGAGGAACCTACCTCGACTCATGGTGAAGACCGAGCGCAGGGCGCTCAGGAAAGGGGCCCCGGAGCTGTACGCAGCCCAGGATCCAGAGGCACTACCTGCGTATGATGACCCCAGCCAGCCCGTGCCTGGCCCGTCTAATGTGCACTACGTTCAAGCAATGGAGATGCCGAGCGAGCATGTGGCGTCCTCGCAGATGTCCTATGCTGTCGGCGACAGCCAGGACCGACCAGTACAAATTCTCCCTGAATATCGCAACGAGGAACCACCCCCGCAGAACTCGGCTACGCGTCCTCCCCTTGGTCTTTCGTCGCCAGCTGTCGGCACGCCCGTGCTCGTTGAGCCCCGCCCGACGAGGGACTACGCGAAGATGGAGTCACCGATACGCACCGCACCCCCAGACGACTCGTTCAGCGCGCACATCACGCGCATCCACAACTTCATCGTCGAGTTAAAGAACCTCCCGTGGGTCTCGTCGCGCGTCACCGTCGACTACTTCCCGGAGAAGTCAGGGCGTGCCCGCGACCCTAAGATCAAACCCGGATCATGGTACTCGACCCCCCAACACCACGAAATCGACCTGTTGGCCACCCCCGCCGCGGCCAAGGCCGAGGTGCCTCGCAGCGACGATGGTCAAGCAGTTGTGCGTCCTGTGCGTACGGCGACCATGACCTCCTGCAGCAGCAGTCCTGTCCCTTCTGCGTTTAGGCAATACGCTGCCAGCTTGGCTAGCCAGGGCCTTTCGTCTCCTGTCACTTCGCTGCGGAGCCACAGACGGCGATCATCATATCGTAGCTATCATCACCGCAGCTCCCACTCTGGGTATCAATTGCCACATATGTCCCAACTCGGTAACATACAGCTTGCGCAGAATGGCTTAGGTGTCACCGTGGATGCGCAAGGCAACCAAATGATCATGGTCCCTGTCGCGTCGATCCCGTCTATGCCGTCTATGCCATCGCCACCGCCTGCGTCCCATTCTCCTTCACATCCGCCGACTCATGTGTTTTACCCCAGTATGTCTTCTCCGTCCAATCCGGGGGATTACAGCAAACTGTCTGTGCAGAACCAAACCTAGCCTACTATTAATCGTCTGCGAGTGGAATTCTTAGTGCGTCCGTCGATGCCGTATTATTTCTTGTGCACGTTCATCGGACCAGTTTACGAACATTGACTTGTTTGTATCGTATCGTTATTCAACTCGTATGCAAGGACCAACATGCACTGCAGTTCGACGCGTGTGAGCCATGTTTCAATGTTGCCCAGTTGTCCGCCGCCAGTTCTAGAGCAGTCTCCAGTCATACGGTGTTTCATGCTGCCGGGCATAACTCAGTCAGGACTACAACATGGCTGACGCGAGCGTGTGGTCTGATCTTGCAGCCGCTCCCATCTCGTCTTTATTGACGTCTCCTTCTTTGACAGTACTTCAAGCTCTGCAAGATGGACGCGTTGACAGCCCGGGCCGCAAATCTGGCAGACGAGCTCATCAGATCCGACTTTTGGTTCAACGATGGGAACATCATCCTCGTAGTACGCGGCATCGCATTCAAGGTTCACCGTGGTCAGCTGGAACGTCATTCTGAGATCTTTCGTGATCTCTTCTCGATGCCTCAACCACCGGATCAGGTGCTCCTCGATGGCTGCCAGTGGCTGGAACTCTACGATTCGCCTTCCGACGTCCTGCACTTGCTATCTGCACTTTACGACGGACTGTGAGCCAATCATCAGGGTATATGTAACTCTTCTTATGTTTGATTCTAGATACATCACCAAGCCTTGCGCTATCAAGTTCGATGTCATCTCAGGTGTCCTGCGGCTGTCGAACAAGTATCTCATTGACCACCTCCGCATTCGCTGTCTTCAATGGCTTCGTGCCGACTGGCCCTCCTCCCTGGAAGGCTGGGACCGTAGGGAACTACAGGCGACCGACGACAACAAACGCTACGCCCCGCGCGAGTCGTATCCGCACCCTATCCGCATTATCAATCTGGCACGCGAGCTCGCTCTCGATGATCTGCTACCATCCGCTTTGTATGACCTCTCTCGCTACGGTCCGCGCAAGATCGCTGCTGGGACTACGACAGTCCCCTGTCCTGCGCCCACGAGTGCTTCTGTGGCATCCAACGCACTGGACGAGCGGATCTGCCTCTCGCCGCAGGAATTATACACGGCATTGCTCGGACGCGAATGCGGCCAGCGTTACATTGCGAGTTTCATCGAAAAGGAACTCAGCGGTCGGCCGGTGTCCCCCACGTGCATCAACAGACATCGCGACAACGGACGCCCCTGCCGCGAATCGTTCTACTTCATCATGCTCAATATCCTGCGCTCCGTAGGAGGCATATCCGCAGGGCGTGACGCCGATCCGCTTTTCACGCTCGTGCAGGCGATAGAGATGCTCAGCCGCAAGGACTTCACGGACGGGGAGAAGCAGTGCGGCTTGCAGATTTGCGAAGCGTGCAAAATCGACTTTGCACAGTCTGCTGCGAAGGCGAGACAGGACGTCTGGGCCCAGTTGCCTTCCTGGTTTGGTTTTGGGACTCATGCCACGGCGCCCATCGTATCAAAAACCTGCTAGTCGTTCTCGCCTTGTCCCTGCCATGTAAAGATCGATGTGGCTAGGTTGTTTTGATTTGATTGAATAGGCCAACCGTGTTCAAAGGTCTGATGCTGCACTGCTTATGCGTCGCTGCCGACTATGTAGTTCACCACTGAAATAAAAATGGTCGCAGATGTGAGCTATCGTGTAGAGCCAGAGACGCGCCGCGCTTGGTATGTCATCCTGGATATTGTCATAATCGTCGTCTGAGACGCCAGTACATACGTACTAAACGGATGTGCGAGCGTTACGTTCATTCATCTGGCCTCTTCAGTCGAGTTCTTCGTTGCCGACTGGAGTCTTCAAGTATGACATGGGCGTAGCATGCTCCTAAACGTTAAAGCATCCGGTCAGTATCTCAGGTCTTGTTATCATTTAACTTGAGCGGCTTCCATCGATGTTCGTTGCAGACTAAGTGACGGGGCTGAACTCGGTTCCTGAGGCGCACCTGACACAAACTATTGACAGAATATACGTCAAGCTGGAAATGGAACGGCGACGTGAACGGTCCTGGTACGCCTTTTGCCGTCAATTCGGGATTTTCGACACATCATCATCAGTGGCGATCATGCAAATTTGTCGTCATTATAGCCATGCGTCGCCAGGTCCGGATACACACAAGCTAGGACTCTAGACGAGCTGACACACATCACAGAGTGCACGAGGACTGGAGTGAATATAGCGCTACATGTACCGTTGGTACCCATGAATGATTCAATGGGCTTCGGCACTCGAGCGACCGGACCACGTCCATGACGCCGAGACAGTTGATTCCTACATCGGGTTGCCCGTCTCGGTGGCTGCAGTGATATCGTTCTTGACAAGGATGCCGTGAGATGTCAGCTAGCCTTTCGGCACGCAGCAGGAAGCTCTCTGCACCCGCTGGATTGGGTAGTATTCCATCTAGGTTCAAAGCCATACATATGATGACTTGGATCGAACCGAACACGCCATCGCCACTCCTGTTTGGCCACGACGAGCCTGTGTTCAAAGTTACTGGTAAGTAGTTCCCATCTGTTGCGCATATGCTGCCGTATGCAGCGAAGTAGGAGGGAGCAACCAGAGCCACGAGTCTTCCACGCGCTCGAACGACCACTGTGTCATATCCGCTTGAATTGCATGCCAACTCAAAGTTCGGAATGAACGACAGCCTGCATACCGGCGCACTAAGACCATGCAGGGCAATTGATAATGGCTACTCCAGAGGGTTCCGAAGGATATTCGGGGGCAGCTTTACTGAAGTAACATTCCGGTTGCCATACTTGCCGTGCACATAAATCTGGAAGCGACCGGGATAGACGCGAACACGGGCGCCTGGGGACGACGGAGTAGATCGAGACGTCCTCCAGCCCACTCCAGCTTGGCTCCAGCCCAATTCCAGCCTGAGGTTTGCTCATGGTCTGACGCGCGCGAATTGCTCGTCCGTGGGGAGCGGTCTCGACTACCGAGATGGGTATAAATTGGCCGCTGGCCGGAATGAGACCGAGGCCCCGGATGGATACAGTGCCGCGTACCACGACGGGACTTGGTGTCCACGCGATGTGAGAGTACCGAAGGGCAAAGCGAGGGGCGGTATATAGCGTATCATAGATTAAAGGCGCCCTGTTTCATCTCTGTCACGTAGAGTTTGGTTGAATGTTGCGAGAAGATCGCTGTTTGTTGGCCGTGGCAATGACAGGGCCGGGATTTGACGAATGTGTCAAGACGCCGATGGGATGGTATGCGGCATTGAGATGTTCTCCGACTGCGCGGCACATACAGCGCGGATCAGCAGGCGACACGCTCCGAAGGTGAAGGTGCATCGGCGAGATGCGTAATTGAGGTTCATGGTCGAAGACAACGAGAATTGGGGGGAAGTCGCGGGGGCAGACGCACCATTGCAGGTCCCGAGTTCATCTACAGAGCGCTGTGCGTTACAGCTCCTGCCCGGTACCGACACGCACGCTAGGTGGGAGGGCCTGTGGATATTAGATGAGTCGCAGCATACCAGGGTGGTGGATAGGGTTGGGCGATTGCGTACCCATGACTGTGCGCAGGAAGGCTTGACTGCAGACGATAAGGGCTACGGAGAAACTGGAGAATTCAGCTGGAGAGCGGCTTTGATAGAACTGGCACAAGATGCGGGAAGGGTGGGGCGCGTAGGCTGGTCTTGCCGCTGGCGAGTCGGCGTCGGGAGAGAAACTTGGAGAGGGAGGAGGGAGGAGGAGGAGGAGAGGTTTGTACTTGAGACAGGGCGCCAGCCCGTGTCACACACGCTTGGGGAGCCTGCAGATGCACCGCGGTTTAACTCCGTACCAGCCACATCGTCCTCCTCCCACCTCCTCCCACCGTGCCCTACCCAGCCTACCTACGGGCCAGACAGTACCATGGTCCCACTCGAAATGACGGACCAGAGGCCCCTCACCTGTGTACGACCGCTTCCCGTTGCTCGACGACGATTCAGATGCGCGGCACTAGGGAGAGGCGCTCGAGTAGTCCGTCAACGAGGCCTAGATGCCGGTCGTTGGACGCCATTGGGCTGTAGAGCACCGACGAGTAGGCTCTCAACAAACAGCGAAACGGGTGCATATTGTCGTCGTCGTTGCGGCGGGGCTTTTGCATGCATTGCGGGCGCCCGATCCTCCATCGGATTCGGCACTGTTGGCAGCTCGCCCGGGGGACTTTGCAGATACTCGACCATTATCCTGGACGAAGATAGCATGACTACATCGTGAGTGATATGTTCGCTAGCGTGGCTTTGCAACCGCAGACCACATATGTCAGGCTTCCCCGCGACTCTGGGCCATGGGTGTCCTGTGCAACCCGCACGCCTAGGTTAACCCAGCACCGCCGGATCCGAGCCTGTGCATGTTCAAACAACTCCATGTTGCGATCCCGACGGGGGCCAACGAGTGCACGGACCAGGAAGCTGGACGTCCTCGCAGCATAAGGTCGAGCGATTCCGATGAAGCAGGACGATGCCAGGAGGCGAACGACCACGACCACGGCGCGACCATTGCCTCGCACAGGGTATACTGTACTTACCCACGAGTCGCTCGCCTCGACTGACGGCACAGAAATTCACCACAACAATGCTGCATTGGGGCATCCTATAGCCGCTGGTGGTGTCGGAGGCCCCGGATCCATCTGGCCCCATTGCACCGGTTTCTCGGGTCATCATGATGTCCGTCGGCACTGCATTGTTTCACGGTGCGCATCCAAATATTCGTCGGGATATGACCTGACACTGTTGGTCATAGGTTCCCGCGACGATTTTGACGAACATTTGGGACGAACGTTCCCCAATGATGTGACTCACCGGGTGGGTGGATTAACGGCGTGAAGCCACACTGACCTACAGGCATCCGTTAGCTTCCTCACTCAGCTCGTCCTCTACCCGCTCACCATCCGCCTGCGGTTGACTACAAACCTTGCCAGCCAGAAGATCCAGGACTACGTATGCCTCACACGCCACCTCGCCGCTCGGAGCAGCGGGATCGTCAGTCAGTTGATTGCTCCGGAGCATCGCTTACATGCAACCTCGGATACGCCCCCACTGGCATGCCCCAGGTCGTCTTCGTGTGCGCCGACACCAAAGGTGCGACGTCTAGCAACGACCATGGTCGCGAGCAGCGTAGAATCGGAACACCTGTTGGTTGTGGGTTGTGGCTTCGCATCGCCGCTTCGACCTCCAGGCGTCCCGCCATGCTCTTCTCGGCGTCAGCTGGGCTGAACGCTCGCTCACCGCGAAGGCTGGCGCATCGGCATCCTACCCCGCAAGCTGCTTGTCGCTCCTCGCTGCGCACGCAAGATGTTCGACGGGACCGGGGATGGGCTGCAGGCCTGGCACTCGGAGCGTGAACACCAATCGCGGCGATGCCAGCGCCCAGCCGTGGAACGGGAGTTTGGCTGCACGCCGTTGCAGATTCTCATCGGACAACCGTCGGTTCGCTCGGTCGTCCCGCTGGCACATCTGGTCTTCATTCCTCTACTTTTCGAAGCTCCTGCTCACCCGCAGTCCGCTGTTCCTTGTTACAAAACACATACATCTCTTCTGCCGCAACATTGACGCAGGACTGGCTGCGAAGAGGATTTGTTTGCTGCTGCGCCTTGCAACGACCTCATCGCGGAGTCTTTTATGCTCCGGTGCGAGCCCTAGCCCTGCGAGTTTCGAACATTCCTGATCACCGGTGATGGCTTACGGGCCTTGTGCCAACCAGAAATGACATGGACAACGTGCAATCATTGGGACACCCTGGAACGGACGGTTTGGCGCGGGGGACTACCGTATGATGGATGAGGGGGTCTCGTATGTATACAGGGGTGCCGTTCTGTGCTTCGGAGTAGAAGTGGCCTTTGGTACGTCGGAATTAGTACATCATTTCGATCAATCGATGTACCAGAGCCAGCTCAGCGTACTGTGACAGACTTGTAGCGGTAGTCCAAGCCATTGCATTCGGTTTACATTACATTTCGTCGGACGGTGCGGAGCCATGTCCTCTGTAGTACATCGAACTCCATCACGTTGCGTATCCAATGCATCGGACCCATTTTAAAACAGAATTGGAGTACGCTTCTGTGCAGTGATGTCCAGCCTACCAGCGGGACGTGCCACTGACGATCATTTGAGGATAATAGACAGTACCGCGATTTAGTCATAACCAAAATATACATGATAATCCTTCACTGCTGCAACAACGTGGAGCGAACTCTCACGCCCGTTCCATTGACGCGAGCGTTGGATCAGAACGGTTGTGGCACAAGCTAGCCTGTTCGCAGTCACCCTACCATACCCGGGGTCGTCGAAGCTCTGAGGCTTACAACCTTCTGCGTTTGTGCGTGGCCCACCTAACTTCTATGGCTATCTGTGTTTCATCTGATACCGCCACACTTGGCCCATCCCGGAGCCCCGGTCACGGAAGAAGGCCATTCGAGTCCATGCAGAGGGTTGACTGAGAACGACCGCTCCAATTGCTCAATGCGTGGCACGGCTTTGGAAGTGGTAGGTAAGCAAAGCTATCGGTATCCACGGCACTCGACAGCCGTAACGTCACATCATGTTTTGCTTCAGCTACAGGCTACAATCGGATTGACACACTCTCTGTGAGTTTCAAGTTGCTGCGGCGTGAATATTGCGAGGACGGCGACTTGAAGATAGTCTACCGGTACGCTGGCTATGTTGACGCGTGTTTCTGTTACAGGATATGGTAGGTGGTCCGAGTCGGTGTTGCCCAGGCCTATGCAACACCTCCGGGACTCAGTGGTAGGCATCCAGCGGCTACGGACACGATTCCAGCGCCAGCACGAATGCGTGGGCTCGGTGCAAGACGATCAATAGAGTGAAGGTGAAGGGCTATCGAAGCTCCGCCGCGGTAGGACGAGCGGGTCTGATCGCACAAAGTCTGTCCCGGGGCCGTGGCTGGTCTTGAATAGGCAGTATTTACCTGCATGCAGTATTCTGGACCTCCCCCCATGATCGTGGTAAACTGCTGCAATCTATAAGATAGCCTCTAGGACGACTCGAGGAACTGCGTGGTCCCGCACAGACCCTCCCGTCCCCCCGGCGCAGAGCCAATCCCGCGAATCTCGAGATGTGTTATTACCTCATCACTTACCTGCGCCATGGTTGCGGACACGACCGTCCGACAAGGAGACATTATGTGAGCGTTCAAGCTTTCCCCCCGATCGAGCCTCGCCGCTGAACTGGAATTAAGATCGATTGCAACTTGATAATTTGCAGGCTCAGCGCGAGGCACAAGCTTGCAGACCACGACTGCGACAACACCTGCACAGAGACGTACGGTGTTCAAACTCGTGCAGAGGTCCCGGTGCTCATATTCACTCTCTGGCCCGTGAAGCATGCTCCCCGATCAGCACATCGTCATGGAAAGTACGATAGACCATTGCGACCCATGCCTCGGGATTTACCCTCCCACCGATCCGAGAATCAACCTTCCGCCGCTGCCCGAGATGGATGCCGAGGACGAGACGCAGTAGCAATTGCAAGACGATAGGGTGCACGTTTAGCTGTCGCAGATGAGTGGTGAGACTCTCATGTCTGCTGGCTCCCTAAGCTATCAAGTGATTGTAACGGATGAGCGCTGGGCCGCTGGCGCAAGGATGTACAGGTTGCCTATGAGAATCTGTCTGCTCGGAATATCTATTCGTCGATCCCTAACCATGTAACAACTCGTGATAGCTACCGTAGCGAATTCCATTGGTTTGTTCCACTCATATGCCAAGGTAAAATTGTAGGTTCGACCGGGAGTAACGAAGAGACTGTCTCCACTGCATCACGCTCCGAATGTGTGCAAATTTTATACAGTAAATAACGATAGACCGCCCTGCGACGCGCGCGCACACGGCTCAAATGGGTCAAGGTGGCGCAGTTGGTGCTGCCAGGCTCCACAGTGAGCACCCTCGGACGAGCCGAGCGTCCAGTAGTGGTGACTCCGTCTGACTGGCCGTCTACTCTTGCCCTGCCCGATTCGGCCGTCGCAAGGAGGAGTGCGCCACCAGAACCCAGTGCGGTCTATCATTATTAAGGTTGCTGACAACTTTAGGCCGACAGCGTACGCGTTATCCGGAGTCAGTCTGGGCCATATATATGCCTCTATCGGTTCATGTTTGGGAACGGCGAAGGAATCTGTCAGTCGGCCAGCCCCGTTTGAATTCAATCTCTGTGGAAAGCCGTCCGACGAATGCCATTTTCGGAACAGTAAGCAATCGATGGGTCACGCTGCGAGTGGATACGGTCACTTTGAGGGAGCGTTCGAGTTACATACTATGGACAGACGTGCAGAGGCGGTAAAAGTCCCAGGAGCTCCAGACATGAACCTTACAGGTACAATGGCCAATCTCACGATTCGGATTCGCCTCAGGCTCGAACGTTCCTTCGTGCCTCAAGTTTCCTGGCCCGACGTGACAGTCGTCAATATGCCAGTTTCATCTACACCCAAGATGTAACGTACCCATGCAAACGCTGATATCGGAGGCAAAATGCAGGAGGTATCTCCCATTAGATCCGTCATGGTTGACCTCTGCCCAGCCCTAGGTTATACCGTAGTCAGTCATAGCATTATGATATATTCAGAGTAGGAACACGGAGTGGCAATTATGGGACTTAACTCACCTGAGGCAATGAGATCACAGGTTCCTATATATGGGATACTCAAGGAGGAATTGAATGCAGAATGATGAGAGTACCGTCCGTCTGTTGCAGCGATATACAGTAAGTGCTGCAAGTCCGTGTGATATGACTGGAAATCGTCTCGTAATTATGACAAGCGCCCGGTACCGTGTTGTTTGGTACTATTTGTCACCTTGGACAAATGACGCGCCTGCGGCATATGCTACAGGCGACATTTGTCCTTCAAAGTCCTCAGTGATCTGTTCCTATTCGCCTTTTTGCGCAAGACTTGGGTATGGTGCTGTGGCTCCTTCGTCAACACGCTAGGTGCGACTGAGGTCGCCCGTGCTACACGCTCCCCGCACTGTCACGGCCGCCGCTACAGGTGCCATGTTGCTCTCTACTTCTGCTACGGCCTCTACTCGCCCGACCCCAAGACAAACAACCTCAACTTCTTCCGTTTCAGCTCAGGAAGCCTATGCAGACTCTCGCACACATGGATATCAAGGACCAACTCGTCATGTCAGGCTCCCCCGAGCAACAGCTGGTGGGAGCGCCGCGATCGCTAAGAGTGAAGACAAGGACCGTTGTGTGATTGCTGGTCGAGAGTGTGCGTTGTCTATGCATGGTCGCGTATCGTGCAATGTATCGACCATTCATGCCCAGCTTTGCGGATCCTGCGCATCAGCCCACCTGAATCTGCAGAGGCCGGGGGCACCGCTGAACACAGGTTTGCTGCGGGTAAGGGCGGATTCCGAGTAGAGGCATCGAGGAACTTCTGGGACGGCAGTGGTCTCCATATCGATAGCGCAAACACCGATGTTGTGTGGGCTCATGGTAGTAAGTAGTATTACGTTCTCACGTTTCCGCGTGGGGCTCACCTGAAGTAAGTCTACAGCAACAAGATACTCACCAGCGCTCGGAATGGCGAACTCATTATGTGGGACTTACACAAGTCCGGCCCGTCTAAGTATGGTGAGTGTGACTATCGATGGGCCCATCCTGTTGGGTATCCGGATACATGCTGTTTCAACCCGCTTACGGCTGTGATACCTCGTACAGAACGGAGGACCCGCGATCACTCTCGTTCGATACATGCATTGTCGTATTCCTCCATTCTTGAGAAGTATTGTGTGACCGGATCCGCTGATGGCGATCTCCGAGTGTGGGTATGTTGTTTGCTGCAATCGCAAGTGTATAGCCTAACATGTACGTAAAAATAGGACCTCCGAGATTTATCGAAGTCTATTATGTGGATCCGCCATCCGGGTCCTGTACGTGCCGTCGTATTCTCGCCGATACAGGGGCACCCGCTGCAGGCCATATCCGCGTTGGATAATGGCGGTATATACAGGTAAAGAACAACACCCTTGGCACGAACGAATATTCATGTAGAATCGCAGATGGGATCTAAGCATGGGCCAGCGCGGCCAGCTAGACCGAATACTAGCTGCACACAGTGGCCCCATCCTAACGCTCGATTGGACAATATCTTCTAGCTCAGCGTCATCATACCGAACCTCACAGAGTCATTGGTATGGATCTTCGAGTACCGCTTTAGGCCTTCTGGACGAGATCATTCCTGGATCAGGTGGCCTCCAAGGTGCGACGAGTCTTCCCAGCGGCGAAGTAGACGCTACAGGAATGGGATGGCTGGCAAGTGGAGGTTTAGACCGCTGCGTGAAGGTCATCTATGCGATGTCTCAACTCTGCTAGGTCTATCTGACGCAACTTGTAGGTTTGGGATCTTACGGCCCCCATGGGAGGATCCCATATATCCTATGACCCCGCATACACCTTACGCACTGCGTACCCCGTACGGCGTGTGCTCTGGCGCCCTGGGTACGAATGCGAGTTGGCCGTCGTAGCGCACACGGATCAAGGCGTCAACAGCAGCGTTGATTTACATACTGCCGGAGGCGGGCAGCTCGCCCCTCCGAGCGTAGTAACTGGGGGTGGTGCAGGTTTCATGAGCGCTCTCTCCAGCCCTCGGATTGGACCTGCGGGTCTCAGTATTGAGAATCATGAACCAGCGCAGACGCAGGGGCCACTGCGAAACGATGGAGGCGCCCCTGTCGAGATCTGGGATGTTCGCCGTGGTTTTATAGCCAAGTGGGTCATCAATGACTCAATCGGAGAGGGTGGCGTATCAGGTACGTACAATATCATGCCCTAGACGTCTCGGTACTTACATCGCAACATATCAGATATTGCCTTTGCCGACTCTCATGCTATATGGGCTCAGCATTCGTCGGGAACGTTCTCGCAACTTGATTTACGCGCCAGCTGCAAACCGTTGGATGCGGTGTCGAGTACGGCAGTCACTTGGGACCCGATAGGAACCCTCGCCTTCGTGACCGATCAACGTAAACGCTGGGAAGTTCCCTACGACGACGTGTAAGACAACATTCGTCTGTGAATCACCGCCTATTAATTGGTCTCGCACAATCGTATAGTAAACCGGAGAAACGCCAAGTTGCACAAGAATGGCATAGCGTCTCGAAAGCCAAGGGGGATCCGCCATTCATGCCTACGGCGCAGACGTGTGGCACGATCACGCTCGATGCTATAGACGATTTGACGGCTTTTGTCCACCTGGCCCAAAATTTGGTATATGAGGGAGGCGATAGACGCAGCATATGCGCACACAATGCGAAGGTTGGATTCACAATATCTGACTGTTTGTTTGTAGTATTCACACGTCCTCAGGTGTCACTGCACGCAGGCAAAATCGACGCTGCACAGACATGGCTTATGTTAGATAATCTTCTCATGGATCTCGTTGCTGATGTCTCCAAAGTGACGTCGCCTGCCTCTCAGGTGACTCCTAACTTGCCTCATTGCGCATCCGCGCCTGCAGCTATCCCGACCTTACAAACCGCGTCGACCCCCGGCCTACCCCAGAGATCAGTGTCCACGGACACAAGCGGGGTGACTAGAGGTCAGAGCAGGAGCCCGAGCATCTTTTCCAAGGAGAACGTTGAGGGATCATTGACCTTAGGTCGACATTCTCCCCATCCTGAGACCCCTGCGTCCTCAACCGCGTCGTCACCGCGGAAGTCTTCCACCTCTCTTCCTCAATTTCACCCCACGTTACTCTCAAGGCGTGAGTCTAACGCGGGTCAGAGCCAAGTGACTCGTCCTAGACTGTCATCTTCGTATCGCCGGCCTTCGAGTTCGCTCCTGTCTTCCCCTAGCCTACGCAGCACCCACAGCGATCCACCTAACGATGGTGCTCGAGGGACTTCGAGCTTGAAACATGTTGGAGAAGGCGCCTTGGACGACTCTGACTCGTCCGAAAGCGAAGAGGACTTCGCATTGGTAGTTCCATCAAGGAGCGGCAGTGATGATGAAGACGCGTCACTCTCGCGCTCGCTCTATCTTCATAGACCGAATACCGCTGTACACCCAAGCCCGCTGGCCCATCAACCGACATGGACGGAGGACGAGGACGACAACGACGACGATTCGCCGTCGCCTGGATCCAGCAGTGACTCTGATGATGCTGAGCCTTCACCGAAAACGAAAGCTGGGCGAATGCGCACCAAGGGTTCCGCCCGCAGCCGGACGCGCAGTCGCAGTTCCACGGTCGCATCATTGGCTGTCCACGCCCCGAGTCCCAAGCTCGTTCGGCACTCATCCTCTACCAGCATCCGCACCGTCATCGCCAGCATCGCGCCGTGTCAGGACGAGCGAGAAGGTGATTTACAACGACAAGAGACGGTGCGTGATCTAAGTAAGCAACCGGTGTCGGCCAAGCCATCTCCCACCCACAACCGTACGCGTTCAACGACCTTCGCTGACGAGGTGAAGATTGGGCTCAGTCGCCTGAAAGCGGCACCTGTCGAGGAAAGCGCCAGCAGTGCTCATACTCCTGCCGCGTGCAGCGAGCATGTCATCGAGGTGGAGAGAAGGTTTCGTGATCTTGGGTGGAATGCCTTGCGAGACGCTTTGGAGGACTATGCAGAGCAGGTAAAAAGTTGCAGATGTCCCGAATCAACAGATGGCTGACGTGGATTTAGGGTGATGTCCAGATGTGTGCACATTTGTCCTTGGTCGCCTCGAAGGAGCTCAAGATCAGTGCCACGCGCACCCTGAGATTCGTAGATGCATACATCAGTAAGTGTGCTGGCATTCTTGGGAAGTTCCCGTCTCACTCTGCTCAGGCACCCTGATCAAATTGCGCCTTCATACCGCTGCCGCGTATTTACGCAAGTACGTCGATGTCGAGGAGATACGTAGTGCAACCGCTGTGGGTAGTCGTTATGGATAGAAATCCTCCTATGCACTGACAGCAGTAACAGCTCCAAACGACGATATATACGTGTTGTTCACGCTGTCGCAAACCCATACTTGCACCAGCGGGACGATTAGGGCCGTCCGGACGACCCTTAGGAAACTATGCATATTGTACCGCCTGCAAGTCTGCCATTAGCCACTGTTCGATTTGGTCAGTCGTCTGTGTTCTTTTCAGGCTTTGGCTCGCTAATTCTCGATCCTTCCGTACTCCAGTCGTTTGCCTGTGCGAGCGCTTGCCTTCACTTGCTCGGTGTGCATGCACGGGGGACATCAAGAATGTTATCGAAACTACTACATGAGACGCCCGATGGCCTATATAGACTCTGGGCAGACTGTTCCGGAAGACAGAACGGCACAACCACCGAATCCACCACTCTCGCGACCCCGAGGGCGGACCTCGTCCCGGAGCGGGTCGCTGATGCATGACAGTGATTCGGACGAAGGTTCCATTCCACGGGCAGCAGAAAGTGCAGTGAGCGGAGGGGAAGTAGATCGACCGTATGTCACGCTGGAGTACTCTCTGCAGGGACATGTCTGTGCGGCGGGATGCGGTCATTTTTGCTGGGCTACGCGAGACCAAGCATAGCACTGAGAGAATGCGATTTTCGGAGTCCGAATGTTAGAGTAAACTTGCTCGTGGCTTGTGTGTAGGTCCAGACAAGATATTGGATGGGTTCAGCGGTGCGAAACAGTTAGCCTGCAGTTAGCACTGACACTAGAACATCTGGGTACCGATGGGCGCTTGAGCGGTGTAACGCACAGTACGCACGTGCATGAGTACATAGCAAGACCGTGTCTGTTACAGTTCTGAGTTCAGCACGCTGCCGACCGTCCTTTGGTTCGCTCCGCCACGATGGCGTTCTCACTCTTCCGCTTTGGACGATTTCTGAGGTCCATATTCTCCCCGCTCGCAGCTTTCGTCGTGTTCAGCTGTCTTCTCACTTTCGTCTTCGTCCTCTACCAACCAAACGCCGGCCCCGGAGCGAAGCAGCGCGTAGGTTGGCAATCATGGGAGGTCGTCAATGAAGGAACCGCTTCTGGCTCAAGCACCGGTGGAACTGCTGGCTCGCCTGTCGTAGGAACTCCTTCGCAGGCGGACGGGGTGGATTGGTGGAACGTTACTGCCGTAGAGAAGCCTACTGTCGACTCCGCCAGTCTGCCTCTGGACGTGTGGGACCCTTTGCTCCCGCACGACACTGGCCGTACGTGGAACGCGTGTGTTCGCGATTGCCGTTGCTCACACAGTCTCCAGTGTCTGAGATTGAGATAACGCGATGCTTCGTGGACCCATGGTATGCGGAATCCATCGCGGGCGACCTCTGTGCCCCATCTTCGACGAAAGAAGACGACGCATACAAGGGGAAATGGGTCCGGATCCCCCGGAACCTGAACATGCAGTCTGGTCTCATGAGTCTAGTATGTGTAGTGAACGCTTGCTACCGCGCATGGCTAATAAACTGGTAGAACATCTACTATCGCCGCACACGCCGGCATGACATCCCCCTCATCACAGACCTACGTATCCTCCCAGCATCCGAAACCCCCACCCCCATCAGCTCTGGCTGGCACAAGGTCTCGCATTCGATCAGCCCGTCCGGCGACAAGTCTTTCCTATGGTACAAGACAGAGCCAACGCTGGCACAGTTGACTGCTAGCCAGCGCCAGCAACAGCTTGTAACGGAGCTCGACGTACTCTTCGGCGACGACCAGCCATGGTATGGCTTCGAGAAGCTGGAGCCGCCTGTGCTTGAGGGCATGGCGATCATCCGGCGCGAAAGCGTCTGGCTCACATACCGCCGCGGCGTGCACGGTGCGTCTCCTGTACGTGCAGATTCACCCAAGCTCACATATCTGCACAGCTCCGCCTCGCGCTCCCCCGCTGCACTTCACACACGACGGCCGCTTCAAGATTATGCAGATCGCCGACCTGCATTACTCCGTATCTGCAGGTACCTGTCGGGACACACCTCTCGCGCCTTGCTCCAACTCGGACAATATCACGAACACCCTCCTCGGGCGTATGCTCGACGCTGAGCGTCCGGACTTCGTAGTGTTCTCGGGCGACCAGCTGAACGGCCAGGGTTCATCCTGGGACGCGCGCTCTGTGCTTGCGAAGTTCTCGAAGGCCGTGACGCAGCGCGGGATCCCTTGGGCGGCCATTTTCGGGAACCATGACGACGAGGACGGGGATAGTAGGGAGCAGCAGATCAAGTATATGCAGGGATTGCCATACAGTATGGTCGAAGCGGGTCCGAAAGACATCCACGGGGTCGGCAACTATGTCTTGAAGGTGAAGAGTGCTGATGCGTAAGTCGGCTGACAGGATGATCTCAGGTAGTCTTCGCTTACCGTATCATCTCCAGGTCAATGACGCACCTCTTGACGCTCTACTTCCTTGATTCCGGTTCATATTCTAAGGGATTCCTCAACTGGTTTGGTTTCTTCGTCCCCACCGAATATGACTGGATTCATCAGGTAAGTGAGCTACTGTGTTCCTCAGTATCACAATTGAACGCGCCTCAGGACCAAATCAACTGGTTTTTGCAAGAATCCTGTACGTTCCATCCTTAAAAACTTCCGCCTCAAATGGCACTCAGCCTGGTCTAGCTTCAATCGACCCTATCGAACGACCCTTCAGTCCTGATACTGCTAAGGATCTCGGTGACATCTGGAAGCGTCAGGCCGTCGGCCAAGTCACCCCAGACACCAGGCGGCTCGCGAAGCCTAACGCGCTCATGTTCTTCCACATCCCACTGTTCGTATTCGAATTGTCAAGTCATGCGCTCGCGGGCACTGATTGATGCTTTCCACAGGCAAGAGAGCTACGCGGCTGCGGACACGGATCCGATCTCAGGAAAGCCGCTCGACGTTGGCATGCACGATCTGGAAGGGCAGGGCTCTGCGAAAAAGCAGGACGGCTTCTTCCACAAAGGCTTGTTGCAGGCGATGGAAAGCGAGCATCGTGCTGCAGGTAATGCGCGGGAAGTCAAGGTTGCCTCGAACGGGCACTGTCATGGTGAGTGCTGTCCTCCTCTTTCTCGTGAAATCGACACTGAGGCTCTGCACAGTCACCGAGAACTGCAGACGGGTGCAGGGTGTCTGGCTCTGCTTCGGTGGCGGAGGGTACGTCGTCCTTCATAACCGTACTACGTGTACACCACTGACTGGCAGTGACTCACCCCCTTTCGCACACCTAGCTCGTACTCCGGCTACGGCAAGATCGGTTTTGACCGGCGCTTCCGCGTGTACGACGTCTCAGACTACGGCGAGACGATCCGCACATACAAGCGCACCGAGCACGACGAGATCGTCGACGAGATGATCCTTGCTGGCCATGGTGCCCCGGCGGTGTACGAAGGCCCGTGAGGGAGGTGCGCTTGCTAGTGGTCTTGTGCGGCCCTAAGACCAGCTCTGCCTGTACTTCTAGATTGTGACGACTGTATTCGTAGAGACGGAAGATGGATTGTAATGTTATATATGCCAATGCCCACCCGGGCCTGGTACATTTGCCCACCTCGCTGTGTATACACATTGCCCTAGCTTGTTCATGGTTCGTAAGCTTCAGCCCAGCTTGCATTACAATTCAAAGAATGGCGGTAGCGCTAGCAGTACTGATGCATCCTGAGCCGAAAGGTGAAAGCTCAACGTAGAGCCTAGAGCAGGTAATTAATCCATTGCAACGTAGATCTAGTACTGCATCATGCTGTAGGCGCAGCCTCCTCAACCTGTCTCTCGACCTGTCTCTCGGTCTGCATCTCCACCTTCGCCTGCTCGACGGCACGCTCGCGTACTGCCCTCCTCTCTGCGAGGTGGTGCAGAATGTCTGCCCTGCTGGTCGGGGCACCGAGCTTGTGCACGGGGCCCTTCTGCAGGCGAAGCATCTCGATCCTCGTCAATGCCGCTTTTTCTTTGATCTGGAAGTGCTGCTCAAGCCAGTCCTCCCTCTGCTCGCGCTCCTCCGCGGACATGTCCTCCATGGCCAGCGGGTAGTAGAACGGCTCGACGAGCCCGACGACGGCGCGCTTGTACGTCTTGTGCGCCCTAGTCCGCGTCCACGAGCCGGTGCGTAGATCGCGGGTGAGGGGGGATAGGTAGTTGTCCGTGCGGATGTACGTCGTCTTGACGCCGTAGACGGCGGAGAGGTACGAGCGCAGGTCGGTCTTCGTCATGGACGGCGGGAGGCGGAACGTTGCCTCGTAGGGATTGTACGGCTGGCCGGGCGGGGTGTGGTTGCGCACGAGGCGGATGATGATGTTGGGGAGGTAGATCTTCTGGCCGACAACCTGCTCCTGCGCCTTGCCTGTGTCGTCCACGACCTCGCGCACACCACGCAGCCTGCTCCGCCGTTCGTTCAGCCGCTCGAGCCACTCGCCCTCGGTGAGGTTCTCTCCATTGTCCTGCAACAGCTCGCCCTTCGCAGACGCACGGTTGTAGCGCGCGAGCTCTGTCGGGGTGAGGCCCTCTGGTGTCGCGTCAGACTCGACGGGGAGGTTGGGGTGCTTGGTCTTTTTGATCCGGAGGCGACGCAGACGGACAGAGCGGGGAGTCGAAGTTGTGCGGGCTACAGCGGCGGCGTCGGGGATGGCTGCATAGAGGCGGCGGAAGCAGGGATGCATGTCGAGCTCGCCGTGCAGTCGACGCTGGCTACACTTGGCTGCACTTTGTTGTCCACTGCAATTCGCCCGCTGGAAAAGGAAATCCATTTGTCCGTATTTGCTCCCGGTGGCTACGGGTGACCGGCTGCCCGCCGGCGCCTTTTTTCAAGTACTCGAAAGAATAACGGTGGAATCATCTGAGGGGACATTCTGATCTTCATACATTATGCTAGTAGCATTGGTGAGGAGTACATTCAGCTTCCATGTTGTTTACTGTAGCAGTGTATAGGCGGACCATCGCAAGCAGACGCTAGAGTCCAAGAACACCGCCATGCGACACGGTAGAGGAACCATCTGTGCTCAGCTCTGATATCATGGTGCTTTACCAGGCATTACGAGACTAGATGTAGGGTAAAAGTCCGCTTGCATACCGAATGGCTGCATATCAAACGACCTATTCTCCTGTCCACCTCCATCAAGCCCGGGAACGCCTCCGACAGTCGACATGTCTTGCCCTTGCACCTCGGGCGCTGTCACCAATATGCACTCCAAGCAACTCCGGCACGTATGCGCGTCCATGCACGGCGCGTCGCCAGCGGTGGGGTCGTGCTCAGGGCACCCCAGACATCCGCACCCGTCGCCGCATCCGCAAAGCGACGTATTCCATGACTGGGCTTGCATTGGCACTGATATCGGCGTGGGGAACGCGGCCATCCATGCGTCGAGCTCAGATGTCGGCGCAGAGAGGTCGACGAATGAATAGGGGGTCGATTCCGGGAAGGCAGATGGATGTTGTGCAGGGAGCGGCACCAGTGCGTACGGAGGGGCGTGTCCCTCGATCATGTGCATTTGCTCACTCGGGGCACCGTGCGAGCAGCAACTGTTGCCGTGAGATATGGGCTGGGGTTCCAATTGGTGGTGCGATCCGGACGCATGACAGGCAGGTGCAGAGGAAACCCCGTACGGGAGTTCGTGCGACTGTGGTTGTAGTTGAGGCTCCGGTGGTCTAGACAGGAGTGGTCGGTGGCCGTTGAGGTGCGCTGCATCCACAAAATCCGCTGGTCCCAGAGTGTAGTCGCCTGCAGAGCCCTCGCGCTCTGAGGAAGGCGGGGTAGGAGATGCTTTGGCTTCGCGGGTCTTGGGCTTGCGCCCTGAGTATGGCGTGCGGGTCGTGCAACAGTGACATATCCCCGTGCGATCGCAGTCGCAGGCGGAGGACGACGCGTATCCTACAGCACAGTTAGCACACGAAGCGAAAGGACTCCTTGAACCATACGCGGAGTGCTGGGACTGGAGCCTATTGTCAGGTTGGCACTCCGCCAGGTGGCATCCATGACGCTACCAGGGCTTTCGCAGTGGTACCGCCATGAACGAATGTTCCATCTGGTAGTATCAAAGGATCGTCACGGATGGAGACTCGCCTTCATCATTGCTTCTGTCCAGCGCGCACATGCACTTGACGTGTACTTGCTTCGACTTGCGCAGCTGCCTGCAATGGTCACATTGCGAGACCGGCCTTCCTTTCCTCTTGATCTCGTACAGAGGCCGGTCGGTATGCTGGCAGACCGATGCGCGGTGACCTTTGATGCACGCTTCACTGGGTGGGCAGTGTGCTGATTAGACGAAGATAAGGGGGCTACGACCGGCGCGGGCTTACCATGCATACTTCTTCTCAGCTATGAAGACCTGCGACGATCACCGCTTATGTGAGTACGGTTATAGCTAGCCATAAGAGTCAAGTTGCCTACCATGATGTCTCCGCGCGCACTGGATACAAAGCGTGTCGACTACGGGGCTGTGGCGGGCGTGGGTGTGCTCAGGGGATTCAGTGAGAGAGGAGGGGAGGTATATATAGTAGTATCCCGCTACGGAGCCTACGGTATCTACGTCGTAAGTAGTCACTAGTAAGCACGTAGTCAAAGTGAGGGAACCTTCCAGCCACCGCCACATTATCACAACATCCTCAAGCACGTGCGCCACCTAATCGACGCATGCCGTGGCAAGTGATCTCAGGCTGTCCATGCATCGTCAGTTACTCACAATGGATCCGAGTCGTAATCCATAATTCACCGGGAAGAGAAGCACACGCATCATTACTGCAACATAACGTACAGCTGCGCGGCTACGCCTGGTTCCTGCCCTCGATATCGAAGATTGATCAACCACCATCGAGCGGGCGTCAGACTCGGGATTCGTGCTGCCCTGGTCCATGGGTACGGATGGGTACCAAATCAAACCAATAGTCACTGGATGCCTTCCCGCAGGCTTTTCAGCGACTCTAAATGCATGCGCGGGCCCTGAATCTTATGCCTAAGGAATGTTTATCTGCAGTGCGCCTCCGTAGCTCCACTCAAAATCCATGGATAATACCTTGCGGAGCTCAAATGATGCCGCGCTGCCGTGGTGGCACAACGTTACCGTAAGACACAGCTGCGAACATACTTATTTTCGAGCATAGACATCTCAGTGGCACTCACTGATTCGCATGTTCCATGGGCGAGGACAGCTTGTCTGCTGTCCATGTCATTGTCGATCTAGACCGCTACGAGAGGGCTTCGTCGAGCAAACACGCTACGAGATAGCCTCGTCGCGTGGACATGCTATGACTGATACGGCTTCGTCAAACAAGCACACTACTACAGGACGGTACCGGTTTCGTCGAGCGATAAGTACGCTATAAGACGGTATCATTGCTCGAAGCGACTCATCGCGTAGAAGTGGCATCGCTCGGAGGCGGCAATTACATAGAAATGGCGTCGCGCACTGGCAGAGGCCCCATCGGGGCGGTAGATCCAGGGTAGCAGGCTGGGTAGGATGCACAGTTCTTATGCAGGTCCTGGCGGTGCACTTGGCGCGGCAAACCCAGAGCCCAGGACAGTACGGTTATCACGTAGTTTCGTTGAGCAGGCTCCTGTATTGTCGAGGGGGCACTAACCAACGCTCCTCTGTGCCTCTCGCCGACACCATCGACGGGTTAAGCGCCGTCTTCTGACCATCCCGGCGCCCATCCACCCAATATCCCCACATTTCCCGCTTGTTTTCGTGCGAATACGGCGCAGAGCATAGTCGGGGCCCGGGTGCGACGCGCGTGCGTGACGGTAAGATCCAAATCTCGTCGGAGGCTCAAACTCAACTTTACGGACGTGTTTTGTACCTAGAAGGGGGGGTCCTACCCCCCTTCTAAACGAGCTGTTTAGAGGAGGGGTGTACTGATTCGAAGCAACGGTACACACGAGATGCCGACTTGCCGCGAAGATTTACAGTGCGAATTTAGGATAGAGCGCGTTGTAAACCTCTGCGGGAAGGCATCCAGTGTTGCCCAATCTCTCAGACGATACAGTAGATCTCGTGATGGAAGCATTACTACTTACAGCGCTACAGATACATGTACATAGAAATCTTCGGTGACTTCATTTCGACGGCATCTGGATTCTGAGAGCACCTCTCTCATCAGCGGATACTACGCGTGCATTGTAGGCATCCTGGCATAGTCATCACTAATAATGTGTGAAGCCCAACGATGTCGATGAAGTATGTACCCTGATACTGCACGTTCATGCTTCCAGAAAGAAGGTCTGTAGGCCAACATGTGTCCTAGCCTACTGAATCGCGAAGTGTGACACCCGTTCTCGCTGGAAGGAAGCGCCTGGGAAGGACGAGCTTGTTCTATTCAAACGTGTGGTTGTTGTCCAACATATGCACGAACGGGCGCGAAGGGCACGCCAGCGCTGGCAAGGAGTTGAGGCGGCTTCGTGGGTGCTGGAGAAATGTGTAATGACCGAGGCTTGTTCGGCCTTGGTTCCGCAACTACTCGCAACGTTAACGTTGAATGCCTGTGCAAGGAGGGCTAGGTGAGCGGCATCGGATCATATTCTGATAGGGATGTGCAGAGACTATACTCAAGTAGGAGACGTAGATGTGCATTTTGCGCGCATCTGGAGTATCACTGCAATACTGCGTGTCGTCAGTAGCGAACGTTGCATCAGAGCGATAACTTGTTACAGTCGGAACACAAACGGGTGTAATGAAGTGAGGTGGGTAGCAGTGAGTTCAAGTTGCTTTAATCGGCAGGGATCACGATCCTGTCACGGTATCTGGGAAGCTCCTCACCGACCTCAATCTGTGCTCACCTAAAGACTTCCCAATGCCGTTGTCCTCCAAAGTCACCACCTACGATTTATCAACGTCGTTCTGGGGCAGAGCGAGTGAGCTTGGAAGCCAGGTAGCTCGATAATGGAGGGACAGAGCCGGCGAGAGTGTTACACGGTATGTTAAGTTACTATGTACCGTTCGGCGTTCGAGCCTGAGGCGCCTGCCCAGGATCAGGGAGTCGAGCTCTGCATTAGACAGGCCGAGCTGGTTACACAGGAGCGTAGCGTCGACGACTCCGAGAAGGTGGTGTACGATAAGCATTTAGACTGCCGCTGCGGGGATTGCCATGAGCCAGACACCCGGGCGACAGCTCTCTGCTGTGGCAAACCGGACTTGCGGATTTACAGCCCCATCGGGCCGTCAGCACGTCAGCGACGGGCGAGGTCTCTGCGACCGCCACATCACGACGAGCAGGAAGAAAGGAAGAAACCATGGCGCAGCGGACGGCGGGGAAGAGTGTCGCCATGCGCGCTGCCGCGTCACAATTCACAAGTGCAGCCTGAGGCCCGGGGGTGTAGGGGAAGGGAGGTTGTGTGCACGGTACTGCTGCTGCTGCGAGAATGCGACGGATCCAGTCCGAGTGAGTGGTCCGCTTGGTACGTCCCCTGGTTCCGTGCGGGGCTTGTCGCAGGCTGTGTGTAGAGAGTTTCGGCAGGACTTCCGCGGTCAAAGTTAACCATCGAGGTGGCGCTTTTGAGTGAGAAGACTGAATTGGTGGTGCAGCAGTGGCACACACGACCAAAGCCGCTGCCAAACCTTTCTACAGGTGTCCAGACGTCCAAGTCCCACCGGATCTGCTTGTCGAAGCGCCCCGCGTATCTAATGACACCGAGGAGGGTAGCTCCGATACAGATCGAGTTGTGGTGGACCGTGTAACACCGTAGGTCACAGTAACGATGCTAGAAGACAATTTTTGCTTGGTGGTTGATTCGGAGATAACGCGCACGATGCTGATATGCTGCCTGCAGAGTGTGAACGGTGCCTTCCGGGTAGGCCGGTCGAATGTCCTGCCAGTGCGTGACTGGAACGCTGCGTGGATCCGAGAATGTCTGTGGACATTCGTCCGGGACAGAAAAGGTCCTGCGCCTAGAAAACAATAGATCTTCAATCAGAATGCCTTACAACAGCGACGACGCGGCACAACTACATGCCTGGGATCCACCTCACGGCGGCACAACACTTCGCCGGGTCTTGCCCGTTCAACTTGAAAAGGGGCTTTTGCTCGCAAGTACGACCGGTACACGGACCTCAACGCCCACCTACCCTGTACGTACATGCTCAGAGGCAGGAATCATGTAGGGACTCACCAACTCCGCAGCGTACCAAGGCGGAAACATATATCGCAACAACGACGCGTATGTTAGAGAACTTCTGGCGTCGCTGGCGAGCACACTGCCTCACACAACGACAGGTGTCGTAGGCCCACCAAGATGAACCAAACCCTTGGGTACGGCGAACTAGAACACCGTATCGCTCAGATGCGCGCGCCCGGCCACTGGTCGCCTGCTGCCCTGTAACAGCGTACGCGACATGGGGCGCAGCCGCTGACAGGCTGGTCGGCTGATCGAGAAAGTGGTTCGAGAGGTATGCAAGGCCTCAAAATGCACTACACTAACCACTCGCTACTATGGGTACAGAGCGGGGACGCTATGTCCATCAGCAAAACATCAAGTCGGAACTCGCAGCTGTATGCTCACCATCACCACAGAGGGCTCAGCCCTCTCCATCGATGCGAATGAGGACGCAGAGTTGCGCAGGCGGTTCCGATGCTGAACGGACGCGCTCCGATGTTGCGGAGGCCGGCGAGGCAAACATGGCGAGGAAGACGGCCGGTACGCATCGTTTTGCGACTGTATTATCGGCCTGGATCATGCGGTGGTGGACGAGGACGCGGCCCGTGCTGGCGTTCGGTATTGGTCTCGTTGAGGCAGGACGGGGAGGCTCGTGGGGCGGGCAGCGTGGGGCGTGGGGCGTGGATTGGTTGGCCAATCTGTTGGGCGGGCGGTGGGGATGGCCATGCTCTCGGTGAACGCGACGGCCCAACCATACACCGTGCCTCTGGATCCACCCCACTACCCCCTCGTCTATTCTGCCCGTCCCCGACCTTGCCCCCGTCGCCGTCTCGCACAACGTGCCCGGCCTGGCCCGCGCGCCCTCCGCAGCCCCCCTCTCAGCGGTCCTGATACCGGCTCGATTCGGGGGCGCCCATTCCAGCTGCAGAGGCTTGCTCTCGAGTCTCGCAACAGCGCAGGAGCCCATTCCATTGATTGTCTCTCCGCCGGCCCTGTACTGGGGTCTATGCAGCCTCATTCACTCTCGGGCAGCACTTCTACACAAGTTAGATCGTGATAGGATGGCCATCCCGGATCTCATGGCCCTGAGATTAGCTTCATAGCAGTCGCGTACCCTCTCCCCCGTGGACTTGTCAACTCGAGCGCATTCCGACTCTCTCATCAATACCTCAATCATCGACACACGACCATTTTGTGCGTGTACGTCCCCGGAGCTGCGCAGCCACATTTTTCGCGCACTACTTCAAGTCGTCCAGGACTTTGGCTTGGGATGTGGAGAGATCGGCGAGCGTTGGAGGCAGCATGCGGGGAATGTTCCGAATTATCGTGAGCATTCCTATACGCGTGCGGTTCAAATGCTTCCCGCACCCGGAAACATGACAATATTGTCCATGAACACTGCAGTGTACTCGCTGCTCGGGGTGGTTTGTCATGTCTTCACAAGTTACTATGGATCTACTAGATACACTTCATGCCATCGGTCTCTACTTCCCGCCGCGTCGATTAGTCGTCTCCCTCACTTTCCCCTTCCGAGTCACCCGAGTCACTCGATTCATCTGTGCTATGGGACCCATTGAGACCCTCTACCACTGTGGGGGTAGTGATCCCGCGACATGGATCACAATCGGTGAGACATCTTTCCATTACGAGGTGCTGGTCGGCTAGCATCCTGGAGGGACATGGTCGGCAGGGGATCATGATGCTCCATGATGCCTACTCACACTTGGTCGCATTCGTTAGCACAGTCGTGCACCTCTCTCTTGTGGCGTACGCTTATTTTGCATACCGTCCTATTGCAGTCGAGCTGTATGTACAATTAAGCTACAGTCTACGACATTGTCCTACATGAACTACTCACGTAGTGTCTCCTGAAGGGGAGCTGGTGTCCACAATTGTATTGACGGTACGTGATCAGGTAGAAGCACATTGTCTGCTTAGAAGGTGGATAGGAGCTCCAAGGGTCCGTGGGCCGTAGATCGTCTCTTATATGACGGTCGTGAAAGGCACCCCGTGGTGGGCCCCTTCCATTGAATCCGTAGCCAAACCTTGAGCCAACTGCTTGGGCACGATATCTCATGGCCCTGTATCCGCCCTCATTTCGGAGAGCATCAGCTAGCGCTTCTGGATAGATATCGATGCACTATCCGGCAGATCGGTGAGGAGTATGTCCAACCCGAGAAACCCTCCCTCTGCGGCAGACACCCGCTACATATAGATGGAAATCGGCGAGTTACCAATGCAGAGCGGTGTCTTCCATGGGCCATATCGCACTCGTTTGGCTAGACACGGCCAGTCATACTCTACTGAAGTTGTATTGATGCCCATCGCGGAAGGTCGACAACCACCAGGGACAAGACGTTCTGGGTCATCGAGCTGAGTCAAGATCCCATTTGTATGGGCAATCCCTTGCCAAAACTCTGACGAAGGCATACCACTGATGTCTTGTTCAAGTCCCCACAGCAGGAGCTGACATCAATCTGATGATATGCTATTGATGACGCCACGCTCGACATACATAGCGTCCCATACCCCAATGCGTTGTCGTTTGCCTGGTGGTATATTCACCGTCGTATGTCAGTTGTTCAAACGACCTGGTCCGCGATGCCATCTGTACTAAGTCAGGTGTCCTCATAGGCGAAGACAGAGTTTACTGCTCGACCAAATTCCCGGTGCCCGGACATCATCGAAGGGCGGCCGGACACACCAACTTGTCGTCCTCCATTCATCCGCTGTCGCGAGAAAAAAGAGGGAGGACGGGATACACCTCACCCGCCATCCAGCCAAAACTGTGGTTCAGGCGTCGTACGTACGTACTGCGCTGGCTTCGGCAGGCGCATCATTGTGACGAGCTAACACGTCGGGATGAGTGATCGACCCGGCCGTTCAAGAACAGCGGGCCAAAGTAGCTCCGTCCGTCCTTCGCGCCTCAGGGACACCAGCTCCTCCGCGCGCGAGGCTCCTAAAGAGGCGGCCTCGTATTCTTGCGGTTAAAGCAGATTTTTCATCACACGCACACAGACTCATAAGAGGCTGGAGCTCGTTCCAGGCTTGCATGACCAGCGAGGCAGCTCTGTCTGTGATTTGTGCGTGAAAACAATCCACCAACATGTTCGGATGAGCTCAGTCATAAACCCTCACGGACAATGCTGTGCAACCGGCGGCTGGGTCTTGAACTGAACTCGGACAGTCAGATGTTTGAGCCAAGTTTGAGCCTATGAAGAAAATGACTCAAATGACGCGTTAAACGGTTGTGAAAATTTTACATAGCTGGATGCAGCGCTTGGACTCGTTTCCGCTGCGTAGTCTGTTGTTAATGACCATCCATGCGATGTTGGTCATCCGAACCGCCAATATCACCGTGCGATCTGCGCTCCAAATCCACGACGGCCCATTTGACAGAATCTGGCCGTAGAGACGGCGAGGCGAAGCCACTGTCATGGCCGAGCACGGCACTGCCAGTGGACAAATTGTCAACATAACGAGGACTGCCTCTGAACTTTCTCACCGTGTACTGAATCACAAAACTGCATGACGATGTTTATAGCAGCGGATGCGGAATGTGAAGGCAGTACCTGTACGTGCTGTCGAGTCGTCGAAGGCCACGCGGTTCTGGTGACACGTAACCACCGCGGCTGTTGGCCTTTATGTAGTACTCGCTCAGCGACCGCCGATGCAAGTCACGCTGTGAATACACCACAGTCAAATTGGGTTGGGCATGCAAAATGACAACGGAGCATGGTATGTGGACTGCAGGCGTACGCAGTGCCAGGTTATAAGCCCATCCAAGAATAACAGGCTCTGAATTGATATGTCATGTGCAAATGAATCTGAAGCGTACAAGGCGTTGACGATCCTCAGGATCACTTCGAATTTCGAAAGCCGGGGAAGGTTGGGCCCACTGACTTCTAAAGGAAAGTGGAGCAATGGCAGATACATAAGCAACGGGATATGACCTCATAACATGGGACCAACAGAAGAGCTGAGACATCGCGCACCGGAGTGAACACTAGGTTTGGCTTCATCAATTTTCGCGGACGCAATATGGGCCTCCACTCTCGACTGAGCTATCATATATATTTGGTGCAGGAGCCAGTATACAGCGCATAGCATCTGGCGAAGTCTTTCTCAGGCGCCCACTATATCATCTACCCCGACGATGTGCTACTACCTGGTCACGTACAGCCAGTATAGTTGTGGGCACAACCAGCCGGCAAGGACACACTACGTGAGTGGCCCGCGGAGAGCGCGTTATCGGAGAGGGTGACCGAGCGTCGCACAGATCGATTGCAACATGACAGTGTGCAGAATAAGCATGCGCCACAAGACAGTCGAGCATGACTGCCCCAATGAATGTGCACAAGCGTGAGTGAGCATCGGCGTGCGAAGCCACAAGCCCATTGACACTGTCACAGACTGTTGCCCGATCAGCGTCTCGTAATGGACAGACACATAGGTCTCTGCGAGACATGTCGCGGAAGTGGTCCCGCAAGCGTGGCGCAGCGTGTTGTCAATGGCACGCACAGTGGCACTGGCGATTCCGGAGAGGAGGGAAGAGGGGCAGAGACGTAGTCGACATGCTCATGGCAAAGCAAAGGAGGCCGACGGCGGGAGAGGGTATATAGCAGAAGTCTGAAATTGCTTGCAGCAGAACACGGAACTCACTATTGTAGATTGAACCCCGTTGAATTATGCCGTGTATGCAAATAGATGCGTTTGGGAGCAGGCTGATATCTACGAGTGTCCTCTGTCACCGCCTGGCCTGTATGAACAGAACCGCTGAGGAATGCTCACCAGAAGGTGCGTCCCAAATCCTGTCTCCTGACACTGCATCACTTCTCTAGCCTTGATGTCCATAGCCAAGGTTCTCCTCTTCCTCGTCAAATTGTATGGCAAGAAGAGGCTGTTTTTATCCACGAGCCTCCACGCGCGGCAATGGAGAGAACAACACGGCGGACTGGCTTGAATAGGGGACGATCAATGGGAAGGGTCGAGTACGGCGAGAGGAATTGACGATGCCACGGATAGCGCTAGACGAGGGCCGGCTGTCCCCCAGTAACTTGAGCCGTTTTTGAGGGCTGCCCGAGTGGTGAGTTGGTGGTGAGTGTGGTTGCATCCACTCGGTGGTGCGAGGTGGGAGAACAAAGCCCCGACCGAGGTCAGGCCAGCGTGTCGGGGCCAGCGGCAACCCAGAGTGGACCGTCTCGCCGCGGAGCCTTGATCCTGAGGCCGACGTTCGCACCGCCCCTCACTAGCACTCCTCATCGAGCTAGCCCAGAGTCTCTGGGACCCTCCGGCCTACCTCTCGCCCGTCAAGACCAATCGTGGTTCGTATGGATAGAAGCGACCCCTGCACGCTGCTTGTAGATCGCCCGGCAGTTCGATAGACAGTGGCGCCGCTGGGACATGAACTGAGTAGGAGGGCGAGGGCGAGGGCGCGGACGTCGGGCGAAACGGTGGGATGAGCAGCGCAGACGATGTGGCCGGGAGGATGCGCGTAGACACAGGTCAAAAATCCCAATAACGCTGCGTGGTTGACCCGTCGCCTGGAGCCCGCCATCGTCCAACAGGTTGGCCAGCCAATCCACGCAGCAACACCCTCCGTCCTAGCATTGCGGCCCCGGCTTCCGTCTGCAGACAACCCCAGGCAAACCCCAGGCCATCTGCCCCCTGCCGGGAAGCCGTCTTTCACCGCAGCGACATCGTTGGACACATCCCCCATTCGCAGTCGCGAAACACCGCGCATGCGTCCGTGCCACTCGCTACCCTCTTCGCTGCCATTATTCAGGACGGTCGCCGCGCGCCCACAATATGGCTAGACCCACCAAGGTCGGGGACCTTTCAAGGTCTGCAAGGGCAGGACTGTTAGGTCATCTGGCATCATAACGGCCTGGTGAAAACGGTGGGTCTGAAACTGTGAGCTGCATCTTCGTGTTCACTGACCTCTGAACTACTTTCAGTATACTCCGCATCGGGACGAGTGTATGGTACTCGAGGCCTTGCGGTAGGACCACCCGAGTTACAGGCGACTGCTGATCCTGGCAAGGCCAGTCATGCGGCTCATCCATGGCATGCATGTCGTTGGTTCGCTGTGTACGTGCCCTAGGTCGTGTCCATTTTGCTGGATCCACGACCCATGGCCGTGCCATAGGTGGGATGCTGTCCAGGCATCTGCTGGTCCAGGCGTCACCACTGCACGGTCCATCCTGCACGCTATCCAGTGAGTCTGCCTACTCGTGGCGGTGGGTACGTACTTACTGAGCGTGCACGGGATAGCGAACGGCCGAGTCTACATTGACTCGGAACGATTGGGCTGGGGTGCTTTATATACGGCGAGCCACCGGTGCCAGTCTACGCCGTGCTCCCGCCAAGCTCTAGCCTAGGGCCGTACTTGTGCCGCGTCACTTTGTATGCTTGATGACTGCAGCGACTCGTTGAGAACCAGGCATCAAACGAGGCTTCACTTCACGGCGACGCTTATACTGCGTTTCTAGGATCTCCTGCAAACGTTAGAGGCAATCATCTGGGCCACGAGCAATATCCGGCAAGTGGAAGGCGGACATATCGCACTGTGGAAGAGTCAGTACACTACTTACGTTCGTCATCAATGACCGGGACCCACGGAACCTCCTCCTACTGTCTGCCTGCCGCCGGTTGGTGTCTTTCGACGCGCGGCGCCCCTACAAGGCAAACTTGTGCGCCCCGGGCCTAGGGATCTGGGCAATCCTCGAGCCCCACCAGAGCACACAACCCACGCTGCCAACGGCCCGCTTTGAAGCTTAAAAAAAGGACCACTCACCGAGAGCCTATCTACTACACACGTTGCCGACTCTCTCCTGGCTGACCTCCTCCTCGTGCGACTTGCGACGTGCGACGTGCTTTGGCGAAGAACTGAGCGGATTGTGGAGCCCGCACGGCGCTGACTACGCCGCCGTACGCGTTCATCTAGCCCTCTTCGTCATGCGCAGGTGTTGTTACTGGCAAGCCCTGGCCCCTTGGGCGCTGCTGCCTGCTCACGAGCTTGCTACTTAACTGTAATCCGGATCCGCCACCGCCGCCACAGACTGTTATCATATGTACGGTACCGCCCGGGCGTTGGCGCCCGCCCCTACTCTTCGACCGCCACCTCGCCGTGCACAGAGCTTCAGCCTTCAGGAAAGCCCACAATTGCCCTTCTATACGTCAGAAGACACTGTACTCTTCGCGAAGCCGCCAGGTCTCGCGATACTCGTTGCGCTGGCTCAAGACTCGTCTCGGGCGCCGAACTCCGTGGCCCCTACAACCTTTCATCGCCGATTGAAGACGGTGGTGGTAACAGACTGGTGGCGGCGTTAGCACATGCGGGTTATATGTGGTTATCTCTGTGGTGAGCTCGGACCAGTCTGACTCGTCTGTTATACATAGCACTCCGAGTCGATTGATTCCCCTGCCCGACTTCCGTACTTCAGGTACTTAAGACTTAGATCGTGTTTCTCCCACTCCCAACTGTCCTCGAAGCGCAGATCCCGGAGGTTCCACTGGTGCTCGTCCAGTCTGTATCGCGTTGCGCCTGCCGTTGGGTGATCTTTGATACAATTACTTCATTGTTCGTTCGTATCGCATACACTGCAATTGATTCCCAATGTCCACCCATCATATACAACGTTACTGTACCCGTGAACGATCATATGCTATGGCGACATCGTTCATCGAAAGCATTGAACATGCTTCCACTGCAACAGCATCTATCTTTCCGGGCCTTCAAGTACTTACGTGCACTAGTACTGCTTCCGAGTCATTCTCAACTGACCGTGCCTACATGCATGATGTACCTGTAACCCGAGCATTGTGATCACGCAGATACCTCAAGGTCCCATCCTGACACTGGAAGCCATGTCCGGGTAATCACGTCTTGCTTGAGCGACCCGCGCGCAAAGCCAACAAGAGCAGGGGTCCGCGCTTGGTATGATCAGTTGTCAACCTCAATACAGTACGAACGTCGGCGTCGAAAGCTCAAGTGTACTCATTGCTGGCTATGAGCTATGCTAAAAGGGTCAATATGAACCATATATCGCAGCGGATAGAGGGTACTTCTTGGTCGCCTACTGTACACGACGTGAGGCCTTGAGGAGTCACACGGGGTGAGTGTTGCTGACAGATTCTGCAGTCTGCAGAGCCCAGGATTGAATCTCCTCCATGGGCAACTGGCCCCATTTCGACTCAATCTAAGGCGCGATGATCTATGTGAATGAGATTGATATATGTGCAGTAGGGAACGCACCTCCACCAACAAATCTAGTAAGTGCGCCGCCTCTGTGTCGACTTCTTCACGTGCCTGCACGTTCGTCCGCATGTCATCTTGTAATCGCATATTCTCCGCGTCAAGCTACAATCAAATTCGATACTCAGGATGCAGAGGTAACACATGAAGAACGGCACACATACCGATTGCAACTCAGCACGGAGACGGTCCCGTTCCTTGTCCAGCAGGGGAACGGTACGTGCGCGAACAGCTGCGCTGGGATGCAAGTCTTCACGCCATACGTCCGTCTTGTCATAGCTAGCTTGCTTCCGCGCCCGAGCCTCTGTGACGACCGCATGCAGGCTGTCGAGATTCTCTCGGACGCTGTACCGTTTGAGCAGTTGCTCGCAGCTTTCCTGCGATCGGTCAGCTTGTGGGGACGCGAAGATAGAACGACTCACAGTTATCGAGTCCTCCATGTGCCGCGAGACCGTCGTGAAGATACGCGGTGCGTTCTCTGGCTGCTCCTCACACCAGATCGAGAAGCATTCTGTGAAGTCCTCGTAGCTAGCACGGAGCGAGCGCTGTTCTTAGTGTAACATCCGGAAAGTGAGAAGGCGCACTCACGTCCATTTGTGTGCGGCACGCTGTATGGCGAGCTGAAGGGCCGAGTGGAAGTAGGACCATCGCTTGCTTGCCGGCTGTGACTGCGAGGCCGCGTTCGCTTCGGTCGACATGGTCGTGCATGGGGGCGCGTGGCGGAGTTTGAACCTGCTTGCTCTCAGTCTGGCGCGTCTGTGGCGTGGGCGCCTCTTCAACTTTCTCCGCTGCATCCTGATACTCACCCGCTATTCCGCTGCATTGCATCTACCGGGCGTATCCAGCGCTCAGAACTCGCTGTGGGTAGCGAGACCATGTCCACACAACAGACGGATCGAAATGTGCGCGAGCCAGCCACGCGCCGTCTCAAGACTCGGCCTACGGCTTCGGCGGTCCTCTGGGGACACCTTCTCTCCAGTACGGACACATCGCAGACAACCATCAGCAACCGCTGCTCTCAAGGTCCGCTCGGATCCTCATCCTTCGGTATCACTCCTACGGATAAAAATGGAGCATCCTTGCGCATATTGCTCCACGACACTCAGGCTAACTTGGAAAAGTTCTCTGACCGGGTGACCAAGCTTACTGGGGGCATCGACGAGAGCAAGCGAGAAATCCATCTGGTCAGAGAGCTGCTTCAAAGCGATCACGAGAAATTGGTAGAAGAAATGGTCGATCTAGGTGAGTCGGCGTACATGATCAGCTCTTGTCTCCGAGTTAACTCAGACCCTTCGCGGTGTTCATCGATGCAGTCAATAGGTGTCAAACCGAGATAACGCGAGTTATCGGTTCTCCTTCTCAGGTGTCGCATATAGACAACATGCGCGTCGAAGTTGCCAAGGTCGACACCAGGCTGACCGCGTTGGAAAACAAGGTGGACATGCTGCAAGTGGTACGTCAATGGTTGATTTTGGGCGCATATATGCAGCTGAAACTTCGCGAAGCTCAGTCAAGCACAACTGCAAGCCCTTCAGACGGTCCAGGACCAGCAAGGACAGATCATAACTGCTATCTCTCCTGTGCTTCCCCTGTTACAGGCCATCCCCCTCTACATCGACAACTCAAGAAGGGAACTCTTGGACGGGCTTCGTGACTTGCGCTCTCTGTATCCTGCTGGTAAACCCCACAGCTCTACCCCGAAGCCGCCAACAGAACCGGTAATTCCTCAGCGTCCGTGTGGTCCTCTTTCCTCGAGCTCATCTCCCACGGATCAAAACGAGGATCGTGGCAGACACAAGAAGCGCAAGCTGGGAGTTGAGAACGGTACATCGCGGATCCTCGTCAGCCCCGCTTTCCACGGCGACGCCACCACTATTTCTTCGCATTCCTTGCGGCCTGTTGCTGCTACCGAACGCTCACCTCCCGATATGCGTCTGGCTGCGAATGGTACAACCCCTCATCGCTTCGTCTCTGGACCTTCCCCCGCCTCTCCCGACATATCTGCACGCCTCGATCGTCTGAAGCGGACTGCCTTCCAGACGCCCCACAGACAGCCTTTTGTGGACTTACTTCGACCCAATGTGACGCCTCGCATATCTGACTCCGCTCTGCCACCTGCCGCTAAATCTGGTGTCTCTGGTCAAGTTACTGGACATGCCTCTGCATCGGGGCCCGCTGCTGCGCGTACTGCTATGGCACCTCTCCGCTCACAAAAGCCTGGCGTCGGAGCTGCGCGCACTGCGCCGAAACCCCTGCCTCCGGTCCAAGGAACGCCGAAGAACGCGGACTCGCTGGCGTCGACCACAAGCACGCTCTCTCAAAAGTCTGTCGCGCAAACCGAACATACGAGGCCTCCGTCAGTCGTTGATCCATCCGGTATGCGTGCATCGAAGGCACACACCAGCCCGGCGATGCTACGCAGAGAATTTCAAGGCCAAAACAACACATCTGCTATCAAGCTCGCTGATGCTCGACATACTACACCTTACGATGACATACCTTCTACCCCTATCAGACGCAATTTTCAGCCGCCGCTCAGTGTACTTAAAAGTGCACCGTATCCGCCTACGGCAGGCCCTTCCGCGAACCCGCCTGGTACGACACTCGGCAAGCCTATAAGCATCAAAGACGTGAAGGCATTGGCTGCCACACCAGCATTTGTGAGTCGTACACACACGTAATCTTACCTGCAGAGCTTGAATATGTTTCCGCCCTCCTAGCGTAAAGAGCAGAAGCGGTTCATACCGTTAGACGATGACGATGATGACGACCTTATGGAATGACAAGAGTCGCATTCGCGTCGTGTGTGCATATATCGTTTCGTGGCAGAGCCCAGCCACAAACAGTAGTGCAAATCATAGAGCGCAACCGTAATTCGCTACACGCGTACAACAATGCTATAGATACATGCTTTCAATGAACCGCCCCAATTACTGTCCTCCCTCCGACGCCTATCACGGCGCACTTTGCGTAATATCTAGCTAGTGCGAGACGAACGACCTGTAACCGTTGGAGTGCATGTGCCTCTCCCCCCGTTTTTGTGGTTCTCGCTAGGATTGCGAGGTACTCGTCTGCAGACCCTTGCGAGGACCGGATATGGATCTCTTCCAATCGATGTAAAAGCAGTGTTGCATCGACCGACGTGAAGAACATGTTCTCGCCTGTGGGACCATGTTACCCCGGTAGTTGGGAAGACGTAGAGCGGGAAGACTCACTATTCTGTAGCAGCTCAACCGCGTCCGAGAGCAGAACAGCCCACCATGACTTGGGCGCAATCTCTTCTCGCAGCATCGAGACAAGGTCGAACGCGGCTTCCTGCAGGTCGCCGCTCAACCGCCGGTGATGGAACTCAGCAAAACGCACGGCAAACATCAAACGGTAGACGAAGATGCCATTCGCCTTAGACTCCGCCCGCAACGTCTGCAGCGATGGGGCAATCTTCGCCACCGATCGCGCGTATTGTTGGGGTCCTGGAGCCAAGTGAGCGTCACTGTGACTATCCACGAGCGGCTGAACAACATACCATGTGTGATATACACGTCCAACATGCGATCGACGACATGTCCAAGTCCTGTCCAGTCCTCGGCGGATACGCAGTACGACACGGCCAGCCCATACTCGTTCTCCTTCATGAACGTCTGTGCAGCGATCCTGCACACCATCCGCCGGACCGCCTCGCGCTTGTGCTCGTAGCATGAGGCGTTCACCTCCTTCAGCACACCGGCGAGGGTGCCGGAGCGTATCCGCGCGCTCTCTTCATCCGCGTCCGCCGCGTCTTTTGGTGGTTGCAGCCTGAGGGGCACCCTCATCAACACCTCGTCAGCCATCTGCTGTCCGATCTCGCCACAGGTGCACAAGTAGTCCACAGTGATTCGCCAGAGCCCAGGGTCCGACCGCATGTACTCGCAGTAAGAGAGGATATAGTGCTCACGAAGGGTTAGCTCGGAGCTGCGACACGATGCGCGGAGATGTCAGCTGCAGTGATGGTACACTTACGCTTGACGCCACTTACTCGTCTGGTTCCTTGTCAATGAGGTCGAGAGCCTCCATCATGTCAGCGAGATGGGCGGCGAGCCAGATGTCCAATCGTTGCGCCTCTGCAAGTACGTTGGTCGGCTTGCCCAGGAACATCGCTGAGTGGACCACGTCCTCCAAATTGGTCGGATCTGGTGGCATCTCGTCCAACAAGTCGGATACTAGATCACTAGGCCAGAGCAACGTCAGTACAGTTGTTCCACGGACAGCATGAAGGAATGGCTCGCTCACGGAAGCTCCGCCCTGCGGATGCGTGTGTTCACGAACACACACCACACCGCACAGACCTCCTTCCAGTCGCCTCCGAGATCAATGCATACTCGCTTGACCACCTCCTCGCGGCCCTCGAGGATACCGACAATATCATCGATTCTGCCCCACCAGTTCTCGAAGCTGTCCTCTCGCACGTCCTCCGGTACGCGGTCAAGCTCGAGACGCAAACCCTTCACCTTGTCGTGCCAACGACGCGCGGCTATCGCGAAGTCGCGCTCGGCAGTGAACTGATGTAGGCGGGGGTGATTTGTAACGAGGGGCATGAGGTGCTTCGACAGCTCTTGGAGAAAAGGAGATGGATGGCCGGACAGAGTGTCCAGGAAGAAGGATGAAGCACGAGAGAGGCCGCGAACGACTGCTCTAAGACGAAAGTCAGTCGAAGGAAGGCGTTGAGGCTCATCTAAGATGCTTCACCGAGTGAGGTACGGCCAGAATGTCTCGTCCTCCCAAGGCCGCTCGAGGCTACTGAGGTGATCACCCTCCTCGGTCGTCGGCTCTACATAGTGGACATTGAGCCACTCCATCAACTCGTCCCCAACAGGAACGCTGTCATAGCCAGGCTCCGGTACATAGAGCATGGAAAACAAGGAGAAGCAGGTGTACAGTCTGCGGTAGTGCTCGGCGCTGAACTGCAGAGGTTCGGATCGTGGCATATCTCGCTGCAGAGAATACTAGTCAACACTGGACTGATGGACGTGGCAGCGCGTCTTACGGAGCAATATACGCAACACTCTTTGCAGAAGTTGATGTAGTCCAACGTAAGCTTGTTCATCGCTCGTACACAAGTATCGTCCTCAGACCTATATGGATCATATGTGAGATGACCACAACGCAAGACGAGGCGACATACATGTCCACATTTCGTGCGCGAGCATCACTTCGCAGCTTCTGCATGGCGGCGAAAATGATAGATGTGTCTGTAACGAACTATGGAGAGTCGGCATCTCACACAAGAGTAGTAGTTCTGCACGTACAATACGCCTTTCGGACGTAGGAGCATCATGCGGCCTCGCAAAGTAGATGTTCCGCTGCGATGAGGACGACTCGTTCTCCTGGGGCAGCTGTACGTTTCCCTATTGATGGTGCATAAGAAATAGGACATGAGCACGAAAGGAGTTCAACGCACATTCGAGGAGGCAAACAGGGCGACGGCATCGTCGCGTGGGGAAGCCGCTAGTGACAAAATCTTGCCTGAACGCGCGAATTCGTCGCTTCGGCCTTGTTGGAACAGTGGCGGAAGGAGTGCCGGCATTTTGAGGTTTTTTCGACAGATTTTCTGGTAGCAGAGCTTCCTCAAGGTCGTGAGCTGGACGGAGAACGGTGACAGAGGTCGACTCTGCGACGCGGACAAGGGTGAGTGTGGCGAGCACAACAACGGCTAGCACTCGGATCGCGTTCACTGGCCACAGCGCGTTAAGCACATGATCCATTTAGCTTACGTCAGTTTCGCGGTATCGTTAGTACTGTTTACTGATGTAAGTACTTAATTAAGTAAGTAGCACAACTAACTACATATGTAGTTGTCTGGCCTTGTTTCCGGGCCTTTCGCCTTTGGACGAGAACCACTTCCAACGCGCGCGATCGTTCAAGCTTCAAGACTCGTTTGCTGGATTCGTCAGGTTACACTATTGACTATTAAGACCTCCTGGTAGTAGAAGGGCACTGACCCGGGCTCTTCCTCGATTCAACTTGGCAAAGATCAACCTCTGCTAGTCACCCATATGCCAGTCGAGACACACCAAGACTCCAGATGCTATTTAGGTGAAGTGCTCCAATCACCTTCCCTCTTCCCACTACTGGTGCGTCTGACCGTGTTGGGCCGGCCGTCCACGACGAGCTGTCCGGTGACTCCGGTCTTGCTATGGTCCCGTAAGCGATCTGCTCCGCGTCATTCTCAGTGCTTCTGACGGATGGTACCGAGGAGTCTAGCCCGTAATGATCACAACGTGCGTGTACATAAGAACCGACGGCGAGTTCTCGTTTCGTTTCACCGGTTGGCTCGCTACGTGGTGTCATCTCACACCTTAGTTGTAGAACGAATCGGTGGGCCCGCAAGAGGAACATAACTTCAGAGTTCTTTCACCTTCTAGTCTCCCCCAGTGAGCTTCGGTCTCTCTTCAGCTTCGTTATTCCAACAGTGTGGACCAACATGACAATGTTGCGGCACCGGCTTGTTAGCGCCCGACTCCCCAGAACTTATGAGCCTATGGCCAGGAGATGTGGTGCAGGCAGATGCTAAGTTCGAGGACAAGCATCGACACTGGCCATGGACGCTGCGGCAAGTCTCAAGCCCGCTTTTTCTAGCTGTTCACGGTCTTCTACTCGTCATTCTCGCTATCATACTCGTCATCCTCGCTATCATAGTTCTTCATGCGCGGAGTCTCCAGACCACGGCAGGTATAGCAGAGCCCAGGCTGCTGGTACAAGCAAATGGACTGATCGGGAAGATTCCTGTTCACCCTTCAGGAATCGTGCACGTCTCTGGTACGTATCGACTCACATGTCTATGCATTCGGCGGGACATTTATGTGTCTCTGAGCTATGCCGCTGGCTCAGCCGACACACGGTCATGTTACAATCGATCTGCATGAAAACGCTTCAGTAAGTCCTCAGTTCTGTCTGACTTCTATGCTCACGTAGTGCCTCTTGGTGGCCCAACGATGATTACAGCCGCCCTCGGTGAACGTTATGAGATGGTAGCACATTCTCGCAGGAGGGTAAGACGGGCCTGTTCGTGAGGGTTGGGAAGGCGCAGTCTGCGCTGGCAAGCCGACTGTTTTATATGCAAGCAATCCGCCCAAGCCAGCGTCCGGGGACGCGGTGATGCGACCCGAGGCCGAGTGCGGGTGCGTCCACTGCCGTGCGCCTTCTACGCTTTACGATGGTCGTAAGTAATAGTCTAGAAGGCGCTCTGTGTCTTGCCGCTTTGTCGTCTTCTCGCTCATGGTCAGCGACGAACACTGGACCACGGCGCGAACCTTACGTCTTATCGCCCAGTGAGTGGAAGGTCATCAGAATACTTGGGCCACGGTTTCCCCATTTGACATTCCACTATGTGTTGTGGAAGCATGTCGATTCTGGGAAAGCTGGTGATGGGGACTTAGGCGGAGATACGTGCCGCACAAAAGATCGCGGACGTCACGGCACAAGTGGTAAAGTTACCACAGCCACGAAATTGGAGTCGACGTCGACTCTGTATCTCGTACCATCGAGATCTTGTCGCCTTACGAAGCTTCGCATCCCAAGCAGATGCTAAGAGCTAGAATAATTCAGCCGTTGGATGCGACAATGTTCAAAGCAGCGAGAACTGCACGCAAACGAACTGATTTTGCGAGAAGTTGCAATCGAAGTCGAAGTACTCAATAGGCTTTGCACTTCATGCGCATGAATACCCAGTATGCACCCATCTGAATCCGAATAGACTCATAGATAAACCCTAGCCATAAGGATAAATACAACTACAGTAAGGATACAATGATACGTCGCGAATACAGACAAAACTCCTATGCACCAAAGCCATACAAGGTGCGCCCTGATCGCTTCAAGGCATAGACAACGTCGAGCGCAGTGACTGTTTTCCGCTTCGCGTGCTCGGTGTATGTGACAGAGTCACGAATGACCTTGATAAGAGACAGTAAGATAAAGGCAAGCGAAGTGGTATACATGACTCACATTTTCAAGGAAGATCTTGAGAACACCACGGGTCTCTTCATAGATGAGACCGGAGATACGCTTCACACCACCACGACGTGCGAGACGACGAATGGCAGGCTTCGTAATACCTAAGGCGCCATTAATTCAAGAAGTGTTGAAGAAGATGTAAACTTACCCTGGATGTTATCACGGAGAATCTTACGGTGACGCTTCGCGCCGCCCTTTCCAAGACCCTGATAGCTGGGTTAGTTAAAAGAACAGTAACAACGACGTGCACGATTTACCTTGCCACCCTTTCCACGGCCAGACATGGTTCGAGTTGTGTAAAAGTGAGATGAAGCGTTGAGGTGGTGTTTTGAGTGTGGTGAGAGACCGGGAGTAGATGGCGGGTAACGGCGCGCGGGCGCCGCGTCTTATAGGACGCGCCTGTGGCTGGCCGCGCGCCACACGTGACCTTGTTGAATGCGATTCACCGCGTCTTGAAGCACGTGCAAAGCGCGCGTCGCGTCTGTGGCGCCAGAGTATAAAGCGCCGCGCCCGGAGGCTGCCTGTCACCCCAACCCGTCCGCACACCCACACCCACACCCTCACACCACCAAGTACCTACTCGTCTCTCACAACATACAATGGCTCGTACTAAGCAGACGGCTCGCAAGTCCACTGGTGGTGAGTTAGGACTTCGTAGATCGTGCAACGCACTCGTTCTCAATTTGTACATCCTTCGCAGGCAAGGCGCCGCGCAAGCAACTCGCAGCTAAGTCGCGCAAGACAGCAGCACCGGTGAGTTGGTGTGCTATAGAGTGCTACTTCCCGCGTTTACGTCTTGGTAGACGGCAGCTGGTGGTGTCAAGAAGCCCCATCGCTTCCGGCCGGGTACTGTCGCCCTTCGGGAGATTCGTCGGTACCAGAAGTCGACCGAACTGCTCATTCGCAAGCTCCCCTTCCAACGCCTTGTCCGCGAAATCGCTCAAGATTTCAAGGTAAGTATTTCCTTGCACACAGATACCAGTTCCATCTCATTGTTGTCTAGACCGATCTCCGCTTCCAATCCTCAGCCGTTATGGCTCTTCAGGAGGCTTCAGAAGCATACCTCGTCTCACTATTCGAGGACACCAACCTTGCCGCTATCCACGCGAAGCGTGTCACCATCCAGCCGAAGGACCTTGCACTTGCGCGCCGTCTCCGCGGCGAGCGGTCATGAGCTTGATGATTGTAGCCCTGGGTTAGAAATTTTGTATCATGGTGTACTCTTAGCTAGCGCAGTCTCATTATAATACCCTTTCCGTTCGTGATGGGTGTGAGTCCGAGGTCGCCTTACTCAATACCAAGGTTATGTCAGGAAATCTGACGTGCAGGCATTGCAGGTATGTATACAGGCTGCACTATTAAAGTATTATGACGGGGTGGTTTCCGCTTTGCTATCTGAGCTGTCGACGATCATAGCATCCTTCTGAGCCTCTGTATCATCATCGGCCGGTGTGGATGCTTCTGCCTTCCTTTTTGAGGATGCTTCTTTAGCTGCTATGGTAATGTCTTGACCGAATAATCGCAAGCTCAACGCACTGCCAGGACTTGAGTCTACCGGTGAGGTTTAGGGATATGATAGTGCGACTGACCTCTTTGCCTTCTTGTCAATCATGAGCGTCACCGACACATTGGACTTCCAAATAGGAAGAACCAGTTCATGTGCCAGTCTGGGTCGCAATCATGAATGAGCGAATGCCGTCATGAGATTATCTGTATGTAACTCACGTTGTGTCGTCGACCTGTCCAGGGCGGAAGCGAACGACATAGCTTCCAGTTGCTAAGACTGGGATTAGAACAGGCCCACTGAGACGTTCGTGTTCACTCACTTTGCGACTCGATAAGCGACTTGAACGGCTCCGAAAACCTCGAACAGAGCGGATAATAAGTCTCCATCAAGATCTTCAGCGACGCTACGTCGGCCTCAACGATCGCGCCTGGTTCGATGTACGGCAGCACGGCGGGCAAGCCCTCTGCGAGTACTCGAAATTGCGCCTCAGTGCCCTCGCGCTTTGCCTCGACGCCCTCTTGCTTCGCGAAGACCTTCGTGCCCGCAGTCATGAGGCGCATTCGGATGCAGTCGTTGTGCTGCACAACATGCTTCACGATGTCATTTGTCAAGTAGAGAGATCGGACGGGGTCGCCCTCCGGATTCCGGACAAGGATGTTTTGCGTAGGGAAGGAAGGCTGCAAGCGGAGTTTCGCCCTGATTCACGACTAAGTAAGTTGAGAGACCACGAAGCGAGACCGGACGTACATGCACGCCTGAATGATCGGGTCATCCGGAGAGACGAAGGTGAAGGGATTCTCTTTAAAATGGCCGGCACCCCCTCCATCGCCTCTGTGCTTCTTCCCTTTCTGCTGCTTCTTGAACTCTTCTGGATTGACGGCCGGTGCAGGTTGGGGCAAGGGATCGACGATACTGGGATCACTCTCCTCGACGGCTTCGTCCGGGAGCTCTTCGTCGATGTCCTCGGTTGTCTCAACAGCAGCGCGGGTCGGTTCTACCTCCGTGGCTGAAGACAACTCAGTCGCGAGCTTCGGCTTCTTGACAGCGGACGTCTCCAATCCGTCAACAGCTTCTGCCTGCCGCTTACCGTCGCTGACGGTCGTATGTGTCAGTTAGTAGAGCTATTGCATAAGGGAGCCGCGGCGCCAACCTTTTGCTTGCACCTTGATTACTAGTCGACGGTGCGGGGATCTTCTGCAACACCGCGATGAAGAATCCACCCGTGTCTTGCAAGTGAGGATATATCCGCATACTGCGATGCCGCGAAAGCGAAGGAGAGTGAGCAAACCAAAGTCAGATGGGAACGTGTCGAGTCACTGACCATCGCGTCAGGTTCAACTTCTCCACCTCCTCTCCCGTAGGCGGCCAGTGGGACTCCAGCATTTTGCTCTGCTTACGTTGATCTTCTGAGAGAGAATCCCAATGGTCCTTGTAGGTGTGGAAGTCCGTCGTGATATTGCGGTCGACCGTAGGTATCCAGGTAGTCATTCCCGGTCGGTGGATGAGGCTAGGCAAATGGTTGGACATGTCGACCACTTCGAAACCTGTTGGACGGTAAGCAGCGCATTTGCATGTTTCGTGCTAGGACGGACCAGGTATTGACTTGAGGGCAGCTGCTACTACCGCCTCGTTCTCAACTGGGTTTAACGAACAGGTGGAGTAAACGATGCGTCCGCCTTTCTTCAGCATGCGCATTGCTCGCTCAAGGATACGGATCTGGAGGCTGAATCACGCAATGTGTAGCTGAAATCATTCCAGAGAGGCGATTGACGTACCTGTGTAGGCCGTTCCCATCCATGGGTTGCCAGTGGTTCCAGATCGCAATATTCTTCCGGAGCGTGCCGTCTCCGCTACATGGCACGTCGCACAGGATTCTGTCGAAAAGGAGCTGGTACTGTTTCTTGGCGGCCACGCGCTGTTTGGTGGCAGTCGGGAAGACGACCTGCTCGGAAGGGATCTTGATAGCGGGGTAGATGGACGCGTCATGGTTTGTGACCATGAGCGCGGGTGACGGGAGGCGGGCGGCTTGGTGGATGAGCATGTGCGTGCGCTTGTAGTCGCTGTCGTTTGCAATGAGTAGCCCACTTGGGTAGGACGATGCGGTCATGCTGTCGTGTGCGTGGAGGGCCTCCAGCAGTTGAGCGGTCTGTGGCAATGAGCATCGGCAGTCGTCCTCAATGATACGCTGTAGTCATACCTTAGAACCTGGAGCAGCACACATATCTAGGACCTACAGGCTTGGGCATGAGTACAACTCTTTGAACCAGGGAGAAGCGCATATACCCGGTGATGCGGCTCAACCTCTAGAAATAGCGGTGGAAGCATGCTGACAGCTTCCTGTCGTGACACGTTGCCCTACGACACAGATTTAGGGCGTTCCACGAGCGGGAAACTCAATGCGAATACTCACGACTTCGGTCTCGTATACCAGGAACGAATGAAACTTCTTGAACTCCGGCGACTTGCGGACGACCTTCTTCGCGACATTCAACTGCCAGGCAAGACCCTCTGGATACCTGAAAATCTAGCTCAAGCCATCCTGTGCCTGCCATTTCTGAGAGGAAAGGCGTACCAAGAAATCTGGGTCGGCGGGGGGACCGCCTCACCCTCAAAGACAACGTCAGCCAAGTGCGGCACATGTACATCCTTGATCGTGTCGTTCAGCAAACGTGCTGCTCTGCATGCCCTTTGTTGGTGTTTGCCGGGAAGTTTTTGCAAGTTGGACTCACTGTCTACTCCCAGTCACCCGAAAGGTTGTAGGAAGCGGGGTTCTCATGGCCTCCATGAACGACTCCCACTCGTCCTCCGGCAGGATCCTCTGAGCTTTGTAGTATCGCTCAAAGCGCTCGTTGTGCATGTCCTCCTTCGCAATCATGTTCGACCGTGCATTTCCGTCGTTGCGTTCGCGGTCGGACGTGCCCTCAACTGCAGCGCCGCCTCGTCCTCGTCCCCGGCCTCTGCGTGCTGCTTTCTGGACCCATCAGCTGAAGGGGGGTCGTTCGATGGCAAATAAAGACGAACTTTGGTCCTCGCCATTGTAAGGTTGCGCTTGGCTGTGAATGCAGTCGGCGAACTTCCAATGAATGGCCAGAAAGCCTCAAATAATCCGAGCCGGCAAAGATCGATCATGCGGCACAAGCGCAGGAGAGCCGTGACTGTGACAGCCGCGTCGGTCACACACAAGGTTCGATCTCCCGCCAAACCCCGATCGCTGTGGCTTCGTCCTGGCCGTACATGTCGTCTGCAGCCTCCGCCTCCACATGAATCGCCTGAGCTTCTTTGAATGAGCTAGTCTGGTATATTGAGATATCTTTCTACGGATCCATCGATCAATATGTCGCAACCAGAGTTCGCGCCGTTGACCGTCCACAACCTCTATTACCACGCCTCGGAGGCCCCGTCTCCCCAGGAGCTGCTGCGCTCTGGTGAGAAGCTTATCGAGACGTGCACCACGGCGAGTGGTTGGCATTTTCCCGCATCAGACGTGAACACTCAAAGATTTGGTGTGCCAATGTCTCTGTACACGCGGTATTGATAGACTGAACTCATAATGGAAACTAGCCTTCCAAGGGCGCTGTTATATATATATGCAGGCACCACCCTCCTACGACAGGACTGTCATCGAGCAGCGGAACAAGTCTCTGGATTCAGTCAAGCCATGGGGGCCCGCTGTTGATGCCAATGATGAACATGAAACATTCTCCCTCGACAAGTTGAATGAGTTCGAGAGCACCGATTTCGACCGAGCTTCTCGCAAAGCGCCTGCCGCACAGAACCAGACTCACAGACGGTAGTGTCGACAGACTCCTAAAGGACTTCTTTCTTACCTTTGTACTGCAGGAAAGCTTCCGACTCCGCCGAGGGAAGCTCTCCGCGGAAGAAGCAACGACTCGGACTCCCAGATATATCCCTACACAGTGCCATTCCTCGAGTAAGCACCGTGAACTCCCGGATCGCTACGAACATCCTGATTATCGACGCATACAGCCACACTTTTATTTTCCGCCAGATGATATCCTTGCGGTCCCGGCCCCCGAGATAGGATTGGACAGGTATCTTACCAAGAACCCGCCCTTTCCCATCCCGCCTCGCACATATTACTCGATGCACAAGGCTCTGGACGAAAAATATGCCAGAACAGCATGGATTGTGCCCATACGCGGGACCCCACCATGGCAAGGCTGCACACCGGCCTCCGTCCTCGAGCCCGGGCAGGCTTCAAACAGGACCATGTCGGAGATGTTCCATCCGCGCGCCCCTGAGAATTATGCCCCAGGAAACCTGCCGGCGGGACATATCATCTGGACGCATGATGCTCTCGCAGCATTCTGGGGCTTCCTCCTCGACGTCCGTAGTGGCGGCGCTCTCGGAGCTATCTCACTCTCATTCAACCCAGCGCCTCCGCCGCAACTCGAGTCCTCGACGTCTTCGGCCGTAGGTGGCCGCAATGCCGCCGGACGTGCGGTCTCGAGCGACCCGTCAACTGCCAGGGGCTCGTCCAGCAATGCTGTTCAGAACACCCACCCAACGCTTCTCGGCATGGATCACTTCAAGATCTACCATGACACCCGCTACTCGATGCACCTGCGCCGTGTTCTGCACGCGTGGAGCTTCGAAATTCGCAACTCGGAGGCCGTGGAGGAAATATTCGGCGACGCTCTTCCTTCTACCAAGATACGATTGTTCAAGGGCGCGAGATTGGTTCTGCTTGACGGGAGGTCGAAAGGATTATTGACTATGTGATATGTATGTCTTCGACAAATGGTGCGCTGCACCGCGTGCCTCGTCAAGGAAATCACGACCGGCTTGAGCGTTTCGGTTCCTACCGGGACCCAGGCACTGTTCTTCTCACACTACTGCTGACTTGGCTCTGCGGGTGGCTCTTTCTATGGGTACGAAGCTTCATTGTGTGGTACAGGGACATACTGACATGGCAGCGTACTACTATCTTTAGCGGCGGTGCCGGGATGCCGGGGGCGTGGACGCGGGAAGCGCCGGCTGCGCCCTACGCTGCGCCACCGAGAGTTGCTCGCTTAGCGCCCCGGGCTTGGCGTCTCGAGACTTGTCCGCCCGGAGTGTCCATGCGCAGTCGCCGCTCTTCACGCTCCTACCGCCAGCGCAGGTCGTCCAGCTGCGGTCCATTTCACGACTTTTCACATTGCCAGTCTAGTTCCACTGTCTTTCTAGTCATTTGTGCTGAGCCCTAGCTCGCAACGACCCCCACCATGCGCCTGGCGTCCCTCCCTCTCGTCTTGACTTGCCTGCTCTCGTATGTCCTCGAGACCTCTTCTGCCCCGTCTTCCACCGTTTCGCTGGGCCAGCACATCCCGATATCTCGAAGAAGGCCAAGGACACGCAGCACGGAAGAGCTGCATGCGTTATTGGGGAGGCGGAAGCTTTCCCTAGACGCAAAGTACGGACGGGATTCGGGGGGACTAGCGAGGCGTGCGGATGGCTTCAACTTGTGCGTCTTCTCCATACTTCTATAGGTGCTGAACTGATTTCACCCGCGCATGCGCTGTAAAGGCTGACGGACGAAGACAAGGACCTCACGTACGTTACCGCCGCAAGTAATGCTTGCCTCCTCCCTAACGAGGTGTCGCAGATACTTCGGCTCGTTGGCAATAGGAACACCTCCTGTCTCATTCAACGTGATTCTTGATACGGGCTCATCGTATGTACTCGATCAGCGTATTTCCGCACGCGCATCACACTGATGTAGCATCTCAGCGACCTCTGGGTGGCCTCGTCCGAAGGCGGTCTCACCGGCTTGTCTACCATTCCGAGCGGCGTTACGACATTTAACACGTCGTCTTCATCGTCTTTCGCCTCCCTGAACGAATCGTTCTCCATCACATATGGGTCGGGCAGTGCATTGGGCTCACTCGCCCAGGACACCATCAGGATGGCGGGCTTCGCCATCACCGCCCAGACATTTGCAGTTGTCGACGAGATCACCCAGGGCGTACTCACGAGTCCAATCTCCGGCCTCCTCGGGCTTGGGTGGCAACAGTTGTCTTCGTCCGGTGCAATACCGTTCTGGCAGGCACTTGCCGAGTCAAACAACACGTTGAGCGACAAGGTGTTCGGCATTCAGCTCGCACGTTACGGTAACGATTCGAACGCCGGCTCGCAAGAACCTGGAGGGACGTTTACGTTGGGAGCGGCGAACACGAGCTTGTTCACGGGAGATATCGATTACCAGGATGTACCGCAAGTAGGTTACTGGCTACAGCAGATCAGCGGTGCGTGCCGTTAGAATGTGTCCTTCTGCTTCTTCGTGCTCATTGTCGCATCAAGGTTTGACGGTCCAGGGGTCGTCAATCAGCTTGCAGTCTGGATCCGCATCGTACGCCGCAATAGATACCGGCACGACTCTAGTAGCTGGTCCCACGGATGTCATTGAGGAGATCTACGCAGCAATACCAGGGAGTGCTGAAGACAGCAATGGCTACTACACATATCGTGAGCATTATCTTCCCTTCCCTTTCCGGCTCGGCGACTGACTATCACGCAGCTTGCTCAACGAAAGTTCACGTAACGCTGCGATTCGGGAACAGCTCGAGGACGTGGACTATCTCCCCCGACGACTTCGAATACGCTACCGTAGACTCCACGGGAAGCACCTGTATTGGCGCCTTCGTCGTGAACACCAGCGGCGGCACGGCCCCACCATGGATCCTCGGGGACACATTCCTGGTGCGTCCCATGCAGTAACACAAAGTCCGCGCGCCCTAACGCCCCGAGCAGAAGAACGTGTACTCCGTGTTCCGGCATGACCCGCCGTCCGTCGGCTTTGCGACGCTCTCGCCAGAGGCGCTTGCGATGAACGGGGCAGGTGGCGATCCACCGAGTCCGACAATTGGGTCTGTGGCCGCTGCTGTCGGCTCGACCAGCAGCGTCGACTCGGGCCTGAATGGCACGAACAATAACGGCGCGGGACCCTCGGCGCGGTGGAGTGTGTGTCTGGTGGCTGCGGGAGTCACCGCTGGCTTTGTACTGACTTTCTAATCTACGCTTGCTGTATTTGATGGGAGAGTGCATTGGAATATTACGCACAGTGTACTAGTGTAATATAGGTAATATAGGATGCATGCGTCCTGGTTAGGTGGGATCTAAAGACTTGCCGACGAGTGTATATTACGCAACAACAGTACTTATGTAGCGGACATTGAGCAGACAAATTATTGAATGTCACGCTAGAGCCCGAATGCGAACTTTCTCTGCAGTTGCTTCTGACACGACTTTCTAAGTAAGCGGGCCTTGGGACAGCGCGGTGATCAGAATAGGCTGTATTGCATATGTACATTCAACAATCGAAGTACAAGTTACATGGTACCACGCCATGCAAGAATGCCGGAAATAAGAGACCCAAGAGAACATATAAGCTAGTACGGGCATTCCAGTGAGACCTTCGTGATTGTAGCAGTGATGCGTTCAGGAGCATTCGACCAGTCGATCGGTCCTTTCGCCCACTGCGCGGTACCAACTGGAGAGCTTGCATCCCAGATTCCAAGCGAGAGGCGCGTAGGGTGTGACGGGTAATGCAGAGCGCCGTTCTTCTCAGTTCCACCTAAAGAAGACCGCATGAACAATCCCGGACCCAGGGCAGTCGCGCTGCATACCACGTACCCTTTGTGATCGTACGAATGGACTGGCCATCCACGCTCCAGACGATGCGCTCTGCGTTCCAGTCGACAGTGTATTCATGAGACTGTGAGCCGTCGCCGCCGTCCGGATAGTCCTCGATTTCGCCAAACACACCCCAGAGTGGTCCCTGGTCCTTGGGGTTCGGAGCGTAAACGTTCGTCTGCCAGTGAGAGGGGTCGCCGCCGAGGAGTTCGACGTCCACTTCATCGCCCTCATCCGCTATAGGAACATGACTTGTTGGCAAGTGAGGAAGAGACACTAGTGATACATACCTATTAGGATGGCCGCAGTCACTACGCCAGAAACGACAGGCGGGGCCGCAATCGTGTAGGTCACTCGCCCGTACCTAATAAATCCGTAGTATCGGCACAGAAGCTTCAAGTAAAGCGAGCATAGCGGCTCACAGGAATGTGAACGTCGAGTTGACGGTTGCGCCTTCTCCAAGCTTGTCATTGACTCCGTTCTTGGTGGTAATCTTCCCTTGAGGCCTCTCCAAGTATAGTTGCAGCTTATGATCGGAAGTACTGTAGGATCCGGACGGAGTCAGTGCCAGGAAAGATGTGTCTGTGTTGCCTGAGACGTCGCCAGGAGCGAAGCTGCTTTCAAACGGTTCGCATTGGGAGGCCGAACGAGAGACAACAGGGCCTAGAGAGAGCTCCAAGTCGGAGGGCATAGCTTGTGAACGAGCCATAAGTAGTCTGAGCATACCTTGTGCCGCGAGACAGCGCCAGCATAGAGAACCGACAAGAACGAGATATCCAAAGGAGCGTGAAATCATGATCAGTGGGTTACAAGCTTCCCAAGGATCAGACCACGATCAGACGTCCGGAACGAGCGGCCTATGCAGGGAGGAGCTGGGCAGAGTCAGCGTCGAGATGGTCGAAGAACTAAAGCTAATTTGGAACTCCCTGTCATTGGTTACGTAAGATGTTGAGTATCGTGCCCGATATGTGTACGTAATCCGTGATCCCAGCTACACTTTGTAGGTGCTACTACAGTAGTACTACTAGTACTTTGACACCGTGACAATGCAGGGCCTCAGACTCGACCAGTCTTGAGGCAGAGCCTGCCTGCAGAGGGAACACCTGGCGAACACTATCTTGCTCGAGCGGCAGAAGCGTCGCTCGCAGCATATGCGTCGACGAGTATGTCCAACTTAACGGCGCTGAAGCCTTTACATCGTTCTAACTCAACGGCGTAGCTACGGTGAACGGCGTACTTGGTCTGGAATTCTATACCAGGCGGACAGTCACCAGCACCCACGCTCTCGTGAGCGTTGCCTACTGTTTTGATTCACAGTCCGATGTCTCTCTTGATGCCTGCGCGGTGGAGCAGGCAAGACTTTGAGGACCTCCAAGCGTCCCAAGTGGAGAAAGAAAACCCGCTTGAGGTAGACAGAGCCTATACGCCCCGCCAGCTCGTCTATGACGGTCTATCAACGTGGACAATAAGAAGGAAAGAAGGTGCGCCGAGCTTGCTACCGCTACATCCTCGAAATCAACGTGTCGATAGGTTTCTAGGGCGTAAAGGAGAGTAAAAGGGAGAACAGTAGTCGTGATTCCGTACTTGTGAAGGGCGTCAAGCCCCGTGGAAACCGTCCCAAAGGACGGTAGGAGATGTAGCATGGGGAAGTATGAAGGACGATACTATGTACTTCTGCGCTTGCCGGGGGGGATCAAGGGGAGCAGTTCACGACTTCAGTCTTTCGGTGAGTCGAAGGGGATGAGGTTGTTGAATCTATTGACTGTCACTCCAAGTAGACGGGCCTTGTGCACGTAAAACAAGGTAAGTGTAACGTCCAGCGTAGCGTTCGGCTGACAGGCCGTCGAGACAGACTGTATGACTGGTTGTTCCGGGACGAATCCGTCGGTGTCCCTACGCACGAGAGCGGCAGCCGCGTCGGACCATCTCCGCACACCTTGACCTCCTCAAATAAGTTATGTGCAGCTGGCTACCAGTCTCCCGGTAGTTGGCGTCTTGACGGATGCGGGATCATCGCGACTCATCTGAGGTATGTTCATTACTTCCGCTGCATGGTGCGGGACTCGAATGTTTTCCATGGTCAGTCACCAGCCCTGCAGCACGATGCCGGGCAGATTACAAAAAGGGGATCGGCGAGCTGCTCAGGAAGCCTTGGCACGGACGTTAGCTGGAGTCTCCTCGCCAATACAATGAAGTATTGCCTATCGGCACCCGCGCAGAGCTTATGCCTCGCTGTGCGGAGTATTCCGCCGCCAATATGGCGACATTTTCAAGAACGCCTGTTGATAGCTGCCCATCGGCTGGCAGTTGTCTGTTCGGGGCTTACCCGGCATCCACGAGTTTGGCGTACGGAGGGTACGCTTGCAAGGCGAGCCGTCCTAAGCCCTCCAGCGTTGCCTAAAGGAGAAGCTGAGTACTGGTTGTACGCAAAATATAAGTTACTGCTCATCGGGCTACTGAGGATCCGCCGCAATAACACTACGCCGATGTTGCAGTGCAGTTATGTCTTGACTGTAGGCCGACATGCCCGCGACCGACTCTGGTACTTCTAATCACATTGATACACTGGTAACTGGATCTAGGAGTACATCCGAGGTTGAAGTAAAACAGCATGTCGAATGATCGAATTAATACGCAATTGAGTTCTCCTAGTTATCTACACAAGCCCTGAGAATCGAGATGACGTTGGAGAGGTGGGGGCGTACTGGAACGTGGCCACAATCGGAGTGTCAGCCAGCATCGTGTGTTTGCTGAGTTTGTCTGTTGCACGTTCGCTGTTGCACTGGGATGTTCTGCGACAAACGGCTGCCATCAGCTCTGCGCGGAATCTAATTTAAATTGCCCCTTAGTATAGAAGATCCAACGAAGATGTATACTGAGGTTTGCGCCTGTTTGTCTGCACAGCTTGCGTCAGGATACGGCGGGTTGCCCTTGAAGTCAAACCAGACTGCTTCCATAACAAGCACGGGTCCGATGAGAGGCGCCGAACGTTTGACCGGGATGGGCGTCCAAGTATGCTGCTGTGGCTGGTTGGCAATGGTCCGGGTCATGAGTCGCCCTGTACAACACCACATAACGTAATACGACCTTATCTTGAACCGATGCCGGCCCAACTCTCCACCGTCCAGTGTAGCAGGGCCCAGGCATGTCGCGCGAAGCGTTATACAAAAGCGCTACCACTCTCCCAACCATGTCCGCACTCCTGCACCTGCACCCGCGCCCACCGTCGCCGCTCATCTCATGCATCACAGCACACATGCCTCACCATCCGTCCCTCTCGACCCATACATTGGCAGACCGGTCTCGTTCCTCGCCGGACATTTCGCGGGGAGGACACTCCGCGCAGAGCTCTACGAGCTGCAAGCTGCTACAGCGGGGCGAAAGTACGTCGCATCGAGCCATTCGTTTGCGCGAGTTGATGCGTACCCGGCACCAGATGCGGGACGAAGGACAGGCGGCCGCTCGACCCGCCCCCCGTCGTGAGCCTGCGGCTGTTCGAAGTCCGCGACGCAGGCACTCCGCTTCAGGCAGAGTGGGAGTTGGGAAACCTGAGGTACGTCGCGCGTCCCGCTGCTCTCCGTCACGCACTGACTCGGCTCGCACAGCGAGGTGGACAACCATGGCTTTCTGTGTCATGTAGACTTGTTCCACGTGCAGGACCCAGCATCGTCGCCTCCCGACGCTTGGAGGAGCGATGCTACTGCTGGTCCTTCAGCATTCATGTACGGTGCTCCTGGTCACTCCGCACCTGACATATCGACGTCTTACCACGCTAGACCATCCGCAGGGCCATTTCCAGGATACAGTGACGAGACGACCTACCGGGCTTCTCCGCGCAACGTGAACAGCCACCGTGACCCCGCGATGGCCTTCAGCTCTGCTGCAGGATTCGCGGGCTCGGACGCAACACACCACGCCGCCGTGACCGGGGGAGGCATTTCCTCGTACTATCCCCCTATCGCTGGGCTTGAACCGCTGAGGACTATTGAGCCACAAGCACCCGCCACGAACGATGATGAGCTTTGCACTAGGCTATTCGCCGGCACTACCATTGTCGCATCGTCTTGCATTACCCATGGCGGGAAGAACTCTATGCTCTTCACCTTCTCCGTGGGTGCATATCTCTGCCGAGACCTGACTGTGCTGAATTGAATTAGGATCTCGCCATTGAAGCAGAAGGGCTCTTCTTCCTGCGCTACAGAGCGTTCAACATCCTCAACGTCGCTGCGGGAGCCGCGCCAATCCCTGTACTGGCTGAATGCTACGGCAGCGCGTTCCGGGTGTATAACACGAAAGACTTTCCCGGGCTGCGCGCGTCGACGGACCTGACCAAAGTAGGTTGTCTGCATCGGCTGTAATACGTAGTACTTATGTATGGGCACCTTGGAATAGCAATTATCGTCTATGGGAGTCAGGGTGCATTCGCGTGTAAACGAGCGGAAGCGACCGAGGACCTCATCAGAAAGGGGTAAGTTCATGGCTCTTGCGCCCGCGCATACCAGATTTGCTCCTCCATGACTGGGCCACTGCTTGCGGCGAGTAATAGAGCGACGTTGTTTGTGGCTTATGGAGGCGAGGTTACATAAGCACATGGACTGGCTCGTCTTTGTCTGCGATAGCGGACAATATGTGGGACGTCTTCAGATGTTCATGCATGCAAGCGGACGACTGGCACCCAGGGCCATTGTACGGTGAGGCGGCAGCGAGGCACGCGTCGAGAGTGGGTGCAATGGCAGTGAGCGCCTGGGCTCGCTAGGAGGCCTGGTGCAAGCCTGGTGCGCGGAATACGTAAGGCAGCGTGGCCTTCGTCGAGAGACAGCAGTCGACGGCCATGCGCTGGAGCCACCTGCAAACGGAGCGACGTCGAGCCGCCTCGACACGGCCGTGTGTTGATGGAGGAGGGTGTGGGGAAGAGCAGAAAGGGCAAGCAGGGCAGGTGAGGCCACGGATGTGGGACGCGCGAGCTTCCCATTGACGGCCAAGCTGCCGGGCTTTATCCGTTTCATGGATGGGCCTGCCAGTGCCACGGTCGTGTTGGACGCCCAGGACGCGGCGCCGTCCCCGCAAGTCGCGACTTGCGCCCAGCTGCTGTCTTTCTCCTCCAGGCCTGCTCTCTCCAGCATGTCTGCCCCAGCCATATAAGTCGCATCAAGCCTCCAGGACACACCCGCCTCCAATCCGTCGCCCACAGCCATCCGTGGGACCTGCAGCCATGCAACGTTCGCCCGCCGTACGTCCGTCATCTCCGAGTCGCACAGTAGTCCTCCCTCACCCGGCCATTCATCATGCAGCAGGGCAGTCGGACCCGACCCGAACACCGCGCCGCGCCCTTGATCGGCCAACCCATCCTTTTCGCCACAGGCCCCTTTGCTGGACGCTATATCCGCGCACAGCTCGTGGAGCTGCAGAAGCCCGATCTAGGCAGGAAGTTGGGTCTTTCTCTCACTGCCGCAAAGTCAGCGTATTTTGACAGCCACCCCGCCGCTCAGGTGCGGAATCAGGGACAGGCGGCCTGTAGATCCCCCGCCCGTCGTCCGCCTCCGGCTCTTCCAGGTCCACGACGCACACACTTCCGCTCAGTGGGAAGAGGAGCTTGTCAACCTGTCGTGCGCTCGTTTCGTCTGCTTGCGCGACCTGCTCACTCACAGCGACGTTTGTCCGTCCTCCGTCCATAGCGAGGTCGAGAACTATGGATTCATATGCCATGTCGATCTGTTCCCTATGCCCATGGCTTCCGCCGGCGACTCGCCCCGCACGCGGCGACTCAGTAACCAGTCCTACGAACGGCTTGCTATCCCTGAACACGCCGGCAGTTCGCCCTTTACCTCTTTGCCGCTCACAACAAGCCCTAGTGGATCGATTCCCTTCGTACAAGCTGAGAGGATGTATGCAACCAATCAGCAGCGGGAAGTTTACCGTGGCGACTCTGGGATGAGTTCTTCAGCCTCCATGAGTAACTCATCTCTCCAGGATGGACCACCTGACACAGTGGCCACGTACATGAATGGTCTTCCCGTGCCAGAGAGCAGGCGGTGCACGCACTTTGTTGTGGGAACAACCTTCTCGGCGTCGTCGTGCATCGAGTACCAGCGAGTCATGCAGCTGTTGTTCATCTTCCCAGTGCGTATCCAAGCCGTCTCTTATCCGACACCATTCCGTAGTCTTTTTCCACCCGTGACCTCTGTTACGACCTGGTCTGACCGCTATCTCATGCAGGATCTCGCCGTCAAGGAGGATGGGGACTATTTCCTTCGCTACAGGGCATTCAACACCCTGTACAACGTCGCGGGGAGTACTCCCATTCAAATCCTCGCCGAATGTGTCGGCGGGCCGTTCAGGGTGTACAGCACGAAGGACTTCCCCGGTCTGCGCGCATCGACCGAGCTCACGAAGGTCTGCCCTCCCTTGTATGCCCGTGCTCCCCTATTCACACCCGTATCCTCGCTTCCTCCCTGGATCTCTCCGCTCCCCCGCCGATGGTGCTCGCCACCGATATATCTGCAAACCAGCATATCGCTAATTTCGGCTTGCGCATCAACTCACGCGAGCACGAGCGCAAACGGCGCAAGAGCTCGCACGCCGCGGAGCGGTCGAGTATCCAGAGACGAGAGTTGCGTCCTGCGCATGCTGGCCCGTCATCCTATACAACGGATACCGCGCCGCACACGGGTGTCTACGGTAGTAGGCGGGGGAGGGGAAGCACCTTCTAGTCTCGAAGCTCCCTGCTAGGGTTGGGTCTGTGCTTGGTCTGTGCGTACGACGTACGCACACATCTGTCACGTGCCTCATCGCGGCTACACACGTCGCTCAAGTTTCTTGTAAGTTATGTAGCCATATCTTCAGAGTTGTATCCGTCAAACGTTCATGGTCCATTTACATATGTTGTTTTAAATGCTATCGAGATGACCGTTATACAGAGAGATTGCTATAAGTTAAGCATTACATGTGGCGTCGCGACGGCGAATCCAGACGCAGCACTCCAAATCACTATCAGACAGAAGGCCTCGTGCACAGCAAGACTGGGCTACGGCCCCTCTAACCTTCCAGAAGTGCGGGGATAAGGTCTTTCGTGTGGGCGGCAGGGACTTGAGATCCGATCCGCATTGAAGCTATGTGGTGCTGGATCAGCGCCTCAGCCAAGGGCTCAAGATCGTGCTTGAGTGTATATTGGGAGGTGGACCTGCCGGACCATTCCATCTGGGCGCGTTCGGCGCCGTCCCGGGTGCTTGAGGAGACGGGAACGGCGGCGCGGTGTAGATACCAGGATTGTTTAGCTGGGACGGCGAGGGTTGGTACGGGTACGGTACGTGAGGAGGCGCATGATACGCCGAGGCCGGCTTCGTCGACCTGTTCGGTGCAGGCCGCGTGCTTGCATCTGCGGAGTCACTTGAGCTGCTCTGCGCGGGAGGGAGAGGAACGCCGCTGGGTAACGCACGCTGCTTCTTCAGGCCCAGGTTCTGCTCCTTCTCCGCCTTCTTGTGTTCCCTCTCCGCGCGTTTCTGCGCTTTCGCGTCTTCCTTGTGCTTCCCCTTCCGAGTCGCCGCGGGGTTCAGGTCGGCAGTCGCCGCGTCGGGGATCCAGCCGAGCTCCGGCCCAGGGTCCTTAACCTCCGCTCGAGGGCGTAGCTCGGGCATGTCGATCTTGCTGAGGTGTATGACGAGGCTCTCGGGAGGAGTGTAACCGTCCTTGCCACGACTCTTACCCTTCGGATCCGGATCATTGAGGTTGATCCGTCGGGGGCCTTTCGTCTTGTTCGAAGTATCGTAAGAGACGTATTGATGGAGTTCCTCCTGTAGACCTGCCAGTTGAAAGTCGGATCTCACTCAACGATTCATGTCTAGAGGCCAAACGGTCGTACCGGACTTGTAACGAAGACGTTTCGTCTCTTCCACCACCCGAAGCACCTTGGGGACTTCGGTCGCGGAGGCGGAGCGCACCGTGATGAACAGCATAGCCTCGTCCTGCACACGTGAATCACAAAGCGGAGGAAAAGACGAATGTAGCCGCGTACCTGCAATAATCGCTGCGCAAACTGCGCGTAGTCCTCCACGGCGCCTTCTTCGCTGACTTCCAGCTCGTTCGCCTCGCCTTCGCCCTGGAGCGTGCGCAGCATGTGCATTTCCGCGACGCGCTCGATTCCCGTGCGCGGTGGCGGACGAGGAGGGATGGCAGGAGGAACGGGTGTGGGTGTGCCTGAAGGAGAACTGCTTGCCTCCCGCCTGGTCCCGATGCTTAGAAGGCTCGACAGAGGGTTGCTAGTACTGGTACTGCCAGGCGCGTTGGAAACGTCCTCAGGACGCGGAGAGTGGTAGGCGTCGTTGGTGTCCTGGAAAGTGAGCAGTGCTGTGAGAATGAGGATCTCCAGACCTTTGCGGTCATCGATATCGAAGCTGTACATGATTTAGTGGTCACAATAAGACGCGATCTCGACCGGTCGCGATGCGTACCGGTTTATGTTGTAGTCGAGGATCTGCACGGAGGACGTCTTCAGTCGTCCCGACGGTTCCTTCGTGACCGCGACCAGAACAGCAGGGTCGGGCTTGCGCAGAATGTAGCACTCTTCGCGCCGCCACTCGAATTCGTGACTGGCGATGACAATTCAGACATACGGTCGAGAGGGATGATGTAGCAGACGTACTCCTCCCACTTGAAACCCCATTTGAAAGACAAGGTACCTGTGTACTTCAACTCCACTACTGCATCAGGGTTGTATAGCTGAATCGTCTTCTGCTTGCTTGTGGCAAGCGGCGCGGTAGCGGTGGCAAGCAAGGATGTAGAAAGAGGATCTACAACGGGGACAGCGGTCACAGGTGTCGGCGCGTCAGGTTATCTTGATTGTCCAGTAGACCGTTGACACCTTCCAGAATCGAAGACGTACCGTATAGTTCGATGGTGTACGTCTCGCTCTGCACCTTTCGTTTCCTATAATGAACAGTGCCCGCCGGATCGACTAGGTCGATGACATCCGGTCCTTCCGAGCTCACTGTCACGTTGAGAGTGAACAAGTTTTGATCCAGGCTCATCTCCGCTTGCTTACGCCTGAAATCGTCGAGGAGGGGTACCAGAATCGGAGGTAAAGAACAAGGTGGACATTACATATTGCAGCAACGAGTAAGTAGACATAGCCTATGGGCGCCTATATCGTAGTTCCTGCTGCGCTCGTGGCCTGCGCTTGGCCTGCGCGTGCACAGCAATCCACAGCAGACTGGCAAGCTATTCAATCTGTCAAATCATCTCAAAGGTATGCCTTGCCGTTGCTCCGGCTCAAGCTCTCAAGCTTTGCGATTCATGTCCGCGCTCATTCCCTGTAGGCAACGCTAGTGAACCAAGGAACTGGCACTGGCTTTGCACAATACATAGATCTAACATAGATCAGCCCGCCAGTGGCACCGCGGTCGAACAGCTGAAGTGAGCAGCAGTATACGTACATACCACAATATTCATTGAAGAGTAAGAATTGTAGTAGTGACACCCCGACCATCCGCTCGGTGCGCACTGAGCGCTCGATCGAGCGTTCACCTACTACTTATGCACTTGCTACTATCTATTGTGACCCATGTGTCCGTCCGTCAGTGCCAGCTTAACGTCACAGACTAAGCCCAGGACGACGATTCGCACATCACAAGTGCTTCAGCCGCCGTAACCCCATCCAGGGGCACTAAGAGGGAGTCCAAGGGTAGCAGATGGGCCGTCCTTGTGTGTGAATATTAATGTGACTGGACTGCCCTGGAAGCCTACAGCAATACTTCAATATTCCGCTTGGACAGAAAGTCGAACATTCGTCACCGTGATAAACGCAACAGCGGGCGAGGGCGAGGCGGCTCGCGGTACCATTACAGTAAACCGGCAGAGTACAATCCCGTGTCCGGACATCCCATAAAACCCAGCATATGCTCCTAGAAAACGCAGCCCTCGTGATTAAATGGTCCTCTAGTATCCAAGCTCAGTACAGCCCAAGCAATGCACGGAATAACGTTTCCCGTACCTTCACCGACGCCCAGTCAACAACCAGACTTGCTACCCTATCGCGGAGGGCAGCATTACACTTTGAGCACGTCAAGTCTTCCAGCAGAGGGAGGAATGTGGCTTGCAATAATTGTGTGGATATATCTGTGCATATCATCAGCTCGAATATTCGGCCTTCTCAGTCACTACTCACTAGGCCCGGCATCCCACATGATATGGGCAACACCCAACGCCCACGCACGCGCCAAACACCTCTGCTGGACATCCGAGCACTCAGCGGTATCCGGATGGTGACTAGGTAGGTGCGATAGCAGATGCTTCAGGGCCTCGATGCGACCGATGTGGAGGAAAAACAGTCTCTTGAGGTATAACGAACCAACACGCGTGGCGAGCTCATCCGTGAGCGACGCGAGCGGGAAGGCGAGGAGATGCGCGGACGCAGCGATCGCGGCGTCGAGGAGGTCGTGCTTCGCGGCAAGCGCGTATGTGTCGATTGGGCGGAGCGGCGCACAGGCGGCGAGGAGGTTACAGAGCGGCATACCCGCGCGGGCATGTTGCTTCGACGAGAAGCCATACTGTGGGAGCACGTCGAGCGTCGCGGAGATCGTCTCGAGCGAGGGCCCGGACCCAGAGACAGACAGCCCATAGACGATGTGCAGGATGATGCCGAGCACGTTAGCGGGTTCGGGCGTCGCTACGGCGGGAAGGTGCCCGTCTATTTCGAACGCCGTTGGGAGGAGCATCGCGAAGCCGTTATCGGATGCGGCCAGGACCTTGGAGCAATGCACGTAGAAGAAGACATCATCTCGTGAAATGAACACGATGTCCGGGGCACGGTTGTTGAAGGAAGTGTACGGATGGAAAGTACGCGAGACAGAGACGCTTAGTTCGTTGGGAGTATTGCCCGACACGGGGGTCTCCGTAGGTGTGCGGACCTAGTGCTCGTGAGTCGCTGTGCGTAATCTTGCAGCGCACGGGACGTACCGGAGTCTGCGGAAGGAATTTGTACTCTGCATCGCTGTCCGCAGACGATCCTGCGGAGAGCTGCATGTCGAAGTCGAAATAATCCAACATGGATATAGATCGAGTGCGACTCACCGTCGAGGAAAGTGGAAGCTGTACTAGCGATATCGCGCCTCATCTCCTATATACGTGGCACAAGGGCTAGTGTACAGGGATGCCGTTTGACTGCAGGCTTAGGCCTGGCTAGCAATGCCCGGGAATATGGCAGCGACCTGACGCGCGCTGATAGGCTGATGGGCGGAGCTCTGTCGGTACATAAGACCAGGGCGGCCGAGAGCCGTGTTGCTACATACATACATCAGCAGTGCTAACAGCCGTTCGCGAGCACGAGCCAGGGCACCTCACTTGCATGCTGGGGAGGGATCATCTGCGTAAGCTCGTCGAGGTGTCTAAGGTGACAGTACTTACAGCACAACCGGATAAAGAGAGCACTGAGACACTATATATATGGAATCGGCGGTGAGATGCGAGCGGTTGGATTGGCCAAAGCTGGATTCAGCGGTAGTGCAGTCCATGAGTAAATGGTAGAGACCAAGTGCCAGAGGGCGCCTACAAGCCACACGGGCCATGACTTGGTACTGCCACCTTCGGTCCGCTCTCAGGACAGCACCATGGCGAACGCATGAACGCTCTTTCTCGCCAGCATTCCCCCCTCGGTCATATCTCTCTCATGCTGCCGGCGTATCCAGGATTCCGTGGTTTACCTCCATTCCATCCTTCCGGGAGCAAGTGGCGAGGTCAAGTAAGGTGCCATCCTTTGGCGAACGGGTCAGGTGTCCGTCAGTGAGGAAACAACTCCTGGTGAGCAGCCATAGCACGCTCGCGTCGATACGACGCTCTGACCTGATCAGTTTTTTGGGATCGGCTCCTTCGTCGTTTTCTCCCTGGCGGCCGGGACGACCAACGACGAAACGTTCGCATGGTCGGTCCGGCTGACGTTGTCTGCGCCCGCGTGGAGGCACAGACCACCGACGAACGATGAGATGCGACGAGCGAGATATTACGCACTTGGAAAGGTGAGTTCTTGTCCGGTGATTGGTGGGCATGCGACGCGCCGGCGTGGAACGATGGACACAGCAGCCGGACGACTCTGCATACAGTGAGTCCGCGCCCAGTCGTCACAGCGCTGTGCACTTGCTTGTATGGCTGCTGTCCCTCGCGTCTTGCCATGCACCTCGGATCGAGCGTGCCTCACGCTCACCCCTCGTCCGCGGGCACTAATCAACGTTCCTCGAATAGACATTGCAGCAACGTTTGGTATTGCTGAAGGAAGCCGTGGACGAATGGCCGCAAACGCTGAAAGTTTTGATGATCTGGGCTTATGTTCAAGTAGCACAGCCCATCCTAGACACCTCGGAGACAAGGCGGTGGTGCTGGGCAGTGGGCGCGTTGAACGGGATGCTATACCTTGCATGGCACTTTCCGCGCGCAAAGCCAATACTGCGTGCCAAGTTCACCCATAACCCTCTCTCCGGGCTCTCATACACTATGTTGACAAGCCTCTTCAGGTGCGTTTGCGCGTGCTGAGAGGACTGAGGCGCGAATTGACAGGGAACTATACAGCCATCGGTCACTTGTACATGTGATCACTAGTTCTATGCTAGTGGCCGCATTCGGTGAGGATCCGCTTAACTTCTGAACCGGGGAAAGGCAAGACTAATGGTTCTCGAGGCTCCGCGACGGCCCATCATCTTTTCGAGGCGCAGAGCGAGGGTGCGGATAATTTGAGAGAAGCAACACCAAAGTGGCACTTCCTTGCGTTTTTCATATCCGGTACGCCTTCCGCCAATGTGATGTCCTCAGTCTGACGCCTTCCCCAGCTGGGGTCTTCGCCAACCTCGTCTCTCACGTGGCTTACTCACGCATCACCTACCCTCGTTTGGTCGCTCGTCTGAGATCTTTGCCTCCTACCACGCCTGGTGGCATTTCAGCAACTACGCCGCGAAGCTTCCTTGCCCAAGTGTTTCGGCCCAAGCAACCGCTCAGCGCACAACCGAGTGATAACGTACCACCCGGCTTCGGTGCATCGGGGGTCGTCTATGCCACATTGGCGTTTGCCGCTCTCGCGTACCCCGACACTGTACTGGCGATGCAAATACCACCCACGTTCCCGCTCCCTATACAGTACGCGGTTGGCTCCCTACTCGTGCTCGACGTAATAGGTATTTGGCGTGCCTGGCGGTAAGTCCACCCTACGTGCGTCACTCCGAGTCTGGCCTCTGACTGACGAGTACGCTACAGGAGATTCAATCACTGGGCGCATCTAGGCGGTGCTGCGTTCGGTGCGTTCTACTGGGCGTACGGCCCGCAAGCTTGGGAGTTCTTCAGGGAAGCGGCGCTCGGCGGCTTGCCCCCGTCCTTGACCATCTTACCCGGACCGAAGGACACGAGTGAACAACCAGACTCCGCTTGACAAAGACCGTACAAGCACACTGCTGCGTTGTGCAGTTTCCATGGACAGCGCCTGGCATTCTTGGTAACTTATAAAGCTATGAATACATTTTTGCTTTATTTTTCAGCACTATCGCAGAAAGTCGCCTCGGCAACAGAAATAGGGCAATATCTGAATCCCCGCTCTGTACAACATGAACCAAACGTCAAGGTGAAGCAGACATATCAGGGAGCCTGAGGTTGATCACGCTGCCTAGGATGACCTCCGATAGCTCCCTATGGTCCTTCTCGTCTGTCTTCAGGTCTACCTCGTGCGCCGATGCTGTTGAGTGCTTGCGGCTATGTATCCGAAGTATGCGCAGCGACTTCTGTTCCGAGCATACGCTTTGAGAGGGACCGCTAACTGTAGAGTGCTGGAGACTCACGGGCAAAGATACTCGGCTATGGACGGTTGTCGGTGAGCTACACCCATCGATGGATCGCCCGTCCAAATAGCTTGCTTGCGCTTCTCCGCTCAACGTTGTGCATCGATCGAACGCGCCGAAATCAAGGCTGATCGGCTGTTGTATCCGCGTCTGGATGGTCTTGCGGTAGTTGAGACTGCGTGCTACGTCAGGGACACCACAGCTACGTTCTGCGACTGTATGCGTACGTGGCGAGTAGTGAGACAAGGTACACTTGCATAACGGGTGTCAATGTGCGCTGCATGCGTAGAATGTACGGGGCTACCCACAGTTCGCAGTCTGCACGTAGAACGGCGCGTATATCATGCTCTCAGGGCTGCAGACGAACTGCGCCATGGGACATGAGCTATGTTGTTGAACGTGACCGACAATGGTATACGCACGGCAATGAGGGTCGCAATTGCGCATCCACTGTACGTTGAAGCGTCGGTAAACAGGTCGATGGGCAGGTAGATACACGGGGAACCTACCACGGAATGGCTCCTACAATGCAGCGACGCAGTTAGCGCGACCACGAGGCGCTCCGGCATTGAACGTACCGGTTCTGATCGTGTACATGATCAAAAGGTTGATGACGGAGTCCGTCCTGTGGGCATATGGGTTGTGGATTACGCTGCGAATGCGAAATACGCTCACCTTTGTAACCCGGATCGCGACCGATGTAGAGTTGCGCAAAGCATCGCCGTCAGGATGACGTCTGCGGCGATTCCGACGCTAAACATGGCCGTGAAGAGGTTCTGCATCGAGAGTTTCGTCAGACGTCAGACGACAATGGGAAATTTGCGTTCGCGCTTACCTCTATGCTAGTGAGACCTAGGAGTTTGATGCTTTGAAAGCTGAGGTAGGTGTAAATAGGTGGACATGTCAGAGTCTCTAACGTCAACGTACAATGTTACTGTGATAGCTGTGAAACGAAATTAGTCTGACATATGCGAAGCGAGCCACTCATTGCGACTCTTACCGATCGCACCGCCTGTCGATTGGTTAAGTGGACATATACGACAATGTATAGCCGATGACTTACCTAAATCGGCGAGTGAAAGGAGAGCCTACGGAAGTTGAACGAACGGCGATGAGTATGTATTCCCGTGTCTTGCATCTACCGACATACCACGAGCACTATAAGTAGCACTATAGCTGGCGAGAGGACAGGCTTGGCTCTGTAGACTAGATTGAGGCATGCATGTCAGCGTGAACAACGGCCTTGGCAGACACTAAAGTGGCGTACGTTTGTACACGCGGGTTAAAAAGACTCTGTCGAAGATGTCAGAGGTGTGTCGTATGACAACAGTGAGTACTGACAATCGGACTATCGTCATAACAGCGGACTGGGTATAGGTAATAATCAGCAGGTGCTCAGAAATGAACGCGTAAGCCTGTGCGTACCATCATGGTCGTCAGAAGCTAAATAGTCGGTCAGAACATACGCATGCGCTGTTGTAATATATGTTACGCACGGAGACGCTCCTACGTGTGATAATCGAATGAGCAACAGACGTCTCGGATCCATTGCTCAAACTCACCAAGGGCTACGTTGTATCGCCGAAGTGTTGCCGTAGTTTGTGATGGTGAACCAGTATATCCCGTGGAGGATTATCACACAGCACAGCGTACAGAGCAGCCTAATGAAGGTCAGTAGGGGCAAAGTGATGCTAGAGATGGACCTCACCATGCAAGCAGAATCTGCGGCCGCGACGCACTTCAGGTAGGTATTCAAGACTACAGCCATTTTACTCACAGCGAACCTAAGCCACTTGGGATCTTGCGTGGACCGCTTGTAGTACGTGTACGCCATGCCCAATAGACACCCATACGCGCTATGCAGCCATCAACCTATGTACAGCCGCAGAAAGTTGGAAACGGTACCTACATGCACTGAAAATCAGCCCCTAAAAGCAGAGCCCCTAACGCACGGTCGTATATCCAAGGACGAGTGTAGGGGTTGGCGTTACTGTCCATGGTCGGGTTCGTCTGCAAGCTCGAAAAGCTTGGTGGGGGAAGGGATACGCTGTGCCGCGGAGGATGGCGCCCCGCCGCGACAAGCCATGACTATATGCAAGTCGTGTCTCGGCTTGCGGAAGTGTCAATGGCTCGGTGACGGATATCGTTTAGGGGCGGATGCAAATCGGGAATAGAACTATTTGGGAGATTCCGCGCGGATGAGTCCGACTATGCCCTGACGCGGATGCGTCCCCTGCGCCACAAAGCAGGTCGTGACCATGACGTAGCGAAGGTCGATGACCTGTCGTCCGTCAAATGTGGGATTCGAGGCCTTCCAAACTAAGACTGGCAATCGTCTGTGCATATCGCGAGGCACTACTAGACCACAGGAGTCAGAACCCTCGGATGATAACGCACGTCAGGCTTCCAAAGAGCGCATATATCCATCTGTTTGTGTATCATTGTCGATGAGGAAGCAAGCCGGTAAAAGCGATGCAGCAGAACACACCAAGCGCTCCGATCAGTTAACCGGTCACAGGTAAAATGATTTTGTGGTGAAGACCATGACCGAACGATCCATATGAAGCACGACTTCGAACGCTAAAGCATATGCGATCAACGGATGCTTGAACAGTACAAAGTCCTGGCCTAGCCAGGCGGCTCGTCATGTCGATGGTCGTCTCTGTTGCGCGTTTCAAGCACTATCGTCTCATGTAGACGATCACACTCGAACGCGTCACGCCTCTCGCGGCCCTGCTGAGGGTGCAGAGGTGAGCAGACGTCCGACCGGCATATCGTATCACTCACAAGGGGCGTCGGATCCGTACGAGGGCTCTTGTCAAGAGGTTCCTTGGTCGAAGCGGCGCACTGCCTCTGTGAGCAAAATAATTCATCTGCGGATGCCGTACATGAGCGTGAGACAACATACAGACGGCTGCGATGGCCCTTCTTTGCTATCAGTCGCGTTCGGAGCGTCTGCGTAGCGAAGCTGGGGAACATTGACAGCGATTGTGAGCCTCGTTGGCAGTGTGTCGCCTCTCGGGTTTGATAACCTGCCAAGAGCGCTGTAATTTAGCTCCAGTGGGCGCGCTATCCGCCTGAGTACGAATTGTCGATGGTTGAGGCTTCAACGCCAGGCTCAACAAGTAGTCGACCGACGTGATCGTGCGCGTCACTCACGATGCCACTAGTGTGATCAAATACACTGATAAATGATGTCAGACAGTGAATACGAGAGGGTCCAGGGCACTCACGATTTCCGACCTGCATGTATAGAGACGCATATAAGAGCGCTTGAGGCTCGACAAACATCTGTATTGGGACTCAATCGGCATGTCCGACGCAGCTGCTCAGAGTGACTCACTGATATAAGTGTCGCCATTGCGAGAGTACTGCAGGCGCTCAGTGAGGACGACGTTTGTGTGAACAAATCTCACTGACGTTGGAATAAGCCCTGATAGATACGTCCGACCGTTGAATGTTCACAGTAATAACGATGAAGCGGCTGACGCACCAGTCGACATTGTGTACAGAATGAGGAGATTGATCACGGAATCGGTCCTAGACGTGGTTGCAATCAGCCAGTGAATGAAGAGCCTGATGCAGATAGGGCCTACCTTCGGAACCCAGACCGCGACCGATGCAGGGAGTAACTTTGCACGAAGACGAAACAGACGTCTGCAGCGATTGCACATACTAGCAGAGCATCAAAGATCGCCTACGTGGTCCTATCAGATACAGAGTCGACGTTGAATTGTAGGGAGAATAAACACCTTCAGCCTCCCTACTGCTCTATCGTTGGGCAGGAGCCTGTGATGCGAGCTCAGTAATCGACTCGTAGGCGAAGATTTTTCAGGCGTACAGTCGGACCGTGATACCTGTAATCGAAGTGTGAACACCAATGATCCGTTCGTAAATGCGCAATCTAACATACCGATACCACCCGCTATTCAACCCCGGAACGTGTGTGAGTTGGGCCGGAACATCGCTTGGCGGTGTACTCGCCTATTCCAACGAGCGACAGCAATGCCTAAAAATTGTCACTTAGTGCGTCGTCGGGTAGAGTCACGTCTGACGTACCACCAATACGATGACAGAGACAAGACCAATAGACAAATCTCCTTTGCGCTGGTGAACTGTCCAGACGTTCAATACGCATACAGGACAAAGGGGAATGAAACGTACATCGAGCTAGGCGATGGAGCAGCAAACTAGTGAACTTGAGAAGGGATTTGTGCCATAGGGAGACACGTCACTTACAGTCTGACTACCGTCGATACGGTTGCCTGCTCAAATACCCGACTTAACGATACATCTTATATCCGTAGCGAAAGACGTACGACGATGGATATGAGAAGCTGGCGTATCTGAGTGTCCATGAACGCTCATTTATACATTGATAACCACGCACCGAGAGGCTCCTGTAGACTGGCTTCAGTTCAATCGCTACACACATGAGGCAGGCACGTACCAGGGTGCCCATATCTGCTTATTCGGGATGGTAAGGGTAACGACCAAGAAGTAGTATGTACTGTAGAAGTCGATAGCGGTGCTGAAGCCGCACAGGGACCTGTCATATACGTAAGAATGACGGGCTGCCTTGCTACCAGTGGTGGATTGGCGTTACCAGACGATCATGATCTGGCAATTTGGTACGTCGTGAATATGAACTGCACAGCACCTTGTATATCCATTGAAGACGTACCAGCGATTTTATCCATTTAGCGTCCGAGTTTCGATGTTGCCTGAAGTACGCGGTTGTGACTAGAGACGCCAAACCAAAGACTCTGTGGCGACGGTCAGAAAGACATAGCGCGCGATGCGTAGCGTACTGGAAAACCGACATGGCTTGGATGTTGACCCCGACCAGCAATCCCCCCACGTTTGTCTTGAACTGTTCAGTGACTTCAGTCTGTGTATTCGTGCCGTTGCTCATGATGAAGGGGGCATGAGAGGTTGCTAGCGAGGAGGTGGGAACGAACGAAGCGTTGGGTGAGGATTGAGGGGCTCAACATTCTCTTCGGGCCCCTTTCATGAGGCCGATCACCAGACATAGATCCAGAACAACAGTCCAAAGGGACACAGTCTAGTATCCCGGCCGCTCGGATATGGGGAGCGGAACCGCCTCCTATATCGGAGTCACGCTGCCCATCGTAGCGGAGAGACTTCATACTACCAATGGTGTCTTCCGAGTCTTCTAGCGGGTGGAATGTGACCGAAGCATTGCCAACGGTGGCGGCGAGATCTTGTTCGCACTCAGGAGAGATGATGACGCAGTGGAAGCGACTGGCAGAGAACACCCTGAGCAAGCCTGAGTCACGCTTCAGTCAAGTTGTGAAGATAGGATACAGAACCAAACAAGTACGATAGGTGATAAGGCCTCCAGACTGAATGTTCTTGCTGCTCGGAGTCGACGTCTCTTTCGACGTTCGTTGTTGACGAAGTTGAATCGTTTATTCATAATTCATTGACCACTGCTTCATTCGGCAGGCCCCATTCTCAGATCTTGATCCCGATCAAGCTCCGACCTCTGTGGCGGATCTGTCGTTGGGCGCTAACACGTGTACTAGCAGATCGTTGACTGGACCCTCTTGTACTGCCGTACGGACATAAGTGATGCAGTACATGGACCAGCAGAGCATACACCGATACGACCGTCACTGCGTTCTTCCTGACACAATCCACAGCAACTATGGCATTCATCTCGATAGCATGGAACGCAGACTTACCAGTGACTCTACTCGTAACTCCTGCATCAGCAAAAGTGCAAGTTCCTTATTCCACGCTTAAAAGCCTTAACAAGCACTTTAAGTGAATAAGGACCTCAAGGAACGGTGCTTAATCAACGAGATCCATTCTCTTAATTAAGGTGCCGGCCCTTGACACCCTTAGTAAGGACGACTTAAGCTAGGCTTTAAGGGCAAAAAGCAGCCCTAAGACGTCGTGTAAGGGAAACAAGCTGGCACACAAGATATTCAAGTACTCATCAAGTGTTATTGAGAGTGGTCCAGAACGTGCTACGGACAATGTGGAAACTAATCCTAATCGCATTATGCAATGATAGTTATGTAAAGTGTACTGTACGCGAACTTGAATCAGAACCGACACGGTGATGCTAGGAATGTACAGTACATGACCTAGGACCAAAGCCATACTGTACCATGACCTGCTTCGAGCTTTACCTACACGACTCACCGTGTAAATGTAGACATGAACAGGTCCTTGTTTAGGGGAAGCCGGCCGCACTAGTGAGGGTGCTTATCCATCTATAAACCGCACTAACAAGTTTCAGGATGCTATTGACGACCAGACTTTGCCACATCGACTCACCGTCATCACTGTATGCATCATCCCTCCGACCTCGTCACTAGACGAGGCCTGCTGCTCTATCATATCCGATACCCCATCTCATTGCCCTCCGTGGTATTGGCGTCAGGATCATCTCCATCAGAATGATCCGAGTGAAATGTGTCTTGCTCCGCCAGATCGTCCGCGAGGTCGCTGACGCCGTCTGCGGGTTCACCGACACCGTCCGCGTCAGTATCCGAGTCGGCATTGTCTGGTTGCCTTGCCTGCGTCAGCAAAAGTGGAAGTTACTACTTAATCCGTGCTTACCTCCGAACCATTCCATGTCTTGCGATTGCTCACGCCCCGTGCCGTTTCCGTGTTGCATACGCGTCAAATCTACATAATCGCATCCCACTCATCAGCTCATCAGCTTGCCCACTCACCTGCTTTCCCGCTCACCTACCCGTCTGCTCACGCACTCGCTCGCCCACTTGATTGCTCGCCCACCCATTCACCGTGAGAGCAACGCCCGGCGAATGGGCACTCAGAGAGCCGTCTGGCCTATTCGAGGCACGGACAGAGAGGGAGACTCAAAAGCAATGTCGTAGTAAGTATGCCTGGATTCAGCAGATGAGGGAGGCGACAGACGTCACCGTGGTTCAACCTGTGTTACCGAGTTCGGTGACGTGGCAAATCCTGCAAACATTACCAAACACTGGACGCATCGCCCGCCACTGCCGCGCGTCTGAACTTCGAAGTTTGCACTTGCTTTCCCGAGCCACTCTCAGGCTGAGATACAAACACCCACAATATGCTTCACTCACGGCGACTCTCGGGATCCTAACAGCTACTTTGGCAGGCCGACCGGAGCTCGCCAGATCACGGCCCTGGACACGTAGCGTGGGCATCAGGAAAACCCCCCTACGCGAATGTGGCGCAAATTGGCGCCAAATCGCTGTGGCGCGCCTCTCATCGTGAACGGTTTGTAAATTGGTGTGAAAGCCTCACGAATGCAGGCCAAAAATGTTACCCTGTTAGTATGAAGCGAGAAATATTATACATCTCAGTGGCATTGATCTGATAGCATACCAATATACTATTCTATATAATACACAACCGTACATGTATACAACTGCAGTCCAGATGCTCACCGTCGTGCAATGTCACAGGGAAGCCGGGGAATACGGTTACCTTCATTGAGTCATCGCTGGCGTTTGCAGATTGAGTCGTCCGTGGCGGCGCAATTGAATTCAGTGTCAAGCAGCGTAAGTGTGTGTAAATGGCTCATCGACGGTGCCGTGAATATATTCATTGTTCGACTAACAGGTTGTGCCTGTGTGTCCACCCACCCACCCATCCTCCTGCTACCCATCATCCCAACCGTCGCTCATCCCACCGTCCTCCATCGGAGGGGGCCATGGCACCCCGAACATTTCGTACATCGCCTGGGTAGTCGGGAGGCCTTGCGAGTCAAGCGGCCAGTCCGTGCGATTGGGAACGGAGGACTCGGAGGCGTCGGACGACGACGCGCGCGGTGGATTGATCCCGAGCCCGAGCGAGCCAGACGGAGCAAGCTGGTCTGATATTTTCGAAGCTGGGGACGCTGCAGGTTCTGATTCGGGCCCCGTTATCGCCACCGGAGAGAGCGTCCGCGTGCCAGTGACTCGGTGACCCCGGAATGTGATGGGTTCCCGAGCTCGCTCGGAATCCGGTTCGGTTGTTGCATTTGAGAAGGTTCGCATTGCGCAAGGCGTGGGTAGGGGTGCCAGTGCATCAGAATCAGCCATGATGGGGACTGTGACGAGAGCCTGCGTCTCCGAGAGCGGGTACTCTGGAGGTTCGGAATCGGGAACGGTGGCAGTGTCTGAGAAAGCCCGATTGCGTCGAATTCGGCTCTGGCTGGGTATGAGAGAGGTCACGGCGTGTTCGTCCGTATTCAAAGTCGTGTTGTGGCGACAGAGGTTCAAAGTCTGTAACATCCGGATGGGCACTTTGATCGCAAGTGAGCCTGAGAATTATTGACCACATACGAGGTTGATTGGCCCAGGCCCTCCTGGCAGTATGAGCAGCGTAATGGTATGCGTGTCTTCTGAGTAGACATGGCGGATGTCCACCGCTGTAGCCAGTGGGACGTGGGTCATGAGCGTAGAGGTCGCTGCGTCCACGTCTCAAGCTTCAAGTCTAATGATCGCACCAATTCTCCCACGCCGTTCAATGGCCTTGGACCTGCACACTTGAACACCTCCAATCGGAGTCGTGCAACAGTGCTAAGATTGAGGATGTATTGCACGAATGAATCCATTCGAACCATTTCTAAACTAGTAGTCATCACATGGGAGTTATATTCGAAGTCCCTTCCCTATTATTCGGGCTCAGGCCGGAAGAAAGCTACAACTACAGAATAGGCGGTTCATGGGCATGGCGGCCGAGTGCTAGAGTGTGAGTCGGCATAGCTCGGTACAACCCTCTCACGATAGTTTGCCGGAGGAGGGGAGACTCCGTGGCCGTGGCGAATGACCGCCGGCTTCGCTCTCCATCCGCACCCTGTTCCTCCGGGCGCGAGGAAGGTAGAGCGAGGGAGTCGGGCAGCAAGCTTTGGGGCTGATACTGCAAACAGGAAGGTAGGAATACGCCATCATTCGGCCCAGGGCGCGTTCGACATTACCAAAGGCGCGGAGGTGGTACTCCTGGCCGCGCACTTGCCTAATCCCCAAGTGGGTATGGGTGCATGATCTGGCCGGAGTGCAGTTCTGCCTCCGCGGACGCCACGAAGATGTCGGCGCGATCGTCGCCGAACCCCTCCATCTTGTCTACCGACCGCGGCGCAGGCTGCAGGGGCGTGTGCACGGGGCCTGGGGCAACGGCGTTGACCCGCTACAGGCGAGGGTCAGCGAGCAAATCAAGATGCCAAGTAGAGGGAGACTCATGGTCTTCGCGAGGGCGAACATCTTGATGATGTTGCTCTGGAATGTGCTGTCGACCGTGTTGAGATTATTCTCAGCGAGGTCCTTGGTGATCACCTGCTTGGGCGTGTTGTTCACGAGCACGTCAAGCCGCCCGGACACGCGCAGGTCCGCGTCAACCGTCGCGTGCGTGCCCGGAAGCCCTCGAGGCCGTCCGCGACTGAGAGAGTGCGCTGCTCCTTGTGCTGCCAGTGGACTGCGCGCAGGCATCCTCCGCGTCCTTCTGCTCCGCGGGCAGGTGCACGATGGTCACGTCACCGTCTTGGCGCGCAAAGAGGATCGCATCTGCATGCCCAATACCTGAATTGGCGGTTGGCGGGTCAGCGTGGTGTCTGCGGTCGGTGACGCGGAGACTCACTGACCAACTGTGATCAGCCTGGCAACTTTCTTGCCACACCGCTTGCCTATGCCGACGTACCCTTTTCGTCTGGAGCCCGTGTCTAGCGAGGTGTCAAACAAGTCGAGCGTCGTGCCTTTCTGAAGGCCAGGCAGGCCCGGCAATTGTGCGGGGACCTTCTGCTTTGGCGTCGTTCCTTCATGTGCCATGTTGGGTCTAGATCGGGGTTGTGGCTGTGATGAATGAAATGAGAGGAGCTGCGATGTCAAGCCTGTGAATCAGCATGATGTATGTAGGGGCAGGCGTAGGCTATGGACGAAGCAGTGGGCATGCACACGACATAACTTAGGTAGGATCCTGGAGGCGACTTGGCACTCTTCTGCAGACCGCGGATGCTTCACCCGGGCCGATCCCCAACGCGCACATCGACGCGGGTCTGCAGAGGTTGGTCGACATGAACGGCGGCCGACGACGGTTAGCCCTGCCTTAGGCAGAGGTTGGGCCATACTCTCGCCGACAATGAAGTCCGGCCAGCTCATCGCTTGCAGACACCATGACACTGTTCTGCAGGTCGCGGATGCCTCACCCGGGTCGACGCCCAACGCATGCATCGACGCAGGCCTGCAGAGACTGGTCTGTGCACACGACAGCAAGCCCGGGCCCAGACCTCAGGCAAAGATCATGCACTCATGTGTGGCGTGCCGGCACTCTCATACACTCCGAGGCTTGTCATAAAACAAGGATGCTAAGGACTTAACTGGTGTCAGAGTCGTCCATGCCCTCCGCCATGCTCAGATGTCATCGCCGCAGGTCTCCGAGGGGTGTCGTACTTTCGCGCGCTGCCTGCCCTGCTCTTAAAGACGATTTGAACAGTTGAGCCTTAGAGAGGTGAGTGACTGCCATGGGGTCGAGAGAGGGCGGGGTGTTGAAGCCATGGAATGGGATATTGGAGAAGGATGGTGGCGGTAAGTCGTGAGCAGCTGTCCGCGCGCAGTGTGTGATACACGCGCCGAACTTGGTAAGCGCCGGACGCGGTCTCAGCACGACTATTGAACTTTTGCCAGCAGCTGTAGTTCCCGAAGTTATTTCTTTGCACGATCCTCTCATGTCAGGTATGTACTCTCAGTATCTCAAGTTTCGACGCCTAATCATCCACGCTGAAGTGGGGAGGTTCGTTAACGCGGGCGCTTATGCGCCCGGAGAGCATCGTTTCAATTCAGCCTAGTAGTACCAAGTCCAGCTCCCGGGATGCTATAGTCGACATCTACGACTATACAACAGTAATGTAAGTGTGCCTATCCGTAAACGAATTGGCGTAGAAGGTGTCACAAAGGTCGAGAACATTCTCGCTGGTCCATTCAGGTGGTTTCTCTGCCCCGAATTTCGGGATGAGATGTACACTCCGTTGAAGGCTCTGTAATGGTACGATCGCCGCAACTCGAAAACCGTCGTGTGTATGCGATCGCTGAACGCGATAGAATAGATGGTTGGCCTCAGGTTGGGGTTTGAAGCGGCTGAACCACTCTAAGTAGACGAGGTGCGAAGGTGCGTCGGGATCGTCCTTGAATACCATCTGATGAGCCTTCTTTGACAGGCTGAATATGACGCGGACCTGTCCAACGCGGTATCCTAAGCCTCGGTCAGTCTGTGAACCCGCCTAACATGTTTGACCTGTGCTTACCAGCGACTCCAACATGGCCACCACCTCGCTCATCAACCAGGGCGGTGTCAAACCGCCCGCCAACCGCTCTTCCTTGCGAGTCGCGGTAGCCTGGGCGAGCATGAATGGCATCCAAGGTCTCTGGTGCGTTCTGACGCTGGAAGGCATCTTGATTCCAAAACTTTACCTTGTGCCAGACCGAGACAGCGCGGAAAGGGAGGGTGTATAACGACACGGTGTCCGCGAACTCGCGGCCCGAGAGTTCCGGATGTTTATGACCGATAATGAACTCCTTTAAAGTGCGCGCAAAATCGGAGGCACCGTAGCGCGACTCGACCTTGGCGAAGGGTACAGAGGTGCATGTGGGATGACGGGTGACGTGATGATGTGGCTTATGGGGTATGCGAGTGGGTTCAGAGGAAATATCGGGTCGGCCGTCGAGCCGCCATTGGACATAGAGTGCGTGCGCGTGAATTTGCTCGAGACGAACCACGGTGTTCGTCATCTGGGGGTATTCATCCTTTCGGTTCGATTTGCGCCATGGATCTTTTGCGAGGGTAATGTGCAAATGCTCGGACTGCGCGGTATTCGTGCCATCTGCCGTGCCAAATAGTCGGATGCCTGACACATAATGCTGAAGGGAATGTAATTTTGGGAAATTGAAATGCTCGCGAATACCCAGAACCTCGAATATCCCTTTGTTGGCATGGAAGCGGGCCAACGCATCGTCGAGTCGATCGAGCGTCGTTGATGTATGGGCTGGGAGCTGGGCAAGATATACGAAGTCGAGCAGAGCGCGGACAGCACGAATGAGGCGCAAAGGATTTTCGCCCCCAGGCAAACGCAGATCAATGATAGTACCTAGCAGGACGCGGCAGATGTCTTGATGCTCGGTCCCGGAAACACGAGAGAGGTGCGAGATGCCCTTGGAGAAGTGGCGTAGGTTATGATTCGGAGGGAGGGATTGAAAGCGGGCATCGATCACCCGCGCGCCGTAAGCTGACTTGATCCAGGCCACGACATGCTTCACCATGCCTTGGTAGAGTTGATGTAGGATATCAGGTGGCAGTGATGCGTAGATATTGACATAGGGGAGCCCTTTCCAGAAGGGATCCGCGAGTGGCTTGATGCCTGCAGCCTGGCAGGCAAGGACGTGAGCAACAGCATCGCCCGTGTGCTCCAGTGTGTCCAGCGCGGCCAAGATGGCGTTCAAGTCGCGCGCAGTGCAGGCAACATCCTCGCCCAAGACATCCGGTGCGACTACGCCCGCGGGACATTCGCCGTTCTTCACTCCGGTGACAAGAACTATCTCCGGGTAGTCACCAACGTAGGCCGCAAAGACCGGATGGCAGCGCCGGACTGAACCGTCGCCTGTGCTCATGGCCGTCCCATGGCGCCCAGGATCGCGAGTACAAGCGAGGGCCTGGCGCAGGCATGCATGAAACAGGTTGCTGCTCGCACGCCGGCGAGTCTCATCGCTCTTGATGTGGGAAAGCCGAGTAACAGGGAGATAGCCGATGAGCAACTGAGCTTGCCTACTCGACTTGCGGCGAATATCCTTTGGTATGTTGCCGATGGTGAGATAGAGGGGGTAGCAGGACCGATTCCGAAACAGTGTGAGCTGCGTTTTGTCCGATGACACGATGAGTGGAATGATTGTGGCACCTGCTTCCTTGTCCTCGAGTTTGCGCTGTAGTCGAACCTCAATACATGGGCAGCACGGAGCAGTTCAGAAGCTTTGACATACCTGCAAGCGCCACCACCATTCGCCTGTGTTCATGTCACCATACACTCGTGTGGTCTTGGTCTGATCGACGTAGTGCTTCTCGGGAGCCACGAGGATGTCGGCGGCCCAATCCGAGGATCCAAACAGCACGCGAATGCACTGCATGGCATCTCGGAGCCACAGATCATACTCCTCGCCATCGACCTTGACGACGTGCCGCACAAACTTGGGGCGCGTGGGTAGAGAGGAATCCAGAATCTTGTTTAGTTCCTTAGTGTTCTTGAACGAAAGTTGCAGGGCGTCGAGCACCTAGGAGTGGAGCGCACAGGTAATTAGCCAAATGCGTCAAACAGGATCCAGCGAACATACCCCATTGATGGCCAGAAATTCATTGAAAGCGGTCGCACTTGGCCCTCGCGTCTTCGCCCATCGTGCGATACACCACTCCATCTTTGACTTGAAAGGCGCGAAGACGTTCGTTTCCAAAACTTCAGACATGCCCACCTCATAACGTGCAAATGGGTTCTTATCCCCGGGACCGGGAGCCATGACCGTGGCACCGGCGCCCCCACCAAACGGCACCACGTACGGTTCGTTGAACAGGAAGTCTTCATCGACACCTTCGAGGCCTGGTAACTCGCGTTCAACGTCCATGTCATCCTGGCGTCCCTGTTCGTGCCCTCCCAGGCCTTCGCCGCCGCCTGCTTGCTGATCATCGGCCGCAGGAGACGGCGACCTCACATGCTCTGGTGGTGGCCTGAGTGCAACTATGGTCAACAGGGGCCCAGGTCCGTGTAACATTGACAACCCACCGGTGAACATCTTCATATTCACGTTCTTCCTCGTCGCTTGAGGAATCCGAGGTTGAAGAAGGCTCCTCCGGACGATCAGCACCTTGATCCACGAAGTCGTTATCGAAATCTTCCATGCCGCGATCGTCATTGGCCTCTGGCAAGGGCAAGTTGTTGCCGGTGTGTGCTGGCCCCGCAGGCCGATCTGCATCACAGCGAAAAAAGGGAATGAGCAATGCAATTGTGAGCATCGCCCGCAGAACATACCTGACGGCGTCCGTGACCTTTGTCCGCCCAGGTGATCTCCAAGCGGATCATCCGAGCCCAACCCTCCCGGCCTATTGCCGGCTTGACCCAGGCGGGATGAACCTTCGCCGCGATCGCGCGCATCATCTCGCGCGAGGCGAGCGCGAGTCCGTTCTCGCGCTTGGTCGGTTGCGCGGATGATGCTGGCCTGGCATCGTGGATCCATTGACCGAGCGACATGCCGCGAGAGGCTGTCTAACTCAAAACCGGACGCCCCACATCCTAGGCACTGATGTGAGGCTATGCCTTGGGTACTTGAGCCAGGACGCGAACCACCTGTTCCAGAGCTTGTTCAGCACATAAAGCGAGGTGATGAGACGCGCGGGAATGGCCCCCACGCACCAGGAAGGGCGACGTTCATCGCAATATGGGTGAGAGGACCTGCGCGAAGTTCTCCCATGGATCGAGTGTCCTCCAGATGGCGAAATGGGTGTCGTGCAATTGAAAGGCCGACTGAGCGGGCAAGTGAAGAAGGGAAACCTTTGGTGATAAGCAGGCCTCTTAGGTCTGCCACCGTCGTTTGGTGCGACACGACTGAGAACACGCGTCAGCCAGTTGTACCACTGTGCCATTGATCTCGGAACCGGTGACCGACCTATTGGTACACTGCGCCCTGTGCAAGGGCGAATGAATATTGTGTAGGGGGAGCATTGTGCAACGAGGCGGCGGCGACGATCGAGCCGAACCTGCGAAAAATGAGCTCGATGGCGGCGTGCCTTCGACATGAACCCGGCAAGCACTCTTCTGAGCGGAATCAAGCCCGGTTGAACTAGGGATGCTGTGACCAAGTTTGTCAATTGTATGAAGTCGCAAATACACTACGCATACCACACACTCCGACCCAGACAAACAGATAGCCATACACAGCAACGTAGTTGACTGCGCATCTTACACTGGCTTCTTGAGCCGTGAGTTCAATTCCTTGAGGCGTGGGTCGCGAGGCCTCGACTTGAGGGCCTGATACAGACTGCAGCGGTAACAAAGAGATGCACGCCAACGCAGGCACTATAAGAATGAACAGTGCCGTCGCGATGTATTGAAAAGGGTGGACAACAATCGCAGTCGGCGCGATGGTGCAAAGTCCTGCTAGGACTTTGTTACGCCACCCTCGGAGTCGCCTCGATTGGCGGCCTTGCCGGGAGGCTGATGGCATAGCTGGCCGTCCTGAGCATCATATGGATGAGCTATGAGTGGATGAAAGGAAAACACCGATGGCATGAACATGAACTCACTGTGCAGATGTTCGTGATGTACGCAATCTAGTGGAAGTCCGGGGTTCTGCAGCTACTAATTCACGAGCCGCCCTTGCACTCGCTGGTCGGAGAGGGCCCGTGATATGTGCCCGGGCTGAGCCGGAGGCATGGGGACCGGGACTGGCTGGTCGGACTCGTTGCGGTGCGGCTTCCGCCGTGGAGACCCCTGTATCGACACCTGGGTTGGTACCTGAAAATCTTCTTGCCTTCCTTCTCCCTCCTCCCCCACCTCGCGTCCGCTGACACAACATTCTCCAATACAGCTGTTGGGCAGTATATTGCCTAGCCATGTCTCAGGCCCCTCCCAAGAGAAGACGAGGCAGGAAGAGGGCCGGAAATGGACCGCTACTAGTAGCGCCCGACCTGGCAGGCCAAGAGAACGAGAATGCAGACTCTGTTGAAACCGAACTCAGCAACAAAGGTATTCCTCGCTTGTCCCTGTGGACAGGCTGCAGATATGGGCTCACCTAAGGTTGTTCTGCAGTCGTTGATTCTGTGAAGCCTCGGCAGCGCCGTTCTGCGCAAAATGCCGAACCTGGTCTCCTGGAGCTGGAGAAAGAGATCAAGGCACAACAACGCGCAGAGCGAGACACATTCGAATATGCACGCGAGATGGAGATTGCCAATCCAACGAGTAACTGACATTTCATTGACCTCAATACCTACACTGATCACTACTCGCTGGCCAGTTACCCAGCCACGCACAGCCAAGACCAAAGCGTACAAGAACTTAGCCGGTATTGACTTCATGCCTGCTCATTTGGGTCCTTGCAACATCGTACTGACGACTTTCAAGAGTGGATCCCCCAGAAACGCGAGCGCGCAGGCGAAGAATCGGATGCTGCGCCTGTATCAACTGCGGTCAAGCGAAGCCGTGGCAACACAAAGGACGGTATGTACTTACTGCATATTCCGCGTGAACATCTGGACCCACCAAGGGTCCCTGCTCGCAGTCCCCACACATAATCTCGCCGCCGCCGACTCCAGCCGTAACATCATCAGCGGCATTGATAACGCGAAGCTGGCAGGTGCGTACCGTGCCCACGAATCGCTCTACCATTCACCAACCCGATATGGGCATGCCGGTTCATGGGATGCTGGCGTAGATGATGGAGATATTGAGATGGGCGACTTGTACACCGCCTCGACGCCGGAGCCCATCGCCCAAGGTGCAGAACAGCGAGTGCAGCGAGACAAGGCAGGAACAAACCAAGCCTCGGATCGTGACAGCGAGCACTCTGCAGATGATGACGCCGCCGTGTCAGATGCGGGTCGAGAGAGTGATGAAGATTTTGGAGTGGACTCGGACAGAGAGCCTGCCGTCTCCAAACGTAAGGCGCAGAAGATAGCAGAGCAGCTCAAACAAGGCGTGAGTACTGACTATTGTTCGAGGATTCCCACGCTTAGTCACCGCACGACTCGCGCAGACTGCTACCCTCGTCTCGACCTCTCGGGCGAAAGAACAAGGCAAGAGTAGCGGCAATGCGTCCAATGATACATCGTCGTCGGAATACAACGCAGACTTCCTGGACAAAGATGGCAGCAGCACGCATGGGTCCGTCGGACACCGGGATCACCTCCCGGAACGCGAGGACTCGGACCCCGAATGGACGGTCAGTCTACCTCGTGGATAGCGTCTTGTACACATTGACCTTCTCCTTGTTGCAGGCCACCGTAGCTCGCCATGCAAAAGTCAGCCAGGCCCGAAGCGAGAGACGTGCCCAGGAGCAGTCGCAGGCCCGTGGGAACAAGAAAGAAACCGTAGTGAGTACTCTCAACTATAAGTACCTGACACCTGGCGTGACTGGGACATCTTCGTCCTACTTGCAGAACGATGACGCAAATGAACGCACTATGTCGCTGGCCATTCCCGTTAAGAAACCTGCCATACAGCAGTCTGCAGGCAAGACGGCCCGTAAGGTGCCACTGAAGGGCGGGAAGGTTAAGATGGCCCAACAGGTAAGTCGCTCATCAATGTCTAGCATACCGCTGTGAGCTAAATTAACGGTGTTCATTAGCAGCAGAGATCAGAGCACGAACATTTCATCGTGTCGGACGACGAGCCTACCCGCAAGAACAAAAGCAAGGCGACTATAGACGAGGTTGAAGCTCAGGTATACATCTAAACAAGTAATCTCTATCCTTGCACTACTGACGAGCAAGACCATGCCGCGTAAGACGACCAAGGATCGTCCGTCAAAGACGGAAAATACGCCTGGCACGGGCCGCAAGAATGAAGCGACTACGGGACGGGCTGATCCATCGACGGTGCGTGGTTAGGCGCTACTCAAAGGCCAGATTGCTAACATCAGTACATTGATTCAGCGCAACTTAGTAAGTCCATACCTGCGTCACAGTCAGCTTGCCTTACGGTGTTTCGTTTGCAGATGTTGCAGCTGTATGAAACCAGTGAAGACGACGACCTCTTTGGCAATTCGTCCCGAGCCCCTTCTAAGCAGAAGCCGACGCATTCCAAGAAATCGCAACCGGTAAGAATGTCCCGTGTCCATGCCGAGAGCCTTGCTTCGGCTTATCTCATGTGTCAATAACAGTCGACTGCACGACTCGGAGCTGACCCACGCAAGGTCGGCGTTAGCAAGGTAGCACTGTCGCTACCGCACCTTCGGTCCATACTGACTGTTATGGCCCTCGTAGAGTGTCACAAGAGTCAGAGAACCCACCCCAATATTCGCTGACTCGGAGAAGGTCAGCATGTTGCTTTCTGCTTTAAAATGCCGGTTTAGCTCATATATTCCCATACCTCCGACATGCCTTGTCCCAGGATGGAGAGTCTCACGAGAATACCTCAGACGAAGGTGACGCGGGCGGATGGTCCGCAGAAACCTACATCACCTTGGCCAAAGATGGGAAGACGGTTGTGGGTATCCTGTCGCAGCGATCAGTCAAGATCAGGAATTTCCTGTCCGAAATGATCGCGCATGAGCTGCCGCACGCTCTCCTGCGAGTGCACGCGTTTCCGAGTAAGACTGAGCGACCGCAAATCTTCTTAGACCTGCTCGTCGATGCCTCCCGGCGCCTCAAGTTCGACAAAATCACAGAGAGGCTGCTCAATGATTCGCTGTATGCGCAGCTCCTCATGAAGATAGTAAGGCCTGTCATTTATACTCTGAGGCTGTGCTCCTTGCTGATCTTTCTATATCTCAAGCCTGTCGACAGGATGTCGTCAGTCCGAGGGCCGCTCTATGATGCTAGCCGGGACATCGTATGGGAGAAGTACGGGCTCAAGGCCATAGAACATGATGGTGCTGAGCTGAAGAAGGCGGTACGCGTCTTACTCTCTGGCAATCGGTTCATCTGTCCGGGCAAGCTCTCGGTCAGTGCACACCACACGCTATCCTGAGCGCCACTGATCTCTTGCCTAGAACGGAAAGTACACGGATTTCAAGGCCGACCTACCGTTCTGCGCCCCGGCGATCATTGAGATCGCGAGCACCCTATTCTTCTGTCCCGACGCTGTCACGCCTCTTGCAGACGAGTTCTTTACGTCGTCGATCAAGACTGGTGTTGAGGCGACTCAACGCGAGATACCCGAAGTCATGGCAGCATTGCTGGCCACCATAGTACGTTTTATATTGGGTCATTGTGGCCATTAACTAACTATTGGTTTCCTACGTAGGCAGGTGCAGCCATACACGAGGGACTGCATGGCGTCCGCGCCACGTTACGAAAGAATGGCGGCTTTAATGCGGACACGCAAGCGCCGCTTTATGCGGTACACCTTCAAACGCTCAAGGAACTCTCAGCTATCGGACGCCACAAGATCCTCGGCTACCTCTTCAAGACTGCGAAGTGAGTGTCCGCGCAATGATTGCGGATCGATCAAACTGAGGACATGTGTTCGCAGGGTTTACCATGTCCAGGCGATGGCTGACAAAACCAAGGCTAACACGCTCGTTAATCCCGCGACCGCGGGGATGAGTATCATTCTGTAGACTGTTATTTTGGGTTCTTTACTGCACGACTGAAATCCCGGTGTCGCATAGCGTAGTACATGTCCTAGAGCCTGTTCTCGTGGGCGACACTGTTTATACCTGGTCTGTGTAGCATGTCGAAAATATAGGGGTATTGGTGTCTAAAAAAAGTGTGAAAATTTGTGAATGAAAACGATGAGATGCATGAGCTGAGAACCCAAAATTTGGGCGCATTTGCACAAAATTCGTGCGAATTCATGGGGGGGTCAGTCAAATGGCTCTAAATCAAATTCGCGTGAATTTTGGGCAAATTCGCCCGAATTCGGGTAGGGGTGGTTTCCTGATGGGCTCGTCTTGCGCCACGCTGTTGAACGAACACTCTGCGTGGCGGCGAGAAGGTCAATGTGCGAAGACACGACAGATGGACGCCCGGCGAGCGGGGTGTCGGACGCGATGCGATGCGCTGAGGTGCACGCCGAGGTCATGGTCAGTGCCATCAGTCTGGACTCTGGTTTGAGCCCGAGACACTGACCAGAACAGCATGGTGGCGAGTTGTCTGTGTGTCGCAGCCCTCATCCGGAAGCCGGCTCGCAATGTTCTTTGAGTTGTCGTACAGTAGTCATGAATTGTCACGGTGTGTACAGCATTCGGTGCGACGGGCAAGGACACGATCAACATCCAGCGAGCAGGGCATGCATGAGGGGGAGACTTGTGACGTCACAAGAGAGGTCAGCGTTCGCGCACGTATCAGCCGTCGAGCCGCGACAGATGCTGAGCCGGACATTTAGCCTCACTGGACGCGATGTATCGACGTCCCGCAAGCAGCGCGGCGATGGTCATGCTGGAATGTGTCGCCAGGAAGGGAATGGGACATGGGGCACGTACGTGTTCTCGCCATCAAAAATGCGAACAAGAACCTGTCTAATCCATCCGCAGACCGTACACGCACGAGCAAACGACGGACGTATGTATACACGTCGCCCACGCCGCCGTCCTTCCCTGCGACGCAGAACTGCACGCCCGCTGCGCCCTTGTTCCTAAAGTACACAGGCCCACATCTGGTCCACTGCGTTTGCACGTCGCACACGCGCCGGGCGAAACCGTTGTCGCGCCCGTTGCCAGCGGCGTGATGCCTTCGTTGGCGACGGTCGCGATGAGTGCGTACTTATCCTTGTTCGGCACATGCATCTTGATCTGCGAGAGGATGAGCGCGTTTTGAGTCTCTTCTAGATAACTTGAAGGACCACAAACAGCGCATTCATCTGGTACATATTACACGTATTCGTGTATCAAATGGTAGATAGTTGCACCGTGACTGTGCTTTTGCCATGCAGTATCAACAGATTCAATACAGAAATTTTTACCTCTGCACTTGATTGTACTTACATCCTTGTTCCGTTGAAGTTCCTTAAAACCCCTTGGTAGCGCTTAAATAGAGTCACCTGCTTTGTGGTTGGACGGCTCACCTCGATCAAGCTTGTCAAGCGTCGCAAGGGGCTCAAGTAAATCACTAAGACGGAACTTAAGGGGACGTAAGACACAAAGCGCCGTAAGCGCCATTTAAGTCGGCTAAGGAACTTGCACTTTTGCTGATGTGATAGCGGGAGCATTCCGAAAACGACCAATACCCGCACTTGTCCACAGGATGGCTCAACTGGGCGGGCATGTCAGCCTCACAGTCTGATCCGCCGTATCAATCCAGCCATTCCATCGACACCGAATGTCTGACTTCCGCGCTGACCCACTGCTGAGCGCACTAGCAGGATCTGGCCGGTCCACGTTGCAGACAGCGACGCCATGGACGGAACGCAGTTCATTGTTCCGACAGATGGGCGGCTGGGATTTTTCGTCGTTGGAACCTACGCACAGACGGTGTAAGCCGTAATTCAAGTTTGGTCTCTACTCGGTATGCTTACCGAGATGTGCGTAGGACATTTGGCATCGCCTCGCTCTTGACGTACAGCTATCTCAGAAGACCTAGGAATGACCCCTGGTGGGTCCCATCTGTCGTAAGTCCCTCTTTGTAGCTCGCGGAGCCAGCATGATATCAAACGTGCTATAGGTTGTGCTCGTCTGGTAAGACAGCCAGTCTCTCGCCCGACTCCGCTCATGGACCGTTCCCAAACAGGCTTTTATGTACTCTCTGCACTGCCATGGATATCTCTACTGTTTATTATTTTACGGTGATCCATCGCGACGACTCTTTGTTATCAGTGCGACCACCATGGTGAGTCCCGTTGTCGCTTGCTACACAGAATTGGTTGCTGACGGAGGAACAGGAGCCTGTCTGTGAGCGTGGTCCATTGTCATTCTTATATGCAACGGTCTCAATTCTGCTGTATTCTACGGCAGCTCCTGACAGCCGTCGTCGTAAGTGGCACTCCGTCGTGAAGAGTACCCGTGCTCAACTAAGCCCTCGCTGCAGACATCGACGACAACAGCTGTGAGGCTGTAAGTAGGACGTGAAACTTATGCGTCGTTGTCTCATCGTTCTCGCGAAGCCTCTATCTCAGCAGGATATGGAGATGTGAGTGCATCAGGCAGGATCAGCATGTCAGCTTATGAGTGCCTCTCAGTCCAGCAGAAGAAGGGCGAGTGGAACATCCCGCTCATCGCCGTGATAATATTTGTGGTACGTCTCGAGGAGGCATTCTTCGCTAATGGATCTGACACGGCGGGATCGTCGCACAGGCTTTGCTTTCCCTGTTGGGTATCTGTGAGTCCTTGCGACGTCACAACAAGGTTAATATGCAACTGACGTACAGTCGTGTGCAGCAGGAGGAATCGGTTCGTATCCTTGTGTGCCATATCAAACGTTCCTTGACTTCCAGCTAACTAACGTACATTAGCAATATCCATTTACCTGTGCGTACCTCCCATTTGGCTCCGTGAACGTTGACAGATACTCATTCTACCGCAGCTTCCATCCACGGTCTCTCAGGAGTCCGGGGAACTTGAGAGTAAGCGCGTCATCGCCCTCTTATCCCTGTCTTACGCACATACTGTACAGAAAGCACTGGAAGCGACTGTCGCAGGTGGTATCTGCGCGGACATCCTGCTCGTCGTGACGCTGTGTCTCTCGCTGTATAGAGCGCGCTCAGGGCTCCGGAGGTACGCCGTCGACTCGATCCATATTCAACTGATAGGCTGCATAACAAGTCATTTCAACCAGGACCGACTCCGCACTGACGCTCTTCATTCTCTACTCGGTTTACAATGGTAGGTCATGTTGTATCCCTCTATAAGCGCGTGTGCTTCATATCGTCGCAGGTCTCCTTCCCACGTATGTCGAGGTGCTGGACGCGTGGCGCTTGATGTATCTACTCACCGTGTTGGCGTAGGTGCTTCGGTATCGCCACCTTGATTTCCGTGAGTGCTCCCCAGTCAGTCTTGTCAGCGAGCAATACAAACGTGCGGCGCCGTCACAGCTGCTCAGCAGGCCAAATACAAACCTCTACACCCCCTTCTACATCCAGATAGGAAATTGTGCGTAAATCCACGGATCATCTAGCTAAACTGCGCTCACCAGCCATCCTCAGTGTTCCTCATTAGCCTGGTATCATCGTGCGTTCGGGCCTGTGCCCCGCCAAATACTCCATGACCGACCGTCTAGCCTTACAGATTGAACCATCGCAAGACCGTGCGGTCACAGATCCAGCGGGAACTCGACCTAAATTACGATGCGTTCGATATGGTGCCTGACAGCGCGACGTCCACCCCGCCCCCACTGGCAACGCGTGCGTCCTCACCCGGACGGCACTCGCAGGACACGTCCGAGCGCGCACTTGCTAGCAGCCTTTGCCGCTGCGCAACGGGGTGCGTACCGAATAGTGTAGCGAGCTCCGACCCCGCGTCCGTATCCAGCCAAGGCAGAGTGACAAAGGCCGGAGATGGACGGGGCCGGACGTCGGTCGAGGGGGACGACTCGGAGGAGGTTAGTCATTCGTGGTGTGACGTTTCTGCGCGCCGCTGACATCCCGGACGGATGCTTATGCACTCCCATTGCAAACGTACTGCCTTGGTACTGCGCAGATGGACTCCCAGAGACACGCCTTCTACAGGCATTCGACGACCCCCCGGGAGGGCGTCGTCGTTGTACGCGTCCTGCGCAGACCTTCTCGTGGTCCGGGGGGTAAGTAGTCTCCAAAGAGACGAAACGAACTGCGCTATAACATTCTCTGGTGGACGCCAGACCAGAGAATGAGGGCTGGAGACACCATCCATAACAGCACTGAGAGCTGGCCCGGAGTGTTGCCTCCTAGCGAAGATCCTCGAACGCCCGAGATAGATCCTCCTCCAACTCAAAGGATATCCTATAGTACGGAAGCTACTGTATGACAATATGCTTGCCCACAACGACGAGCGTAGCAACCGCGATGAGCAGCCTGACGACGGAGGCAGTGCCACAGACGCCAAGAAGTAAAATGACTAAGCCGGTAGAAAACGATGGCAGCTGTGCCAAGGACGACTCGGATGAGGGATGAAATAATTAACCCACCAGACAATGAACCGGGAACCCCGGCCCAGGAGATGAACCGAGACGCACATGACCAGCGAACAAGGTTCTAGATGGCGCCAAGTGTGACGACCACGGGATGCCATGGCCGATTCACGTGACCGCGACCGCGTAGGAGATCAGCCTGCGCCGAGATGGACTCCAACCGAAAGTCCTATAAAAGACGTGAACACGACAAGGGATAGTCAACCCAACATGCCCCATGCCATGCCACCATATGTTCATTTATGTCCTCCATGCACTATGCATAATCCTAGTGAAAGCCCTATAAACGCCGGCACGTCACGTCACGCTTCGGCGACTCCTTGAAGATATAAAAATCAGGATACGTTCCTGTGAAGAGACGCGCAACGCTTGACAATGTTTCTCACCTTCTCTGTTGGCAAGAAGAAGACAGCCGCACCCGCTGTGACGACGGCGACACAACAAGAAGGTATGCTACGCATCTACTCCTGAGTGAGTCCATGAGATGGCTGAACGAATCCAAGAAACTATACGGATTGTGGAGCCCAACCCACCGAGTTACGCCATAGCCATAGACGTCTTCGTATGCGAAACGACTGAAGTCGACGCCGCCGCTGGCACGGAGACCTGGGTTGTAGACAAACAACCAGGAAGGCCGCTTGCTCGCGGTCACATCTTGACCTTGCGGCTTGGAGATCACGTGATCGGATCGGGCAGGATCTCAACTGTTGACGCCCTCACTCGCCACTGGGTCACGTTCCGCCTGGCCGGAGCACGTGAGGGAATGCGTGTCCGTGTCCCCATACCGTGGGCCGGCCTTAGCGGGTACAGGTCATACACCCACACATCCCAATTCCATGCTCTATCGCCGACTCCAGAGCCCCACGCACTGTTCAAAGACTCCCCGCCGTTCGCAGACCCCGACGAAAACCCGTACGAGTTCGAAATGACGACGGGAAAGGAGATCAGGCTCCTCGCTAAACTCAAATCGATCTCGCCGGAGCACGACCAAACGGAGATGCTCACGTGGGAATGAGACTGGGGAACCCGAGTATGTACGAAAATCTGCACAGCCTATCATGTACCGACGAATAGAGTCTGGAACCGAAAAGTGCCGATGAGGCAATATCCATAACGACCAGAGACTGGACCGCACCTAGAACACTCGACAGAACACGAGGCCCAGAGAAGACGATCCGGCTCGAACACGGCGACCCCTGGCCGAGCCTATGTCCTCTATGGGGAACGGAATAGACGCTGGCGGATCCCAAACAAGGGTAACGGAATAGCGCCCTAGGAGCCTAACGCCAGCATGCCTGTCGACAGACCGACCATGCACACCCCGCTGCCCATCCGACACTAGCCCTCCCCGCCATGGAGGACACAGGCCCACGCCATCCCGAACACAGCACACCGCAACGGCTTAATGCCCCCACGAAAGAATGGACGAGTCTGGGCGACAAAAAGAATGGGAGAGTGATGCGCCCCTGTACCTGTGCGCCGTAAGATCAATTAAATGTCAAAGGGACAAATACTAACGACACAATGTACGAGAATATCGGACAGCGATAATGGTCGTCCAACCACGGTCAGGAAGAAGCAGAAGTAAAAGACCCTGACGCTGCTGACGAGCCCGCGAGACAACGGGCACCGCGGACGACGAACGGCATACGTCTAGCGACCTCGACAGAACCTAATCCACTGCCTACGCGGTGGCCTCACTGCGGCGCAATATTGGGCTTGAGACAACCCAATCGGTGAGTACTGATCACACAGTCGACGGGATCCTAACCCTCCCAAGGATAGATGATGACGAGAACGCGTACCTGTTTGCCTGTAAAGACGACCGCACGACAACGAAGCCCAAAGAGGACGACGCCGTCGACACCTTCCCTCCACGGCGTCTTAGAAAGTGGAAGCCCTAGACGTCCATAAAAACGCCAGCTCTGGAGCGAAGACCCCTCGCCCAACCAGCAGTCTACAGCCGCACCCCACGACACTCAACTGCCAGTAAAGCACCAGAACTTCGCTAGCCTATCTCACAATGCCTCGCACCCCGACCAACGCCACTTCTGCCTCTACCCCTGCCGAACACGGCCTGGAAGCCCGCCCCGCGGATGCGACCGACAACAACAACCTCAGCAATGAAGGGCGGGCCCCTTCTCCTACGTATGCACAAGTCGCGTCGCGCCCTCCGTCTCCCCGCAGGAGCGGCAGTGCGACCAGCGAAACCACTGCTGTGCATAAAGCGCCGGCACCTCCCCCTCCGACCCCCCTCGCTACGGAGAGCCCTGCTGAAGCTCCCTTCACGCGTGAGTATGCGATCTGAACCTTACATGGACTGCTCCTAACATACATACAAGAACGTGGCGCCGCAGCGAGCGACGACGAGGACTTGGGATGGACCACGGTTAAAGCCCCGTTGAAGTCCAAGAAGTCAAAGCCCAAGAAGGGCAAAGGCAAAGCGAAGGCGACCGTCCCAGTCCAACAGCAGGACACCCAGGCCCCCGGGCTTACTATGACGCCGAATGCATCGCCGAAGAGCAGTGAGCCCCGGAAGCGGAGGCGGACCGACTACGGAGACGAAGGCCTAACAGCCGACAAGCGACAGGATGCCCCTGTAAGCCTCTCACACTCCTCGAAATTGCCCCTGCTGTTCGAACAAAGCTCTGCGTCCTCCCAGTCGCCCGCCCAGATCGACTCTCAGAGTGCCAACGAATTCCCCAACGAGGAAGTCGGTATGGACGTCGACTCCGAAGCGGACCTACGTAATCACGACTTCGGACGCCCTAACTTCTTCACTCGTAACGAGTCCACTGGCTGGAGCACCCCTCCCAGTAGCCGCGCTGGCGACTTCGAGCCTGGACCTAGCGTGCGACCCCTGAAGGGCCACAAACGTAGCAATGCTAGACACGACCTTAGGTCCTTCATTGGTAAGAGGGCAGCTTAAAAATGTATGAAATTCCAGTGTAACATACGACACCCCAGTAGACCGGCCCATCAATGCGACGCATGGATCCTCGTCCCCCGCCGCACAGTCACGAACTCCCACCCAGCAGCGCAGCAGCCACGCTAGGACGCCGACTCCCGCTGCACCTCCCCGCATCCCAGGGAAGTTCGTCAAGAAACGTGGCGCCGCCAAGTCCCCAACGCAGTCCTCCCTACGGGCGCGACAGACCTCTAGTGACGAGGAGATGCTACCGACTAGCGACGCCCCCGTACAGTCCGACGCCTCTACGCACGACGCTCGGCCCCGCGAACCAGCCATACGCCACGGCCGCGGCCGCTACTCCTTGTACGCCGTCGGTAACCCACCTGTCCAGCGCACGCCATCCCCAGAGCTCAGCCCTTACGACGTCCTCCTCGCTGACTCCGACATCACGATCCCGCCGGAAGGTCTCTTGAAGGAGACCCAGGGCGACCGAATGGACTGGAAGAAGAAGGGCCTGTGCCTCAAGCAGGCCAAGGCGTGGAACGACTTAGGCAGAGGCAGACCCCTCATCGTCGTCCAGTTCGGAGAGCTTGGGGCCGAGGAAGCTGGCATGAACGAACGCGCTGTCTTCCTTGTCGCGCTCCTATCTCGTCTCTCCGAGCGCAATGACGTCCAGGTTAACCCCGGACACGGCCCGCTGGAGGAGGGAAGGTACGAAGACAACAAAGACGCCCCACCGAACAAGGAGCCGTACTGGATCGCTATCGAGAACCTACCCGACGACTGGTGCATCGCGTTGGCCCGAGCGGCCTGGCTCCGCGCCGGGAAGTACGTTCTCAACTTCACCCTCTGGCGACACGACCCCCCCACTCTCTGCGCGCAGTTCCGATCCGTGTTCCGGTTCAAAGCGCAGTCGAAGGAGGAGTATGAGGCCATCGTGCGACGGGAACTCCTTAACTCCGAGCTGATGACACTGACTCTCAACCTCCTCGAGGGCGACATCGAGAGAGGAGGGAAGTGGCGTCGTGCGCTACTGGACAACGCATTCGGCGCAATTCTAGACTCTGTAGACGTCGAAGTTCATAACAGCCGAATCACGTCTCATACGTCTGAGGATATAGCGTTCATCCATATCTCCTCCCCTACGGCTGACTGGCAGGAGTGGATCACCTTCAGGGACGCGGTGCAAGCCCACAAGTTCGGCTCTTCGGCGGCCGGACACCCCATCCCGTTCCTCGGACGAGTCTTCTGTGGCTTCTGCCACTCCTTGGGCCACCCAACGGGTCGCTGCCCGGCCAAGCTGTTCTTCTTCCCCAAACAATCCCTACCTCAGAAACAACAACCCACGCAATCGTCGTCCGCGGGACGCGGAGGATATCAGGGAGGGAGGGGCAATGGCAACGGCCGTGGACGCGGCGGCAGGGGCGGTAAGATGCGCGGATACTAGTCTGCGACGACCTAGACTACAATGTATACAACCGCCTCCCTAGAGAGTACGTCGATCCGCCTGTTCATGCCCCCAAACGACACTTGTAATACTACCCATCTAAACTCAGTCGAAAGAACCATTACATTATACCATTAGCTATGATCAAGTGTCGCCACGCGAAGCGTACTCAACCTGTGGATACATGAACAAAGAACCCTTACACCGTCGAAACCAATGCAACCAGCGATGAGCCCACATCTACTGGCCGCAACGCGGGACAGGAAAGCCGTCGCGCATTGGCCTCGACACCTACAACAAAAACGGGGCACTCGTAGACTTGCCCCGCCGAGAGGCTCAAGCAACACTCTGCGCTATGCGGAAGTTAGCATGTCACCTGAGGAGCTCAGGAGCAGCTCCCGCCTGCTGTGGATCGTTGTAGCAGCAGGTAAGATTAGCAACGGCGCCAAACGAAATACATAACCCAACTACGGACGATGAGATGGCAAACGGACAACACGCCGACGGGAGGATAGGAGCGGATACCCCCCCTGCCCGTGGAAGCACCAATGACCCTCCCGAAGGAACGGACGGCAGGGCGACCCCCCGTGGCGCACAACGCGCGCTGGGCACGGCGGGTAGCAACCACATCCCCAGCAACAACACTGACAACGCGGATATCCCAGTCACGACAGTGAAGAAGAGAGGCCGGAAGACGAAGGCAACCATGACGGTAGCCTCCCTAAACATAAACGGGAAAGGCCGCCTGACCGGACTCATAAACAATAAATGGAACTCGTTAAATCAGGTCCTGCGAGAGGACCGAATAGGGATTATAGCGCTGCAAGAATCACACCTCGACACAGGTGATGTCGACTCAATCCATAGGCTGTATGGGCGCCGAATGCATGTCATTAACGGAACGACAAGCCGTGAAAGAACCCAAGGAACCGCCTTTGTTCTTAACAGGGAATTAGTCGATGTGTCCCAGGTGACGTCGACACAGATAGTGCCAGGAAGGGCCCTGTCCATAACAACAAAGTGGCACAACGACCAGATGATAACAATCCTCAATGTATATGCACCCAATGACGTCACAGCAAACAAAGAATTTTGGGCGAGCCTGGCCACCTACTATGACAGCAACCGAGGGCGCAGGCCTGATATTATGCTCGGGGATTTCAACTTAACTGAAGACGCGATCGACCGCTTACCGCCTAGAGAGGACAATACGGAGGCGGTGACAATGCTCCGCACTCTCCTGTCCAACCTGCAGCTCCGCGATGGATGGCGAGCAACAGAAACCAGCGGCCGGGACTACTCATTCCCGCAACGTGCCTCTGAGTCGCGATCACGAATAGACCGAATATACACTAATGAGAACATCCTAAACTCATCACACACATGGCAAATAAGAACGACTAGCATACCGACTGACCACAGACTAGTGCTAGCAAAGATCAGCACCGCGAGTGCGCCGTTTATAGGGAAAGGACGATGGTCGCTACCGCTTCACCTAATGAACGATATCAGCTTCCTAGACACCGTGAAAGTAATGGGAAAGAGCACACTGGTGAAGGTCAAGGCATGCGCCGAAGGAGGTAACCGTACCCCCGACAACAACCCCCAGCTAATCTACAAGAAATTCAAATCGGAACTGATATCGTCGGCCAGAGAACTGATGAAGAAGAAGGCCCCGAAGCTAGATGCAGCACTTAGGAAGCTTAATAAGGAGATCAACAGGTTACAAAACCTTCCGAACTATACGGAAGACCATAAGCTGCTCACCGAAGTAGAAGCCCTTCTTGATCGAACGATCCAACTAGAACGAAAACGCTACCAACATATCCGCGAGTCAACGACAGCCAGGTATGCGCTGAACGCTGAATCCATTAGCAAATACTGGTCAAACATCAATAGAGAAAAGGTACCCAGAGACATCATATACTCCCTGAGACTGCCGGACTCGCAAACCACTGTGACCAGGTCAGATGAAATGGCAGAACTAGCGAAAGGATACCATGATGACTTACAGAGGGAAGGGGAACAGGGAAACAGCCTAGAAGGAGAACAAGAGCGGGCCCTGAGGGCAACCGACAAGATGACCATGAGGCTACAGGATCATGAAGCTGAATCTCTACGTGCATCGATTAGCAAGGATGAGATAAAAGTAGCGCTGAAGAAAGCTAACACCGGGAAAGCCAGCGGCCTTGACGGGATACCGTACGAACTGTGGAAAGCCCTATATAACAACGACCAGACAGAAGGTGATAATGAGGGCGAATTCGATGGAATCGACCTACTACTGCTGGTGTTCAGGGACATAGAGAGATTCGGAGTCGACCCGAGATCGGGCTTCTCTGACGGGTGGATGTGCCCAATCTACAAGAAGAAGGACCGGAGAGATATCAGCAACTATCGCCCCATAACGGTACTAAACTCAGACTATAAATTGTATACGAAAATCCTTGCGTCGCGCCTAGCGTCTGTAGTAAAATCAATAGTGCACCCAAATCAAGCTGGATTCATACCAGGGCGGAGAATAACCGACCAAACACAAACCTGTAGAACGATGGTCGATTACGCAGAAGCGACCGAAGACAATGGCGTGATCATTGCCCTAGACCAAGAGAAAGCGTACGACAAGATCAAACATGAGTACTTATGGATCGTACTCGAAAAGGCGGGCGTACCTGCGTCGTTCATTAAGAGAGTCCAATGTCTCTACAAGGACGCCACTACAGTTGTAATCATCAACGGAGAGTGTAGCTCAGCGTTTAGAGTAGTACGCGGCGTCCGACAAGGAGATCCCTTGTCATGCCTTCTGTTTGACATAGCGATTGAACCGCTAGCGTGTGCGCTACGTAACTCCTCTCTCAAAGGATTCAGGATACCGGGGTATGTCGAACACCTGATAACCACCCTGTTCGCAGACGATACATCAGCATTCCTGTCCCAAACAGATAAATGGACCGACTTATGGACTATCCTGAATACATGGTGCAGCGCATCGGGTGCACGCTTTAACACGGGGAAGACGGAGGTGATCCCAATAGGCAGTGAACGCTACAGGACAAAGGTCATACAATCGAGAAGAATTGATCCCGATGATGATGAAGACGAACAGATACCAGACCTAATCCACATAGCAAAAGACGGAGAAGCGGTCAGAATCCTGGGAGCATGGATTGGCAATAAGACACAAGCCGCGACGATATGGAGCCCAACGATCGAGAAGGTGGACAAGTTCCTGAGGCGATGGAGCTTCTGTAATCCGACGATAACTGGAAAACGTCATATAATCCAAATTGGCCTTGGAGGTATGACTCAATACCTAACAGCCGTGCAAGGCATGCCGGAGTCAACAAGGATAACACTCACTAGAATGACGAGGAACTTCATATGGGGGAAAGGGAAGACTCCCCCAATCAATATGGAAACGTTGTACTCCAAAGCAGCCGATGGTGGCAAAGATATCCTTGACCTGAAAAGCAGGAATGAGGCGATAGATCTGATGTGGCTAAAAAGATACCTAGACCTGGGAGACGACCGCCCCCTGTGGGCCTACATAACTGACGTAATAATCGCATTACATGTGAGTAAAGCCGCAGGCACGATAGACAAGTCGACACAACTCAACATGTTCATTCAAAACTGGAAGCCGAGGCTAGATGCATCCTCACCGTTGCCTCAATACATAGGATCAATGCTGAAGACGGCAAAGAAATACAAAGCGAGCTTTGCAGCGATTAAACTAGACAGACACTTGAAAGAACAACTACCGATTTGGTACCACATTAGCGCCACGAAGGAGCTACGAAGGCTAGATAACACATCGTTGAGCAAATGCCTACGACGTGTTCATAACGTCAAGACAGTGGCAGATATTGCACGGGCAACGAGGCACGATGCACTTATCCAGACGAATGAAGGCGAAGCTGATGAGAAATGCCCATGCGATCAGTGTGAAATGGATAGACAGATGGGATGTAAAGACCCACTACGCTGCAGGGACGCAGCTGGTCGTCTCCTCAATCGCCTCGAACAGAAGTGGAACCCAGCGGAACGGAGCCCGAACGATGGTCTGACACTCACAACGAAGAAATTGAAAGAAAACATGGAAGCGCTGGACAAGGATAAAGCTGCGACCTTCAACCCCTCGGTGACCGAGCGAGGAGGTCTATCAGAGGCATTCCGAGTATTTGTAGACAATGAAAACATCGATAACCCACCAGCGGTGAGACCGAGGAGAGGAATATCTATAGAACCGGAAAGAGTCTCAGCCTACGTCTTGGCAAGTCCGCGGCCCGACCCGATAGACGGACACCGTAGAGGCGGACGACCGGATGGTAGCGGCCTACTGATCATGAGATGCAAAGTCATATACAATGACCTCGTCAACCTGGATACACACCTAATAGATGATCAGTACTCAAGTGGAGAACTAACGGCTGCAATACATGCGGCGCAACTCGTACCAAAGGATGTACCGTTACACTTCATCTGTGAATCGGACACTCTTAGCACAGTAATCATACGCGACCTAAAGAAGTGGGAGAACCTCGACTGGAGAGGAATTACTAACCGGGGAGCATGGAAAGCTCTGGTGAATGTACTACGACAGAGATGTGCAACAACCACCTTCCGCAAGGCGAAAGACAAGATCGAATGGGACCTAATCGATAAAGGAAGATCAGCAGCGAGAAGGCTGACAAGCGAGAACGCAATACAGACGATAGAACTGAAGACGATCCATCACTTCAACCTGTCCGGAGTGAAACTGTCGAGCCTAACACAACGCCTAGCCTATAGGATGATAAGGATCACTAAACACACACAACGCCCTGCTACACAACGAAACCTTACCGCGATAGCAACCGGCATAGACTCCCCTAACGGAAACACCGCTTCCGAAGCCGATATATGGACCAGCCTGAACACAAATGAGATAAGGAAGTCTGTCTCTGACTTCCTATGGAAATGCATACATAACGCTCACCGTTGTGGGGAGTTCTGGAAGAAGATCCCAGAATACGAAGAACGTGCTATCTGCACATACTGTGACACAACAGAAACATTAGAACACATAATGACGCAATGTCAAGCCCCAGGCTGTAACACCATTTGGAACCTGGCAGGAACAGTATGGATGAGTAAACAAGCAGAATGGACGAGACCTAGCTATGAGGAGATAATGGGCGTTGGCCTTAAGAAATGGTACACCGCGAAGATGAAGCGCCGACCGACGGCCGAACGGTTCTGGAGGATACTGATATCCGAATCAGCATACCTGATATGGTGCCTGAGATGTGAACGTACGATAGGGCACTCAGACGAACCGGGGTGGACTCACTCGAAGAAAGAAATAGCGGCCAGATGGACCTCCATGCTGAATAAACGCCTACAGCTGGACATGTCGATGACACACAGGAGATTCGGCAGACAAGCGCTACGAAAGGACATAGTCATAGGAACATGGAGAGGTACACTGCAGGATGAATATGCTCTACCAGACGACTGGACGGGCACTAAAGGGGTTTTAGTGGGTATTTCACCCTCTGTGACTGAAGATCATGGAGACGGATGATAGAGTCCCACACTGGCTATGAGGCCGTGCGTAAACGCATTTTCCACCCTGGACGCAACTGCGGGGGAACCCGCTGGCTGGCTGGATCACGGGATTGACCAATTGTCAATTGCTATGGTCCGCAAAGAGCTTTCCAAAAAAAAAAAAAAAAAAAAAAAAAAAAAAAAAAAAAAGGCATTCGACGACGTCGGATACGGTCATACTTGATAGCATGATTGACATACGGATGTTTGATTGAATTCTTGCAGTGTATTGATGGGTTTATGCCTGATATCGATTGTAACGGCAGTGGCGCCGTGGGATGAGAACACATGACGTATGAACCAGGTATGATTCGAACACAGCTGTACAGCCTGCGGGATGGCCTGCACAGGAACATTTACCTCTTTCAACGCGTTGACGGTCGAGGACAGCGGCGCGCGCGTGAGATGGACCACACTGACTGAATAATGACTGAAATGTCGCCTCGGCGCGTGGCTGCGGCGGACTGCGGGGCGTGCCGCTGCGTGGGTAGGCTGAGACGGAATGCCGGATAAGGAAATGTTGCGGTCCGCGTGGCGACGGTCGCTGTGGCTGCGGGACTGGGCGCTGCTGGGCGGGCAGAAGCGAGTGCAGGACAAGCGGCTTGTGCTGGTGCCTTAGGCTTGTGCTGCTCGTCCATCACCGTGCGGGTCACATTCATATCCGGGATCCCGCCTATTGCCCCCCGTCTCTCTTTGTCTCTCTCTTCTCGCCCCCGGACGTGCTCCAGTCCCAGCGCCCCGCCTGCTCCATCCCGCTGACCACCGCGGGCCAGCTTTTCGGCCGTCCCACCCGGGCTCTGACGCACAGCCGTCTGTCTTTTCTCGCCGCGCAGCGCGCAGCTACCCATCTCCCCTTGAGTTGGTCGCGCGGTCGCCTCCTCTCCTTTTCCTCCCACCACTGCCTTTCTCCCCGTAATTATTAGACTCTTCCCCCCGTAACGACCCACCGGCATGCATCTCCTCCCCATCTCCCTCACCGTCTCCTGCCTGCTGTCCCTGGCCGCCGACTCCCTCGCCGCGCCACATCCCAGCATCTTCCCCGGCGCGCACATCGGCCTCTCGCGCAGAGCATCCAAGCGCCGGAGTCCGGACGAGGTCGCTGCGTCCCTGCAGCGGCGCAAGCTGGCCCTGGAGGCCAAGTATGGCATCGGCAACGCTAAGAACAGGAAGCGCGCCAGTGGGCAGAACTTGTGCGTAGTCCATACTCTCCCTTTGCCCTCCCTCGATGTCCCTTCGCCCACGCTTTCCGCTCTGCGACCTCCCATGCTGATATCACCTGCGCAGAATTACAGATGAGAACGCGGACTCCAGTTACTTTGGGTCATTAGCGATCGGTACGCCTGCCGTATCGTTCGACGTCATTCTCGACACAGGCTCGTCCGATCTCTGGGTAGCATCGTCCCAGACCGGCGCAACATCCAACATCCCGAGCGGAATCGCGACCTTCGACGCCGCGGCGTCGAGCACGTTCAAGTCGCTCAACCAGAGCTTCTCCATCACGTACGACTCTGGCATGGCCCAGGGTGCGCTCGCGCAAGACAGTGTACAAATGGCGGGCTTCGAGGTCAACTCGCAGGTGTTTGCGACAGTGACCGAGGTGTCGAGCAACGTGCTGAACGCGCCCGTATCGGGTCTTATGGGTCTCGCCTGGCAAGCGATCGCGTCTTCGGGCGCGACACCGTTCTGGCAGGCTCTTGCGCAATCGAACAGCACACTCACGGAGGGCCTCTTCGGTGTGCAGCTCACGCGGTATAACAACGACACGAAGGTCACCGCACTCGAGCCTGGAGGAACATTCACGCTTGGGGCGACCAACCAGAGCCTGTACACGGGCCAGATTGACTTCCAGAATATTCCCACCGGCGAAGTAGGCTACTGGATTCAGCAGATCACCCGTATGTGTCTCGGTATGTTTGTTGCTGTGACCGTGCTCATCCAATTCGCGTTTCAGAGTTGACTGTGAACGGCGCCTCCGTCAGCGTCGGTTCGGGCTCGTCCGCGTACGCTGCGATTGACACAGGTACGACCCTCATTGGTGGCCCTGCGGCGGTCATTTCCGCCATCTACGCCAAGGTTCCGGGCGCAACGGCGGGCACGGGTCAGCTCGCGGGCTACTGGACATATCGTACGTGCGCGCTCTTCCCGCAGCTGCCCGCTCACTGACGCTGTCCGCCTCAGCCTGCTCCCAACAGGTCACCATCACACTCAAGTTCGGGAACTCGGCGATCGCGTGGCCCATCTCGTCGGACGACTTCGAGTTCGAGGCGGCCGACTCGTCGGGCACGACGTGCATCGGCGCGTTCTTCGAGGTCGACAACACGGGCACGACCGCGCCCGCGTGGATCGTCGGCGACACCTTCCTGAAGAACGTCTACTCCGTGTTCAGGTACAACCCGCCCGCGGTCGGCTTCGCGCAGCTCTCGCCCACCGCGCTCGCGATGAACGGCGCACGCGGCGCCGCGCCGAGCGCGACGATCGGCAGCGTGCAGGCGGCCGTGAGCGCGACGGGCACGGTCGACACGGGTGCGAACCGCGCGTCGAGTGCCGCGTCGCGCGCGGGGAGCGGCGTCGGTGTCGGCCTGCTGTCCGCGGCGTCGGCGGCGCTTCTGGCCAGCCTGTTGCTGTGATCGCGGTAGATGATCTCAGTGCTTATATTCGACCTTCGCATCTACGTCTTATATGACTGGAATGGCCCTGCGCGGCGTGGACGACTCGGACTTCGAGTGGCATGTGTGGTCTGTCTTGTTTCACATCGTGTCTGATGGACAATGGTTGGGTGGTTAGTTACACTAGTCGACATGCTGTCGTCGCGTCGGGTGACTGTACGGACATTGTAATATATGATGCATTATGGAGAGAGGAACCGATATCCCCTATTCGCATGTTCATATCTTTCGGGAAGGACGTCCTTGCAATACTGATTTGAGCCTACGGCTCCTTGTATGCGAACAACGACACCGATCAACCGCACGTACTCCATCTGTTCTGTCACGCTTTTCCAACTACATATCTGCAATAGTACTGTCATGTTTTCCTGGATTTACAGGGACTGTCTGGAATCCACGCCGTTCTAAACACTAGCACTGTCGGGACTACTTACTCGAGTACTAAGTAGGTCATCCCGTTGCAGTGCACTCTACTGCCGTCTTGAGCCGTCCCCCACCGCCTGTTTGGCAGTGTTACATTCTTCGCTGTTTCCTGGGTCAAGATATAGACATACAGACGTCACTGCGATATCGGACCCTTCCGCCTCTCAAAGACGATGTAGTTAGTGTTGGTTCCTAATTATAATGCCTATTGCCCAACAGGCTATAGTACCCCGCCGATGCTATCCCTGAAGGTCTCGGTGTGGCGAGGTCTGCCGGGGATGCATCTCTGGAGCCAAATTAGAAGCTGACCATGCCTCAATCGCTCACAGCAATCGACAGCCTGAAGCCAGAGCAACTCCTCGGGACTCGGATGGGCTACACCGCAATGAGCGCACCTCCCAGCAATACCGTTTCATGTATGTTGAACGGGACAAAGCTTCCCCACTTGTTCAACTTCAAGTTTCGCTGGAACTTATGACTACATGAGCCGGAAAAGGAGCCCGGCGAGGAGGCCAAGGGACAGACGAAGGTATCCCCCGTTGGACATCCCGAGGACCCAGACCGGAGGCCTCGAGCTAGCTCGGGATAGGCGTAGAGGTCAGTGTGGAGGGTTTTGACGACGACGACATCATTACCTCAGAACCTCATGTGCAGTTCTGCGCGTACAGGCTGCGAGGTGTATGCCTTTTGTTTGTGAGAGTGGTCACATTCTCGAAATATTGGAACAATACTAGTATCGCACCATGCAAGCTACTGAACCGACTTCCATTGACATGATACGCCCGCTTGCCTGAAGAGAAGCTGGCATCTCGGAACTCTGGCTCAGGCTGTCCCACAGATATGGCAGGACAAAGGGGATAATTCAAAGCATTGAAGGAGTTTCGTCACGTCACGTCAGCTGGCGATCTCGATCAGTGCCTACCTACATACTCTCAAAACCGATTTAGGCAATATCCACGTCTACTGCACCATGTCTACGATTACTTGTAACGTCTTTTCAGGGTCGTCCCAGTGCAGCTGTGTGATATAATCAGGCGCGTCACACAATAGGCTGCCGTAGCACTCACAAAGTGATTAGCCCCCGGGATCATCTTGAAGTTGATCAGACCGCCGCCATGAGTTTCATGATCTACCAGTAGGTCGAAGTATGCTGCGATGCCATACGACGGCGCCGCCCCACAGCCCAAATGCCACACCTTCATCTCCGGCAAAAGTGCGCGCACCCCACGATCGAAGCATGCCTTGCGGTACGCCGCCAGCGCTGAAGGGAACATGCCGAGCATGAACGGCAACTCTGAGTCTGCCACTGGCTCGATCATCGCCGCACGCTCCTCGAGTGTCATGTTGTAGAGCGTAGGCGTGCGCGAGCTGGATGGGAGGATGTATTCAATGACGCTCTTGTCTCGCGAGGACAGATCGCCATGCTCGAAGTAGGCAGTGAGCCACTGCACATTGAACGCATCGCGCTTGTCTTTGGGGAGCGATGTGAGGTGGCTGTACGACCACGTTTCCTCTGGTAGGGGAAGACCGAGAGCGAGCGAGGGGGGATCTGCATTGTGAAGTATGTGATACGGCTCGTTGAAGTATGATGCGTCGTTGGCTTACCTTCCATGATGAGAGCGCGAACGTACTTCGCGAGACGCGCTTGCATTTCGGGCGGGTAGTTGGCGATGTCGGCGATGGCCCGAGTAACGTAGCTGTTTCCCGCGGACCAACCTAGCAGCGCGATGCCGCCACCATGGCGGTCGTTCAAAATCGGCGGCACTCCCTCTGTCTGTATGAAAGCGTCCGCGAAGTACAAGATCTCTTTGCAGAGCTCATCGGATGTTCGGAGCTTTTCTTCTGCAGTGCCGGTCGTAAGCAGCTTCGCAGACTCCTCTGACACAGGCGTGGAACCTCGGTAGCCACGCCGATTGATCGCGACAATGCGCAGGTTGGCCGGAGGTGCTATGGATTGAAGTCGCTTGAATATCACTGGGATGAGTATGTCAGCCGCGGAGAATCTTGGCTCTGAGTAGACATCGCCTACAGTTGTTGAAAAGAATGCCATGCACGACGAAGACGGTGATATAGGGCACATTTGAGTGGGATAGTGGTACACCGCTGTCTGTGTAGGTGAACGTGCTCTTGCTAGGGCCGACTTCGAGAGCAGGCATTGTCGGAGGTCCGGAGGTCTGACAGTGAGGCACTCAGTCGCCATGTGCCTTAAGTAGAACACGCTGAGAACAGCTCCCGCAGTCGTTTGCATCGTTTCAGTTGATATCCGTGCAGACCTAGTGCAGACCGGTGGTCTCTGATGAGCGCTGTAGCTTCGCCCGACAACACTTCGTACCTTTTGGTTTCATCCGGCACCGCCATGGTGACGAGGCGTACTTAGCTGACAAAAATGCTGAGTAGTAAGGCAATAGTAAGGGCGGGCAAAGAGAAGCTACGGCGTCCGCACGTCGGCGATATTTGACAGTAGCTCTTACGACCTTGCCACGTTTCCTATAGGCTACGGTCACAGTCTCCCCTTCTTAGTAGAAGACCGCCCTCCAAGAGGCCTTCTTCAGGGTCTGCCTAGGGGAGACTAGGTAACCCTAGGTCACGGTAACCGTGCATTTCGGCTTCTGACTAGTCTGAAATCTTTTGGATATTCATCAGAGTGGAGGAGGAGGAGGAAGCAGGAGGAGGAGGTATTTCCAAGTGCATGTTCGGACATAAGAAACTGATTGGAAGCGTATGCGTGAAGGGCATTGAACTCGAGAGTAACTCTTTTTGGTCAGCAACGGAGACTAATTGAACTCAGATTCAGAATCTCAATCTGAACTGGGCAGGTACCGACTCGAGCGGCAAGCACGTGACGCTGTACTGAACGCGTCTGAGACTCCGTTTGTTCGCGCCACGGTCCTACTTACATCACGTCCCACCGCGTCGCCGCTGTCGCTACCTCAGGGCTAGCTCTTCTAGTGCTCTTCTACTTTTCCGATTACTTGCAAGTGACCCGGACACTGTTCAGCCCGTCATGAATGTCGCACAACTGCAGCCACCTGCATTGCCACAGGTATCGGAGAGGATTGCACGGGATGCTGGGGATAATGACGCAGACGTACGTGATTATTCTTCTATACTATGCCAGAAAGTAACAAATGAACAGTTTCTGGCTCTCCGGCTGCTGAACAAACGCGCACGCGTACGAGTGTCGCCCGAGCAACTTGATCTCGACCCTCTTCCGGGTCAAGCAAGACTATTTGCGATCGCAAACTCTATGGGATGGTTTGCTGCCGTGACGCGAGACTCTGGTTCAAACTGGTGTACGTCCCTCCTCCTACAAGTCTTGCAGCAGTTGCTCGGCTTAGTCTGGTCGCAGAGCACAACGCTCGCTCTCCTTGACTGCAACTGCATAAAATCAGACTCCTCTTGCTGACTATGACTGACACCTTCACCAGATCTCATATCTACGCAGCTTTCCCAGCTCCGGTCAACCTTTGCGTCGTCTTCACAGAGTGGCGAAATCGACTTTGCGGCCCACACAAGGCATCCGCTCCCCGGACCAACGAACTTCATTACCTATGCACACAACGAGTCGCGTATGGTGGTTGTGCTTGCGGACGGCTCGATCGCTGTATATGACGCACAATCCTTGCTCAGTAGCTCAGCTGCTAATCCCTTGTATGTCTTTCCTGCTACTACGGGTGCTAGTTTCCGAAAACTAGTACCGAATCCCGGGGGCATTCCAGAGCTCGTGGCAGTACTCCGAGATGTTGGAGAGCGAACCGACATCCCTGTCGTCGAGGTGCTTGACATTCACAACATGCGATCGGTGTGTGGCTGGCGAGGTGGTACGACGCCCAACACAAGGCCCACTGCAAGTACGTTCGAGATATTTACGTTCATAACAGTCACTCATTGTCTCCACGTAGTGTCATGGTCTGCTAAGGGCAAGTTGATTGCACTGGGCCTAGCAAGCGGGGATATCGAGGCATTCAGCCCGACCGCACCCTCCGCGGTGAAAGCCGTGGTGCCCAAGGTGCAGGCTCTCAGCGAGGGGACCATTATTTCCACGACATGGCTTTCGAACACCGAATTCTACAGCGTTTATACGCCGCCGGGCCCCCCGTCGCCGGATGCCGAGCACACTCACTTTGTCACTCTCTTTGACCCCAAGACGAACTTTTCCGTGGAGGTCAAAGTCAACCCGCCAGCCCTACCGTTCCCCGGTCTACGTGCTCCGGGGCAGTTCATTGTACTCTTCCGATCATGGGACTCGGCGCGGATCCTTGCCTTCGTCGGCGACAGCGCTTCATCCGACATAGGCGTATTGGGTGCCCTCGGCGAGATCGGCACACCGCTGCATAACCATTGGACTAACTTGTCCCTGGAGGAGACGTCACAGCCGACGGTACCCTTGGACAAGGATATGAACGACACCGTTCTTGTCGGCATGGACGTCGACCTCACTGGCAAGGAGCCATATCGTTACACTGCACCATCGGGCGAAGAATCTGACGTCCCAGCGCCGCCGGTATTGTATGCTTATGCGAGCGATGGTACGATCGTCGGTTGGCATGTAGTGAACACGAAGGGCGTCGCTTACCCCGGAATGGTGACGCCGTCGGCGACGGCCTCTGCGAATGGCGGGATGGACGCAGAGCCAACGCCGACTATTACACCTTTACCCGCGGTGCAAGCGCCGCCAATGGAGATTTCTACATCTTTTGGAGCACCGTCGCCCGTCGCGGCTTCGCCGATGGCTGCAACGCCATCGGGAGGCGCAACATCTTCTGGATTCGGTTTCGGCGCCTTTGCAGGCGGCGCGGGGAGGTTCGGATCATCAAGCATGGGCTTTGGTGATCACGCTGCCAACGGGACACCGTCAGCACCAGCGTTAGCATCGCCGATGCCCTCGCAAAGGCCGCCTTCCCCTGAAGAGGAAACAATGGACGCAGACAACGACGCAGGCGGGGGGTTTGGCGGACTTTCACTGGGTGGTGGAGGTGGCGGCGATGATGCGAGCAAGAACAAAGCATCGTCTGTCTTCGGGTCGTTTAGTCAAGCTCCTGCGACTGGCAGTCCGCCGGCGTCCGCCTTCGGAGGTTCGTCTAGCGGTGCGTTCGGCAGCTTGAAACCTGCCACTGGATTTGGTGCATTTGGCAACCAGGGCACCTCGGCGTTCGGCGCACCCTCAGCGTTTTCGAGCTCGTCGACCGCGGCTCCCTCTGGCGGTGCGTTCGGCGCATTAAAGCCAACCGCTGGCTTCGGCGCTTTCGCCAACCAGGGACCGTCTGCCTTCGGCTCGACGTCAGCGTTCTCTCGTGCGTCACCTACAGCCTCGTCTCCTCCAGCGCAGTCCGATGCGAAATCAACCCCTGCATTCGGCACTTCTACCTTTGGACAACCTTCCACACCTCCTAAGAGTGCTTTCGGGCAGCCATCCGCAGCGACGCAACCCGCATTCGGCCAGGCGTCGTTCGGAAAGTCTGCATTCGGCCAGCCTGCGTTCGGCCAACCAGCACTCGGTAGCTTCGGACAATCGAGCTTCGGACAACCTGCGTCTAGCAGTGGCCAATCTGCCAGCGCATCAGGAGGAGGATTCGGCGCATTCGCACAAACAGGTCCGACGGGTTTTGGCGCAGCGCAGTCTAAGCCAGATACGAAACCCGCATGGGCAGTCAAGACTGACGGGGAGTCCGCAGATACAAAGGAAGCACCGAAAGCGGAAGCTAAATCACCACCAGCTACAGCGTTCGGACAGTCGAGCTTTGGTCAACCAGGGCCTGGGCAGTCTGGCTTTGCCCAGACGACATCAGCCTTCGGTGCTGCCGCCACCAAGCCAGCTACGCCGCTCTCAGGTGGTTTCGGTGCGTTTGCTCAAGCGGGATCAGGCGCTTTCGGGTCGACAACGTCCAAGCCTGACATGAAGCCTGCCTGGGCAGCGAAACAAGCCGATCAGCCTGCGAACCCCATAGAAGAGACTAAGCCCGTGTTCACTCCTCCTACCCCACCTGCAGGTCCAACGACTCCGCCGCGCACTCCGCCTACGCCTGTAGAATCTCCTCAGCAATCACAGACACCACAGCCGTCTGAGGTTACTGCGTCAACTTCAACAACACCTCAGCCCTCTGCGACGCCCGTTTCGGGGGCAACAGCGGGGGCCTTTTCCCAATTGAGAGCGTCTCCGTTTGGTTTTGGCAAGGTGGATGCTGGGTTTGGCGCATTTGGCGGCGGCCTGGCGGACACCTCATCGCCATTTTTCAAGGCAGTGGCAAAGACTCCGGAGACGCCGGCTAAATCCGCATTCGCTACAGGAGCATCTGTCTTCAGCACTTCACCTCCGAGCGCTACTCTTGGTGCAAGCAAACCGACCTTTGGGACGACGTCGGCTATTGGTGGGGGTCGATCTGTGTTCGGTACGCCTAGTGCCTCGAGCCCCAAGGCGACAACAACGCCGACCACAACGCCGCCCTCAAGTGGGGGATTTGCTGCGTTCAGCAATAACAAGTCTCCATTCGGCGCTGCCTCGAGCGGGGGCAAGTCCTTCAGTGAGATGCTCCGCGACAAGACTGGCCAGGAGCTCATACAGCCGGCTAAGCCTGCAAAGAGACCCGATGACCAGAAACCCGTGTCTGTGTTTGCAAAGCTTTCGAACCCCTCTGGTATGTGAGCGTGTCCGAACTATATTGCCATGCTAACGTTGATGATATTCAGAGAAGAAAGAGGAGAGTGAAGAAGATTCGACAGATTCTGACGAGTCGGATGAGGACGAAGGCGCTGTCTTTCTAGTGGAAGGCGAACACGACGATGAGGCTTCATTCTTGTCGGACTCTGAGGGTGGCCACGATGCTGAAGGAAGTGAGGAAGATAACGAATCAGAGGGGGTACGACGTGCAGAACTGGAAGGGGAAGAGGAGGAGGAAGACAGCGACGACGAGGAAGAGGACGACGAGGAGGAGGAGGAGGAAGAGGAAGAGGAAGAAGAACAAGCAGACGACGGCGCTGCAGAAAGCTCCTCGACCGCCAAGGCCACAGTGCCGAAGGCAGACAACGAGCCGAAAGAGTCGGCCCTTCTCGATCGCATTGGGCCAGCTGTTACGGAACGGAAGAGTGCACCAGCAGCAGTTCCTCGCAGAGAAGGGAGCACTACGCCTCCTGGTTCTCCGGTGATAGTGAAGCGTACCTCTGCTCCGCCCGCGCCTTCTACAAGTCTTGCCCCGCCACCTGTCGTTGCTTCGTCTGGACCTTCTCTGAACTTGCCCAAGCCCTCAACCCGCCCCGCCCGTAGCTCACCACTAGCGAGCAAACCTATCACCGGAGATGATGATAGCTCTGAGAGTGGTCAATCGCCTCCTGGTACGCCGCCCTCGAGCTCGAAAGGCAAGCAAGCCTCAGCGGGGCCTGTTCCACAGGCCGCCCGGTCGAAGACGCCACCGCCGCTATCAGCCTTCAAGCCGGCGTCACTTCCAGCGACATCACCCTTTTCCCTCGCGCCGCCATCAACAGCACAGGCTACGGGACCGACAATAGCGCCAGCTGCAACCGGCCAGAAACCGTTACCATTTGCCCTGAAAGCGCCCGTTCCATCGGCGACCCCGGCCCTAAATGTACCGAGTTTAACCCCTCCTCAGCCCGTGAAGTTCAGTCTAAGCCCTGCTACATCCGCTCCAATATCCAAGACAGCTGGGCCTACTCAAGCTGGTTCCGGTGTGCTCAAGCCCGGAGTAGCGAGCACTTCCACAGCCGCAGGAACACTCTCGCCCTCGTCTGGTCAGCCGAATGCACCTAAAGTGCCCCCCGCCCGACCAGGAGCCAAAGCTCTCGTGCTCACCCCGCCGACGCCAACAGGTGCGCTCCCAGTCGTCAAAGACTTGCAGAGTGAATGCGCGTTTCTGGTCAAGTATCTGGATGGGGAGTTCACCAGAGTAAGTCTTTGGTCTTTGTTGAGCGGCAGTATCAGTAACGGTCCTCTAGTTATTGCCTTTGACGCAACTGGCAGCTAAGCGGAGACTCGAGTTGTACAAGGCTGGTCTCAACCTAGCAAGTCTGGATGAAGCGAACAACTGGCGCATCAGTGACTTGCCCCGGCTTGAACAATTGATGTTCGCCGCAGAGAAGGACTTGGCGCATGTGAAGGAACAACTACGGACGTATATCTCGGACATACGGGATACCGAGTCTCAGTTGCTGAAGGGTAGGTTACCAGTCATCGTTTGCATGCTACACCACTAATGATCCCTATTTCTAGCGAGTACGAGAAAAGAGGAGATCATACGATTTAGCAAGATGTCTAAAGATCCGGAATTCGCCCGCATGCTCAAGGCCCGCACTCTAGGCCCGGAACATCTAGAGGTTCAGAGTCAATTACGAAGGGAGATTAGAGTGCGTCGTGGAAAGCATGGTTGAACACTACCTGGAGCTGACATGATTTTGGATAGGCTGTTCGCGAGAGGCTTCAGCAGCTCGAGGGGCACATGCAAGAAGCTAAGAAGAAACTCGCACACATGAAGTCGGGCAAAGCCGCGCTAAGGTGCAGTCGGGTCCTCCGATACGCTGAGATGCCGTACTGATGATGTTTAGACCTCCTTCCTTGTCGCTGATCAACAACACCTGCAACCATTTGGAGGAAGCTATTGACCAGAACGAGGATGCAATTGAGGAACTCTCTGAGCGTACAGCTCACCTCAGCCTAGAACTGGCTCCGCGTAGGTCCAAGTGGGATCAGAGAATCACAGACGAGGATATCAAGCGACACGTGGAGGCGACCCCCAATTTCGCCGTGTCTACCGCTGCCGCCTTGAACGCCGAGGTGTCGGCGAATAAGCTGAAACGCGCTCTTGCTGCCCGCAAGGAGCCTTTGCTGAACACTCAGGCCGCCTCGAAGATGCCTGTCGCACAGGATTACGTCTTGCCGGAAGTGAAGGAAGAGCCCCAGACGTCCGAGTCTCCTCCGTTTGGTGAGTGCCCTGTGCCAAGAGGTTCGCACTTTTTTGACGAAGTCGATGGTTCTAGGTGCACCGAACGATGCCTTCGCCTCGAGTAGTGAGGAGTATTCCTCTCCTGCTGCTGGACATAGACGATCGAAGGGTGGGAAATTCCACCAGAAGCCCATACAGCTGAAGAAGTCCGGATCGCCTACGCCGCCCCCCGTTTCCAGCTTCAACTGGGGACCATTGCCTAGTGTAACGCCGCCGCCACCACCGAAGGCTCTGCCCTTCGATCTGCGAAACCTCAGTATCTCGCCTAGCGCTTCTCCTAGTCCGCCGTCGTTATCCGCCTCTTGGGTGACGGATGGCTTCAACGTCAAGAAGGAAGGGGTTTGAGATTTGAGGCCTCAGAGCTCGCTGTATACATTATTATCTTTCTGGACCTTGTTGTATTTGTATACTCTCATAACAACTATCTCTGTGTATCAAAGCACTCATCATTACATCTCTGTCACTCATACATAGCGTGCGCCGCACATAAAACCCAAGAGCTAGCTACTCGGGAAAAGTCGCAAAGTTAGTATCTGTATGGCTGATACTCATACCTGTAGCGGTGTCGTCAATGCTCGACGCCCGTGCACGAAGAGGCGAAAGATGCTTACGGTGCTTCCAGGTATGCAATATCCTCCGGTGTCAGAGTCTTTCCCGTTGTGATGCACCCCCTCAGACGATCGGGCTACGAGAGCCAGTCAGCGCCACATACCCAACCTAGGGACGCACATATTCTCACCGAGTTTGCGCCAACAATGAGACTGGACACCTTCGTGTTCGACCATGCAAGTGCGACTTGGGCCATGGACCAGTCATGCTTGTCCGCTAGTTCTTGCACGCGCTTGATGATTGCGTGGTCGCTCGGGCGTCGCTTCTTCTCGAAGGGCGTGCCGTTGATGTTCTGCGTGCGGAAGGTCTCGGTCTCGATGGGCCGTGCAAGATGGCCGTCCATGAGAGGTGAGTAGGAGATGACACCGATGCCTTTGTGCGCGCAGTACGCGAACATCTCCACTTCCTACATACGACGCGATAAGGACGCAACGAGTGCTAGGTATGTCTGCTGTCACTCACTTGTGGCCGGTAAAGGAGGGAGTGTTCGACTTGCACACAGGTGAACTGTGTCCATCCATGCAGCTCCGCGACGTGGTTCGCCTCGGCGAGCTGCCAGGCGCGCAGGTTGCATGCGCCGATGTAGCGGACCTTCCCGCTGCTGACGAGGTCGTGCAGCGCCTTCATCGTCTCCTCAATCGGGACGGTGCTGTCGAAGACATGGATCTGCAGAAGGTCAATGTACGTCGTCTCGAGCCTCCTGAGCGACGCGTCCACTTCGTTGAAGATCGCCGCGCGCGAGAGGCCGGTGCGGTTGACGTAGTCGCGGGTGTCCCCGTCGAACATTCCAAAGGTGAACGTTCCTACGTCGGGCGCCACTGGGAAGCCGATCTTGTCTAGGATGACGATGTTCTCTCGCGGGATGTTGTTCTGTACAGATTCGAGTCGTCTGAGGCAGCTGCAGTTACTGGCAAGGCTGAGCCACTCACCTGCTTGATGAACTTGGCGATGACCCTCTCGGATTCTCCGTTAGAGTAAGCATTCGCAGTATCGATAGTGTTGACGCCGCTGTCCCATGCAGCCTTCAAAACTTCCAACGCCTGAAAGGGAGAGTAATGACATAACGTGTATCAGAGCGTTGGTTCGTGTTCATACCTTATCCTCCTGCAGAACCCAAGGCTGTACAATTTCTCAGCAGCATTCACAATTTCGCGGGAGACAAGGGATAACTCACAACCCATTGCGGACTACCAATGGACATGCCACCAAGCTGCCGACCGAAGTGACCGTCAGCCTGAATGCATGGTTCGCCTCAAGAAACGCCCGCTTACAATAGGGACTGAGACACGGAGGCCGCTCTTGCCCAGCTGACGATAGGAAGCCTGCACACTCATTGTGTATTTCTGGAAGCTCGAGTGCTATGAGGCCGTGACAGACGGGGAGTGGATGAGTCTGCGTGGGGGAGGATGGGAGGCTGTCGGCGGTGGCTCTGCTCCGTGACGACACATTTAAGGTGTGCGCGCATCCTGCATTGCCTCAGGCATGTCTATGCCCGGCATGCCGCGTCTCATCATATCGAACCTGTAAACGAATGCACACAGCGCCGTGAGGAATGATCATCCACCGTCTGGGGATTAAGCAGCATTTTGAAATCGCCGATGTAGAGTGTCTGCCCCAGAGCCCAGCGACCCATCTTATCAAAATGTCTACTGGAGTTGTTGAAAAGGTACGCAGCCTGAGATGCGAGTCGAAGGCAGCGACTGTGTCGCATGTGTGGTCATGACGATGAGAGCAGAATATGCTTGCGAGTAATGACATGTTCTATATCGGTGGTCTGGCGACGGTGTTCAACGGATTCAACGCCACCTTAACGCCTGAGCCGCTCCAGTCGGGTGCAAGTTCGAGAAAGTCGGAGTTAGATGGCAGGCCGCACGCACCGTGCAACGCTGTTTCCGAGTCGCTGTGCACCGGGCGTTGTTGCCGAAATCACGGATTGTACCTGCGTCCGACTGTCGTATATGATTGCTTCAGTAGGACGTGCCATTCTCACCCGTGCTAGCTGTGCAACTGGCCAGTCACGGCCCATAGCGATGAGCAAGAGCGGTGGAACTTGAAGCGCGTTTGTGCTGGGGCGGTTGCCGCGCGAGGACTGTCACTTGCCAGGTCCATATATAATAGAACCGACCTTCCTCGAGGAGCGCAGGGCTAAAAATGTAACAAGAAACGAGGGGTGTACCATGAAATGAGAAAGCCAATATTGTAACATCGCGATCAGCCAACTTGCAGAGCATTCAAGTCCAGTTCGAGTCAAATTCGAGGCCGAGGAAACAAGGGATGAATCGCGATTCGACGCTTGCGTGAGATCAATCGGGCTCGGCGCGATCATGTCTATTGTGATTGGTGCGGCCCGGCCGCCTCCGCCTCCCGAGCTCGACGCGAGTGGTCCGCGTGCGCGCGCGTGCGACGCTCGCTGTTCGCGTCCTTCGCGGACAGCATCCACGACCCCCCACCCTCGCTGTCCCATGAACCTCACGACCTGAACGACTCGCATATTACTGACAGCCTCTCCCAACCTCCATGTCTGACCCGAGTCTGTCGCACCATCCGAGCAGCCGCTCCCTCCGCGAGCGGCTCGCCACCCGCGAGCGATCGCCCGTGATCAGTACGGTGCCGCTGCACCCCGCTGAAGAGCTACCCGCCGAAGAACCGCCCTCAATACAGGAAGGGAGCGCGGCGGCGCCCATTGCCACGGCCTGCGACGACGGCGAGCTGGTGCGCCACCATGATCTCTGGTTCTCCGACGGTTCGATCGTCCTGCGCGCCGAGAACGTGCTCTTCCGCGTGCACATATCCCAGCTCTCCCGGCATTCAACCGTGTTCGCCGACATGCTCGAGTTTCCGCAACCAGCAGGCACGCCCTCGTCGGATGCGGGCGGTGATGGGGAGCAAGGGGAGAGGATAGACGGATGCCCGGTACTCTTCTTGCACGACAAGGCTGAAGACGTCATGAACCTCCTGCACGCACTCTACGACGGCCCGTAAGTCTCTGATTATATGGTGCCTTCTCAATCGCTCCCTACCTGGAGCGGTTCCTGGTCCCGCGACGCGCTCGCTGATACCCCCGCAGGAGCTTCGGCGACAACGGCCGCGAGGACTTCCGTGCCGTATCGGGCATCCTCCGGCTCGCGAACAAGTACGACATAGAGAAGCTGCGCAGTACGGCTGTGGACCATCTCAGCACTGCATGGCCGATGACGCTCCGGGCCTGGGACCTGCGAGAGGACCTGGCACGGACGTACGAGATTGAGACGGGGATGCAGCGCGGGTTCCGGTATCCCTCACCCGTCGTACGTCCCACCCCGTCCACCGCCCTTCTCCTGCTGACTACACGCGCATACAGGCCATCATCAACCTCGCGCGAGAGGTGGACGCGCCGCACCTGCTCCCCTCCGCGTTCTACGACCTCTCGCGGTACCACTACGCGCAGGTCTTCGGGACCGTCCCGGGGGAGCCTGACGACCACGAGCCGCTCGGCGCGGGGTCCCCGCGCGCGAGCACGCTCGCGCACGCGGACATCCAGAAGCTCGCGGTGGGGAAGGAGGCCGCAGCGCACGCGGTGACCTGGCTGATCCAGAGCATGGCGCACGGCTCGCACGGCGACTCGCCGCGGCACCTCGCCGAGGCGGGCGCGGGCGGGCAGTTCGGGTTCGGGTTTGGGTACCCGCTCAGCCCGCCGCACCACCGCCGCCGCTCGGCGGGGCTCGTGTGCACGTCGGCGAGCGCGTGCCGGAAGGACTTTGGGGAGCTCGTGGAGCTTGCGACGCAGCATTATCTGTTTGATAGGGAGAGGGGGTGTGCGGACCCGCTGTATGTCGCGGAGGAGCTGGGCCAGCTGAAGAGCGCGGAGTTCTCGGAGTGCAAGGCGTGTGCGAGGAGCTTGGAGGGCTGGGCTGCGAGGGAGCGGGAGCGGATGTGGAAGATGATACCGGTGTGGTTTCGGTTGACGGCGTAAGCGTGCTAGAGGTACGGGCAATGCTTCTGGACATTTTTCCTTCGTTCGCTGCTCTGTGGTTGCACCATTCGTTCGTCCTGGATTTCATACCTGCATTGATGATATCCGATGTCAGCCATGCCGACTTGACTATGTATCTGTACACCAGCAAGTGCTATTTATTAGACGGCTATTTAAAGACCGAAGTTCGGACAAAGCGTCTTACACCTCAATGAATATGTCGTCACACTAGGCCAGAATACCACAGCTGATGATTTGGATGCGACAAATCGTATAAGGTAAGTGTACAATGGGAGCAGGCTGACTATCCGAGTCGGATGTCTCTGGACAATCGTGTGGTCTCACAGCCCCCACCTGTATGAATGTGTGCCGGTTCTCCGTGTGCGGCCTCCGAACCAATTGCAGCAGATGATGTCGAAGATGACATCGAAGATGGTGACGATGATCTGTGTACGCATGTGGGTCAGGCCGTGCTGAGGCGGGGGCGCGGGAGGGCAGGGGAGAGCACGTACCGTCGCGATGACGCTCACGATAATCATGATCACGCTCGCAATGGCGGAGACGACGGCCTCGATGGCGCCTACAATAGCGGAAATGACGGTACCCTGCGCGCGTGGCGGTCAGCGTCTGTGTCGCAGCACAGTCATGATATGTGGTACGCACCATGATTCTTCTGAGGTTGTGCGTGTAGAGGTCGTGAAGGTCGTGAGTGGGCGCGAGGTGGATGCGCAGGTCGTGAAAAGTGGTGAGGGAAGCCAGACAGGGCCGTGCTTATATACAGCACGAACGGGCGATGAGCTCATGCATATGAAGCGGAAGCTGGCCGCGGCGCCACCAGACGTCAACGTGCGTGTCCCTATGACGTTCCTACAGCCTATAATTGGTACGCTTGAAGCTGGAGTGTGCGGCAAGGGCCAGAGTGAGCTGACGTAGATTGGGGCATGGTGCCTCGTATGAACTTGACTTGGAACCATGATTGTACGGGTCCATTACGATAGGATTCAAGTTGCTCCCAGTACTTGATAAATATGCGCGTCGGTTGAATTCCAAGAACTCTGTTTACATAAGGCAAAGCCAGACGTTACACAGAATTGAGGGCTGCCATGAAGGATAACGCCACGGTCTCTCTACAGAATTGTCTGAACCCTCACCGTGGCCAGCCAGCTCTATACTGTCAGCATTTTCCAAGCATTTCCATTTCAGGCCAGACGCGCGATCGCCACTGCGCGCCCCGATCACACCGCTTCCGCCGGCCCCGCCGATCTGGGGACGATTGGCGCTGGGCATCGGCCACTTTCACCTTCGCGCACTGCGCAGCTTGAACGCCGCGAGGACGCAACGCTCACATTCATATTGCCGGACAGCAGACGGCCCCGACCCTAGCTTCCTCGCGCGGTGGCCAATCCCCATCCATAATCATCCTCTCCTCGGCTGGTCTTCGTGCATGGCGTCTCTCCGGCTGCTGCCACGTCGCGCTCTGAGGCGCGACCCCCGTCTCGTCGAACGACACCCGACGACTTCAATCCGCCATGCGTCTACGAGCTCGCCAGCGGCAACCTCAGGACTGTTTTCACTGCGCTCAGGCATCTATGCTTCCGTCTTTGTCGTCTCTACAGGCCTCTTCGTCGCCTACTATGTCGACTCTCGTGCCGCCATGCACCGCTATGTCGTAATGCCTGTGCTGAGGACTCTGCTGGATGCGGAAACGAGCCACAAGCTCGCGCTCAGGGTGCTCGGAAGTGGGCTGGCACCTCGGGATACGCAGAAGGATGACGAGCGGTTAAGAACGAGCGTACGTCCGTACCCCCTTGGCCAGCCACTTCGCCCTGACTGTTGCTCGTGTCGTAGCTCTGGGGAGAGGAACTGAGTAATCCGCTTGGCATGGCAGCAGGCTTCGACAAGGATGGGGAAGCGACAGATGGTGAGTACCCGCACTGGCTCCTGACCGCTATCCTGTTGATGGGTCGCCATACGACTAGGCCTATTCAACCTCGGGTTCAGCTGGGTCGAGATTGGTAGCGTGACGCCGAGACCGCAGGTCAGTATACTATCCCTCAAACCGTACGAGGCTGCATTCGACGCGGTTGCCTTGTTAATGCCCTACCATGAGATGCTGGACTAAAGAACACGGATGAATTTGATGTGCTCCAGCTCTCTAAAGGTGTTTTCGTATCTTTGAGGGGCTTTCCCTTTTGACGTTCCTTCCTATTGACTCGCATTTCCGTCGGTCCGCTGACCCAACACCAGCCAGGTAATCCCAAACCGCGAGTCTTCCGGCTCCCCTCGGATGAAGCCATAATCAACCGCTATGGGTTCCCCTCGGACGGACACACTGCCGTCTTAGCACGCCTGCGAGCCCGTCTACCCCTGTTCCAAGACCCAGATGCAGCCGCCGCACAACACGCGTCGCTCCGTCCGGACGCATTGCTCGCCGTCAACCTTGGGAAGAATAAGTCGTCACCTGCCGACTCCATTGACGACTTCGTGCAAGGAGTGCACATGTTCGGGCCATATGCGGACGTGCTAGTCATCAACGTATCAAGTCCAAACACCCCCGGTCTTCGGTATGTTCTTTTTCATTGCTATCCAACTGTCAATTGTTGTTCTTGGCAACAAAGTGTCATCTACTGTCAGTCGCTTCAGCGTCAGGAACCTCTCGATTGGGGCCATGCCACGCCTCATATTCGAACCACGATAAAACCTTGTATGGGGTGCTGTCATTCGCGGCACGATTGCCTACGATGATCCCCCACTCCTGCGCCTAGATAACACGACCATCATACTCTATCATTGCAATGCTCTCACGTCGGGGTCTCTCGTCTGTGTGCCTGGCTAACTGTTGGACCAGATCTCTCCAAACGCGGGCGCTTCTCGAACGCTTGCTCGACGGCGTGGGTCGTGCCCGGGACGAACTTCTCGTGCCTTCCGAGGCCAGCGGAACAACCGCTTCCACGGGAACTACGAAGCCGAAGCTGGTGCTGAAGATCGCCCCTGATTTGGATGAGGCGGAACTGGCGGCCATTGCAGGAGCCGTACGCTCCAGTGGGGTGGACGGCGTCATCGTGAGCAACACCACTATTCGTCGTCCGAAGGAACTGGGTGACCGTACGTACCTGTTCGTCCTGCGCCATCCTCTCAAAACTGAATTCGAACTTTCGCCATTCCTCGGGTACATTCCCACGTCGACATACGTCATGGAACCAACGGGCCGCTCACCTCTCGAATAAACCAATCCTCCTGCCACGACAATCTTGCGCGGCATCAGCGAACAAAGACGAGGTCGGCGGGCTGTCAGGGCCGCCCTTGAAGCCATACACGCTCGCGACTCTCCGGACCTTGCGCGCGCTCTTGCCAGAGTCCGTGCCGCTGATCGGGTGCGGCGGGATCTCGTCCGGCGCGGATGCCCTCGACTACGCCAGGGCGGGCGCGGCAGCCGTCCAGGTGTACACACGGTTTGCGTACGAGGGCGTCGGCACGTGCCGGCGCATCAAGGACGAGCTCGCGGAGGCCCTAGCGCGCGAGGGCACGACGTGGGCGGGGGTCGTGCGGCGCGCGGTGGGCGAGCGGGGCGTGCAGAGCGCGGCGGGGCCGGCGGACGAGGGCGGGGCACTGGAGCAGCTCCGGAGAGAGGCGGAGGAGCTGATGCGCGTGGCGGACGAGCTGGGGAGGCGCATGGAGGCGGAGGCGGCGCAGGGTGAGACGCAGGGGGTGGGAGCAGATGATGGCTCGAAGGCGGTGCTGCCTGCGTTGTCGTAGCGCGTAGAAGCGGACGGTGCGTGTGGCGACGAGAAGTGCGCCGTGTCGCTCCATTTCGCTGATTCGTGCGGAGTCTGACCTCAGCTTTCGTGCTGGATGTTGCGTTTTGCGTGCATGTACGAGCAGGTCTGCGCGAAGTCTTGCCATTGGCTGTACGTGAGTCTAAAAATAAACCTACGGCCTACTAGTACTGTAATGATGAGTCCTCAGGAACTACGGACAGATAGCCTTGAGTGTTTTTGCGCCGCTCGGTGTGGATGCACCGCCTACCAGAAACCAGATAGTTCCCGGTCCCGCGCAGGCGACAGTTGGGCGACAGCCTGAATGCTCCTGTCTTTTGCCTGCCTCCCCGCATCAATTGTCGACCGTATGTACCTGAGCAAATCAGCGTCAGCTCAACATGGCCCCGCATCATGAGTGACCATGGCAGCATGGCCGCAACTCGGAGCTTCGAATGATAAGAACCCGTTCAGTGTCCGGGCAGCAAAGACCGGGTCGAATCCGGCGGCGATGGCATACTACTTACAGAGACCAGCCAGGTAGGACCGGGTCCAAAATGAAACTTGCAGCGCACTGCTCCGGGTACGACGGTGCTGAGTGCGGTGCTGCTGGCGCTGTTTTTCCGCCGCGGGATCTAGATATCGTGAGCGAGAAATCTGGCGCTAGATCTACTCTGATCTGGCCACATGTGCGCGATCGGTGTGTTTGCCTTCAAGGATGCGATTGCCCCGAACTTACCGCGTAGGATGAACTCGTTCACAGAACCAGATGGACGCTGTAGGTGGAAGGCGCGGGGGGTGCATCGAGCGCGATTCACGGGCGGGAGGAGGGGCTGATCGGCGGTCCGAATGGCTCAGAACGCCACCAGGTCTCGCGTGTGGCGTGCCACCGACGCGGAAGCAGGCCATTTCGCGGGCGTTGCCAATATGGCGTAAGCTTATCGCAGCGTCCGTGCGACGCCCGGGGCTGCTGCCAAGACCGGTGGAAGCCGCGGTAAGCCCTTGCGGACCCGTTCCATCTCAATTCTGTGGAAGGCGCCGCTCGCGAAGCATGAGGACGGCGACATACCCACATGCTATCTCCAACTGTATCGCCCGTTCTGGAGTCGTTCCTAGGCCATCCTACGTATGGAGACCCTGTCCTGATCTCGACAAACCGGGCTACCGGCCGTGTACATATACCCCATGTCGCCAACCGAGCACGCCCATGCGACCGCCCTTTCGCGCCCAGAGCCCTTCATTTGCTCCGCACTGACCTTGCTCTTCAGTTGCGTCTAACAGCTCCCTCGCCATGGCACGTCAGGATCCCGAGCTCGCGTCGCCCATCGAGGCGCGCGACGCGGCTGAAGTCGTCGACCAGCTCCCCCACTACGCCCACGAAAGCAAGTCGCAGGACGTGCTCGACGAGAAGCAGCTGGCCAGCAAGGAATCGGCGACGACCCACTCCGTCGACGTCGACGAGCTCGACGGCGTTCCCCACGATGAGAAGGGCAACGAGAAGGTCCTCGAGACGGCGGCGGATTTCTCCCGGGCACTGGTCAGCAGCGAGGACGATCCTAACCTTCCGATCCATACGTTCCGTATGTGGTTTACTGGACTGGGCCTCGCTGTCTTTGGCGCTGTCCTTGGCATGCTCTTCGTGAGTAGGAATGATCAACTCTTGTCAGCTGAGCGCTGATTGCTCCCTGTAGCAATTCCGTCCACAAGTTATCGATGTGTCTGCTTTGTTCCTGCAGCTGCTCGCCTACATGCTCGGACGCTTCTTTGAGGCTGCTATCCCAGGCCCTGGGTCGCGCTTCCACAATGGCAACTGGTTCTGGAACTGGGTGAACCCTGGCCCGTTCAGTAAGTCTCCTGCATAGTTACTGTATCGTACATATGGGCTAATCGTTATCTCATGCTAGACTTGAAGGAGCATGTTGCAGCGCAGATCATGGCAAACACAGCCGCCACTGCTGCCCAAGCCTGCTTTGTGTTCGCGTCGGATGACCTGTTCTACGGCATTACTGTCAACGTCAGTGTCTCATGACACGACTCTCATATACATATCGTTGACATTTGCATACAGCCTGGGAACGCCATCTTCACTCTCTTGGCCTCTCAGTTGATTGGGTATGGCTTCGCTGGCTTGTTCCGTAAGTGACGGGTGTCACCTCCAAATACTGTCATGCTAACCATCAAACGTAAGGTGCGTTCCTGGTCTACCCCACGGTGATGTTGTACCCGCAAAACCTCATCTACGTCAACTTGTTCGATGTCCTGCACCGTTCCAAGGGTGAGGTTCTCCAGGGCAAACGTCTCCGGTTCTTCTGGATCGTCACTGGCGCCATCTTCGTGTATGAGTGGTTCCCGGAGTGGATCGCACCTCTACTCGGTTCGTTCAACATCGTGTGCCTCTGTGCGCGCCACTCGGATTGGGTCTCGTACATTTTCGGTGGTGCGGAGGGTAACGAGGGAATGGGGCTCATGGGCTTCGGCATCGACTGGGCGAACATCACCTCGACTCCCTTCTACGCCCCTCTCTCGACGCAGATCTCCAACTACGTAGGCTGGTTGATCAACTACTTCCTCCTCCCCGCCATCTTCGCCAGCAACGTGTGGCACTCCAAGAGCTTCCCATTCATTTCGCAAAACCTGTTCAACGAGGACGGCAGCATCTACAACCAGTCCCTCATTCTCAACCCGGACTTCTCGCTCAACAAGACGGCGTTCGAGATCCACGGCCAGCCCTGGCAGAGTGGGTCGACCGTCATCTACAACCTCGGCATCAACATGTCTATCGGCGCGACATTCGTCCACATCGCGCTTTGGCATGGCAAGGAGATCTGGGCGACGTTCATGGACTACGTCCACCGCCGCCCGATCGACGACTACCACTATCAGCGCATGCAGGTCTACCGCGAGGTCCCAATGTGGTGGTATGGCGCCACCACCCTCGCCGCGTTCGTGACAGCGATGGTCTGTGCGTACACGGAGAAGTCAGGCCTGCCCTGGTGGGCACTCATCGTCGCGCTGATCATCGCGGCCTTCTGTCTCCCCTTCTACGGTGCAATGTGGGCCGTCGCTGCGTTCAAGCCCGTCATACAGAACATGTTCCAGATGCTGGGCGCTGCGCTCATCCCAGGGTCGTCTCAGGCGAACATGTACTTTGAGCTCTACTCCAGTCAGGCGCTGAAGCAAGCCGCGTCCATGCTTGGCGACCTCAAGCTCGGCCAGTACACGAAGTGTATGTTCTTGCGTGATGTGTCTCATGTGCAACTCATCTGAGCCGTTCTCGCAGTGCCCCCCAGGACCACGTTCTCTGTACAGATGGCTGGCACTGTCGTTGGCGCACTGCTCAACTGTGCGTCCACCAATACTTACCATGGTGATATGAATCGCTCACGTTTATATCTAGACGTCATCATGCAGACCGTTATCTCTAACGAGCGCGAGATTCTCGTACGTCGTCCATCTGTCAGATGCATGGACACGATCTGATCTCAGTGAATTTGTAGCTGAGTAACGAGGGTACTCGCGTCTGGAGCGGACAACAGGTGCAGTCGTACAACGCCAACGCCATCCTCTGGGGTGCCCTCGGCAAGGAGATCTGTACGTGCCGCTGCTACAGCCCCTTCACAACGCGATACTAACTCGTTCGCGACAGACGGCCCTGGCGGACCTTACTTCATCGTGCCGCTCGGTATCGTCATCGGCCTTGGGCTTCCAATCATCCCGTGGCTTCTCTATAGGAAGTACCGCTGGCATTGGCTCACCCTCGTCAACACCTCTGTCCTTGCTTGTGCGTATACCATGAAGTTCTTGGCAAATATGGCTGCTGACGACGCGATGCAGACAACATCGGTGATCTCGCTGGTGGCACCAACGGCTACATCAACACCTGGATGGCGATCGGTCTCACCTCGCACTTCTACGTCCGGAAGTACCGCGCAGGCTGGTTCAGGAAGTACAACGTACGTCGTGTCCTGTCGCTCACCATGGCGACCCGCGTGCTGAGGTTGCATATTTTGTAGTACCTGTTCGGCGCTGCCGTCGATGGTGGCGCACAGATCTTTGTGTTCATCTTCTCGTTCGCGCTTGCGGGAGCAGGTGGTGTCACCGTCAACTTCCCGAATTGGGCACTCAACCCTGAGGGTAACGCGGTATGTCTACATGGCACTGCTGTCCTTACCGCTTACTCACGCCGGGTTTCCCAGGATTACTGCAAGGTGACAGGGTCAGAGTAGATGCGTCGTCTGGTAATGGACATACATTAGTATTGTTGCAAGGGCTCGTTCGTCGTATCATCTCTTGCTGTTGTAGACTACCATGACGGTAATGCCGAACAGTTCGGCTCGCCACACGAGGGCAAACTGTATCATTACTTACTACATAGATCCAACCCTTCCAAACGAGTCGTGACCAAGATGATGAAGACACGGCGGCGAAGCTGTCTGAACGAGCTCAAGGCTGCATCGCTTAGCGTTTGTGTCTGGTACCTCGGAGGCCGACAGTTGGCACTACGTGGATTCCAAACGTGAGTACTATCAAGTAGTACTTACACGATCGTCAAACGCGAGAGGCATCACTACTTATCTTTGACCGGACCCACATAACTCGCGAATGATAGAAAAAGGATGATAAAAGCAGGATGAGAGGGTAGATTCTGATTCCTTCTCATCATCCCTACTACTACTACTAGTAGTACACTGCCATCCGAGTCGTCGGAACAATCCGTGTCTTGAGTTCGACTTGTCAGAGCTTCCACCACAAGACATTTGTTAACTTACTCCAACGATATCATCATAATCCTTATTGAAGTTTCTCGTAGCGACCGCGGACAGACCGTGCAACGACTGAATATCGCGTTTGTCTGAGCTCTGTCAAACACGTAAGGTACAAACAGATGAGCAACGAGCTTATATACTATGTATGCTGACCAAGCACTCGTCTGTACGCACGAGATTGCAAACTCCAACAATCCTAATGTTGCCAAAGCAAGTAGGCAGTGACGTGGCTGGTACGATCAAGTACTACTACTAGGTCGCATACTTATGTAGTGTCTTGGGCGGACGATCGGGCATGCTTCGGGCATGCTTTGGGCGTCCATCGGCTACTGTGCACCGGATGAAACTTTCGATCCTTCAAGTGAAAGATCGATAAAATTGACAAAATCTTTTTCACGATATTTCGTATGAAAGATTGTCAATAAAAGTCAGAAACAATCAATTAATCATTCAGACTCGAAGTATCAGGAACAGATCACAGAAGGATTCATTGACAAGTGTCTTTGATCTGTTTGTGATCCTCTAGGCAAATGATTGAGAACATGATATTCAAAAATTCTTGGACACTATGTGGCTCAATTGTTCTGAAAGGATTGAAAACAGATTGTCACATGGGGTGTTACAATCTTTTCTCAATCTTTCAGGCTGTCACAATCTGTTTCAAATCCTTCCAGCTGTTGATATCTTGGTGAGATTGGAAACAATTTGTATCCCAGGGGTTCAAAACAATTTGCCCAAAAGGATTGACAAGAGATTGTGACACTAGCTGTGACACTGTGCCACTTCCCTATGACAGAGCAGTGAAGGCAATTATGCCAAACCTATGATAAGCTGCCTTCTGCTGGTATGCTCAGTCAATTTTGGTCCCTCTTTCATTGCATCTGGACATGCACAGGTCTGGGACATGTTCATTAGTCATACAATGAGATGCACATCTCTAGGAATGTACAATCACAAGTACAACCCTGTACACTGAGTGCATCTAATGAGACTCATGTGATGGCAGGCAATGAATGAGGGACCAAAAATGACTGAGCATACCAGCAGAAGGCAGCTTATCATAGGTTTGGCATAATTGCCTTCACTGCTCTGTCATAGGGAAGTGGCACAGTGTCACAGCTAGTGTCACAATCTCTTGTCAATCCTTTTGGGCAAATTGTTTTGAACCCCTGGGATACAAATTGTTTCCAATCTCACCAAGATATCAACAGCTGGAAGGATTTGAAACAGATTGTGACAGCCTGAAAGATTGAGAAAAGATTGTAACACCCCATGTGACAATCTGTTTTCAATCCTTTCAGAACAATTGAGCCACATAGTGTCCAAGAATTTTTGAATATCATGTTCTCAATCATTTGCCTAGAGGATCACAAACAGATCAAAGACACTTGTCAATGAATCCTTCTGTGATCTGTTCCTGATACTTCGAGTCTGAATGATTAATTGATTGTTTCTGACTTTTATTGACAATCTTTCATACGAAATATCGTGAAAAAGATTTTGTCAATTTTATCGATCTTTCACTTGAAGGATCGAAAGTTTCATCCGGTGGTGGGGCAACCTTCCGAGGCAGATCGACGTCTTGCCTCTCGTCTCCTCCGCGGTTTGCTGGCTCACGGAAATAAAACATACCACGTACATACCTCGAGCAAAATGATGAGAGTGGGATTCGAACCCACGCCCTTGCGGACCAGATAACCATGGCTGAATGAGTTAAATTATCATGTTTCCATGAGTTCACCTTAGTCTGGCGCCTTAGACCACTCGGCCATCTCACCACGGTGCATTGGCGCCTATTTATACGCATGACCAGCGGGGCCTTCCGGAGACTATTGTGCTGATCGCGCCCATTGTGCGATGGACATTGTGCTGGACAATCGATTGGGCGTTGAACGACGCTTGGAGGCGGAAAGGCACTGGATGGCTGCTTGGCACTACTCTCCCACACACTCTAATGCGGCTCCACAGGGCACAATGGCCGCCTGGCGACCGGCAACTGCCTCCTCGTGCTTGTTCTCCTTGTTGCCATTGTCCTCATGTGGCCCCTCTCTTCGCGCTTTGCATCCACATGGCCCAACATCACCGGCTTCTCGCTTTACGCACTTGCAAAGTGCACATATATAACGGCGCGTCTTCCCTCCGCTCTCCCCACCATTCCTCCCTCTCTCCCTTCCTCTCCTTCCCTGACGTCGCGCCTCCCGAGCTGCGCTCGCCACTGTTTCTCCCGGCTTTCACTCCTTCTGGCCATTCTTAGCGTCCGAGTCCGGCACTGACCTTTCCCTGCTGCTAGTCAAGCACCATCCATTCATTCTTAACGTGACGCATAACGTGTCTCGCCATGGCCCGCATCTTCAACACTCTTCTCGTCGCTCTCGTCTCTGTCGCCGTCAATGTGCACGGCTTTCCGCTCGAAAAGCGCATTGCCCAGTCCATCTCCGACTCTACCACAAAGTGGGAGGCGGCTTGTGTACGTCTCCAGTTATGCTGTCTGCGCGCGACCACTGCTGATGAGTGGCTCAGGATGCCGCAGGTGGAGGTTCTCAGTGCAACACCATCGCCGTCAATGCTTTTGGCAACCTCCTCGCCGCCGCTGACGCCTGCGGTCAACAAGATGCCGCTGACACCATGATCGATCTCGCGAAGCAGCTTAACAGCGACGCTGACATGATCAAGTTTGCCCAGATCTTTGCGCAGCAGCCTCGCAACACGGTCAGTAGGCAACCATCCCGCACAGTCCACCTGTCATGCTGATCAAGGATGTACATTGCAGCCGACCTCACAAGCCGTGCCTTACTGCCAGAGTGCGCCCAAGAACGCCGAGCTCGATGGGCTGTTCCAGTGCCAGTTCCAGGGCGCGAACGAGAACACCTTTGTCGGGGGCCTCTCCGTCGGCTCCCCCGGCACCATCCCCTTCGGTATGACCAGCGCCGTCTCCCCCGCCGGCTCGTGCCCCGCGAACCCCAGCGGACCCATCCCCGACGGCCAGCAGCTCTCCGACCTCGTCGACAGTCCTGGCACTGGCTCTACCAGCGGCTCAGGCTCAGGCTCGGCTTCCGCCTCCGCCGTCGCGTCAACCACCGCTGCTGCATCGTCTGCTGGGGGCACTAGCGCTGTTGCGACCTCTGTGGCTGCTACGTCCGTCGCCGCGGTGGCGAGTTCTACCGGCTCGTGTGTGGTCGTCACAGCCACTGTGACCGCCTCTGATTCGTCGCCGTCATCGTTGCCGTCGTCGTCGGCATCATCATCATCGTCGCCGTCGTCGTCGTCCGGCTCCAGCTTCCTCCTCTCGAACGGTCAGATGGCCCAGCAGCAGAACGCGCAGTTCGCCACGATGACCGCGAACGACACCTGCGACGGTACGCATGCACACGCACTAACTCTCCGTGAATATTGCTGACGAGCAGCCACCGCAGAGGGCACCGACGCGTGTGTCAGCGGCCAATTCGCGCAGTGCGTCAGCGGCTCGTACGTCATGCAGAGCTGTGGGGCGTCGCTCAGCTGCTTCGCGCTCCCGCTCGTCAACAAGGCCGGCACCTCCATCACTTGCACGACCGAGTCCGACGCCGCGAGCCGCATCGCGAACACGGGTGCCACCGGTGGCGTCAGCGGCGACGGCTCGTCTTCGTCCTCGTCCTCTGGTGCGGCGTCCTCTGCGGTCGCGTCGCCGTCGGCGGCGCCGACGGCGAACACGGAGATCGCGATGGCGGCGACCTCATCCGCTGCTGCTGCGTCCTCGACAAGCAGCAGCTCCTCGGGCAGCGGCTTCCTGCTCTCGAACGGCCAGCAAGCGCAACAGCAGAACGCACAATTCTCCTCGCTCAGCGCGAGCTCTGCCTGCGACGGTACGTCTTCCCTCTCTTCGCACGGCCTGCTTCCTTACTAACGGTGCGCGGCAGACGGCTCGGAGGCGTGCGTCGGCGGCCAGTTTGCGCAGTGCGTCGGCGGCTCGTACGTGACGCAGACCTGCGGAGCGTCACTCAGCTGCTTCGCGCTCCCCCTCGTGAACAAGGCGGGCACGAGCATCACGTGCACGACGCAGGACGATGCGGCGAGCCGTATCGCCAACACGGGCGCGACGGGCGGCGTCACCGGCAACTGAGGCGAGCTCCTCATTGCTTGCCGGCGAGGCGACGCCGACGGAGGGAACTGAGCCTTGAGTGAATATCACGATGATTTCTCTGAATGGCGTTGGTTCTCATGATACTGTATCGATAGCTTCCCCGTCCTCTTCTCTCATCTCTGCTGGAATGCGGGCACGACACGTTGTTTACATATGCGTACACGAGCCGTAGCCGTTTTTGGAGATAACATTAGCAGTTATAGCAATGGAGTGTTGAGACGCTTCATACGATCGCGTGCATGTTAGCACCGTTAGCGTTGAGATCTCGATCGGTGCTCAGCCACCGCCACAACCGCGTCAACTCCGACACGGCCTTGTGGCTGAGAGTTGACTTGTAACTTAGTTGGCTCAAACTCTGACGACGTTCACCAGGTCCACTGTGTGCTTGCATGCGTGGAAGTACATGTGGCAATTGCATGAAGGCGGCAGCCACTACTTGACAGGCGTGCATTTCGGGTCCTGACTTGGTGCTTGCACTAGGTCGCCGAGGCACGACTCCGTTGGCCCGCTTCTGAAGCTTTAAATTAGGCTCGAGACACTCGGACCACATAGTTGACGTGTGAGTGCATACCGTTTGCTGCGTCGAATGTGTGTTCTAGGTTTGATGATCCGAATGCACCTGGGAACAACAGGGAGCTATAGGCTCCGCCCAGGAGTACATAGGTGGTACGTTTGGTTGAGGTGGGCACCGACCGGCTATCTGGACAATGCCTCTCGTTTGCATCCGAAGCTATCAAAAGTTGCCCCAGAGGTAGTCCGCACAGAATTCGCATCTTCTATACGAAATCATCCGCACTTCAAGTCATTCGCCGTGATGAACATCTTGACTTCGATAGTAGATACCGGCAAGCAGTGGGTCCTCCGGATGCCAAACACTATTGGATTCGAGCCCGTCTTCGCTTCTCGTCGTCATACCCGGCCACAGCCTGCAGATCCTGGCCACCATTTCACGCATTTTTGAATGCCTCGCGGAACTCGGTGCGGCACTGGCAGTCGATAGTAAGGTGCGTTATGTCATAGCTGCCGGTGCGTACTTACCGTGCTCGGGCGAGCTGTCGTGCATGCCGTTAGGATTAGTTGCCGATACCCACTGGGAACCATTCTGGCTGCCGGTTTAATAACCCTCAAGCTCGTCCGTGTCGCCTCCGTTCATTGAGCTTGGGCGTCGGCGGGGAGACACCACGGGACGCCACTTAGCGGGTTGGTAGCATCCAAGGTCGCAGAAGAATGCCCCGTATCGTCGCTCCAGCAGTGGACGCGCGCAATATGACCCTCAACTCCTGCGGTAGAGTTGGGCCAAATATGAGCAGCATGTGAGTGCAGTTGTGGAATGTTTGATATAAGCGGCATATTGCGCGGTATGAGGCTGACCGGTCTCGTTATTTCGAACTAGTACCTAATACCGCTGTTTGCTGGCTCCCTCGGATGTCATCGGATGCCAGACTGGGCCGATAGGTCTCTTCGTGTGGCGTGTTTCGCCACATGCAAGTCATTGGCCACGACCTGACGGGGGGCGTGTGTGCTCGATGGAGGTGAGGACGGTGTACTGTGTACATGACAAACACATCTATCCGAGCAGATACTGGCTACATAATCCACGCGTGGATGTGACTGGACGTACACCCCGTGGTCATGCTACCCTTCGAGGGCGAAATCAACCACAACGTTATCTGGGTGTTCAGGTCTCAACATACCGTCCACGCTTATGCCGATTCTGTCTCGGCGTCGTTATTCGTGGTCCGCCGCCCGAAGCGCTGTGGATGTCTTGTCGCAGGATCGGACCCGCCTCGGACAACAGACTGAACGGCCTCATTCCACATACCGGTCTCCAAACAAATGCTTCAAGACATCCGCGATTTCACGGGACTGCGCGTTGGGTGTCTCGAAGTATCATGGAATGCCTACGCTCGCCGTATAAAACCTGGAAACGGACGCACGATGGTCAGCAACTTGCGACGACGCAAACCGAGCAACACAGCACACGGCACACAAGGAAGACATGTCTGCGAACCAGAACCAGAACCAGGACCAGACCGCCGTCATCCGTGCGTTGGCCGCACACCGCGAGACGAACGGCAGACTGACACCGCTTCAATTGAGCAGACTGGCGGACGGAGCTGAACAACATACTGCAGAAGAACAAGCCCCTGGGACAGCTGACGTGGGCAGAGAGCGCCGCCCACGGCCACCAGGGCCCCTGGATCGCGGTCGCTATGAGTGAGTGCCCTTCTGTGTCACTATCCGGGTGAACGATTTATATATTGTGACCATGCAGTCAATGGCGTTGAGTACGGACGTGGTGAGGGCGACAGCAAGGACGCCGCGAAGGACGCCGCGGCGCACGTAGCTTATCTTCAAGTCCTAAATCAGCTTCAGGGGAGACGATGTGAGTCTTTCTTTGGAGAACACTTGGCCGTAACTCACATTTGCTGTAGGAAGAGTTCCTGTATGCGAGGACCTTTCTTCCGACCGCTGTACGCATATATAGACGTGTCCGTCAATAATGGTCATTCAGCATATTGGCGCATCTCGCGTTTGACGATCGTGTGATGCTTGCATCGTCCACCCAGTTGGTCACGAAGAACTAATTCTATCGACATGAGTAGACTTCGGGATACGATCGCCGAACCAAGCGTGATAGATTCCAGTGCCGCCTACATGCAGCGTCATCCGGAAGCGGCACTCTTGTTTCAGCCGTCGGCTGACAGGTTCTTTTGGCTGACCGGTCCTGTTGGCTGACAGGTCCTGTTGCTGGTAAGTCCTGTCGGCTGACAAGCTAAGGCCTGCAAGGTATAAGAGCTGCCGGAGGATGCACGGCTACAGCAGCTTCTACCAGCTAACTTGACACCCCCAGCAGAGTCTTGTCCCAGTCTTCCTGTCGTGCCGACGACATCTCGTACAAAGCCGATTTCTGCAGCTTCATGTAGCGTTCAAAGAGACGAGGTAATACGACCTGCCGTGAGGGCCAACGAGCTTCGCGTTTCGATATACTTTGTAGAATGCAAGTGACCTCAACGAGCCTCTCGTTCAACGGCAGGATAGCGTATTGGGTAGAGGGCTTCGGGTCGATGCCTGCGCTACGTGTGCCAATTACGACTCAGTGCGCGATGCGCTACATAGTACCCTGAGGTTCGTGAGTCCTGGCCTTCCAGTCATCGGATCAAACACCGCGTGGACCCAGGCGCGACCTTGCGCGAGCCAGAGTACGAGGGAACAAAAGGACATAAGGGGGCCCACACGCTGCCTAAATTCGGTGGACAGCAACCGACATACGACGTTGTACCTGCAGACAATGACCCACGATGCAATGAATAGGATTAGAAAGCATGTCCGAGTCCAGGCAGTGCACGAAGCAACACTGGGGGGTATGAGTGGTGTACATCGGCAACCCCAGCACTTGGCCCTGCAAGAAAGTTACGATATCACTCCGTGTGCATGTAATTATCCGAATGGCGCACGGAAAGCCAGCGTCAAACGCACCAGCTCTCCGTTTACTCGACCGATCAACCCTCCCCTCCCTCTATGATCTCCGTGTGTTTGATACCCAATATCTATGGAACAGCATGCACGTCATGTGTCCCGGTTGGTCCGAAAACCCCGTTTGCGTTCTAGACATAGTCCAAAGCAATCAGCACTGTAGCACAGAACATTCAAGGAACTCACCGAGTGTGAAGTCCGCACAGAGGGAGGGCGTGGACACAAGGAGCTCGGTAGGCCCATTCATAGAGACGGCGACCCGAGCCAGATTGGCTCACGATCGCTCTCCACATACACGCCTCGTGAACATGAGCCTAGAAGGTAGACTTGCGCCCCTCCTCTGAGGCTCATCGGTAGGCGATCAATGATGGGCCGCACGATATCGAGAAGCCCATCGATGTGGTGGCCGTCAATCCTCAAAGTCCTGACGTCGATTGTAATCCGAAGCGCCGTGAGTCTCTCGTGCAGTTCGGCAAGCGCTTGGTCCAGAACATCCCAGTCTGTGAAGTTTAGATAGACAGTGGGGTAGATTGAAACCACACAATGCACAATGAAGCGAAGCTGGAGTTGTCGAATACCCTTCGGTAGCGATTTCAAGAACTGAGGAAGGTAGGGACAAATAGTTCGGATACTCCTCGATGAGTCGAAATAGTAGCTGAGCGTGACGACGCGTAGTTTGTGGTGCTGTGAGCAGTCCACTTCCCTTAAGGACACTTGACATATCGTCAACTAAGTATATACATGAAGATCATCTAGTACAACTCACGTTGTATGTCCAGGAACGTTGCCGGGTAATAGTAGTTCACGCGGAGCACCTCCAGTGTCGACCGCGTTCGTGATAAGAGCATCGCAGTGGTCAAGTTCTCGGCACTGCGAACGCAGCTGTTGATTGACATCTCACGAACCGCCGGGGCGAACGGTGGGCTCAACAAGCCTTCGACGAACGAGGGCAGCATCTTGATATCTGCATCGAGGCAGAGCTTCTCGATGCGCCGGACGCCGACGCTTGAGTGACGGAGAGCCGCAGAGTTTGGCCTATCGAACGAATCGGCATCGGGATGGAAGTGAATGCTTTGCAGTGTCAGGGTGGATAATCCAGGAAACGCAGCCAGTAGTCGTAAGAGTTCGGAAGGGGAGAGGAAGGTCGACTGTAAGACCTCCAATGAGGACACAGCGGGCATGCCGGCGAATAGGTCCACAAGGGCTCTCGAACTTGCGCTGGCTTGGCCTCGGAATGCAAAAGGTGCAATATCAGTCCAATTGAAGCAAACAAGTCGCAGCAGCTGAGTTCGATGAAGTCGCTTCAGTATACGACCCAGCGTGATTCGGATAGTGGGGCCAGGGTGGACGAGCTGGGTTGTACAAGTCAACATCTCGAGTATATTGAAGCCAATGAATCGACATAAGGAGTCGCAGTCGCCGCCCAAGCTAGGAGAAAAGACTCCGTAGAGCGTGAGTTCGCGGACGTAGTCAGCAATCGGTGCACCCGTCGAGGCGGACGATTGCAGCACCCGTAGGAACCCGTCACAACGCGCCTTGGTGCACCTGAGATCTACGGATTGAAAAAGCCGCTGTCGGCATATATGGACCCAAGCATGGCACGTTAAGCTGCATGTTCTCAGCTCAACCGGATCGCCATCCAGGCTGTCGAGAATGGCATCAAGCACCTCGATGGGGACTACACAAGCGGTCATAATGAGTTCCAAGGCAGCGAGGCAGTCGTGTATAACACAGAATGCTGTCTTCGCCGAGTACAGATGTAGGACCTGAACAGTGAAGCTAGAATGAGCTGATGTCCCGCGCACGACGACGACAGTCACGCACCGTAATTCCGAGCAAACTCTAGTCCTTGATATATCTGCTCGACAATCCAAAGTGGAATCCCCGTCTTGTGGCGGCGAGGGGGGACGGCGGGCACCAACTTGACGGTGGTTGCAGTCAAAGAATTCCGCGATAATAGGCGCCATAGCCGCAGTCGGGGACGACCTGGGACGACAGGCTATCGCACTGTGCCGCCTGCACAGGCGTCTCAGCCTGGTCCCGACATCCAATCCGCATGCGGATTTACAGTGCTCTATGGTGTCCCAAGACGTCCCGATAGAGACGCCTAGAGTACTTACCACAGACAAGGCGGAGTCACGGCCACACGCCGTCGGCTTCGTCCTGGGCAGGGGAACTTGAAAGGCAAGCCTACGCCGCTCCGCATCAACTTGAACACTCCATATGCGGCGACTTCTGGTCCAGTGCATCGTGTCATATACCAAATGGTACTGTAACACGGGTGAGCAGACAGTTGTGACAGGAATGCCACATTAGGTTTTGTTACACAGAGTCGTCCTTAGTACATACGAGACTAACTACATCATTTCGAAGGTGCACCTCGAAACCTCCCACTCCCTCCTCAACATGTCAGCCCAAGCCATGATGAAGTAGATCACACCCGCCGGTAGGACACATTTGACGACTACCTCGTTCCAGTCCCAGCGCCGACGACGCAACTTGATCCATTCCTCCCGCATACCGCTCGCGCCGGCAAGGAGCGATCGGCGAAGCGGCGAGGGCGAAGGAGGCTGGGTAGTTCGTGGCTGAGGAGCGGGCGCGGGACCTATGTTGGACGTCACCCACAACTGAATGCTACGACTGTAACATGTGGTTGTACCGATGACAGCCCAGCAGAGGGCCGGGCGCTGCTCGTGGTTGAGGAGCGTTAGCGTCAGGTGGGTGGCTGGCCAGCAGATCGCTGTCACAGAGGGTCAAGCATCGCGATTTCAAAGTGACGCTCGAAACGTACTTTGGAGGGCGAACAACCGAATTAGAGTGGCGAACGGGGAGTAGTAAACTCTCCACCGCTTGAGTACTCCCGTCGTTAGTTGCAAGCACTGCCAACCAGTGAGAATAGACTGGCCTCCAAATGATGAGCCTGACTAGAAAGCGTCGCGCAGAATACAAGGACTTACCCATAACACACTAACGAAGTAGTCAACACGCCAGCTTAGAGGGCTCGGTGGACCACTCGGGGGCCAAACGATATGATAGATGTTCCATAATGTCCCGAAGACAGCGGGGACTATCGAGAGCAGACGAGAGAAGACGAAAAGAGATGCGAAGACCCAGGGTGGACATGCGAAGGGCGCAGGAGCGGGAAGTGCTGGACCTGTGATTCGAGCAGTTGGAAGGTTGCGTGGCTGGTCGATCAACGAGTAAGACACGAAGCCATCAGGGGCACTGCAAGTCTCATCGACTCACCGAATCGCTCTCCGTCTCTGTTTCCGTCGCTCCGGGCACGCCAGCTGCCGTTGTAATGGGTCTCAACCGCTCGCCGTCCTGGCCCGGGTCTTTGCGCCCCAAGAGACGCGATCTCAGGCTCCCTGCTAGGCTCAGAGGCATGGTGTACAATATGCCATCCTCCGAAGCTGACGTTTCGTCGGCTTCATCACCGGACACGTTGGGTTGCGGGTTCGGCAGCGGGAGCGTTGGAGGAGAGGTCGCACGTATGGACGAGAGGGCCTGAGGAGCGAGGGTCGCAGATGAGGTCGGCTCGGAGAGGTGTTGGACTTGCCGATTGGGATGCTGTTGGAACTGCGGGGTCGAGGTTGCGCGTTGTAGTTGGGCAAAGGTGACTGAATCGGGAGGTGTGGGAGAGTATGGCGGTGGGCTGCTGTCGGTCTCTGGCTCACTCATAGGTAAGATACTTGGTCGCGAGGAACGGAATAGGAATCAATGGACGCGGCTCGGAGGGTTCACGGTCGATGGCTTGTGAGATCCTGGCCTACGAGGCGAGGGCGACGAATGCCTGCGGGACAGATACGCTGCGATGCCTGAGCCCACAGCCAGAGTCTCGTTAGCGTTCAGTTCCTGACAGTTCACAAAGGCGTGTAGCCTACCTGCGTAATCTTCCTAGTGAACTTGAACCAGACGAGATGTGCCGGTGCTTCTGGAGGACTAGTAGCTGTACGAGCGAATGCTTCACCTCGACGCGAAACGATGGAATTGGGACTGGCAGAACGAGGGGTCTACTGTTCCCAAATGCTTGAGATACGCTGTTCTCGTCCCAGATGCTCCGTCAGACTTACAAAGGACGAGCTCGAGGTGGCTCCCGAATCGCGAAACGAGGACATGCGACAGATTTGGGCTTGGAAATTTTCGCGTCTCGTCACTTCTGAGCAATTTCATTGGTTAATCCTTACCAGGATGCACAATAACTCGAGAGTTGCGCCAGTAGTATGTAGTTTAGAGCATGATGGACTCTGCAAAGTGTCTGCCTGCCGCTTGCGCCCAACTTGCGCCACATTCCCGACGCCAGTCGCGTGGGGAGACCTGGGTCACGTGAAGGCCTACGTTGGGGAACATGTAGAGTGCCGCTGTACGACTACGCATGATTGACGCATGATCGGTAAAACCGGTAGTACGTGCTACACTGCTAGTACCGGTACCCCCAGTACGAAGCCCGAGACACGACCCACAACTTCGTCACCGCGCAACACCTCGAGCAACCCGCCTCGCGCGCCCGCCGTCCCGCACGACACTCACCAACACCACTAGCACATCTCGAGTGGCATGCCTGTCATCCCACCTGAAGGCCTGACACCCAACCTCATACTCAAACCGGGCACCGACGACGCGGCATGCCCACCCCGTCCGAGATTCGACTCATCACTAGCACGTCTCGACCGTCTTCCCGCCTTTTGAATCAACACAGACGCGGACGCAGACGCGGACGCAGACTCGGACCCGACGACATGGACATGGCATGCGTGGGCCAGTCCCTGTCGTCCCGGCCCAGAATGATAAATCGACAGCGACGACATGGCTAGCCCACACCTTGCCCATGCACCTGTCGACCCTCCTGTTCCTGTCGCGCCAAGCGACACGAGCGAATATGTATGATACAGTATAATCGGCTCTCCTCCGTCGCCGCTCCTCCCGCCGGTCTAGCACGCTCTCGTGGTCTCGCAGGGCAGTAACTGACTCACTGAATGCTCGCTCGGCGGCGGGCTCTCCCCCGAGCGCACAGTCAGGGCAGTCGAGGTCCGAATGGATCTACGCCGTACGGGCACCGTGCACCCGCAGGCCATAACATGTCTCCACAACCACAGTCCTTATGGCCACCGCCGCCTTTGCCCCCGCCCACCTTTGTGCCGATGCCGATGTTGATGCTGGTGATAGTGCCCGTGCTGATGATGCAGCCATCATGCGTTTATGAACTCGAGTTGTCTTGAGGTGACTGTATGCGCGCGCTGACGACGATTGGGTCTGTGTTTATTGGTAGATCTGCAGCCTGTGGGGGCCGATGGGCGTATGCGATCATACCAAAGCCGCGATAGCGAAGACCGCCTCCCCTCTCCGATTCCTCCTTTGTCTCTGTTACATTCCGGGGCTGTGAGATGCTGTGGTGCGGCCCTCTCATTCACAGCGTGACGGCGCGTCGCCCTTACTCACATACCTCCTTCTAATGTATTCTCCTCTAGTGTCTGCAATTGCCGGCACTGGATGGCCTAGACCAGGTCTATCTCCTTCAAGCCGTGCACCTACTCGCGCAGATACGCGTGAGCATCGACTTCCCATCACGTCCCTACATCCGATATAAGTACCGCCTCCGAGCTGCCAGCCCACACTTCAGGAGCCACTGGCAAACAACAATCCTTCGCATCCGACTGTGTAGAGCTTCCCACCGGTGCTGCTGCCTATGCCTGCCTCGCTATTTGATATTCAGTACACGGCCGGAAAAAAATCTGGAGGAATCCTATCAGCGGAGGTACCGTGTAATTTCGCGCAGTCCCGCCTATGAGCAGCCTGCGATCTGCATGCGATCTGCTTGCGGTTCAAGGTCGGCGTTTTGCCCTCGGGTTACGTGTGCATATATCACAGAGTACTTTGATGGACCCGAGGGCACGGTGCACCTACCTTTTTGGGTAGCGTCAGGTGACGCACTCGCAGCGACCGCGAAGTCCAAGGCGAGGATAACTTACTGGAGTGGTGAGCAAGGCTGCAAGGGTACTGTGATCATAGAGACATTATGAATTTGCCCGAAATAAGATTTCCTATATCCTCACGTATTCTGACTTCCGCGTTGAGAACGCGCGATACATATGTAGCATGCTCAAGAGTCAAGCAAGTCAAGACCGGACTTGCACTTGAAGAGGTTGTATGGGCATGGATAATAGTAACATTTATATACAAGTTGTTGAGTCATGCTAACAAAGCCAGCATGGCTCAATTGGCTACGACGTTGCCTTTCATCCATTATATCATACCGGGGTTCGACTCCCGCTATGTTTGAATTATTTTTACAGTTTCCCCTTGTCCTTATGGCCGGCTTTGGTTCCCCTTTCTGGTGCGGATTATGTCACAGCGGCCCACGTGTAAGACCTACAAGCAAACCACAGGCCCGTCCTGCAGGTGCGACACTACCCTTGATTCACAGGACACCGTCAAGCTATCCGTCAAAATATCATCATTCCCCTGCGGGTGCCTCGTTACCCGCCCTACGGTTGCCTACTGGCAGATTTCTGCCCGTGTAACGGATATACGAGTCGTGAGTACGCTCCCCGCTAATGTCGTTGTGAAGCGCTGCCTCACGACACCACGAGGCCGATGGTACTATCACGGTACCAGTAATGCAACTGGGATAGTAATGCAACTACTCAATTCTGAACACACTGCCTGCTCCAAATATTCTGGGATTTTTGTATATCATGTATTGTACCATGCTCCTTACAACTACACGCTTCGCACGATGTGTTGTTGAACTGGCTGAATGTACAGAATTCATTCCATACCGTTGTCCATCAATCTCAGTGCTTAGATCGCCTCGGATGACTCCGCGGTCTGTACGATTCTTTTGAGAGGCTGGATATATGGATTTACAACCTCATGATACCTTCTACAAAATTCTCCGGTGGGATCCGTGCATGCAGCGTACCTCTGGAGGCAAATGTCTTTTGGATGAGGTCGGAGCGTGATGAGCAGCCACTCGACGATCCAGGATCTCATCTCCGCTCCTTGCCGATGAACGGCATTTGGCAATGTGTGGCTGTGACTCCGTGAGTTACAAGTGCGGAAGGCCAGCTCTGTCTTCGCATCCAGAATTGTCTATGGCAGGTCGATGCCAAGCTCTGCTCGTACTCATGCACACAAAGCTGCAGTCGAAGCTGCTATCAGTTCAGCTGTTAAAGAGATTCGTGGTCAATCCGGCGATGTTAATATCAAACAGGTTGCTTCTCATCATAACATACCTTACTCTACTCTACTTCGCCGTCTCCAAGGGAAAACAAAGCCTCGCTCAGCTGCCCATGCTTCTCAACAGCTGCTCACTCCTGGACAGGAGAAGGCTTTTGTTGATTGGATCAAACATCTCAGCGTAATTGGACACCCTCTCAGTAAACGCACAATCGCCAAAAAGGTCCAGCGGCTCAGGCCACAGTGTGGCCTTCGGCCGCGTGGTGACTCGGACTCGTTCATAATGCCACCCGTGGCGATGTATGCACCTGGGACACCTCACGCATATTCACCCTATATACCTGCATATTACGACACACCTGACATTGTATATAGACCTAGAGAACAGCCCCGCTCTACTAGTAACCTGCCGCCGCACGACTTGGCGATGTAATAGCGCGCCTAGTAGCACAGACCATTACGATCCACTGATATAATTCGAAGAGTACATACTTCGGAATCTTGTGCATACTATACTGTACTACATGCCTAGAAGACATGATTTTATCGTCACGACCTCATTTTTGTACCGCGTCCGCCCGTTCGCAGGTAAACAGCCGGTAAACCTCGCTCCGGCACCACTGGCACTGCAGTTGCAGTTCCAGCGCGTCTTCAGCCACGGTCGGCAGCATTCGGCACGGCGGATCTTGAACCTCGGCCGTGTCGGCATTGTGACGATCGCCGTGACAAGCTTCGGAGAACAGTTGCATTACTGTTCCAGTCGTTGCTCCCTCTCGGTATCCGTCCCATCCCACCAGACAGGGCGTGTAAAATCGTACAAGATACTCTCGAACCTCAGAAATCTACTGGTGCAAACTCCGAGTGCTTCCGGTAAGTACTCCGTGCAGTAGAATCCAAAAGGTGAAAAAGTTGCATTACTGGTACCGTGATAGTATAGGGTTCGCGGAGCTTCCCATTCGGTGGTATAGCGGTGAGTGCTCAGGGCTATCAGCGTATGCTACCGATAAGCTCAACGCAGGGTATGCCGGGTAGGAAGCGACGAAGAATGTGGCGTTCAGCCGTAGACGTTGCCACTTGCAGTCGGCCGCGGCCTGCGGATGCTCGGATGTGTCGTAGGATATCTTCCAAGGGAGCTTGAGAGCACAATTAAGGTGTGGGTATTCTAGCCAGGGAAATGATTATGGTCGCCTGACGTGTTGGCCACGCCGCTCTCAATGCATATCATAAGGTTCAATGGCAGTATTGCGCCTGCGCATTGCTGTGTTGTTGTTAGCTTCGAGCTCTACCGTCTTCACAGCACGCCCAGCGCACGTTGCCGTCTCCTTATAAGCCACGTCCCGTATCTCGAGCGGCAAAGGTCTGCTTTACTTGAGCCGCTCGCAGATGGCCAGCTTGAACTACAATGTCGCAGGCGCTGTGACAGGCATTCTCGGGCTCATTCTTCCATTCATCCTGTTCATACGGTTTCGCCCACGGCGAATGCTCCAGGCTCTCGAGGAGAGTCTGTTGTATCTCGAGAAGGTCTTGGGCGACGGCCGAAGTAACGGTATATCCGACGACTGCTTTCACTTTCCCAGGTGGGATCGTGTACAACAAGAATATGAAGAGTGGTATCTGGCGTTGACTTTCAAAAATGGTATCCTCATATACTCCACAGGCACAAGAAACACGCCCGTATTCTGCGTAGTGAGGTCAATAGACTCACTTCGTGCTTCTCGGAAGTGGAAGCGATTGCGCGCGGCTTGACGTACCAGTTGTACGTCCGCCGTCGAAAGGTGCTTTCGACGTTAGCTGAGGTCTCGGTACGTAGTTAAGATAGGTCCACTTCAAACGTATTCTTATTCACACACATGGGACACTAGGCAGCGGAGCTCCGCGAACGACAGCGACAATTGCAACATGAAGTGGATTCTCAAGCTTCAAATTTGACGTCCATCGTAGTCGCAGCCCAAACGTCTTCCATCGACACGGCCGGCGTGAGTGTCCCGTGCAATCAACCGGAAACCGGCGTGGAGTTACACACGCTGTACGATCGTTCTGTTCTTGTTGCATACGATGCGCCTACTAATCAGTTATGTTTCGCAGACGCCACAGACATGTAGGATCGCATACAGACGTGGAAGATCCCGTGAGCGTGACCGAGGTCTCATCCCGAGTGACCGGGAAAGACATGGTTGTGAGCCACGACGCCGGCAAGCGTTCGTCTTGTCTCTTGTTCCTGGGAATTTGGTGTATCAAATGCTCTGTGAACAGGTGTGGTCGGTAGGGTAATGGTCAACGACAAGCCGCATCCAAAGAAGGCCATCCGCGGTTCGGCGCCGCCAGAGCTGCAATGGGCTCCACTCCGAGCAACGTGTACGTGGAATCTTTGCTTGCCATTGTGGCTTGGTATGTGTGCTCACAGTGATCCATGCTAGTTAACAACGTCGAATACGTAGTTGACTTGGGCTACAACGCGGAGGCTGTGAAGGAAGCTGCAGAGGCTGCCGCCGGGATAGCGCATGCGGAAATGACAAAGTTCTTGGAGGGTGTGATGAGGTGATTAATGATGGGTCATCGCATGCAAGGCCTCTGGATTTCAATATCGGGACCCGGGAGTGTCTTCACCACCAGCCAGCGTATACAGTACCTGGCGTATACTGTATGTAAGCAGCCCGTACGGAGACTCATGTATTTAGTATCGACAACTTTTGCTCAAGTTCCATGGTCTGTTGCCTAGGATTGTTGCCTGCCAAGTCTCACCACATGTACCATGTACACCGTCACCCAGTACATCAGCCAGCCTCTGTCATCCCGTGGTCCCTGATATGAGCTAGCTCGAGGTGCTGGTATGCAGCAACTGAAGGCGACTGACATCGGCGTATGAGGCAAGCCGCAACGTTTGCCTTCTGCGGGAGAGAACGCGATATTACTTTGAAATACAACTCCAGGTTGCAAGGTGTCGGTGCGGTCTGTGGATCCTGCGTGTATCAATCCTCGCATTTCAACAATCCTCGCATTCATGTCGGTGATATTCTGCCTGCATAGCGAAGAGCAATCCAATTCCAAGTACACAGACAACTACGTACGATGTTCAGAGATTTGCGAATTCCGAGCTGTCAGCAGGACAGCGGGTAAAGTGGCTTGTCTGGTACCAGGTAGTAGCCCGAAAGCCGGATGGGATGACGGATCTGTAACTAAGCAACACGATTGTCAGGGCGTTTGATAGAGTGAGCGGCATACAATGAAAGGGGAGCTAGTAACTTGACACGATACTATACATGCCTACTGCTCAAGTCGGTCCAGGACGTACACTGCCTTGATTGACCTCATTCACTCAACTCCGGATGTAAAATATCCATGAGTCTGCAACCTAGAGTTCTGCACGATGCAATGAACAATCGTGAGCATCATCTTGCAGGGGCTATAATCAAGCGAAAGCTCATCTCACTGACTTTTCAGCCATTTCGTGAGTGCGGCCTGGGCCATCTCGGTGGCAGCGTCCTTGACAGCCTCTGCGCTGTATCCGAGGTCAACTCCATATTCAACACCGTCAACTGCAGATGATCATCGTAAGCAAGAGTCTCAGGTGCAAGTGTGAATGGTCTGACGGCACTCACTCCTTGCGAGCCGAGCCCAATTCGACCTTGGGATGCGGATAGCATTGTCCGGCTGCACCTTCAAATTGTCGTCAACCGTGATCCTGCCGAGTGTACCTGCGCAAGGAAGGTTCTAGGCGCTAGCGTCCGAGACAAGAGAATGAAAACGCACGCTTGCCATCCTCGAGACTCACAGCCGTGCCTTCGTCCTGCGACTTGGGTGGCCCCGAAGCGGAAACCTCGCTTAGGCTGTCAATGTCTTCTATGCTTGATTCAGAACCTATGTTTCTGTTGCGTCTGTGGAGTATGATGGGAAAGATGATTTTGTATTCAATACATGTGAAGGACGTACAATGTATACAACTCAATGCCGGATTCTGTTGTGCGTGACGCACTGTTGGCGTTCGATGCCTCGACGACCGAAGATCGTGCAGCGACGACGACACGTGTCAAACTTGTAGATTGAGAACACGACTCATGTAGTAGTTGGCGCTGTCGTTCACGGAGCTCGGCTGCCTAGGATGCATGTGTATATGAGCAACGTGCTATATGAGGCCGTAGGCCGATTACTCCGAAAACACACCGAGACTGTAGCTAGCGTCGAGAGCACTTTCCGACGACGTATATAGAGCTGGTATGTCAAACCGCGTAGAATCGCCTTCGCTTCCGATAAATACGACGTCAGCCGGTTGACGTCGCTGCGAAGCAGATGGGTGTGCTTCTTATGCCTGTGTATCTCGTCAGAATCCCCATTTGTAACAAAGCAGAACAAAAACCGCACTGCTCAAACTCCCGCTGCACATGCTCCCAGCCATGGAACGGGAAATCGTCGTCCGGTATGCCATCATTGCGCCCGTCGCTCAAAACCTTTTCGAGCACCAAGAGAGCCTCCTCGAGAGCTCTCAGCATGGGGCGTGGGCGACACTGTATGAAGAGTAGGAACGGGAGTACGAGCCCCAAGATGCCCGTGACAGCGCCTGCGACGTTGTAGTTGAAGTCCACCATCTACAATCTGCAGCGAATTTGTGGGCGCAGAGAGGAGCAAGCTGGATACCGAGCGTACCCTGTACTGCACCGCACTGGTGTCGAGGAGCTTGAGATGTAACCGTGTCACAATGCTGACGTGCATCCGAGTACAGCATACCTAAAGGTTATAAACAGGCAGCAACGTGTGCAGGGCGCGCTGAGAGCGTTGTTGAGATCGAAGCTGATCTCACAGCTATGCACAGGTGCAATCAGTACGTCCATATTTAGGGCAACATCCTTCATCGCCGCCAGCTCCTACTCGGTATGCACTTCACAGAGCTTATCGAGACTCAGCTATGGGCCCGGACACTGCCCGCTGTACCGCAAGACTGCCTGCCAGCTTCGGGTACTCCAGCAAATGGATAGCTTGATTGGCTTCGGGTCCGTCTGCACAACGTTAGTACACTGCATTATGGTAATAGCACAGCACTCCGAATCACAAGTACCCATGACTTGGATAGTTCAGACGACTTCCATTTACCAAACGATGGGAGGAACGCGCACCGTGACTGTGCCATTGAGTTTCGCCAAGACATGAGTGTCTTCATGAGGCCATTTCGGTATCAGACACTACGTAGATTGGCAGCTGAATGAAAAGCCATGAGTTCAGGAAGGAGATATGGAACAGGCTGTACATGTGAGAGGGGCACTGCAGCGGCGGCGCAGGCCTCGCCCGCGTAAGACGCGTCGATCACGTGCACACCGTGTCGCGCGACGCGCCCCGGCAGGCCCCGGCGCCGCGACGTCCCAGTCAAACGTTCAATCAAAGTTATCAAACATCCGCTCAGGATGGACATTGTGTGGAGCGAACACTAACTCTATCTGTAGCGCAGCATGTGCCGGCCGGGCACCTCGAAACTCGCACCGAGGCGGTATGTAATCTGAGTCTGCGCTGATATCTCAAGCGCAGCCTGAGAACGCCGGTGTCGCGCTCTATGAAGCTTGAGCTTGACCGGTTGACCTCTCGCCCGTCCGCCCCATCCCAGAGGAAAGTCCCATCCGCATTCACTGCGCCAACCACGGCGCACCACCTTCTCCCCTGCGTATACCCCTCGGTGTTGTCCCATCTCACGACCGACGCCGGTCTAGGACAACGTGCCTAGGTGAGTAGTGCGCGACATGCTCCAGACATGGCAGAGTAACTGAGGGACTCCAGCAACAGGACTCTACAGCCATACACTTTGCCGTTGGCCTTGTGAGTGTGTCACGCTTAACACGACTCGGTGATCCCCTGACTGATCGACATCCCAACTTTCGTGTCCGGTAGGTGCATCTCCACGATACGGCGTCACTCCACGTGTCGAGACCTCAGCATTATTCGTCGGATAGCGTGAACGGTACGATCAACATGGACGACCACCTACCCGCGGATGAGGTTTCCGTTCAGAAATGCGAGCCTGAAGCGCCAAGTGGAGAGGAGTCCGAGGAGGTCATATCCCGTTGGGCTGACTCGCGTGACATCGAGTTCAGGCTACCGGTATATTCAAGGTGCGGGACTTACAGCTCCGATCGCGCGGTATACGTATATGTATTGACCTTCGTAACGTCCAGTGATACCTGTCTGCGCTTTCCGCAAGAACTGATTGAACGCATCTGCGAACACCTCTGGAATGATCCCTTTGCACTTTTCAGCTGCGAACTCGCTTGCTGCGCTTGGTATCATGCTGCACAACGAGTTCTCTCGACAATTCTGCACCTGAGCACACGGGAGGCCCTACATGACTATGCGCTTATGCTCATGTCACGTCGGAACGTGCCGTATCGCAAAGCCTTCAAGCACATGGATATCCACGACAGTGCTAGCAAACCGTTCGCGCAGACCTGGCCGATGCTCATTCCCGGATGCATGCTACCACAGATGCTCCATCTACAACTCTATGACCTCGACTGGACGACTACTATCAAGCCACATGATACTTTCTTCATTCACCTATCATCTTACACCAGCATCAAATATTTGACGCTTCACCACTGTCGCTTTCATGGTGCAACGGATCTTCGTAGGATGATCAGTGCTCTTCCAAACCTTCAGTTTCTGTCGCTCTTGGAAGTTACACTGCAGCACTCCCTCATGCCAGACTTGGCCCGACCCCGTTACCTGACTACCCATCACCGTACGCTCGAGTCGATCCAGATCATTGCTGCGACTCATTCCACCTTCTCCGACATCTGCGGTCCTGAACACATGGATATCGTGTTTCGAAACATGTTGCACCTAATCGCGTGGTACTCATCTATCACCAGTCTCGTCATAGATCTGCAGTTCTTCCCTTCGCTGCTGCATCTTGAAGAATATCTACTTCATTACCCCTGCCTTTCTTCCCTGGGAGTCTCTGGCGACTACGGCTCGAGTCTGGACTCCGAGTCCGCACCCGAAGACGTAGTGCCAACGCACGCGGAGAAATCACGTATACTCTCGTTATCACACTTCTCCCTCCACAATGTGCCCGAACAAGCCGCAGTGCAACTGCTGAATCTGTTCTCTATCCCTCAACCATGCAGCCAACTGCGCAAGCTCGAGATTAATCTGGCAGGGAGGTGGAAAACTGCAGAAATCCCAGCATGTACGAGCCGCGTGCTCCGTCTGTGCGGGCGTGGGCTTGAAGAGTTCCATTGGCAATGCGGCAAAGGTTATTCTTACTCCTGCTATCCAATGTGGGTCTGTCTAACTGCTGACTGCTCGCTTTTGTAGCATTTGGACTCGCGCCATCACTCGCAAATAATACATCTCTGCGGCGATTAAGCATGTTATTCGATGAAGTTATCCCGTCGTCGCAGGGAATCCAACGGATCCTCAGTAGCATGCTCTCGGACATCACGAGCATACATCTGCAGCATCTAATCTGCTTCATCCTCATAGCTAACCGCGACATGCTCCCCCAATCCGACGAAACGCCACTCGCGGTGACAGACAGCATCGACTCCATCTCTACTTTTCACGCCATTCTCTCTAGCACAACGTTCGACGGACTCCCGGTCTGCACTTCAAACACGGGCGTACATATTCACTTCCACATGGAGGAGATATGGGACAAACCCGCTATGATGTCCGCGCTCAAAACCCACATGATCGCTCTGTTCGCGCCGTGGTTGGATCGCCGAATAGTTGAACTGCAGTTCGTGTCGGGCGGCACCAGCTGGCAACTTGTTAGAACCGTTCCCACATCTGATCCAGTGAGTATGCTATCTTCTTTCTCGGTAGCGGTGCACGTATGATCTGGTCAATGTACTCATCGCCTCATAGAGAACACGTCGCGCGATCATGGTCTCACGAACATTGAAAAAAACGGGCTCAGAGAATCAGTAGATTAGAACACGGATTTGGAGTGCGAAATGGATGATCGCAAGGCGGTCATCTTTCTTGGTTGTGTAGAATGCGCGGCATGGCGTTGTATGTATGACTCTCCATTCGATATTTATTGGACTTAGTGGGCTCGACCCCCGGTATCGAAAGGATATCACCCTTGCCCCACTGCGTGTCGCCAAAACAAGTCAAGTCATGCCCCAGTTTTGCGCCGTCATACGTCCCGCCGTGGGCACATAGATGAACGGCACAAGATGGACCGCGATTGTGGTCTTGCGATATTATTAATGGTCACTGTGTCGACGTGCTAAGAATTATGTTCATCTCGCGACAGACATCTCGTTACATGATGTCGGTTGCATACAAGTCCAAGACAACGAGTCTAGGATAGAAATCCATACAAGTGTGAATACTTCCGTTAATTAGGCTTCATACAAGGTCAGAGACACAGCGGCGACCTCGCATTCCGGTTTCCAGAGCGGCCCTCGAGCCAACAGTCGCCGTGGAACGGTGATCCTCCTTGGAGTGGCTGGAGGGACATCGGTTTTTGGGGTAGATGATGGCAGAGTACCCCGCCGTCTTCCCACTGTCCTGCGACGCATACTGTGCTGGGATCATGCACACCATGTCTTGTCCAGGGTTGAGGAGCCAGTACTTGTGTCTACACACGTACCATCAGAATCATCGACTAAGCCCACACCTTATGTCGACTCACTGTCTGAATAGCATGTAAAGCGCTGTTGCGAGGAGTGACCCGAGGCCGTCGCCGACCCAGTACTTGCGTTGCCGTCAGCCCTATATCGCGCGCCGCGTGGGTCTGATACACTCACCACCCACTGAGTGCTGTATGGAAAACCGGTGATGACGGCGGGACCAAAAGCGCGCGCCACATTCATACTTACGCAGGTATAGTACACGCCCCAGCTTGAAGTAGGTGCATAAGATAACAAGGCAACGCACGCAATGGAGTTGACTCACAGATGGCAAACGAAGGACGTCAGACCTATACCGACCTTGTAACATGGAGGGCGAATTGATCAGCGCGTGCTTTGAACCAAGTAATGTCGAATCGGTCTCACCGGAGCGAAAGGCGTAGCTGCATGTTTCTCTACTGCTAGCATGAGGACGGATAAGACAAGTGCCGCAGTGATGAACATCTCTATGAACACGCCCTGCGCGAGGGTGACGCCGTCGGCTAGTACAGGGCTTCAAGACCTATATGAGACATGCACCGTAACGTGTAATTGGAACTTACTTCGACAACAGAGGACCAGGTGTAAGCGCACAAACAATAGCCGCAGCGGCGATACCCCCGACGAGCTGAGCGATGCAGTACAGAACGAAGCGCAAGGGCCTGATGGCGCCGGCCAGGAAGAGTGCCAGGGTGATGTTTGGGTTGAACACGCCACCGCTAGCCCGGTAGAAGATCCAGACAGAGATGAGAAGGCTGAACCCCATAGACAGTGCGATATACAGGTCGTGCAGGATGACAGAGGGCGCGGAGCCGCTCAGGTTCAATTCTGCTGTCGCTGCTTGGATCCCGCCGAACGCGAGGAGCAGAAAGAATGTCGTGCCAATGAACTCGAGGATAGTGGCCTTGACATCGGACAGCCAATTATCGAATAGCCCTCTGAGGTAGAACTTCCGCGTCCACATGATGGCGGGACGGTGGTTCCTCGGTATCCGTAGCGTTGCTGAGGCAGTGGTAGGCGAAAAAATGACCGCTGGGGTCAGAATATTCCGGCATATAAAGAACATTCCATGAGGCTGGAGGGGACGATGCCAGCCGCATTTCGTCTTCGCCGTGGAGGACATGTTGAAGCTGACCGTCCGGCGTCAGCCAAGCCATGCAGCGCGAGCGCCCAAGATCGAATCGTTACGAGACGCCACGCCACCTCAGTGACCCGCCTGCTGGGATGCTCCATTGACCTCGACGCTGGGCCGCGCGCACGAACCGGAGACAGGAGATCCAGGTAGACGTACAATTTCGAATAAAGTTACGGTTGACGAGCCGTAAGAAGCATATGATAGCGCCGGGATGACGTGTACCAAGGTTTATTGAGAGGCATCGTATAGCAGGTTCCATTTACACGTATCGGAGAGTTCGACTGTACGTGTATTGTCTGGTAGTCCATATCAGCAAATCAGCAAAAATCGAAGGTGTTGGATATCACACCTGCGCATTAAACAATCGATTTCAATCTAGATGGTCCAAGACTTCCTGCGCCTTTTGTACGTAGAGCTCAAAGCGCTTCTCAAAGCGTGCGCAAATGCGCTCGGCAACACCGATGCTCAATGGCACCTTGTCAGCAGCCACAGCAATGGAGAGTCCGCCGGCATAAGATATAATTCCCATGCCGATTGTGCCTGTGACACGCAAATGGAGGATGGTCAGCACCACACAGAGCGAAGGTGCTATTGAAATAATTTACCTTTGCCTCCTTGGGGAGGGAGAGCTGTCCAATTAATGACTTCCGTGTCTCCCAATGTGATCGTGCTTTTGGCTGGGCCAGGAACACTGGAAGCACGGAGGACTGTGAGAAGGCATCCCACGAGCGAATGCTCCAAGCTTACTTGGTAAGAACAACGGGGACTGAGCAATCGTCAATCAGTGGTTCTGCAGCAAAGTGGAAGCAAATCTCACATGACTGCAGTGTCATATCGTATATCGGCCTCATGAGCCATTCGTTGAACAGGTCTTTGAGCTGTTTCACCGGGTTTGCCAGCAGAGATATGTCCAAAAGCGCTGGCACTTGGCCCGTCAGTTGCAGGATGCGGAAACCTAATTTCGGGAGGAGGCTGTGCTTCAGAATTGACAGCTCTCGACGACACTGGTGGATGTGCGCGTGGAGCTCGTGAACAGTTACATTCTTCGAAACGTTCGAAGATGGATTTAGGTAGACGATAGACCCCGTCGACAAGTTCCTCAGGGACCAGTCGCCAGGCGCACGTAAACTCAGAGGACTATGATGTCGTCAGAAAAGGTGGCCAGCATATATTCTGCAGTCACGCACATGAAGAACCCGATAGGCGAGGGAAGCACCGTCTTGAGCTTCCGTTTAGTGCGTTCCCAAGGACCATTCAACTGGTCAACAGGCTTGGCGGCGATCTCCTTCCCGAGGACATCCGCCATGACCGCGCACACGACGTCGTTTAACGTGACGTGTCCCACCTTCGCGCGCACCTTCTCCCGCTGCTCCTTTGGGACGCCCGCGACCGCGCTCCCGGGCTTCGCACCCGAGAACGCCTGCTGGCACAGCTTGATGTCCTTGATACTGAACACGCGCGAGCTCGCGAACTCGCGCTCCTTCACCCGTGGCCCGGGCTGCGGCCCTGTGAGCATGTCGACACGCCAGCAGGTGAGGAGGAAGAGCGCGGTCTGGTGGACGGCCTGGTAGACGCTCCAGAAGAGGCCGACGAACGTCGAGAGGGCGTATGCAGACCAGAACGCGCACGCCAGCAAGATCTCGACTAGCGGGGCGGTGTATGGGTTGGTCGTAAGCGAGTCGAGAGGTCCCAGAGCATGGTGGAGCTTGGAAGGGAGCACCTTGCCTCGCTTAGCTGCGTGGAGGTAGTCTGCGGTCGAGTGCATCTGGTGTACCAGTTCGTCGTGGTACGACGTGATGTAGAGCTGGCTGATGACAAACCCCTGCCCGTCTGCTAGTGCGTGGTGCCTATGCGGGGTCAATAGAGTTACGTGGATACGGACAAATGATGCAGACTCACCCCCTCGTGATGAGCGCACTCTCGGCGCCGTGCTCGTCCTTGTAGTTCTCAACCAGAACCATTTCCCATAACGAATGCTTCAAGTCCCAGTCTTGAGCAATGAATCTGCCCATCTGATACGGCAGCTCGACGAGATGAACTGCAGGCGAGGGGACAGAACTCACGAACCAACTCATTCAACTCGTGTTTCCCGGCGGGTTCGGGGAGGGTAACGGCATGGATATGGTTCTTGAGGTCGAAATCGGGGTCGTCTTCAAATCGCGCGCCATGGAACCTCCTGCACACAGAGGTCACTCGTTGCTTGTACTTTGGAAACTTCTCTGACTGGCGTCGGGCTGCCTGCGAGGTCTGTTGTAAGGAGCACGATCGGACGATTGAAAGGGCGTACCGCATACAATTGGTCTAACGTAAGTTTACCCTTGAGAGTGTATGTCGATGCGCATACCTACAATGCGTGAGGATTGCGACGCGCCGTTAAACACGATGCACTCACAGGATTGAAGTCGGCAGCGTCGGTCAAGAGGAACCACAGGTTGTCTATTCCTCCGATTGCTTGCCGTCTTTCTTCAAGCTCTCTGTCGATCCAGTCACCAGCAGACAGCACGAGCCTCGCTATCCTCCCCGTGAGGCCGCCAGTGCGCTCGAGGTCAGCGAGTGACCATTGCAGCTTGTGCTCCACATTCAGCGCATAGCCGTTCACGCCGCCGTCGAAGCTACCAGGCATTTGAAGGAAGTCATCCTCAACCATTTGAGGGTCAAGAGGTCGAACACGGCCGGAGAATGGTAAGCCAGGATGTAGGAGAAGGAGAGTGTGGAAGGTCAATTGACTTCGAGTGACGCAGCTTCGTGGATTTTGAATGCAAGGTTGGATCTCGATTGTCCGACGCGACGCGTTGCGCCATGTGGCCATTGACGTCACAGCACGTGCAACTTGGTGCACGCAGGCGTCGTCGCACAGTGAAGTGCGCCGAGGTTGACTGAGCTCGCTGCGAGTTCATCGCATCTTTACTAACACTTTGATACTAGGCTATGTAGACGGGGCCTGAATCGACTGCATGGCAACATGTCTGTCAGTGAAGCTTTGAAGTGTGGTACCCTAGGCTCGAGTGCATGCATATGGGCAACATCTGGAGTAGTGACATTGGAGTAGTACAAGCGTAGTATGCCAATTGCAACTTTACCTATGGTTTCGACCAATGTAATGAATGTCACAGAGTTCGGCAACAGTCGTGCGAAAGAGTCGTTCTGGACCAAACTTTGCAGAAGAAGATAACCCACAGATCCTGACAACCGTCGTATGACGGGAACGATCAATGTACTATACTTACTAGTAGCAGTCGGACGCAATCTATGTACTGGTACTTACGACGGGGCTGGTACGTGCGTGCATTGTGAATTTCTATACTACATGTCGATGTGCTATAACCATTACGAAGCCATCTCGGAGACTACGGAGCTAAACTTTGGCATCCTCCCTGGTGCGGATCCGAAGGCTCTCGCCCAGTTTTCTGCTCGTAGCTTGCAGTGTGTACAGCTTCTCAACGAGCTGCGGTACTTGCCGAAGACGCGGCCGCCCTCCTGAACCTCCCCCGGGCCAAAAGCGCGCAGGTCGTTGGCGACCGCCATGTAGTACATGTGCCACAATTCGCAAGTGCGCATTCCACCCTTGTGCAGGACCGCCGGAGGATCATTGACATCGCGAATGATTGTATTCCACGTCTCTCGATACAAGACCTGGATCCACATGCGTTAGGGACCCGATGTTGGATCTTATTGCTATGGAAGCAAAGCTCACCCAAGGGATGAAGGTCTCCTGACCTAGCGCTGTGAGTGCTGTCTCGGCATCGATGCCAGTGCTTCGAGACGCAGCTTCGTCGACGAGATCAGCAAGACTCCGTTTGGCCGCATATGCAAGGACATCCACAGGATATGTCCGAGCATGTCTACTGTGGATCATGGACAATTCAACTTTAATGCGGGATGTATACAAGTATGATCACGCACCTCATTTGACATTCACACATGTCACTGAGAGAGTACATCTGATAGGTATCGGCGGCATCAGCAACGCTGCGAAGCGTGCTGAACGGAACTGCACTGAGCTCGGGCCGTTTTCTGTACATATACTGAAACAGAAGCCCCAGTGTTTCGCAGTTTTCCTTCAGCTCGAACTCGCCGCGGCTGTTCGGTACTCCATTGCCAAGCAAGCCTTCGGAGTACTTGTCGACCGTCCGCTGATGCACCTTGAAGAGGACACCATCGGAAGAGCGTACTTTTATATCAGCATCGTCGGCATGGACTGATTGGTCTTCAGTACGCGGTGTATATATGATAAAGCATGTATGGACATACATTCCTCGGACACCTGGTCGTCCATGATGAAACTTTCGACGAGCGGGGCTTGTACCGTGCCACTGCTGGCCCAGATAGCTGTACCGTCTTCGAACTCCATCTGTGTCCGAACCTGTATTCCAATAGTGGATTGAATGCGCTAGATGAGAGGTTGCTACTAGTCGATGATCGTTGTGAAGAATGCGAGAGATGTCACAGTTGAAAGGAGGGCGTAAAATCAAATAAGGTTAAAGTTTTGTTGGAAGCCTTGCAGCAACGTGTCTATGCTTCATGTTGAACGAGGTAGCATGCGAGAAGTATGCGCCTTCTCTGGTGCTTTAGCTACTCACTGTTCGACGATTGACAATCAAATATCACCGCACGTCGACGAAGGTACCGACAGAATGACTCCTAGTATGTTGTTGTGGGGTCAGTTCAGTCCACAGAACCATGACTCGCCACACGGCTCATTGCGTCACGGTCGGAATGGACAAAATCGTTGGAGCGGCCTAGTGGGGAATCCTACTGCCATATGCACGCGTGAGTATCCTTCCGAGAAGCGGGGAAGCGAGGAATACTCACCTGATCCTATCATGATGATGGCCCACGAACACTTTGGGATAGGTGGCATGTATAGATGAGTCGAGTGACACACATGTCGCACTGCAGCGGACGTTCCGCAGACTGATGTGTACGCATAGCAGTCCTATTTGTAATTTATATCACACAAATATTAGCGAGGACATAGATTGCATCGCCCGCACCAATTCAGTATGTTCCCACCGCAAAACCGGTATGCGCCGATATATCCACACTGAACTGTGGACCCGAAAACCTGTTCGCTTGCATTAGCGGACAGCTTGACAGGGGTCACGTCCGCTCCCATATGAGGGACTAACAATGCATACCAAGACTATGCTGGAAGGCTTCTTGAACAACAGGCCGCCCCTTTTAAGCACCTGGAAACATACGAGGGGTCCGTAAGTACGCACTTCACACCTGCTAGCCCTCACTATTCTAGTAGCCTTAGCACTGAGGCTGCTCAACCCACAAGATGTCCCTCGTGAAGATTCCTTTCCTCGTCGCTGGCGCAGTCAGCGGTTATGTGGTCATGACAGCGCCGAATCCGAAGGTCCCTGTTAAACAGAGGGCTGAGGTCAACGCGTTTGAGCGTTTTTTTTCTGAGACAGTGAGACTCTACACGCTTGGCTTCAAGGTGCGTCAGCCTCCGCTCACGCCTTCGGACTTGCTCACGAGTCCGCGGCTTGTAGGCCTTGATCTTGTCCGGTAGCATCCTGGAGGTGCTCGTCATTGGTGCTAGCCACTTCCCCTCACACCCTCTGTCTCAGAGGATCCTCGACACACTCATTGTGGGCCCCCACTCCCTCGCCCGCCACATCACCATCAGTCCACTATTCGTCGCAGGTGCCGCCATTGGTTACTTCGGCGCATATTTCCGCTGGCAGTGCTATCACACGCTGGGCCGCCTATTCACCTTCGAGGTTTCCATCAGAGAGGGTCACAAGCTCATCACGGAAGGGCCATACCAGTACACTCGTCATCCCAGCTACACTGGAGTCATTCTCAGCGCGACCGGCCTTGGGCTTATGTACGTTGCGTCGGGGTCGTGGATTCACGAGTGCGGTATCCTGAGGACGCGGGGAGGGAAGATTGCGGCGTGGACATACGTCGCGGCGTCGTTGTACGGGTCGGCGAGCGTGTGTAAGCGAGCATCTCTGGAGGATGCGTTGTTGAAGAAGCAGTTCGGCGAGGAGTGGGAGGCGTATGCGAAGCGGGTGCCGTGCCGTATCGTTCCCTACATTTACTAATCGGCCGTTAAGTATTCTGCTAGTCAGTAGTTGTAACGTGCCGTTACAGGAATGTGTCATTTGTATCACCTATTCAAATTCACTCGCCGCGGATTCACGACCACGGTCAATTCTGCGAACACCCATATTTTCGGCGATGAGACAGCTCTGGCCGTGCAAACGCCGTCAGGGCACCTACGCTAACCGCCGCGGAGCGTTCCTCCGTCCAGGCGCTCAAGCGCCTACCTTCTGTCTGTGCGCGCATGCTTCCGCACGCCGTCCTGATATTGACGCGTCCAGGATGGGATTTCGTCGGAAGCCATACGCGTCCTGGGGAGCTGAGAACAAGGAGGCGCCCATCCGCGGGTGTCGCGACAAGGGTATGCACCACATAGAGGTTTTAGGAACCCAGACCCGATCGCGAATTCATACTTGGTCCTGGCAGGACGAGCGGGCACGGGGTGTTGAGCGGTATGAAGATGACTATTGACGATTGCGGCAAGTCCGTGGCGTCGATGAGCGACGTCGAGCCGAGGAAGGCTGGCATCGAGAACACGAAGAGGTTGCCGAGAGCGATCGAAGACGCGAGGAGATTGCTTGCTGAGGCCTGAGGACCGAATGCTGCCTTAGGACACGGCTTCATCAACAAGTACATCTCGGTCAATGAGGTGAGACGAGCATGACGCAGCATGTATCTCTGACTCACGGACTGTCACTGCCGTAGTCGTTGCAGGAGTTTATGTCGAAACCCACGGAAGAGGGTTCTCTTGTGCACTTGGCGAGACATTGCTGAGTGAGTAGATATCAGCCAGGCAGCGCGCCATGCCGCGAGGTTCTAACTTGCCTATTGCACAACTAGGGGGTGCGCGAATTGTGATAGATAGATCATATACACCATACCCAACTTGAATAGTAATGAACAGGAGGAGGAGGAGCCATGCACGTCGCCCGGTCGGCTTCAAGTGTGCTGAAGCCGTAACGTTCGTCGAGTGAGTGAAGGCGACGCTTGATTTGAACTCGCAGCAGACGACCTTCGCGATGGGTTCCGAAGCCAAGGGAGCATGAGTCCACGAGAGTCTCTAAGTAACTGCAGGTGGCGAGTGCGCAAGAGCACTGAGGAGGAGGAGGAGGAGAGGTTTCCAAGTACTCGGGTGTGGCTGAGGTTAGAGAAGCGCGCATGAAGCTGGCTTGAAGGCGTCTCGTGGTACTCACTTCTCACTCGACCACGACCACGCTCAGAGTCAGGCTGCGAATCTCAAAGCTACCAGCTTATTACTAGCTTACTGCGGTTCTGGGGACCCCTCATCACACTCTTCTTGCATGCTATCCTCGTAGCCTGGTATGAACAACCCGGAAGCCGCGGAAGAGGGCAGGGAGACGCGTCGGGAGGGCTCTCCGACCCCGCCTGGCCCGCGTAACGGCCGTAGCTCTGTCCCGACATTCTTGATAATCAGCTTCGTTCTGTTTATGCTCACGAATAATCGTGGAGAGGAGCTAGATGCTCGCTATCAGTACATGAAGGCGTTGGACTCGTTGAATGGCCAGGTTGCGGACTTCTCGGCATGGTTGCACGGATCGCCTTCGAACTTCACGCTCGTCAGTGTTGTTCAACCTCCCATTGTTGACCTACTCTTGACATACTGATCAGCCTCCGGAAGACAATGTGACGATGCCTCTGGTCAGCTCGTTTGTCAATCTCGGACCCGTACTCGACCCAGACGTCGGGTCATACTACACCAACCTCACAGGGTTCTGGCATGGTGAGGTTGACTTCCATAACCTGACGTCGCTGTCTGCGAACGACTCTGCTCTCTCATGGGGCCCCTCGGCGAAGGAGCTTGTCTCGCATACGAACATGACTCTTCTTCCCGAACTCCTGGGTTTGTGGAACTGGGCCGCCACCGACAAGCTCAGCCTAAGTGTGGGCGATAAGCTCATCTTAAACCAGACCCTTGCGAAGAACATTTCTGAGGATGTTGCTATCATTCATGTATGTATCTATCACGAAATCATGTCGACGATCAAATGACACAGGTGTAGGGCAGGATTGAACTGTCGGAACCTAATGCATCGGAAGAGCTCAGGCTCGACTTCGACGGCATACACTTCGTCTCCAATGGTTCCATCTATGCTTTCGCGGAGACAGTGTGCGTCGGCAACTCAATCTAGTCCGCCTAATATTGACAACCCTCACAGCCAGGGTCGAGACCTGCGGATGCTCCCCTCGCTTGTCCCCGCTTCGCGTCTGAATGACACCGCCCGTGTCATTGAAGCTGAGCTTGCTGCGCGCATAGTCAAGCTGAAGGAGAAGATCGAAAGCGGCTCCATCGACCAAGATGCACTGAATGACTCCGGTATGCCTCATCTCCCGTGGTATCGTTGATACATATCAGTACGCATATATGAACAAGCACAATAGATGAGCCACCGAAGGCCCGCTGTTCGTTCAGACTCTACGGACATTTAGAGCCTACGAACGTGCCCCGAGATTCGATGAAGCAACTAGAGGAGGAGATTGAGAAGCCGACGGGCATCTGGACCGTCCGCCCGCCGGAGATGAAGCTCGATGGTGTACTCGTCAGCCAGAACTGCGGTGTGCTGTTCAAGATCAAGGAGACAACCGGACTCAAGTACGCAGGATTGTCGTGAATTTGCTCAGCGCTTGATTATCGTTCCACAGGTCTCCGCAGCTGTACAGAAAGATCACTACATGTAAGTCACGATAAATGAACAGTGCGTCAAGCTTGATAACACGTTGTCGCAGATGCCGGGATATCTATGATCGTCAATTTCATCCTACTGAGGTTGCTCATCCGGGAAACCGCGCGTATCAGTAATGCGATTGGACTCAATCGCGTCTCGCGGTACACCTTCCTGGCGCAGAGTTTGATCGATGCCATCTCGTTCGTTGGGGTAAGAGCTCTGCATTACGGTACATGACAGAGTGGCTAACCCGCTGTAGCATATCACTCTAGGTATATTGGCGGACGGGAGGGCATCCTTGTCTGTACTCGCTCCGGCTGGACTTGCATGTATGCTGTTCATCAACGAAGCGGTAAGCACCTTCGTCGTTTCCTCCATGTTCATTGAATGAACTCACTATGATTCAGCAATTGGCCGTAGCCATTGGTCAGGTGCAAGCACCTGAAGACCTGGTGACGCCTCCTGCACCTTCCCCAGCGCCGCTTCCAGCACCTTCTCCAGCGCCACCTCCTGTTCTACCAAATCCTGCAGACAATGCTGCGGCAGGAACACCTCCCGGTGCATCTCCTGCGAACGCAATGCCCCAGCCGGCAGAACAAACAACCCCGCCGACCATTACGGTGCCCGAACGACCATCTTTCCTGCGGTTCCTGTGGAATCATATCAGAACAGACCCATCCGCAAGGCTTTGTGAGTTCCTACTGTTCATCGATGCTCGCATATCACTGACAGGATGTCTGCGCACCGAAGGGACAATCATTTCCCTCTTTCTCATTGTTGTCTTCCGCATAGTCATCCTACTTTCGCTGCCGCTATTCTTCGTCGCCTCCATGTACAGTTTCGTCTGGGCTGTGCAGATCTACAGATCTGTGCGGCGGTCGAGGGGCAGCGGGTTGAGTACGGAATACCTTGTGGGAACGACCATCTGCAGGTTGTTTTTCATCCTCTGTGAGTACATTGGTTGGGTGCGGACGGTCAGTAGACATGTCCGACTGACTAATTGCTACAGACTTCATGGGATGCCCGAAGAACATACTGGATGTGGAGCCGCGACGTGAGCGACTAGTCGTTCGTGACCCGAGACGAATAGATACTAACGTTGATATCTCCACTCTGTTATAGGTTGGGTATACGTCGTCCCTGTGCTCATGTTCGCCCAGGTCGCCACAGTACTCCTGCAAGACCGTCTCGGTCCGACATTCTTCCTCTTCAACCGAGTACGTCTCCGTCCGCAGCTCCAGCCCCAAACGCTAATTGCCTCACAGGTCGTCGTTGGGAAGTCGTACGACTACCACCCGCCGATGCCACTCCCCGACCCGGAGGCGCCGGAGCAGACGCTAGGCGACTGTGCCATCTGCATGGACGCGATTGAGGTGGACCCCTCCCTCCGCCAGAGACGCAAGTCGAGTGACGGAAAGGAGCGGGGAGAGCTCGGTGTTATGGGTGGCATTGCGAGCGCGCACAGGCTGGGCTCTGCGCGGAAGAGCTATAGTCTCGCGCCGTGCCATCATCTATTCGTGAGTGATGCACAACATACGCCTATGAAGGGCGCTGACTGTTTCGTCTATTCAGCACACGGCCTGTTTGGAGCGGGTGCGTGTCCTTCGTTTTCTCGTGGTATCCCATCAGTACTGATGTACATGGCGCACAGTGGTTGGCTATCAAGGTGAGAAATAATTGAACTCGTCAGCGAGTCTTAAATTCACCTTCTCTCCGCAGAATATCTGTCCGCAGTGCAGGAGACCTCTGCCTCCTTTGTGAGGTGTAATTTACAATAGTGTACACGTAGTAATGCAGAAGGGCAGCTCGTCACATCCATGCAGTCGACCAAATGGATGGATTGGGAGGTGCTTAACATGTTGAGTGGTGTGACTGTACACGTAACCGTACTGACAGGCGTACGCGTATTACGCGGCGGTTCAGGTGAGCTTACCGCCTCGCTGTCTCACTCTAGACTCTTATTCCCTTCGCAGACGTTACATGATTTGCTACGTTCTCGTGTCATACACATGCAGAGAGCACTGGTTCTGTTCCTTCGCTCTTCGCCCCGTCTTGCAGTGTCGAGACAGCAGCGGCTCATTGGCAGAACGTAATCTCGAGACTCACCTGTGGAAACGTCAGCATGATCGTGGAAACTAACGAGGCTTCGTAGGGAAACATTGTCAAACTTACACTCGCAGACGTGCATGATACCTGTAACCAGCCCTCGCTCGCGTTGTGCTTTGCTCCGGGGCAGGCTGCGCTGGTGCCTGTGACCCGCCTTCAATATGACTATCTGCTCATGGGACGAGCACTCACAATTCATTCCGGCACCATTGCAACCACCGTAGTAGGCAAATCCCGCGCCCACAGAGAATGCATGGCTAAAAACATGCGTTACTCAGGGAAGACGGGACGCATGCGACGGGCACATACGGCGGAATGAGTGTAATGTCTACACTGCTACCGGTGTTGCTGAGTGTGGCCTCGACCATGGTACAGCCTTCGCCATCCTTTCCACACACGTTGTTCCCTTCGTGCAGAGATTGCGGTGGTGAGTCTCTCGAGAGAAGAGGCGGAGAAGATATGCCTACCGTCATCGTCCGCTTACATGGTTTGCCACGAGGTCAGTACTGTGTATGTTTCGCGACTCTTAAAATGCATATAGCTCACTGTATTGCAGGTATCTATGATGCCCCCGACATCAGTGATGCCCGCGTTCGCCGTAGATGAAGTCGCTGCTCACGAGAGAAGACCCCAAGCCGGGCCCTGGAACGTCAACGTCGTCGTGGGATCAGTCGTCGGGTAGAATTCGCCGTAAAGTCCTCCCAAGACAGGCTGGTAGGTGCGCATCAGAGGCGCGCTGCACTTCGTTGTACATACGACACACTCACGTAGCCTTTGCCGCAGCTAAAGAGCGGCTGATCAGCGTCAACGAGAACGTTAAGAGGTGTGTCTTACTTGTTCACGATGTAAACGGTGTGCAACTCCTGTGCACAGATTACTTTCATGAGGAACAACGTCGCTAACACATAGTATGCTGGGAACGCCACGGCCGGGAGCTGCATGGTATGAGCTTGAGAGAAAGTTGTTCTGGGAGGACTATGACGTTGCGCCTGGTAGCTCAGCAAACTTTGAGCCGCAACCTCAAAGACATCGGTTCGCTTTATGCCTCTGCCAGTGATTGGGGATCATCGATTTGAATGGGGCTCGTCGGTGTACCGATCTCGAAATTCATGTGCAGAGCCACAGTTGGATATTTGCTGTGCTAGAGAAGGATAGAGATGCGTCTCAGTTTCGAGATGACCGCAGACGAGCAAAAGTTTCGTACATATGTTGTGGTGGGTGGCATATTTGATTGCTGTCTGCGGAGCACAGGTCGATCAAGGCGGGATGCCTCACCTAGGTTCAGGCTCAGTAGCCAAAGCGTTGCGCGCCCCCCAAGAACAATTCCGATGCAACATACATCGTTTTCTGTAGATGTTGATGTGGAGCAAGTCAAGTTTAATTAAGTAGCGTAAGTATATCAGACTCACCAGTGCTCAAGTGACTCAGCTCACCGCTCGGGACGAAGGCCGTATCCCATTAACCTGAAGAGTGGGAAGTTTATCAGCAGGGCGTACCTGCGCACGACACCTTTCAGCATCGACGTTGCCTACGCCCTGAGCGAGGGGTTCACTACATATAAGGAGACGGATGGTGACACAGGTCTCCGAGTCGATACAGGTTCAAGTTGTCTCCCTTGACGATGGAACCAGACTGAGCGGCGGGCCTGATGTCTCTCAGCTGCAGGCTCCAGTCCCACTGCCAGTGGCCCCGGGGAGTCGGGACTACTACTATGCCATATCCACTTACCCTTGATACTGGCGCCGTACCTAAGCTGTGCGGTGAATTATCTCATAGATCCGTGGTCCTCGTACGACTCCCAACAGCTGCGTAGCGTACGATAGAAGAAGATGGACAACGGTCTCTGGCAGTCCAAGTGGCGGCAGGATGATCGCTTTTGGGCAGGGGCTCGGGCTCGGAGGAGCCCGAACCATCGCCGGACCCGTTACGACCTCCCAGTCGTTTCAGTGGCCGCTTCTCAACCGCTTCTCCAACCCGGCCTCCAAGTTTGTCTCTGGAATTCTGCCTTGATATAGCCCTGATGTTCTATTCCGACCGACTTCGCCGAGACCTCCAGTGGCATGCTGTTCCTTTGAAGATGCTGCCACGCTCGACTCTAGCAGTGTCAGTCATAGTCAACTTCGCAGAGGACGTCGACTCGGACTCTCAAAGGTACGTCAGACTAAAGTTGTAACCACTGGGCGGCTGTGCGCTGAGGGATACTAATCATTGTGTTTTAAGACCATATGTACAGGTGAGAGTCAGCTGGACTACCAGCTGTCGGACTACTGATGAACGTACTTCTGTTGCAGGGCTCTAGGGTCGGAAATCAATATACAAAGTCTTGCACTGTCACCCAGTTTCGGCTATTCACAGTGCCTACCGTGATCACTGAGTTTGGCGCGCCCATATCTTCTGACAGATCATACGTGCTCCATCTGCACGGCAAATAGCGTAACACGCTGTGCACTGTAGGCTTAGCTTCGCCGAACTGGGCTTGAGTTTATCGGCTGCTCAGGTCGCGACGCGGCACGAGTGACGCTGCGACAGCGGTAATCCAAGGAATTGATGCGCGAAGTCGGGCAAGGATATATACTAGCACTGAGCATGAGCTCTGTCACCAATCATCTCTATGTCGGCGGTGCAGCCTCTACCAATGACTTCCTTTGATCTTTTACTTGACCAGGAACCTTTCATTGCCGGCTATGCAGTGACAGGTAGTGTCTTGCTCAACTTCCGTCTACTACAAGCCGACGGGATAGAGACAATCTACGTCAAGCTGACGGGTCGTATGTACGGGTATGTGGCGATGTTCAATCGTATCGCTAGACGCTAATCTCAGCTCTGTAGGACACGAGGAAATAGCGAGAAATCTGAATCGAGGAGCATAAACTTCGTGTACCACAAAGTGCCCATCTGGACACGCGGGCAGGCCTATCCTTCTCCGGGCTCTGATGTCTTGACATTGCCTTTCCAACTACCCTTGGGTGTCGACCTGCCGCCTTCCTTCACTGCGAACGTCCGTCGCCTCCGCTTGGTGGTGAGATACAAGCTACACGTTACCGGCGAACGTCCTGGATTGCTCAAGCACAACAAGGAGATCAAACGCTCGATCACAATACAGCCCAATGACACGGTTAGCGAGGTGGTTCAAACTCACCTGGGTGTTGGCTGGGATGGGCCCTGGACCGCAATACGTGCGAGCGAACGCATCAGCAGATACGTAATGTGGGGCGAACATGCAGACGTAGATGTCCGTGTAAGTGTCCAAAACTCTCGTATAACAACGGACTTGCGCTGATTAGAATGAGATGCAGCTCACTGTCCCTGCGATCGATGCGGTACCAATGAACGCCACGATACCCTTCACCCTTTCCATGACAACACTCAGCAGACCATATCCTCAAGATCATGAGGGCGAATTATGGCCAAGTCCGCCGCGCCGGCCGGAAGCATACGAATTCGCGATCAGGGAAGACATGATCATCCACATTCGGAGACCACAAACTGCGTGCATTACCTTGCGACAATCGTTAGGACACACGCAACTCGAGCATGCAGAGAAGCAGTGGATACCTTCGACCGGCGGGCAGGGAAAATGGAAGCAGGAGGCCACGCTGAAGTCGAGTATCACGCTGCAATGTCCGCCAACATTCACGTTCATGTGGGAGGGCAGTATCCGCCTCGCCGTCTCCGTACGATGCTTCCTCATCGCATTTAGAGTCATGTCAACTTACCTTCTTACCCTCATTGTCTCCTGCCAGTATCGTTTATGCGTTACCGTCAAGTTCGGCGCTATGCGCGCGCTGACGTTCGAACAGCCAATTACCGTTGTTCGCGAGCGTAAGGCGTAGTCATAACAAACATACCTGACCATATGGTCTTGGCTGGACTTGCAGTCGACTCGAAGTAGATGTACATATTGAAGCCCAGTCGCTGCTTGCACTGGTGATCAAAACAGTCGGGGTATGCATCACCCTGGAGCCCATCGGATGTAGTCTCGAAACCAGCCGTTATAGTGGTGTGGCGTTCCGGACACGTCCGGCGGCGGACTTCGAAAAACTCATACCAACACCACACCTATAACGTCTGGTGAGTTTCGTAGAGACGGGGGTCTCACTCGATCCCGTGACCAGACGCGTCGCGCGAGAGGCGCATACATCGCTCCGCGCGCATATAGTTTACCGTGCGCCGGCCTGTACATATAACAGCATTCACTATGCCTCCATTCTACCCCGATAGTGATTCCAAAAACGAAGCTGAGGATGAATACCCACCCATGCATTCACGCTCTAGACGACTATCGCCAAATGCTGAAAATACTCGCCGCGCGCTCCTTGATCTTGCTGAGTCTGGCCGTGCCCTTGAGATCATCCACGATATACTGTGCTACATCAAAACAAAGGGAATGACTCTTGCTGCGTTGATCTTTGTGATATGCTGGCACCCAGACTTCCCGACCTAATACCGAAGGTGCTCATGATGTGCTGCTCGACTTCGCGATGGACACTATCGTGAGCTGCTGCGCGGGCGATGGCTGCGCGTCGAGAAATTTGAGCTTGGAATCGCGACAGTGAAGCGCGGGCGGCTGTAGAATCTTGGAGGCGACGGGCATATTGGAGGAAGCGATGTATGCACGCGAGTGTGGTAGAGGCAAAGCGGTCGCTGCCTGCGTCTATGCGCCTCTTGCGCGACGTGTCTGGTCACGGGATCGAGTGAGACCCCCCCGTCTCTACGAAACTCACCAGACGTTATAGGGGTGGGTGTGGTATGAGTTTTTCGAAGTCCGCTGACGTGCGCACGTGCCCCCGATATAACGTCTGGATCGAGACTAATCGGATGCTAGTCGTCGCAGTGTGAATGTTGACAGAAATCTTCCATGTGCCAGAACACACAAAGCGGTGTCGTGCTTGAGCGGTATACATACTTACGTTCCTTCTGCGCTCAAATACCAGTGTATGAAACATGTGCAAGCTGGATTCGAGCGAGCGAGTTTGACATTAACGCCGAATCCGAGTGCTGAAACCTTCCTTCTGAATCTAGTGATTGGTGTCGCTTTCCCCTAAGGTACACGTCTTTATGATGACTCACCTTGCTACGATATCTCCTGGAATGAAATGGACATTGGACATGCCTTCATGATTCAACGTTCGCGCGGCGACCGAGTTACACTGTACAGTGACTCTGAAGATCTGACGTCCGCGGATGTAGGGCCGAGCGGTCACGTGGGCACGTCTCACGCCTCGACGTGAACACGATCCTGCCGGTCGACCATTCGACCTCCTCCTCACCCAAGTCTCGCGACACGCACGCACCCTCTCTTAAAACCGCGCCAGTCATCTCTCACTAGCCCAGCGACCTTCCGTACCCCCTCGCCCTCCCTAATCTTCCGCCATGGCCGAAAAACTCGACGCGCCTACATCCTCCACAGACAGCGGCTCTGCCACCAGGGACGCTGCCAACGGCGGACCCAAAGCCATCATCAAGAACGTCGACATGAGCGAGGACATGCAGCAGGAGTCGGTCGACATCGCGTCCGCCGCGCTCGAGAAGTATAACATCGAGAAGGACATCGCTGCCCAGATCAAGAAGGAGTTCGACCGCCGCCATGGGGCTACCTGGCACGTCGTCGTCGGCAAGAACTTTGGCAGCTACGTGACCCACGGTACGCGTTCGCTATTGCAATCATCACTGTCATGTCCAGCGCGCAAGCACGCGTGAGCGCGTGTCGCACCCCACATCCACACTCCAGCCGCGCGATCGTTGTTCGCTAACGCGTCGTTCGCAGAAACAAAGCACTTCATCTACTTCTACATCGGCTCCCTTGCTATCCTCATCTGGAAGTCATAAATCGCTACCTCGCCCTCTCGACATGCCGAGGTTGTCGGTAATGCGCTGCGGTGCGCCTGTTGATGCCGTATCGGGGACGCGAGAGGGAAAGGATGGGGGAGGATAGGATCGAAGGATCGGCGCGGTGTGCAGCCGTCAAATCGCATTTCTTCATGGTGGACTGAGCAACATCCTCACCTTGGCTGTAACGTTTTGTTGGGTTTCTTGCTCTAGTTTATCGCTACTCGCTTTCAATCGGTGTTTATTTGTCTCTCGCCTATCCTCTGAACAACTCAGGGACTCCTCAACCCCTCTACGCTGCAGCGTCGGCATGTAGTGCGTGTTCTACCGCGATGTCGTGAACCCCACCAAACGCGAAAGGTCGCGCAGAGAGGAGATCACACAACGTCGACGCCAACAAGAAAATAGTGTTCTCCTGGATTCGGGTAACGACAGGAATGAGTATGATACAGGCGGTGATACACGTAGTACAAATCTATGTCTACATAATGGTCCTATACAGTACACTAGTCTATAGGGAACGGAAGAGTATAAATACAACAGTCGTCGCGGTCATTAACGTCCATAATCAATAATCGTCACCGTCCGTCAAACATGCTCAGGAGCTCCTCTCCACGATTTGTATGATCACTCGCCCCACGCACTTGTCGCTCTCCTTCTCATAGATGCCCACGTTGAGTTCGCCTGTGTCCCTGCTGGTCGGCACGCCCCAGAACTCCACTACGCGCTTCTCGACGCGTGCGCCCGCGCCGCCGACGATCGCGGTCAGGTCCGTCTTCACGTACCGTGGCAACGGCTTGCCGTTCATGAGCCGCGCCTCGAGCACCTTCTGCTTGCGGGACGAGCCCGGGGCGGAGGTGAGCAGCGGACCGGCGCTGTACGATACGGGCACGCGGAACTTGAACTGCTCGCCCGTGCGCGCGAGCATGCGGGGCACGATGGGGATCTTACCACTCGAGATCGAGGCCCCGTCATGTCCGCGCTGCGAAGACTCAACGGAGAAAGTGCCAGTGGGAGAACCACCTGGGATGCAATAACGCGCGTGTCAGTCGCGCGGTGAGCGTATGGAGAGAACTGAACGTACCGATAGACCCACTCGCCGCGCTCTGCGTATCGTCACCCAACGCACGCACGTAGTTCAGGCTCGTGTTCAGGTCGTCCGCGCTCGGCTGGTGTGCAGCAGCCCTCTTCTCCGCGCCTGCTGCCCCCCGGAAGATCTTGGCCACCTGGCTTGCCACGCGCTTCGTCTTCGCACCACCAGCAACTGCACCCAGGACGGGCGAATCCTGATCGATGTTGGTGGGAAGCTTGGGCACAGGGACGCGACTTGCACTCGTGAAGGGCACGAGTCGAGGGCGACTCATGTCCGGAGTCTTCGGTCCATCGGCGGAATAGCCAGAACGCACACTCGTTGCACGCGCGGCAGTCTGCACGACAGCCTCGACCTCGTGTGTGCGAATAGACCCATTGCTTGCGTACGATTGGACCGAGTCGACAGAGCTACGCTTCCCGTTCTCGCCAGGCGCAGAATAGTTGACCTTCGCCGCCTTGCGTTTGGGAGGAGCGAAGTCTGCACGACGTCTCGGGATGGACCGTCCGCCAGTCGAGCTCGACGGGGACCCCGCGATGCTCGACATACCGCTCGGTGCATAGTGGCTCAGGTTCATGTCCTCGAAGGGGATCGGCGCCGGGTGGCTAGCCACAGGTTCCAGCGTCGCAGGGAGGATCTCCGCGTTTGGAGGCATCGTGAAGGGCAAACCATCGATGTTGACCGGCACACCCATCCTCGCGCTCACCCGGTGGTCCGTCGTCGCGACGAGAGTCGGCTTGCCAATGACGAGCCTGCGCGGGCGTTTGCCGAGGGACCGCTTGTACTTGTCGCTGACGATGCGCGCCGTCGAGCGGACCTTGCCCATGAACTCGCCCTTGCGCATCACACCTGGGCTCTGCGGTAGACGTGGGCTGGGCAACGAGCTAAGCAGCGAACGCGGGTGCGAGAGGACACGCCGGAGAGCAATGCCAAAGCCCGAGGGACCAGCAGGAGAGGGTGAACTATAGCCGTCTTTCTCAGAATCGACTAGCTGAGCCTCGACGTCGTGCTTTGGTCCTTCCGTTACCTTGCCGTCCACTTCGATGCCGATACCGTACCAGCGCATTTCCTCGGCAGTATATGCCTTCGTGCCTTCCGTGCCAGTGAGAGCCGTGTCCCGGACGCGCGCACACCGGCGGAACCCCGCAAGCGCGAACGCAATACCAATGATACAGCTGAGGACTGAGAAGCCGATCTTGAGGCCGAGCAGCAGCTTCTGCTTTGCCGCCTCGCTGAGGCCGCCAGTCTTCTGGTGCTCGTAGTCGGCGTTCGAGAGGGAGATCGGCAGGGTGGTGTGGGACGTCGAGTGCGTGATGTGCGAGTAGGCCGTGAAGGTCACTGAAATGTGCGAATAGCTCTGCGCCGCGTCGGCGGGGATGTTACCAGTGAGGGACCAATGAGAGGAGTCGAACGAGAGGTAGCCCGCTGCCGAGGTAGGATCAAAAGCCGCAGAGATATTCACGTCGCCTTGGTTAGGAGCCCCGAGCTCAGTGCTATTCGAGAAGAACTGCGCGAGGTTGTACTCGAGCGAGTGGTCCGGGAGTACGAGTATAGGCTGCAGGGTTGCTGTCGTGAAGAATGAATGTACAACAGCCAAACTGACGTTCGCGCTGATGGACTGGTTCACATTTGCAGTGATAGTCACAGGTACCGTCGGGTTCTCGAGATTGTTGTCACCGTCCGAGTCGTCCGGAGCTTGACCACTCAGAGTCCGCGTCGCCGAGTCGTAGTGCAGCCAAGCTTTGTACGCAGTTGTGTCGATACCGAGGCTAGAGATGTCCTCAGGTTGAATTGGTTTCCCGTCGAGCAATACACCGAAAAAGTCATCTGGCGAGGTCAGGCTGAAGTTGAAGGGCGTATTGGCGGTGATGTTGATTGTCGGGAGCGAAGACATCGACATCGACACTTCATGGGCAGCTATAACGATGTCGAAGGCGACAGACCCAGCGGAGTACCCCTCTTGGTCGGATGCATGCAAAGCCAGAGAAACCGAAGTCGGTTCAGCAGAGTCCGTCATCTTGGGGGTGACACCGTTGAACGTGAGCACCTTGGGGTTGAACTCGACCCAGTCCGGGAGAGGCGAGCCGTCGGAGCGGAGAGCGTCGTAATACAGGTCGCCGCCAGCACCGGTGAAGGTGTCATAGAGGAAGCCGATGCTGAAGGACCAGGACGGAGGGATACGCAGAGCTGGCTTGCCAGTCGAGTTGAGGGCCGACTTGTCAGAGATGAGGAACACAGAAGACAGAGACGGGTTGGTCGCGTAGAACTGCTGCTCGACGGGAATGTGTAGCTGGGGTGCTGGGTACGGCGTCACGCACAGGTCGAAGGACGAGTTCGCCGAGTCGTCGTTGCTTGGATCCGTGGCGGTGATGCGGATGCCAGGTGTGCCTGCATCTGTAGACGATGGAGTGCCTTGCAACGTGAGCGTCGCGTTGTCGAACGAGAGCCAGGCGGGGAGGGTCGACGAGCTGTACACCAGAGACGCGTTGCTGCTGGAGACAAAAGTGTCTCTAGAGAACGACCAAGTGTAGGCCTCGTTGACGCGAGCGATGAGCGGGAGCTGGTCTTGCAGAGGATACTGGACAGACACGGAGGAGGCGCAGGCGAGAGAAGCGAGAGACAAAAGAGTGACGAGCATAGTGATGGGAGGGGCAGCTCGCAATCGGCCAGCGACGCGCATGAGCGAGGAGGACGAGGACGAGGACGAGCTCGCTGGCCGGTGCGACGACGACGCGGTGGAAGACGACGAGAGAGTTGGAAAACCCGCGAGTCGAACATCGCTCAGGCGCCGCACGTGGCGCTGACTAATAAGCCGGCTATTGTGCCGCCGCGTCTGTCGATCAGCCCTCGAGAGACAAGCCCTCCTCGTCGTCATCTACGCCGACCTCACCACCACCCACGATGTCCACTGCACGAGCGTCGGCAGTCTCGTCGCGACGCGCAACGAACCAGTCAACGTCTTCCACGACCTCCAATGGATCCGGCCGCAGCAGCGACCGCGGCGAGCGCTCTGAACGGAGTCGTACAGGACCAGTGAGCACACCATTCGCTTCTCTGGGCAGCTCCTAGCCGTGCCATTGGCCCATGTCGTGGCTTTGGCGGAGGCGATGTGCGGCGTTTCGTCGTTCCGTTTGCGCTATATAGACGACAGGGAAGGTTCTGGTAGTGGCAGGAAGACAGAATGTTCTTCCCCGTGCAAGCATCAGCTGAATGCGTTCCCGCGAACTACACAAGGTCACCATGTTTCTATTCTGCGCGTTGGATGTCAATGCGTGTCTTGGCTGCGGACCCGGACGCACATAGACGGCTTTCACCCTCCGTCCACATTCGCCTCTTATTCGCGAGATACGCTTCCAAAGCTACTCTCAAGTCGGTTGCTCCTTCGTATCGGGCTGCCCAGAGCCCATCCCCCCGCGTTCCGTAAAGCTAACGTGCCATGCAGCCCGCAGTTGAAAGTGCAGTCACGCGCCTTCTAGTCTCCATCAAGCAACTCCTCGAGTCGCTCACCAAATGGAGTCAAAGAGAAGTCGACGAAGCGTTCATCAGCGATGTATACGTCCGTCTAGGGAATGACTTCAACGGTGCGGTAGCGGCCTTCGCTATGTATAGGATTGAAATGACGTGAGTCGCGCCGTTAACCCTCTGCCCTCGCTCACGTTGTCCATCAGCGAGCTCATGGCTGTGCCGGAAGAGCTGCGCGGCGTGCTTGAGACGTGCCTCTCAGAAGAGGCGTCAAAGGAGACACTAGACCAGTATCTTCCGAAGGTGCGCAGCATCATCACCGACCTCCTACAAGGTCTGCGGCAAAAGCAGTCCATGTATCGGCGGATTGTCTCAGACGGTCGGCACCGCTCGTCTGGAACGGAAGGCGGCAGCGACCGCGATAGCAAGTCATCACGGGTAGACAGGTCCTCGAGGAGACAAGCAGAGCTTGCGGTCACGAACGGGGAAGGTTCTGAGAGTTCACGGTCAGGCGACATCCGCAGGAGTACGCCGTCAGGCAGGCGAAAAGAGGTACCTTCCGTGCAGGCAGTGGCAGCGAACGAAGGGACGGCCCCTCGATCATCAACGCCAGTACAAGCTCTTCCTCGCTCCTCAACACCAGTCCAGCCCCGTCCTCAACTCGCTGCCGCTCAGTCATATCCTAGTCCTCGTATCGTCCCCTCAGAGATCAGCGAACCAACGCCCTCTCGCGCACGCTCTGCATCCGCCGTTCAATCTCCGCAACCCAACGGCTTTCACGACCGCGACGCTACTCCACGACACCACTCGCTACACGAAAGCCGACATACAGAAGATACCACGCCCACGCCCACGCCTCCACTACCACAACCTACTGCACGCCCTCCGTCAGGCGTGCCCGCTCACGTCAAGCGCTACTCACTAGTCGACCGACCTGTCACTTCACCAACCCCTCCTCCTTCCGTCGTCGTAGACGAGCCGACCTCACCGCCAATCGAACAGGCCTCATCGCAGATAGAGTCGCCCCAGATCAATGGCGATAACGAGCTTCCTCCCTCGGATTCGCAGACACTTGCTGCAGAGCCTGGCGTGCAGACCTCCTTGGCCGCGCTTCGAGATCGCACGACACTCGAGCGGCGGGCATCCAAGCGTTTCTCGTCCTACAACTTCGCGAAGATGGTTGGTGGAGGCTCACTCCGCGAACGACCGTCCGGCTCTGGGAGCAACACGCCAAATCGACGGTCATTGGCCGTCTCGAGCGCGCTCAGCCCCGGCGACCTGGCTGTGCTCACGGAGGCTGAGGAAGAGGGGATAAGCGCCGTTACCTCGTCCCCCGCCAGGAGAGCAAGAAGCAAAGGCCCTCGCCAGCCTTCAAGGAATCCGAGCCCGATCGCAGAAGAGGAGGAGGCTCCCCCTGTGCCCGCACTCCCACTCAAAGAGCCAACGGTTCAGCCGGGTGTACCACCCGTCCCGATATCCGCTCCGACCTCAGAACCCGAGCCTGTAGAAACATCGCCGACGATGCTGACGGTGTTCCTGCAGGTGGGGCGAGAGGTCAAGAAGGCGACGATCGAGCCAGGCATGACGCAGTCGAGCTTGAAGCTGCTCTTCGTCGACAAATTTTCGTACAACCCTGGGCAGGAGAATTTCCCTGCGATCTATATTCGGGACCCTAGCAGTGGTGTGCAGTATGAACTTGAGGACATGGACGAGATCAAGGACCGGTGCTTGCTGTCGCTGAACATCGAACGTGAGTGTCGTCATTGACTTCTCCTTGGGACACGACTGATGTTCGGCATTATTCAGCTCTGGACCAGATCAAACAACACATTGACGTACAGATCGCCTCGCTCGCACAAGAGATGAAGGATCTCCGAGCTGCCGTGTCTACGAATAGGCGGACATCCATGCCACCTCCCATGATCATCGCCCAGCCGCTCGCTGAGAGCACCCCTGCAACTGCGCGACCGAGCGATTACCAGTTCCGCAAGGTCGCCCGGCGACTGTCGCGGCTGCTACCTGACGACGGTCCACTCTTCGAAGAGGAGTCGACACCCCTGGCGGCGCAAATCACAGGCGCCTCAATCCAGCCACAGATGACGGGCGCCTCGGTCACGTCCGAGTACACGAACCGTGTCGTGACCGATCTGAAGACGCAGTTCGACGAGGTACAGAATCTGCGGCGTGACCTCGGCATCATGCGACAGCTGTACAGCGAGTTCATGAAGCAAACAAAGGAGTCCCTCGGTACACTCCGTACGCAGACTCAGAACGTCCGGCAGCTGGCATCCAACAAGGTCGGCGGCGCGCGGCAGTACATCGACGACGGGAAGACCAAGCTCGACTCGCGCAGCCAGAACGTGCTCACGAAGATGGAGGAGTTGCAGGACACTGTCGAGAACATCAAGGACGATGTGATCAAGCGATCCGTCTCGCCGAAGCCGTTCGTGCTCAAGAACGTCAAGGGCGACGTGGAGGCGGTCGCGGCGGAGCTACAGAGCCTCAAGGAGCACATCCAGACCGTCAAGCCGATGTGGAAGAAGACGTGGGAGGAGGAGCTACAGAACATTGTCGAGGAGCAACAGTTCCTCCAGCACCAGGAGGAGTTCCTCAGTGATCTTCTCGAGGACCACAAGGCTGTCATCGAAGTGTGGGGCCACGTCGAGAAGATCATCTCGTTGCGGGGAAATGCGTCGGCAAGAGCCAGTCGCTCGAGGGGCTTCAAGCTACCACCGCCGGACGAGGGGCACACGGGTCTAAGCACTGTCATGCTTGAGATTCGCGGTGCAGCTGCCGACCCGGAGCGGAGACTGAAGGCGATCGCGGCGACGGAGAAGGCGCGTGAGAAGGAACTGGCCAGCCGGTCTGACGAGTTCCAGAATGAGCTGAGCGGGTTCGTGGATGGCAAGAGGCTGAAGAAGACGGGTGGCGCGGAGGAGGTGGAGAGGGTGCGGCAACGGCGGAACGAGCAAACGTTGAAGGCCATGTTCACGGGCGGGTCTCTCGCGCCCTCGAATGGTTCTGGCGTGTCTTCGGGGCCAGCTTCGCCCCTCTCGCCATGATGACCAAGGATACCCCTTCGCTTTTATATCGGCATAGCTGTATGCTTTCGCTCGCTTGATTGATGTTCCCACTCTCATTTCGCTCTCACTTGGCCTTCCACGTCAGGGCACTGGACTGTCGTTATACTCGACCTCTCCTTGTATCTATCATTTTACGCTATCATCAACGAATCTGACAATCGCACTCTCATGCTTTTTTGGCGCTCTCCTTGCGTGTAGACTAGGATAACTAATGATGTCTAGTGTGTATCCCTTCCAATGCTCAGCCTTCTGTGTCGACCTGGTTTATCTATGCGCCTGTCAGGGAACCACAAATATTGCAGTTATAAGATCGACGGCGAGTAGCCTTTCCATTGCCTCATAGCAAGACGCTGAGCTGATGAACACCTGAGTATGACAAACTAACAGAAGTCCCACTCTCGGCTCCAGATACCGTCTGTATTAGCGACATTTCAAACGACACGCATCTGAGCGGTCGGGGCAGCGTTCAGCATCTCTCTCCTTCTCCCGCTCGTCTCGTATGCCTTGATGCCCTGCCTCGCACTCATCGTCTCCCTCCATGCGGACAGGGCGGGGAAGTTGGCGAGAAGGGCAGGGTTGAGATGTGAAAGGGCGAAGAGGAGGTAGTAGAGATGGAACTCGGCGAATGACGGCTGGTGGTGCGCAAGGGGGTGTTTATGTAGGAAGTGGACGTCAGGAGAAATCAATATGCGCTGACTGGGATCATGCGACGTACGTGGTCGTATACAAAGTAGCCCTTTGGACTCTTGCTCTGTTGGAGTAGGTGCTCAAATTGTTTCAGAACCTTTGGCACATGCTCCTTCGCAAACGGTGGCAGAAGATTTGCCTTCGTGAGATTGTGTCAGTACCGAGATTGAAAAGCCATATGTCAACATCATGCACGCACCGCGTCAGGACTGTATACTTTTGATAGGTATGTGACGTGGAGATCCTAAGATTGCAGATATAGGGACTAAGCATCCGACCTGCCCAGTCTATGCCATTCTTACCTCGCAGGCAACCGCAAGCATGTCTGCTACAGCTTCATCTTCAAGGTTTCCATTGCCTCCATAGCCTAAACAGACCTCAGTTTGGCCCTGCTACATTTCACGCGAGGGAGAGACGTACCCCTTGCCTTGGCGATATAACGCAGGATCGCATCTAGCTGAGCCAGATTGAGGCCGTTCACCTATCACCGCAAAGTAATTGTCTGGGTCAGCACTGCAATTAATGGGTTCACGGAGTTTCATTTGGCATTCGCCATCCGTAGAGAGTCAAGATCCGACATAATTCGATTTGAAGCGCAGTCACACCGTTGGTACCCGCACCACTGATAGAACAACCCGACATACCTTGAGCCTGGGCAGCTGATTGAACCGGTATTCGTCCAGGTCCCACTTCTTGGCGAAAAATGCATCACCGTCGTTGTTCTCGACGTAAGGCACGCCAGCATCTTCGAGTAGCAAGCGGATCGGTTCTCCGCGCCCGCATATCGCGAAGTAATGGAGCTCGACGTCGCGGAGTTCAACGATCGGTGCCGAGGACATGTTGTGTGGATTCTAGACAGCTGAAGTCGTTGAGCGGGGAGTGAGTTGGATTGCGTGCTGGGATGGCTACCTGGGGAGTCCTCGCCAAGACGACGTGTTATATGAGGCCAGGTGGGCGACTTTCCACCTCGGCTATGCAATTTTACCACCTATCGACTAACGTGATGACTCACGGTTTCTACAGCCTTCACAGCGGACAAGTCGGCTTTTAACAAATTGGAACATTGGTCTTACATAGCAAGGGTCAGTAGTTTTCTAAGTGGCCATGTACAGTTACGTAACATGGCACTTAAATACGAAATGTTCACTGCATGTAAGAAATTTCGTACACAGGTATTGAAAGATGTTATGTTCGGCTACAGTACATTGACCACATGTATCCTGCATGTTAGCAACACGTACATTGAGACTAAATACTGTATGGTCAGATAATGGTAGTCACTCTAGCATTGTCAGCACAGTTATAATGTTAGAATCTCGTGCATTGCGGGAACAAAGGGTGCACATTCGGAATTTAATCACAATGTAAGAGGGGCTGCACACATTAAAAATGTAATGACAATGTAAGACATATATTTCAAATGTAATGACAATGTAAGCACAATGTTAGAGGGGCCTTCTTACATTGTGATTACATTCCGAATGTGCGCCCTTTGTTCCCGCAATGCACGAGATTCTAACATTATAACTGTGCTGACAATGCTAGAGTGACTACCATTATCTGACCATACAGTATTTAGTCTCAATGTACGTGTTGCTAACATGCAGGATACATGTGGTCAATGTACTGTAGCCGAACATAACATCTTTCAATACCTGTGTACGAAATTTCTTACATGCAGTGAACATTTCGTATTTAAGTGCCATGTTACGTAACTGTACATGGCCACTTAGAAAACTACTGACCCTTGCTATGTAAGACCAATGTTCCAATTTGTTGAAAGCCGACTTGTCCGCTGTGCTTCCTTGCATAGTCAGCGGTACACGTAACGTACAACCATCTACGAACGCACAGTTTTCCGCCATATCAGGTTCAATTATAATGATTCTGAAGGGAGGGACATGATGGGCGCGCGTGTTATGTGAAGAATAATGCGATGTCAGGCAAGCGCTATGACTCGTTGTCATGCAATGCGATGTCAGGCAAGCGCTATGACTCGGCGTCATGGAGGACATTGGATATGTCGCTCATCTGCTGTACGGAGGAGGAGGAGGAGGATGGGGGTCCATTTAGCCACCGGCCGATGGCGCCGGAGGATGCTGACTCACCATACAACACTGGCGCTGACAGCAAAGCGACTAGGATGACAGAGGCACTAAAATGCTTGGTGAGTTACCCAACACAAGTGAAAGCTCTAGCCGATGCGTTCAGTAGGATCAAATTGATGGACTACCGCTATTCAAGGAGCCGGGAGGCCGCATCACAGCGGGCCCATTAGACGACAAAGGCAGAAGAACCTTGACAATGACTCCGAATGAGACGGCTTGGACTCGTTGACGCTCCTCGAGTCCGTCCAGCATATCTATCTCCGACGCATGATGGGGCTCAACCCTAGAGCAATGACAACTCCGCTGTTCACGGAGACTGGCCTATGGCCGATACGGTACCGCCGCCTGGCATTGGCGCTGCGGTTTGCCCTATACATAATTTCCCAACGCCCTCCGGTTCCCCTAGCAGCCCTGGCCGAGGCTCGCGCTATGGCAATTGCAGGGGCTGATTCATGGCTGGGTGACCTTCATCATGCTCTGCAGAGCCTACCGGTTCCGGTGGAGATGGACAAACATGCCGCTCTGACCGCTGACTACATCTCCAACATGCTAGAACGCCTCCGCATCTCCCTGGTGGAGCATCTACGACAGGAAATCGCGTCCTCACAACGCCTCGTCATGCTCGCCGCCCGCGCGTCGCGTGAGCCAGTACTAGAGCGCAGAGATTACCTGTCAATCACGAGGCGAGAGCACCGTGCGGCCCTCATCCGTCTGCTCGTGTCCGACCACCCGTTGGCGGTCGAACAAATGAGGCGCCGGACTCCGCCAGTGCCTCGGGAGTGGAGAGTATGTCGCTTCTGCGCGCGACGTGGGTCAATTGAAGACGAGACGCATACCCTGCTGCGTTGTCCGGGAGCGGCGCTGGTGGAACCACGGAAACGGTTCATGGCCCAAGTGCTCTCGGTGCGCACAGATCTACGTGTCTCGCTGGCGACCACGCCTCTCGCCTTCCTTGCGGAAGTCACGCGGGATGCGGACGCCGTCACTCATCTCGCGGAGTATGTCCATACCGTGTTTTTGCTCTGCGAAAATGTCCCCATGGTGGTGATCACTTCAGAGGAACAGCTCCTCCAGCTCTCGTAGCGAGCGCCTCGCAGTGCTGTCCTGCGTGAGACTAATCATCGCTGCAGCTTATGGAACGTATGGGCTACACTACTACAAGGTACAATGGTCTCGGAACGTCGTCACTGCGATCTTCGACCGATCTCATCCCGTGCGTTAGGTACCGTCATGCGAGCGCGTCAAGCGCACGGGGGACCTCAGGACAGCCAATAGGGTTGTTCAGAGTAGGCTGTCCGGGCAGCTATCGAGCCTGCTATCCCGTCCAGATGTCCGAGGCTCGACTCCGGCAAACGCCGACAGCGAGCCTCAGCTGTGATCCTGATCGCTGTCGCAGGGGCCTCGCTGACGGCGCGCGGTGGCACCGGCGCTCGGCACTCGGTCGGAATGCAAACGCGAGGTTTGTACGGTGGCTGACCCTGAATTAGGGCTACCATCATGTCTTGCCCATAATAGCCCAAGTGTTGTAGATATATGCAAGCATGGTGTCATAAATATACACACTTATGAAGCCGTCTATCGTAGAGTTGAGTAATCATGCTTGGTCTCATTATGAATCGGTGTGCACAATATAGAGATTACATTTGGCAATTGTTACTATATTTGGTAAGTTATGATCATCGGTAAGCAAGGGTGGCAAGCCGGGAATTGCACAGTAACTCGGTATTTTGTGCACTGTGGCAAATAATTGCTTCTCATTGTTCTCAATACATTTTGATACGTACAGCAACTTCAAGAACAGTTCATATTCACAATTTACCACTGCCTGCACTTGGGCTCCATAACAAGCCCTAATTCAGGGTCAGCCACCGTACAAACCTCGCGTTTGCATTCCGACTGAGTGCCGAGCGCCGGTGCCACCGCGCGCCGTCAGCGAGGCCCCTGCGACAGCGATCAGGATCACAGCTGAGGCTCGCTGTCGGCGTTTGCCGGAGTCGAGCCTCGGACATCTGGACGGGATAGCAGGCTCGATAGCTGCCCGGACAGCCTACTCTGAACAACCCTAATGTTGGCCGACTTTCGCCTGGAACTGTGTGAGTTATATCAGATGGACGGGGGACCGCCACTGATGCCTGGAGGTTTTTCAGTATTTTTCCTCCCTGGTTTTAACACGGAAATCCCGCCCAGCCATGTGTGGCTAGTGGGCCAAGGCGTGCTCTCGGACGGCCGCGTCGGAAGAGGTGGTCTCTAGGGGCCTGTCGAAGATGGTGATGATTGGATGATGTCTTGTACTGTTCATGGTAGTGTAGCCGGTAGTACTATGGGTCGTGGTGTTGTAAATAGTGAGCGCTGTCACCGTCAAGACGCTGAGGATCGCACGTGCGCCTACAGCCGGTGGCTAAATGGATTCCTCCTCCTCCTCCTCCTCCGGCAGGTAACGATAGGCATACGGTGACAACAACTCGGAGTCGTCCCTAACTCTGAAGTTCGTAGGCGACCAGGCGCAGTACTAGTGATCCCATCGACAGCTACGCGCCATGTTCGCTGAAGACCAAACGGGCCTGAAAACGATCCAACGTTGTGGGCGAGTGCTTCTTCCTGTTGGCCGTGTAATACATGGATCTCCTTGAGGTCGCCTGATGTGAAGACGAAACCTTGACGTGGGGGAGCAGACGCTCGAACTGGGGGAACTCCGCGAGGATGGAGCGGAGGGCACGGCGTACCATAGTGTTCTTGCCCAACACGACAATACCCTTGCCACGGAGCGCGACACGGATCTGGTGCATCTGTTTCGAGCCGACGTTGTCGACATTGACCACAAAGATTGAGGCTGCACGACAAGGTTCACGGGAGAGCGGTAAGGCCAGAGCAAACGGACGTACGGTGCTTGACGAGTAAGTTCTTCAACTTGGTGAACTGGTCCTTTCTCGACTGGGAAGAGCTCGACGGTGTGCTCGTTGCTCTCCGAAAGCTGTGCTCACAGCTCGAGGGCACGCTGCAGTTCACGTTCGTGCCGACGGCTGGGAGCGACGACGTTGACGAGGAGGAGCTGCAGGACTTGCCGGAGATCGTGGAGATCGTGGTAGCGGAAATAAGGTCGTATTTGATCGTGCAGGGCGGGGCTGCCCGTGCGCATTGTTTGTCGGTTGGTCCAGGTCGACGATGTTCATGAAGATGCTCAGGAGCAGAAACTATGGCTCTGATCCGTATGCGTACCTCTCTCGCAGCTTTGAGTCTTCGATGATTCCATAATGATACTCATCCAAATAGACGGAAGCTGGGCAGATGGCGGTCAAAAATGCGCGTAAGTACAGTGTGCTTACAGTAGGTACCTGAGCCTGAGTAAGCTTCAGTCAAGCTTGAGTGCGTACCCTGTCATGCACCGCGTGGTGTGCGTGTGCTGTGTGGCTAAATGGATCCCTCCTCCTGGTGGGTTTCAGTCGCCTGTGTCTATCCTGCGTCATTGAGCGTGTTCACTGGGCAAGAAGACTCTACACGACCATTACAACGTGTGTGCACCACTCACGATATCGTGCATCAGGATGCAATCTCTTAGTATGCAGTACAGTTAGTCTAAATCGTTAGCAAACCTCAAGTGCCCGTCCGCTATCCGATGGCTGCCGATCCTCCATCTCCATGCTGTCGAATGCCGCATCCTCGTCGTCTGTAGTCCAATCACTTGTTCCCGTTTCGCGACCGGGCTGGAAGACCTGGAACTCCATCGAGATCGACTCCTGGAAGGTCTCCATCGTCGACGGATGTGTTGTCCGTGTTACGATCTCGCGCAGGTTCAGTAGAACATGTGAGCCCTGGAAACGTGAGAATGATGTCAAATCACGCATATTATATGCACCTTGCAGCCAAGAACTTACTGCAATTGAGTAGACTGTCATATTCCAGCTGGTTGAGCGAAGAGCTGCAGCGTGAGTGAGACACATGTGCTAATCGATGGATGCTCACAAGAAGAAACCACTGGAGAGCTCTACGAACGCGACGGACGATGCCACGGTCACGCAAGTCACAGCTGCTTGATGTGAGGAACACAGGTAGCATGTGATTGCACGAGCACTACTTACTGAAGATCGCAAGGAACGCCGCGATGCCATCGCGCAGAAAGACAAGCAAGACAGGCTGACCTGCCAGGTACGGCGTCGAACGGGTATTCTGGATGAACTTGACAAGGACGACTATGAACAGGATAGATTCAAAGGTGACGGGGAGCGTCCTGTTAAGCCGGATATGTTGAGTGAAAGGTCACGGCGCTGAGTCGCTAACGCACCAGCCAATGAGCACAAAGTCGGATTCAAAGGTGGTTAGACATGATCCGTCGAAAATGTATGAGGTCCGATACTTTGCGAAGCCTGCAATAGAGACTACTGCACACGCCACGAGGATGTGGATGAGCAATAACAGTAGCCACTTGCTCCGATCATAGAGGATGTACACTGCGGGGGTGTGGTCAATGTGTGATCGCGTAGTGATCTCGATCAACTCACGAACCCTTGAGGATCGAGATGACCGCGACTGCCGCTGCTACAGCCTGGAGCGCAAAGTACTCTGCAATATCAATACTCAGACACGTCGAGGGTGCGAGCGTTTCTCGATGTTAACGTTGAAACCACTGAATCAAGGAGGAGAATGTTCTGTCAAGCGCTCGGCGTCAGCGAGAATAGGTTCCACAGTAGTGAAGTAGACTTACGTCTCTCCTATCAAGGGAAAGTACCGAATGAAACAGTAAACCCCCTTGAACCAGCTCTTCGGCCATCTTTGCGAGACGAACGACTTCAGCGGCGTGGAGCGCATCCCGGCCAAGAATTGCTCACCTCCAGACGTATTCAATCTGGACCAACAGGTAGGATCGTTCGTTAGTGAGGAAGTGGCATTGGGCACAGCTACTGATCTCATCGTCAAGGTTAACCAGAAGATCCCAAGTCAGCATCGTGAGGGAGGCGGTTACATACGAGGTGACTAGCGAAACCGTTGAGGATAAGCGTGCTTGGCACTCGCCTGCAGAGAATCCAGCCTTCTCGGCCGTCAGCACTGCCATGTAGAGCGCCCAAATCCCCTGCACTCGGTGGGCTCAGCGAAGGGGAACATTGGGCGGGTCCCGTCAAGACCAGCGACAAGAATGTGAGGGCGCCAGAAAGCCCGGCGGCCACCGGGGGATAGGCTCAGATGATAAAGGAGCGTATCGGGCGCCAGAAGACGAGTTTCCATGCTAACTCTGTACGTAGGAGGAAGCGGAGACTTTGTTAGGGGAGGACCTGGGAGGACATACCGTACTCCCGGCGAGGTGGTACGTAGATGGTTCCCTTGTATGGGCAAGCGCCCTGGGCTTCATGTCGGCTAGCGCGCACGTATATACGTTCGAAATTTCTTGCAGGCGGCGCATATTCTGGCTTCCAACGCCTGCCACGTCGTTCGAAGATCGAGCGGGAACTGCAGCACTTTCGGGGCATCCGTACATTGATTCTCAGGTGATTTGAACGACGACTCGTGCTGCAAAAACGTTCTACCTGGCCTGCCGGAGTGGACTTTACGCCGAGGGTTTCATCCAGGTGGATCCTGAATTTATATGCATCGTTAGTCAAAAGAGCAAGCATGAGTGTACTAGCGCTAGGAAGACGTGCAGACCGCAACGAACAATCCCGACAGCGAAATGTTCGGTAGCGACCCCAAGCTGTCGCTGAACCTTACAGGCGCCATGCGTGTCTCGAGCCCAAGCGACGCAGTTAGCGTCCAACGAGGTCCAACGTCGTCGAGTCAAGGAAGCCCTAGCTGGCTTCAGGTCTCGAAGCCACAAACTTGATACCTCAAAAGTGAATATATGACGTCTCGATCGCATCTACCAGCTGCGCTAGATACGCATGACTGGAAACTTTCCAATTGACGATCATTCGAGGACTGTACATTAGCAAGCAATTATCACCACAGGGGCTCACAGCAGACCAAGCCTCATCGAGCCCAACCCTCCAAGTCCGCAGCCTCGTCCTGCTCGTCTTCAGACTCTCCCGAGTACGCGACCTCGCGCAGTTGCCCTACGATGTCACGCAGTTCGCTCAGCTCCGCGTCCTTGGCCTCGAGTTCCTGTCGCGCTAGAGCGAGTTCGCGCTCAATAATACCCAATCTAAGCGCAGCATCGAGCCCAGGATGTGGATCCTCAACGTTAGCTCGGGGGGAACGCGGATGTGGCCACCAAAGTGGAGGATCTCGGAGAGGTGGCAATAGATCTATGGAGGGCAACAGTCGTTCGGGGACTCTAGGCTGAGAGCTTGAGGGAGGACGTGGGCTGTCGGGCGACAGCGGAAGCGGGATAAGGGGAGGAGGAAGAGGGTTCAGCACTGCAGATCCTAGTCCGGTGATGTCTTCGCGTACGGAGAGGATTGTAGGCTGGAGCGGTGTCGCAAGCTCCATTGAACATTCGTCACCGCCATCGTCCGGGACGTCTGGAGGTTTCCGAGGAGAGCGAGCAGCCTGGCCATAACCAGCTTTGGCAATCTTTGTTGGTGCGTCGACTCGAGCAGTTTCGTCGGGATCTATCAGCGCAGTGGTCGACTCCCGAGACCCCATTCTCGAGACCTCGAGACGAAGTTCGGCGATCTGCCCTTGAAGATGCGCTTCGCGCGTTTGACTCGACTCGCGGACGGCGCTGAGTTCATGAGTCAAGCGCTCCACAATTCCCTGCAAACTTCACAGCAAATATCAACCATGCTATCGCGTGGCTTGCAGATGGAGAGCTCACCGCAGGCCTTCATCATCCACATCCAGCGCATGTGAGGGACCGGCCTCCTCTCGTGGTTCTGTACGCACATCCTGATATTGATGGAACACCATAATGTAAAGATCCCGAGCCCAGCGGTAGTGGTATAGAACACGGACCTGATGCTCGGCCGCCAGCGCGCCTTTGAGTACGTCTCGCTCAGCTGAGAACCCATCGAGTTGCGCGGCAAATATACCAACTAGCTGTTGTAATTGCTGTATCGCCGTTGACGGAGGCACGAGGGTGACAGATTCGGCCGACGAGCCTTGTGAACCTAGCTTGCTGTGTGGTGGTGCGAGGCCATGTGTTGGTATATGATGGGGCAAGGGTTCGCGGTGGTGCACAACAGGGGTATTCTGGGTGTCTAACTGCATGGCATGAGGCCCCGAGATGGGTGTCAAGACGCCATCGTGATCCTCGCGCCTGTATTCTGGCAATGCGTCCGAGACATTTGACTCTGCGTATTTCCTCTTGTCTGTGTCGCCGGTATGGGTGCGGGCAGGGTGTGCATGCTCAGACTGACGTGCATGGTCTCGCTGAATGTGGTAGACGAGGTACCAGCGATTACACGTTGTCAGCATTGATCTCGAAGGGAACTGCGTAGACGGATAACTTACCCGCTCAAGCAGATGGTGCACTTCCGCCTCCAGTTCGCGATTCCGCGCAGCAGCGAGGTCCAGGATTTGGATGGCTGCCTCTTGAGAAAACAATGGGGGTGCTGGAGCTGAGTTCCCAAAATTTCGTTGCAACGAATGCCGTGGTCCAATCAGAGGAGACAATTCTCTGGTTGCCTGCGAGGAAAGATGTGAATCGGCCGTTCGCAGGATCTTCGCCTCCAACTCGGCGTCGCGCCGCGCGAGACGGGCATTCAACGACAAGATCTCAGCTTCTGCGCGTGCTCGGGTCTGCGCGTGCGCATTGCGCTCCTGCTCGAGCTCTTCTCTGAGCGAAGCGACGATCGCTTTTGCGAAGGGATGGATGGGATGTTCGCTCAGCGGTGCGCCGGAAGACGATGCTTTTGGGTAGCTCAGCGGTTCTAGTCGAGTAGCGAGTCGTTAGGGGTTGCACGTAGGACAGTACCTTGGTGGACGGACCGAGGGGTGCTGTCATGCACATCTGACTGTGCGGCCATAATGAGTAATCATTGGCAAGTTCGACTACGAAGTGGGAGAGTACAGCATGAGCATGATGTAAACTGTCAGATCGTCTCCCCCTAACACCCCATCTGAGATAATCGAGGACCCACCTTTCTCGATTACGATCGACAACGCCTCGCGCGTATCATCCCACTCTGCGCGTGCCTCCTTGATGTACTTCCGGCACCTATCCAGCTTGTGCGACAGAATATTGACGGCGCGTCGCTCTGCGGCGAGCTCCTGGATGTGTGTCGCTCGGAGAGCGTCCGTCTTGTCGAGGGTGGTTAGCAACCGCGCTTGCAACTGGGACGCATGGGCGGCATGCGATTGAAGCTCCGTTTCCAACTATACGACTGGACATTATACCAAGCGAACGAAGGTATCATGCATGACTTACATCCATGTTCCTCCCTTCGGCTACTACCTTCGGCGATGCATGTCGTCTGTTGCCCATGTGTCGGCGTAGTTATATCCAAGATTCGCAGTGCCGTATATGTCGTGATAGTACAACAGCCTAGTAGATCCACATATATCAATAAGATAAATCAAGGGGGAGATTAGCCGGACCAGCATGAAGGTGAAGGAATAGGTCGTCATGCGGGTCAAAGTTGAACATCGGCGACGACGCCCACATGCGCAAATAACTACAAATACTTTCCTTTCTTGTCCGATGGCTAGCAACCCCCTCCGGCTCTTCTCGCAACAAAATAGCTCGATACGTAGACGACGCTGAATCCCAGGGCATATTATATCTTGAATGCTACATCATTTGATTGACCGCAGCCGTCCTGCGCACGCCGCAGGTTGTCTTTTTTATTATTATAGATACGATGATGATCACGTGGCTGAAATTGAATGACAATAACTTCGTAACTGTAACCATGAGAGTCGACGTCACGGAAATTGACCGTTCTTTGCTTTCGCACTTGGTGATTCAGCACAAGTCCCGACACGGAATGTTTTCGTCTGGTGGGATCGAGCGAGGAGATCAACACAGACCTTCGTGTATGACCGTCCCCAGGCGCATCCGACTCGGAGTCCAGCGGCTTCATGCTGACCGCTCATGGTCTCATATTTTTTGAATTGAGCCAATGAGCAGGGCGCAGACGGGCGAGACGTCTGAAGAACAATGCAAGTCAACTTGAAGTAGTATGCGTGCGGCATTGCAAGGTCACGGATAGATGTTGCATGTACGCTAGATCAATCGACTCTCCCGGTCCGTCGAAGGGATCCCACCGACGGAACTCCGCAACAGCCCACTTCCATTTCTGTATCCATATGCCTAAGCGTTTGTTTGTCGCACGAGTCAAGGTGACGTACCAGATATTTCGCGAGCTCCTTATCAGCAGGCCGAACATCTTTCCACTCACCACTACCGCCGCAGAAGATGCGATACGAATCCAAAGCATATGGGCCGCTTCCTGGGAGATGCGAAATGCATGTCGGAGGGTAACGTCGTCGGATGATGGGCGGCGCGCTGTTCTCGCTGTCTGCGGAACGCATCCGAGTCCGGACAGTGATGTAACACCGCGAGGGGCGCAGAACCCCGTGTCGTGGAGGGTATTCTAAGTATGCCTGGGACAGCTTTATGAGACGTTTCGTGCGAGACTTGCCTAAGCCTAGGTGCCTGATGCGCTCTTCCACCGCACACGGACAGGCTAAATATATATCGTGAGCGGCCATTTGATCGGAAGCGTAGGGCAGCCGACCTTGAGCGAGGGCATGAGCGGTCGTCCATTCCTCTATCAAGTCAAAGAATACGGGGATTGCGTTCGAGCCCGCTGTCTTGTTCAGAAGCGTAACTGCGACGAGCAACTTCCAGGGGTCAACGGCCACATGCTCTGGGCGCCGGCGGGTGAGTTAAGCCAACTGGGCGCAGTTGCAAACGTACGAGAATTGTTGCGGCGCACCTTGTATAAGGACCGGCTTCGCCCTATACAGGCCATTGAATGATCGCATGAATGCGTCGTAGAAGTTGCTATACGCTACATTTCGCGACAGGGAACGGTGCGTTTGCAATGCCGTCTGAGCTCCGCATGCAATGGGGCTAGCCAGACTCCCTGGCGCTGGTTCTCCAGCTCTAGGTGCGGGGAGCGTCTGAGAGAGGCTCCTCAAGGCTGAAGTCTTCGGTGAGAAGTGACGAGATCTTCTATAAGGAGACTTGTCCGGCTCGCGTTCCTCCGATTCGCAGTCGGACAGCAGTGCATCTAGTACTGGTAGTGTTCCCAAGTGCTCCGCACGCGTAGGACCGCAATGAAAATACGGAGAGCGAACGACAGGGTGAGGTGCAGAGATCTTGGGGGTACGATGTGTACGGTGTGGTTCTGACATGAGACGACTAAGCGCCCGCGGGCGCAGAGATTGCCGCCCGTTCGGTCGGTGCATGGGCTCACCTCATCACCCATCTCGTTGATGGCGGACAACGGCATGGTCTAGTAAGTAGCTGTGTTGTGGTTTCTGGATCTCATCGCCTCTCGAAATCTGACGGCAACAAAGACACATTCAAGACCAGTGATATGATGTGATGGTCAATTGACCCCGAACTTTGTACGTAGCCTCTCACTGGCCATTCATTGAAGTTGACATCTTTGGGCTAAAGTACAGCGCCGTAATCGGCTACAGTGCGGACTCACGCGTTACAAGAAAGGCGGCTTCACGTTGCAATCCGGAGAAGATCTATCCAGAGGACACATTGCTCCCCGATTGAACCCGACGCCGCTCAGTGAGTCATAGCGCACAGTCGGTTAACTCGACTGGACAGGAAAAAATATGGTACGTCTGAACGGCGAATGACCCCGCGGACTTGCGCACCTCAGTCAAGTTCGGACCGGTATGTTCCCATGTTTCCCAATCTGCCTCCGCCAACACCCATGGTGCCTCGTGTTCACACCCAATGCACAGGGTCACTCAGATTCAATGGGCGAAGCATACCTATCGCCGATATCAGGCGCCACTGATGATGGAAGAAAGACCACAGTGCATATCAATGAACGAGGTTACGGTGTCGTACCGTCAGTGATGACTCTTGCGCGATTCGAGCCGCAAGTGAGTGTTTGACCACCGCTTTGATCCTCTGATAGCTTCGTAGGCGACGACCTCTACTGCTAATGTACTCATTCGGATACCCCACAACGTAGGATAAGCACAATACTCGCATGGCGAACGTCTGCTTTCAGGCAGTAGAGCTGGCGATCCTTTGAACGCGTCACTTATTGCGGCAATCCTGAGATCCAGTGCCGATTTCGCAGTTCTCGGTAGCGGGTGGACATTGACCCGGTCACTCATGGCCACGGAGCTGACACGAGGTATAATCGCAGGTGCGCCCGCTTGGTTCCTGCGTTACGACCTACTATGGAAACACTCACTGGGTCTGCACCGCCAACTTACAGACAATCCATAGTGGTGACTTTCCCGACTCGTCGCCGCTCAGCTGCTCCTTTGCGCCCGGAAAATGGTTCGTACCATAACATGACCATCGAGCCCTAAGATGAACGTTGTACAGCTCATGAGACGATAACTTGTGTATTCCATTTTAGACTAGCGCAAGTCCAGGCAGCCCTATGGCTGGCAGTTCGAGACGGGGGACGGCGTTCGACAGAGAAGGGGGATGTAAAATCTCGGTCTAGGGATCATTTTGACCGGTGCGTCCATGGGCAGTTCAACAAGGCTAAGCGTACCACTACTACTAACGGTGAACTGCCTATCTACTAGTAGCGTCAACAAGGCAGATTGTGGAAAGTGAGTCGAGATAGATGGTCGCGCTGAAGGCTACCTTGGGCGCACCGCTCTCAGCCTCGAGGCATCGCCGTACCTCAATCGCAGCCCGAACTGCATTGACTGTTATGGTCAGTCCACGAGGTTGGTGAGTAACGGCACTCCCTCGGGCGCACGCAGCACTGTCAAAGCACATAGATTGAGCTAACGAGCATATGAACAAACAGATCCAGGTGGCATTGCAGCATGTGCATGGCCCCAATCAGACGTTTGTTTCGAAGATGGTACTTGCAGAGCACGAAAAGAAGGTTGATCTTCCTCTGTGCAGAATGTGCGTCGGCGGTGGCCGAGTCGGTGTTGTACTTACGCTCCCAAGCTAGGCTCGAAGACGGACGGACGCATTGAACTCTAGCTCCACAGAAAAACTGGAAGATTGTTGGGTACAAAATTGAAGCGATAGCCCTTCCACGCATTGATGTTTGTGATAAATGACTCTGCTTCTCAACCCACGCGGGTGAGTGGCCGGGCGTTCATTTCCGTGTCAAATCTGTTGCCCCTGGCAGAACGTGTCAACGCAGTAGTCGAACTCGGTCAACTCCTTGCACCCGCGGTACTGGGAAGATTGCGACTGGATTGCAAGGAGCCGATGCTAGACATACCGGCCATGGTCCAATTGCAATTAACTGATACTATGCACCCAGCAGACACGATCGGGGTTCGCGGGGGCGCGTACTGCACCGCAAAGTGCCCTCATCAAGCACCGGTTTCGAAGGAATACCCTGACTGGACGCTAGAGCAAGCGGTACGAACCTACTTTCTTCTGTCCATGCGATGGGCACCGTTACGATATCGTCTGAAACACTGGACCACAATTGTCCGCCCGAAGCTCGACCACAGTGGACGGATGAAGTAATGGGCGCCTCCACCCATTTACCATCACCACATTCAACACCGAGCATGGAGAAGACGAACCCTTGCAGAATATACTTCGGCATTCAACTACAGAGGAAGTATCGAGCTATCCAACTTGAACGCGGGTCGCCGAACAGCGCGCGCACATTAAACTTCTTCCGAAGCTCTCGGGCCCCGCAGTTTGCTTGCTCTCACTGCCATGTCGATATCATCGCACTCCGAAGCCTACGCAGCTCTTCCCCGTTTCGCTTCTTGCGCTTCCTTCACCTCCACTTCCAGTTGTTCGACAAATTGGACCCCGAGTAGGCTGACTGAGACTTCGTCTTCATGCTGATGGGCTGGCAGGCAGTTCACCTTCGCGGCGCCGGAGGCTGGGACGAGCTCCTTGGCGGTGTTCGACCGCGAGTTGTAACATTGGATGGACCGTGATGGTCTGGCGAGAACCTGGGGCCTCCGGATTGGAAATCGGCGGAGCTGCATCAGTGGACAATACCGGGAGAAATGCGCGGCTCAACACCATGGTGGCCTCAGGCGAGGGCCACCACCGTGAAAGCGGATCAGATACCATCTCAATAACGCACCGCAGCGTCTTGCAGGAGTGGTCGACTCGCCTCGTCCTCAATACCCAGCACGCGGGATGCCAACCGCTAGCGGCGCACTCCCTCACCGCGCTGTTTGGCAGGGATGAGCTGATGCAACATCGAGACTTGTAGTTGGTATCACGACCTGTGTCGCAAGATGTTTGCATCTACCCTGACTTCATCGAGCCTTGGAACAAGCAGATTTGGTCCTTTTCCCTGGGGCGAGCGCGCAGTGTGCAGTCACTAGTCGTGAGGAAGGTTTCGCACACGCCGGCTACATGATGTAGGAAACAATTGCTGATTTTTGATGGGTTCGAAGAGCCATCATGCCGAACAATTGGGATCGCGACTTGGGTCCAGGTGTGGAGGGAGATACGCCTTTTCGGATTGCCTCGGCAGTTCTGGTATCCCCATGGCCAGTTTATACGAATGCATGCGAGCGTATTGTATGTTACAACTGCATCCCTCCGCAATATTAATGCCTTAGCATCGCCGGAGACGTGCAGACAACTGACCACGCGTTTGTGATCGCAGGCCTTCCCACCAGCCAACAACCGCATATCAACCCAGGCTGTCAAGCTGACGTTCTCCCACCGGCGAGTCAAGCCAGTCAACGACTCCCCCTATCACGACTGCCAGAACGCACGTCCCCACGCGCGACGGAACTCTGTGCGCATCCTTGCAGGGCAGTCACGATTGGTCCCACCGGGCGTACGCCGCCGCCGCCGCCGTTCCGGGCCCCTTTCAGGCAAGAGTCCAGATCCGTTAATTATAGGGCGGGCTTCCTCCGAGTCCGCGCCTGGCTCGGCTTCTGTGGCGGTGGCTCGGTAACTCAGTGCAGGAACTCGCCCAGGAGGGAAGAATGTCTGCCGCACGCGAATGAATTGGACCGGACAGGTTCCCGCGGAGCGTCCGTGATGGTTTCGAGGTGATGCTGAGTGGACAGTGAGTATACGCTGAGCGGCGGCTCTGTTCCCGCGAGCGGTCAGTCGCGGTGCCAAGCGGTGTCGACGTACCACCACGATCTCCTTGATGCAGAGCCCGTGGTTCGCGGCCGACTCACCGGAAGAGGAGATACCGTCCAAGGTGTTGATGTGAGCTCCGAGGCGGACATTGGCAGTTGTTGATATGATACCACGGGCTGGCAGGGCAATGTCACCATCATTATCGCGGCAGGCCCAACGAACTGGAACTGACCGCGAGAGAAGACACCCCGTTATGAATGCGAACACGGGTGCGGAGGCACTTCCTGAAGGCCATAGCAGTGGCCCGCAGCTAACCTGAGGCCTCTGAGGCAGGCACAACTTCCTCCGCTCGTGTTGAGTCGCGTGATGCGACGTGCACGGTGGTTCTACGACGCCTTCCCGCGAACGATCGTACGTGATGCGACGGCGACGACTCCCCGTCCGGGGCTCTGTATGGATGGCACTGGAGAGACAAACACCGGTACAGAGAAGGGCGGGGTGTCACTGGCACTGGCCGCATCACCACTCGAAGCTTGCAGATTGCTGTCAGCCAGTCACAAATTTCGGTCCATCAGCCGGAGTGGAAGCGGATATTCTTCAAATGAGGCTCGCGGCGTCGACCGCACACGAAGCTGCGGTGACGCGCTGCTGGCCAGCATGCCAGCAGCCTACGTCTTCGCGGAGGACGGTCTGAATACCGTCTTCGTTGAACGTACGCAGGGACGAGTCTTGATGAAGTTCGAGTAGCAGTCTACGGTTGCTTGTTCGCTAGCCAGCAGATTTTCAGCTCTCGACTGCAGCCGACAATACTCATGGAAAGGCTTGCACGCTTGTCCTCGAGCATGCGACTGACTGGCGTTCGGTATCGCCAGCAGCTTTGTGGCGCAGCGCGCGAGCGCCCTCCAAGTCCTCCTCGTCTTTCCGATACGCCCGTGTCATGGATTGCCGTAACTCCAGCCCACATCATATGTACAACGTCCGAGCGACTCACGGCACTCGCACTTATCACCCATCTGCATCAGCACGCAGCACTCGTTGCGCGCAGAGTGGCAGCCATCACAGCCTCGCATTCACCGAGAGCGTGTCTTGCCTTCCGCCCGCTAGGATTGGTTGAGATGGAGGTGGACAGCCTGCCAGGGAGCTTGACGGGCGGAATCATACAACCAGTGCTCAAGCTGCGATTGCGAGCCTCGACCCGAGTACAGCTTGCCACCCGCACGGGCCCTGCCGCGCGCCATCGGCTCAAGCCTACGAGAGGTGGAGGTTGCGAAGAGCCCGTCGTACGCGGGGCATTGTCAAGTGTGAGTGACAAGAGGTCGCTGTGTAGCGCCAGGCAGTACCGACCGCAGCGTTGCTGGTCAACGCGAATGCGGGCCGGACGACAATGGGCTCCATCAGCATCAGCATCAGCAGATACGCACGCACGCACAGAGGCAAACTTTGTGCACATAGATGACATCGGCGGACGCGCCGCCGCATCTCCAGATCCCGCGCAGAATAATCACCAGCAACGAGTGTTGAATACAATGATGGTGCGTTCCACGCCTAGCCTACTTGCGGGGCGTGATCCATGATTATGATTCGGCGCGCAGCCTGAGAACGATTTACTACGCCAAACCGCATGCGGGGACTCTGTCGCGGGCGGGGATCTGGGATCGCACAGCCGTTCAGTCATGTCTGCACAGTCACCGTCACATTGACCACTCGCCGCGAGTCTGCCGGTCGAACGGTCGTTCGCCCGTCCGTCCGTCACGGCCCAGCCAGGAAAGGAGGTACGCCGCCAGACGCCGGGCGTAGGCTCTGGCGCGCACCAGCATTTCGATCTCGTTTCGGCCCACGCACTGGCAGGCCACGCACGCGGTGCACGTCGAGTGCGGACGGACGTGGGCGGCTTCGAAGTCTTGCATGGCTACGAGCGCGATGTGCGACCAAGTTTCCGGGCGCGGCGCGTGCGCAGGGACCCCAGAGTACTAGCGGCTCAGGCGCGATGATACGCACAAGATGAATAGCTAGTGAGACAGGATTGCCTACAGCGCTGACTTCTGGGTCGACGCCCGCCGCCGGCTGCGCGAGTGGGGATCAACACCTACTGTAGAGGTTATCAAGCTGACGCTCTCCGTCCATATGGCCGCATGGCCCACAGCTCAGCGGGCGGCGATTCGAAGGCAGACGCAGACAGACTCTCGTCATGACAAGACACACATAGACTGGGCCCTGCGCGCGTGTGATAAGCACAAAGCGTCTTCCGTGTCTGCGAGGGTGGAAATGAAAGTGGCATAGAGATAAGCGAGGCACAGCAGGAAGGTGGCTCCGAGGCGAGGGCCCTGAAGTCGAGGGGTTCGGCTTCGGTGGCTGCGGGTGGGCGGTGGACGTGCGCACGCGTCCTCTGGATTCATTCGCGCCGAATGAATACAGACTTGCGGGTGGCTGGTGGACGGCTCTGGGAGGCACTTGCGTGCCCGCAATATGCGCGATTCGCCGAGCGAATTTGCCCCGACGTTGAGTGCGGTACGGGTCACCGCACAGAGAGCATGCGTGGTGGCACTGGCAGCGCCTGGCAGCGTATCCGGAGATACGCATACCGTAATGATGAACGTGAGAACGAGTGGGAGTGATGGTATTCCTGGACGCGATCTAGACATCTCCCCTCGGATGTACATTATTGAATCGGAATCTGCTCCCCACCGAGCCATCGATCAAGGATTAGGCTGTATCAGTGCACGGGCCTCGCGCACGAGCTGGTGCGGAATAATCGTGTCAGCTGGTGGGGAGACGCGGCGAGGTGTTGAGGTCCGGGGGCGCTGAGGAGGATGGACTTCCCTGCCAGTACAGCAGCGCGCGGACGGGTCTCGCTGCATCCCACTCGCTGGCAGGGGCCGACAGTCTGAGTCCGCGGACGCCGGGGACGAGTGGGTCACACCTGCACGCTGCGTGAGGTGACTGTTGCGTGACATGCGTGTGGCAGCGGTGGCGTCGGGGAGATGCGGCGGGCGAACCTTCGAGGAAGCAAATACGGAGGACGAGCGACACAGGGGGCAGCATAGGTCGCCGGTGGCAGATTGGAGCTGGAGATGGGCTGATGGATGCTGGCTGGATCACGCATCACTGAGGCCCATCGCTGGATCGCATCGCATCGAATCGCACCGTGGGTCGCGAGTGGCGAGCGGCAGGCCTGGGGGAGCAACGACGGGTGGAAGCAATTATGGAGGCATCTGAGATTGCGCCGGACGGAATCTCGCCATCACGCGTGCGGGCTCCGTTCAGGGTCGCTGTGATAAGGTGTGAGCCCGTCCGGCCTCGACGGCTCGCCGGTCATGGGGCCCATTGAGTCGCAGTGGCCAGGCGCGCACGGGACGGCGCGGCCGATGGCGGGCGGGTCGCGATCGCACGCGCGGGCAGCGTGCACGGGGGCGAGCAGCGCGCGACGGTGGTGCGTGGATGCGGGTGGCAGCCAGATGCGGCCGGCCGGATGCGTGGGAACCTCGCGGGGTGGGGATTGGGGCGGCGCGCGAAAAAGGTGATGGGAGGAGTGGTGGTGGCGCCTGGGATGCTGGCCGAAATAAACTCTGCTGAGAGCTGCTGGCAGGGAATCTTGTGCGGCGGGCGCCCGTGGGCTTCGTGATCCAATCCAGGACGCCATCTCCATCGTCTTCCCGCACAGCTGCCCGGACAGCCCCAGCCATGCCCGCCAACTATAAAGCCATCACCCATCCGCCCTCCCCTCCCCATCCTCCATCTCCCGCCGCCCGCCACACATCACCCCCGCCGCCGTCCCACCCACCACAGGCCGCACACCGCGACCGCCCCGCGCCCCACCTCGCCAGCACACAGCCCCCCGACGCCCTCCAGCCGTCGCCCACCGGGCCAGACGCGCATCCGCCAGAGCACGACGTGCGCATCAAGGCAGACCCTGCTCCGCCCCAATCCACCCCGCCGTATCCCGATCATCGCTGGGTAAGTCTTTTCTGACGCACTGCGCCTCCCATCATTGATCATGTCCTCGATCGTGTCTGCGCGCAGCACCCCCACCCGTACGCGTTCCACCCCGTGTACACGTACCCGCCGCCGCCCCAGCCCGAGTACCACTACCGGCTCATGCCCCACCGCGTCGAAGCTGACCGACACTCCGCGTGCGTCCCTCTCATCACGTCTGCCTCGCGCGCCGCTGACACTCACTGACTGCCGCCGCAGCCACCACTCGGAAGACGGCCACTACCCGCGCATGCACTCCCAGCCCACCCCGCCCCCCATCGCCACCCTCCACCACTCCCCCGCCATGTCCACCTCCAGCCTCGCCAGCTCCTCCATCTCCCCCTCTCCCCCGGTGAGTCTCCACCCGCACTCACACTATCCCTACCCGCCGCACCCCTACTCCTACTCCCCGCCCGAGCACCGCCCTGACCACGACCCGTCCCTCCCCGCGCACCAGCTCCCCCAGCCCGGCAACGCGCCGTACTACACCCACCCCCAGTCCGCGAGCGTCGGCCCCCCGGGCGGCGGCTATACCTACGCGCCGCAGGGCGCCCCAAGCGCGCGCTACGCCCCCGCAGACGCAGGCTCGCCCTATGCGCACGGCGGCACTGGCCTCATGCGCACTGTCCGCCCGACCTATGGCGCCCACGCCCAGCCCGCGTATCCCGGCCAGCCGAACTACATCATCTACACGAACGACGCCGCGACGAAGCTCTCCGACCGTGTCCGGCGCAAGTGCTACAACTGCCACACCACGGACACGAGCACCTGGCGGCGGTCGAGCCTTACGCCCGGAAAAGTGGTGCGTGTCTTTTTCATTCTGCTTTGTCTCCCCTCTCGCGCCTTGCTGAAGGCTGCGCCCTTGTAGCTCTGCAACAAATGCGGTCTCTTCGAACGCACGCACTCCCGCCCGCGGCCTGACCAGTTCCCGCACAAGCGCGGCCCGCTCGTCACCGCGTCGTTCAAGTCGTCAGCCCGCTCGCCCCCGCCGGGCTCTGCCGGTCGCCTCCCGCCGATGACGACCGGGGCCCCGCACCATGGAGGACACCACCACCACGGGCACGGCGGTGTGCAGGCGTTCCCGCCGCACCACGCGAACCACGCGTCCATTGCGCCGCTGATGAACCAGAGCCAGGGCCAGCGCGAGGTGCAGCCTCAGTATTACTCGCAGGAGCAGGTTCAGCAGCAGCAGGAAGGCCAGGGCAACGCGAGCACCCTGCCCGAGATCCGCTCGTTGCTGAACACGCCTGTGGGCGGGAGCCCCGCATCGGTGTCTGCGCAGGAGAGCGTGGACGGCCAGGCGCAGCAGCATCAGGTGGAGGCTCAGGTGGATGGGAGCCCGAGGGAGCGGAGGGAGGTGTACCGGGCGCAGGCTTGAGCGTGCGTCCTTGCGTTCGGCGTCGTCCTTCGTGTCGTCACCGTCGACGTCGCTATCGTCAATGCCTCCGACCTCGCCGTCGCTGCCCCGCCCACGGCCGCCGCCGTCGTGGATATTTATGTGTAACTTTTTCGGCCAACTCGCGAACCGCCCTCGTCCATCGCCCCTCGCCTGTCTGTCCGCTGCTTTCCATCCACCTCGCCTCGTATCGCCGCTAGACTCGAACAAAACGTTTACGCCCGCTCGCTTTTCCTTCGCCGTACTCGCCCGCCGCTGCCTCTCTGCCTACCCGCCCGTCGTCCGCCCGCCGTGACGTCGGTCCGTTGACGCGTCCTCGGAGGGAGATAGGCACAGCCGGCGCGACAAAATTCCACTTCTGTTTCGGAGAAGACAAAGACGTTGATCAGCCGACCGCTTGTATTTTTCCTTATGCCGTTGCTTTCTTGTGGTCTGCGTCGCCCGGGCTGTGCCTGTCCACCTGCCTGTCTGATTTTCCCCGCCCGACGGCGGGCGGTCGTGTGTAATTATTGGAAGATCCCGCTCGCTCGTCGAATCCCATGTAGCTCTTGTCGTTATTCTTTTGCTTCGCTTCGTCGCTTGCATCTCGTCCGTCCCATCCTTGTCGCCGCATCCCCCAGTCCGTTGCATACATCCCAGTCCGACATCCGATCCGTGCGCGAGCGCGAGCGCGCTCTTGTGTTTCTAGCTACGCTATCCTTGCCCTTTTGATCGTTCAGAGTACAGACAATCTTATTCTTCGCACCCCGCGCATGTTGGTCTGCCCGTCTGCCGTTTCTTTTGTTGTGTGCTCGTGATGGTTATTAATTGGCTTCTCGTTGATTGCACCCTCGAGAGAAGGCAGATGCGGTGCGGTGCGGTCGAGCATGGCGTTCTCGTGTCTTGCGCGCTCGTGTCTATTGTCTCTAGAGTCTATTGTCGGTGCTTGCTGCCTACTATTTACTACTGCTACTACTCTGTCGTCGCTCGCACGCAATCATTTAAGATTCTCCGAGATCGCGTCCGGACGGACCTTCAGCTTCAAGTTGACAAACACCAAGGACAATGACACAACATTGACAAGGAGAGGACGACGGCAACACCACGCGTCGGAACCCGATGGCAAGTGCACCGCAGCTGAACACACCGACTCGGGGCGCAATTGTTTCGTACTCGCACACAACCTAACGCACCGCATCAACAGGTCTATCATCGTAGTACCAACACTAGCAGCCCAGAAGCGTGCGTGACGTCCGCGATCAATCATCAGATGGGCGTCCTAGTGTGGTTCGCTATACCCGCGCTTGGGCGTGCCGCGAGCAGCGATGATGAGTCGATTGTGGATTCTGTCATTGTCTGCCGGTCGCGTGTGGACGCTGATGGGGAAGGGGCGCGAGGTAGGTCAACCGGTCATATTTTCATAACTCAATGGACACGGACACGGCGGCGGTGGCTGTGATCGTGCCAGCCAACGTGGCCGGTGGCTCGTGGACGTTGGTACGTACTGCCAGTGCGGGATCGGATCTAGATTTGGCAGGATCGTACTATGTGCTGGGTGACATCGCCTCGTTCATGTCCGAGCTCGCCTTCGTGCGCTGTACAAGGTTCAGAGGTACGGTAGGTGGTGGGTGGAAGGTGGAAGTGAAGATGGGTGAGAAGATGTCTGAGTGGGCAGTGTGCGATGCGTACCTGAGCCTTCTCGTCCTCTGAACTCTGGACTCACTCAAACACATTTCTCCCATAGGCGAGCTACAAGCTTCAAGCTAGCTGGGGTCCGACTCAGGCTCCTTGAAGTTGCCCGTGACCGTGACGAAGACGGTATCGCCGGCGGCAGTCTGGCCGTTTCGTCTGATGCGCAGTGCATGGCCAGTGGCGTGCCGCATTGACGTTTCGACTTCCTCCTTCCGGCACCAGATTCGCACAAAGATACCGATCCTAGCAAGCTCAAGTTGCCGCGCGGCGCTTCCAAGGCGCTCGCCCCGAGCCTCCTGTCTCCCCCGGCCATCCAGCTTCCCTCATCATCGCCAGGAGGCGCCCGCCGCGGGCCCCGCGCGCAGCCTCACGACGGCATTTCATATCTTGACGCGGAGGATGTGGTAGTAGAGGGGCGCATCGCTGGTCCTGGTCCGCATCACTGGGTCGCATCTGATTCGTGGGCGGCGCGAGGTCGGGCTTCGCGTTTCTGAGGTGAGTTTCTTTCTATTCTTGTGCGCATTCAGTGCCAGCGGCCATATGATTTGCGTTCCTAAGTCTGTGCCAGTGAGTGTGGCTTCCAGGACTTGAGCTCAGCCTCCGAGTCAGGGCCCAAACACACAGGCTGACTGATGCACACGAAGGCGTACAATCCCAGTATACGGACTACGACCTACGGACGAATGTATCCGGTACCCGGCGCACGGTGCGCACCCCCGCAGGCCCCGTCGACGGCGTGCGGCTCGCCCCGATGGCTCGCCCGAGGGTCTGCGTTTCGAGCTTACAAGGCTGCAACATGGCCGAAGCGCATTGTACCTGGAAGAAGGGCCTCCAGAGCGAATCAACGCGCGGGGGGCATCACCCCAGGACGTGCGCGTCAGTTGCGCTCACACTGACGGCCAGCGACGCAGCTTCAGGCTGCAGTTGAACTATCCACCCCGCCGGGGTGGGTCGACGTGCCCCGTTGCGGACGCGGCATCGCACACGGCGGGCGGGTGCCGCGGCGAGGGTGCCATCCTGGGGTGCTTCGCTGTCAGCGGCAGGCCCTATCAGCGTGCGGAACAGCGAACACGCTGATAGCGGATCCTGGCGCGAACTCAAACGCAGCCGCGCAATTCAATTGAAGTACGCGCTCGCTCGCTGGACTGAACGCTCGCACTTGGCGCGGGGGCGTGCGGTTTTGGTGAGTGGGTGGTTTGTTTGGACGGACACGTATTCTCCGCTGGAACAGTGCGCGACTGACTACACAGTACCACACCAGAAGTACACGGTGCACATGCCACTGCAGCCTGGACCTCCCGCGCGAGGAGAGGCCCCACGTGCGCACGAAGTCGCGAAGCTGCGAAGATTGGCCAGGATCACGCGTCCTCGCCGTGCGGTGGAAGGAGAGAGCCGTTCTATTCGGGGCTGGTGCGGCTGATGCTGAGCGAGCAGCGAGCACGTATGACTGATCATGATGCGCCTTTGCATATCCGCCCATGCCCCATCCGCTCGTCCCCCGTCTGACGCGCTCGCACTCCCATCGGCCAGGCCCAGGTCCGCGTCCCAGGGCCTGTGGCGTGCGTGCTGGCGCTGCGCGTCAGGCTGATGGGTTGCCGGATCGGGTCGAAGCCAATCGCTGGTCGACTGCGGTGTCCTCGTCCGGCCGGGCGCCGCCGCCAGCCTGTCCGTGCACCTGCCCGCCGGCGATCACACGTGTGTGCGTTTCTGGTATGTCTGTCACGGTGTGCCCCTTTTACCTTCCGCGTTTGGGTTGTCTTCTCTGGTCCTCCTTCTTCAGATCAGTTCCGTACACCTAGGGCTGCCCACCAGTCGGACTGCACACGCGTACGGGGTGATGCAGCCATCCATGGCACCGCAGACGTCGTACACGTCCGTCCACCCACACCGCAATCGACCACACGAAGACGTCTCGCCGTCCTTCTAGACAATTGCCATCGTCATCGCGGCGAGCCATCATCAGACGCGCACGCTCACAGCTGATCCAGCGGCTCGACGGCGCGATCGAGAGTTCTCCCGCGTGGGTGGGCAGACAATCGAGGCGAGCCGCCCGCGCCCGCCGTCAACGTCCCCATCACCCAACGCGAGCGCGAGGGAGGCTCGCCGCCGCGTCTACCAGGACAGTCCAGGCCTTGGTTCCACGGACGAGTGAGGGCAGCGTCACGTACGCTGACGTTGGTGAGTGTCGCACCGTTGACAGCCTGAGAACACGCAGCGCGCGGGATGGTGTTCTCCCAGAACAAGCTCAACTCGCCGGTGGCCCTCAGTCTGAGGCTACGAGTGAATGCCGTGACGCGTGACGCGCGGCGCATGACAGCGGGGACCGTGTGTGGCAGGCCGCCCGCTCTCGCGCCGACGCGCTGCGGAGGGCCATGCGGGGCGCGTCAAAAAGTCAGCGCACGGCGACTCGGCTCGACGTGCGGCGTGCAAGGGACACGGCGGGGATGGAAGCGGGCGAGGAATTGGAATGGGGAAGAGCGACTGCGATTTGGGGAGAAGAACGCGTGACGCGACGTCCGTGCTGGGCGGGCGTGCCTGGTCGAAGCTCGCAGCAGGGGTGGCCGCCGCGGCCACTGCTTCGTGCGAGTGATGAGCGGTCCCATTTCCGGCAGGCTGCGAAGGTTCGAGGTCAGGGCTGCTGGGGATGCCAGAGCTTGTCTGACGTCTGCGGACACGTCTGGCCACGCCCGGTCTCGTGCGCGCGTCGGCGGTGTGCGCGCGGGGGCACGCCAGAAGACGACTAGCGTACTCGGACGCGGAGATATGCATGGCTCGTTGCTACTACTGGCATAGCTGGTTCGCGGGCGCGATGATGCGTGACGCCGACCGCACACACAGACGTATATGGATTTTCCCCGAGGTTGCCGCGCGCCCACAAGGATGCGCCATGCGTCCGTTCGGAATGGCACTACGTTTGCCTTCGGTTTGCCTCCGAGAGATAGGGACGGAGAACCGGTCACGAGGATGGTGCTGCTTCGAGTTCGCGGACTGATGATGGATTGCGGGCGGGCCACCGCGCTTGGGTTCGCCCTTTGCTCTTCGCAGCTCGGGCGCACGCGTACGGTGACGCACCCGCGTGGCATACGTCGTTCGCGAAAATTGTTTGCTGCGAGCACGGGGGCGGCCGCAACGTCACGGACACATGCTAGGTCTGGTTACGTATCAGTGGATTGCCACGGGCACGCGATGTACGTGACGTACATCCCAGTGCGTCGGTGGGCTTTCCTTTTCCTCGTCTTCGCAGACATGTCCCGACGAACACCCTGTGTTTCAGGAGTTGATGAGCAGGTCTCTATGGCGACTCGGGGGAGGGGAAATTTTGGCTTGCTTCTTGCGTGGTGGTCATGAATCGACTCCGCGGAAATTTGCATGGGAGGCTGAAGGTACGTCACCTCGCTTGCCAATCTCCGCACGAAGATCGTCGACGAACATGAAATTTACTCAAACCTCTCGAAGTATTCTCGGAGTTGATTCTCGTCGATTGCCGTACAATCCATCGAGAACATGCAACTCGAAGCGGAGATGGTAGTATATTCGCGGAGATGACACATGCATCTCCGTCCGGCGTGACACCCGCCTCCGATCGAGGACACAGCTAGAAGGCACAGTCTACGGGTGCTGTGCGCCTCGAGGACACGGTTGGCAGTTCGAGTCAAAGAGAGAGGTCTCAGTCATCTGCCACTTCAAGTTGGAGAGGTCATGTTTCGCGGGAGAGGATGTCAGACCGCAGACTCCCATTTGCAATGTATAAAAGCTAGACACGCACCCTGACCCGGACGACGACAGACCATGCATGTTGTCGAGCGGGGTGGACTGTCCTTTGCGTCCTCTGGGATGTCCCGCCGCCTGCGATTCCATGTCCGGTCCGCACGGGATGACAGGACGAGAAAACTCGGTGTGCTCGGTCCTCTGACGGGCTCGGGTAAGTACAACCACCAGCCGGGAGATACACAACATCAGTCGCTCACAATGAGAACCCAGCGGGCCATCCGCATCCCCCAAAGAGACGGCGACAGCGCAGCTCGTCTGCCAGATGGGCCTCGCAAGTCGAGATCTTGCAACGGCACTGCAAGCGGGAAATCCGAATCAATGCACCGCCCACCGTCGGATAGTACTTACCAACGCACCACTCACTGGTTGTTCCAAATCCCCCCAGATTCGTGCGCCGTAGACGCGCGATCGAGCCACCGTACATCAGAACAACATCAGAACAGATCAGACACAGGTCATGTGTGAGTACGCCGCTGCTGTCCCTCGCCTGATCCCCTCCCGCGACGCTGCCAGAACCGTCACAGTGGCGTGACGGGCCAGCGGATCAGTGATGCAAGTGGCCCGCGCGCGGACACTGGCAGATCTGTTGTTTGTATATCGCGGCGCACAGATGGCGGGGTGGCCTGGAGCTCGGACGAAGGGTGGCCGCTTGACTGGGACCGAATGGGATGCGGCGCGGTTGCCGGCGGATCGAGCACGAGTCAGGCTGGGAGATGTTTGTTCGTTGGTGCTGCTGCAGTCGCTGCGTTTGGTGGTCTGGTTATCGGTGAAGGTAAGTGTGCAGACTCTGATCGACGAGGTGAGGTGACGAGCATGCCAGTGCGCGCACGCCCTGTACGACTGTGTAGCGACTGCGCGTTACTTCCTGCTACACTCTCCTTTGACCTTGAGGGACTGAGGGGATGCTCAGCGGCAGCGCCTTCGGCGCTCGTCACCGCAACGAACACTCCCCAGTTCACCTCGCACGAAACTCAGGCGTGGCACCAACCGTGCCCCTCTAGGTGGGCCGCGGCGAGTGCTCTCCGTCAGCGCCCTGACATGCGAATCTGACGTCGACGGTCGGCCCCTCTACGACCGAGACAGATCAATTTAAGCAATGTGCCTTTACACATCATTGTTGGTTCGTCGAACTTTGAATGACAAGGTCTAACGACGTACTACCATTCCGGTGGTCCTGTCTTGCTTAAAGGGAGAGGGCCGCGCTTCGAGCCCAAGGATTAATGGGCACGATCCGCAGTGCTGGGGCGACGCTCTTGTGGCCGTGAGCTTGTGGGACGGGAACTTCGACGTACTGTCAGCATGGCATGGGCTTTGACGGATGGGAGTTGGGAGTGCAGATTCGGGGAATCTAAATTGGCAAGCGGATGTAAGTCATGATTGGGCGAAGGCTCGCATGATGAACCCAGTACCCAAAGTGTTGTGAGACCGCTCATTCGGGCCTTTTGTGCTCTCAGCGCGGACTGGAGTAAGTGCGTTCCACGGTGATTCCCCCGCGGAGAAATGAAGAGTGAGTCAGTACTGACAGGAGCAGAGGTAAGATCACCATACGCGTATACGTACGCACCAGAGTTCTGTGCGGCGGCGTGCGACCAGTGCGGTCTTGATCCTAGCCTTAATCTTCCGGACTTTGCAATGTACATATCGACGGGCTTAATGCTTACTCGTTGACTGCTGGCATACGTGCCAACCCATCAAGCCAACAACGCCTCAACGGCGAACACGGGATCGCACATTGACGTCGACAAGCAAGAGCGCCTGAGGGCGACCAAAGAGGCTAGCACCGATTGCGCTGCTGACGGTCTTCGCGGTGCATCGAACCAACGTCCACCGCTAACAACGAAGTCAATTGGGGCATCAGATTGATACGCCCGCATCGCGATGCGTAGATGAGATACCAGTGGGGCGTATCACATTGATGAAGAATTCTATCCATGCTATTCACTGCCGGGTGGTTTGTCGCGGAGCCCCATCCGTCGCTCACTGCGGCGCTGTGGACGGTCAACACAATTGCCGAGCGCTGAACACACAGCTGTACAGATGGCACAGACAGATCCCGCTCGACATCAACGCCGTCAGAGCTCCATTCGACATACCAACGCCCACGGACCGACTCCCGGCGTGGATGTGCACGCCCATCCAAACTGACTGGCAGGGATGCCAACCCTGGGATTCATCCTCTCGACGCCCAGTCTCGGGTCGTTCGACTGTCCGCGCAGGAAGATGTGTTCGCTGCTCGAGCGCATCGCAGCCATGATGATGATGTAGCCAGTGGTGTATCCCGAGCTCAACACACGCACCAATATGCATCATGAGTGATCCTGCCGCGCTTCGCGGACGTCAAACGCACTGCACAGACTCTGGCAGTGGCTGATCCTCTTGACCCAGACGTTTGGAATGAAGGAAGTCCTTCCGAGAAGCATGAGTTTCAGTCAGGAGCGCGAAGACTCCGCACGAACTTATCCAGGTGTGCGACCGTTCGCATGTCGCAGCCTCAAGGTTTGCCCGTGGCATGAACCGCGGTAGTAGCTCAACCGAAGTGCTGGGTTGGCGCAAGTCTATGCCTGATGCATGGTGAGGATTCCCGCGGACGCGAACAGTGCACAGACGGTGGATACACTACACACCTTGCTCCCTGCCTACATCCCTCCTCCGACGTGGCATGCAAGCCACGAGTTGCTTCGCCGCAAAGTTCTCTCAAACCAAGAGGCAGATGGCAATGTAACAACGATCATTCATTGAGGAAGGCGAGCAAGCCCATGCATAACAGACATGATCCAAGACGACGACGGTTAAGTGCGAGATGTGCCAATAGCTGATTAGCCGTCTACCAGTAGATGAAAGCAGACGGCATGCCCAGCTGGAGGCCCCGAGGGTCGATTTGCTCGACCGCGAGTCTACAGAGCAGACCGGAGCGAGGACGTCCCCTCCGACGACGGCGACGCTGGCTCCAGGTCGAGGTGACTGTGAGGAAACAAGCGCCCGTACCAGCGCGATTTTCTCTGCGCGCGGGCCCGTGCGTGGGAACTTCGAGGGCGGGCGTATATCTGGACGCGGCGCGATTTTCTTCTCTTTAACGAAAGTTCACCTCGTGTATATTTGGGACGCTCTTCTCTTCCAAGGCGGCGTTCTGAAAGTTTGGCGAGGGAGAGCGAAGAGCTCCATCTCAAGATCGTGACGATGCCTTTATGTCTACGTTGTCCGCGGCCCGTGTTGGAGCTACACACTTGTATGTACGTACGCGTACGATATCTCTGGCGAATCCAAATGGTTTATCTCTTGCAACGCTGAGTGGCATGGCAGAACACGTCAGAGGAAGTCTGTGGCGAGGAACCTCGTGAACAGCGCGCTTCGTGTCCGGAACAGCACACAGTTCATAACCTTGGTTTTCGAAGGCTACCTGCCGATGATAATGGATTGCTGTATTTGTCTAACGGAGATAGAGGTGAGCTGTCCACAGTACACACATGTGCTATCTGGCGGCGGCCTCCTCCGCTTCCCCTCGAGTCTATCTCCCACCGTGAAGATTCCACCGCCTCTGCCCACTCAGCCAGGGTCCACTCTGGTCCACTGCTCTACTACGCTACAGGCTTACTGCAACTTAGTCAGGCCTCTGTGCCTCGCTCAAGTCCTGCTGTGACAAGCTACGAAGGTGAGATTCAACGATATACTACCTGGACGACCTACCCCTGGTATGGACCCGGTTCGATGTAAGCATCACACAAACTGAACAGGTGCAGCTACACCGCCCTGTCGGCTAGAAGGGCGACTTGGTTCACGGTATGTCTCTCCCCGCGGAACGTGATTCTAAGTGACGGGGTCAATATGTAGGGCAGCGACCGAAAACCACGGTATAATCACGGACATGAACGTTCAAGATATCCAATTGCCATGGTTAACGAACTTCCCAAACCCAAGGAACGTCCCGTACAGGTTGCCCATGTATCATAGGTGCGCTCGAATTTTACAGTGCTAGCAGTAATGTTTACGCGTACTTATATTGTGATTTGTCTACCGACAGTGAAGACTATGCACCCTTCCCGCAAGAGCTGACTGATCGCATCTGCGAGCACCTATGGGATGATCTCGTAACGCTCGCGAGTTGTTGCCGCGTCTGCCGCGCTTGGTACCACGCTGCGCGGCGTGTCTTCTGGGATCGAGAGACGTTCGTGGAAAACCGTGCAAGGTTGAAGGACATTGCGCATGTCCTCCTGGCGAAGCGTAACCAACCATACTTCGAGCAGTGCAACCGGCTGTCGATACATGATAACCGTCAAGAGCCGTTCGCACGTACATGGCCCTTGCTCATACCTGGACACGTTCTACCGAGACTGAGTCAGGTATTCCTCAATGGCCTTGACTGGTCGACCGCTGGGCCCCATCGTCTCTTCTACGACCGCCTCTCATTTTATACCAGCGTTTATGGCGGCCCGTTTGTGGAAATAATCGGATCGCACGAAATGTAACAGTACCTACGAAAAGTATAATAAATGCACGAAATGTGCAATCACGAAAAGTTTGGAACCACTCACGAAAAGTTTGGATGATCACGAAACTCGGAAGGGTACACGAAATGTATGCTCACGAAAGTCGGCTTGCATGAATCAGTGCGCGCGCAGTGTGACGCGAGTGTGATCGAGTGACCGTTTGTCACCGAGTGTGACACGTGAGTGCGTGGCCTTAGCCCGCCTCCGGCACTCAGCTTCGAATTGTAGCGGCCAAGATTTTTTAGGTACATTCAAAACACATAAAACACGCGTCTCGCGCACAGAAACATCCTGGGGAAGTCGCTCTTCCGCCACGAGTTGAATAAAGACATCGCACTCGCGCGCCACCGCGCCACCGCGCCACCGCGCCACCGCGCCGGCGCTTGTGGCTGTGGCTGCGCGCGTACCACTGCGCGCAGTCACATTGACTGCTGTAGTCCAAGTCAGATCCCCTAGGCAGCTAGGTTCTAGCTTTATCTTACGTTCTTGGCCCCTTGGCCCTCGCACATTCATGTATCTAGTGACTAATGAAAGAAATATAGCCGGTGCCACATGTCATGAAGTTGCGAAACTTCAAACAGACTCGCCGTGTAATATATTGCGCTTCTAAAGCATGTGGACCGCTCATGATCTTGGCTTTGCTCTAATTGGCCATCTTCCGGAAACACAGTCCGATTCGTGTGTAATATGTTGCATAAATGCATATGTCTCGAGGTGATTTCACTGCTTTGTCTTGATGATTCGAGTCACTGGGAGCATTTCCGCTTTTCACAATCACCTGCACTGTTGTTCTGATTCCGTTCCACAGGTCAAGCTTAAAGCCGTATAAAAGCTGGCTTGTCCTACCGGAAGTTCTTTAGTACTAGTAGTCAATACATTGCATTTGCTGCTCCGAGTATGCTACTATTGTACAAGACAGAAGCACATAATACACCCGCCGGCGAGGCGGGGACGAGTGATGGCCTGCAGTCCATCTGCAGGACCGCGAGCAACAGCAGTTCGTCAGCGCAAACACCTTGTCGATGTCCGGCTTCAGGGTTGACCAGCCGCAGGCGCGCACAAGGTCCTCGAACCTGCCGCTCCTCTCCACCAATGAGGCTCTCCCTACCCGAGTCTCGCCGCCGTCCAGATTGACCGCTTGCGCGTATCAGCTGTGCAGCCCGCATACACTCGCGGTGTGTCTACATACCATTCAGCATAAGACAGAGTCCGCCATCATGAGATTACACAAACACACGGACTCACCAGTCATAGTGACAGTGCGCAGACTCGCGCCGCGGAGCCTGTTGACGAAGACCTCGAGCTGCCAGCAGTATCATCAGGAAATAACCCACCTGAGAATTCCCGTAAACACTGCATAATCATCAAGCTTTCGCGGTAATATTGAGTTTTACCTTGTATCTGATAAACAGCAGAATTAGCCATGTCCTTCCCCGTCGAGTCAGAACGACGAGGTAATCTCTGGATTTCTCGGGCAGTAGCTCGACGTTACTTAGTGTTTCCGAGCACAATATCGTCCATTTTCATATTCACAGGATAAATCCAGATGCACAAGATAGTGGATAGGATCATTGATGAGATTGACGGTCATTACAGTATCTATGGTAGGTATATACATGCTGCGTATCTTCCAACCATGAACCTCGCAAACACCGCGTCCACACGCCCCGCCCGTCCAGCCACACCCACTTGTCTAGTGTGATGTGTCAAAGCGATAGGGAGGGACATGCACGTACTGCGGGGAAGACAAGCGCGAATAGCGCCACGTTAGCGAGGCTGCTGCCCCACATACATAGGGCTGTTGCCAGTGAGGGGAGGCCCGATGCATCTGGCCTTTAACAATCAATCGGGATATGATTCAGCCACACAGACGCAACACAGACGCACCAAAGGCCCAATAGTATGCCCAATGCTCCTCTAGGGATCTCACCCTTCTTGACAGCGAGAGTCCCCTCATGATCCACACATGCCTTCACAATCCATGAGCACCTGGCAAACACGCGCAACTCACCACTTACTCAAAGCAATAACATCTACAGCATCATCAGCCAGGATCTCACCGACACTGTCACAGAAACACGCGTCGACCCAGCAGAAGAACGCGAAGCCCGCAAACGGGCCCACCACAGCCTACAGGCACGCGCCCGAGCGCGAGCGATGTCGCGACCATGAGCCTGCCGTACGCGGAGGTCGCGAGGGAGTTGAGGACGCCCGTGTACGTCGAGGGCGGCGCGGGGCCTGCGCGGGGCCCGTGCTGCAATGTGGAGGTGCGCTTCGCAATCAGGCCGCACCAGTTCCTCTGCGCGTCAGCGTTAGCGACCACTCAATGCAGCGACAGATCGCGGTCCGGCGAGCAAGGTGTGGCGATTCCGTGCGAGCGCAATTGCGCGTGAACGGAAAGTTGTGACGACGAGGTAAGAATTAAGTAGATTGCTTGACAACGAGACGGGATGGCTTACCTGCTGGTCTTTTCTAAGCTTGCGTGTCGATGAAGACACGACGTCCGTTGGTGTGTACTTGGACACAATATATCGACGCCTGGGGAGCACGCGCAAGGGATGGCCGTGCGCGTCGCGCGGTGGATCGTGACCGACGCGTTCCGGCGAGCTGGGTGCGGGGAGACGTGATGCGTCAGTGTATTTGAGCTGCCGCGCACGGACCGGCCGCGTCGACAAGCACGGTACGAACGACCTTGAGGGGATCGACGATCATGTCCACCATGCACTCACCCTTGCTGGCGTCATAGCCCCATGCGAACTTGTCCTCCGCGCCGTATTGCTGGATCATGGTGCCGATGGGACAGAGCTTTCCTCGTCTGCGTGCTTGAGGATGGTCTACACGGGGTATGAGAGCGCGCTTGATGATGGACACGCTGAGTCCTGGTCAAAGTTGGCGGTCGGCATGGGCTTCATGTTGGGCAGGCCGTCACCTGCAAGCCAGGTGCGTTGGGCGAGGGATGTCTTGAGGAAGGTGACCCTCCTTGACGGCCGCGCGCGTGGCGTTGAGTGCTGCGCCTTGACGTTGGTGACGACGGCAAGTGATAGAGGGATGAAGTGACGCGACACAGTACAGATTTGAGCGCTTGACCACTGACGTGGCGCGTCGTGGCAAGAAGTCATGTGACACTTGTCCCGCTGGCGTTTCTCGTTCCTGTGCAACTTGTCTTCCCAATGTCTTCCTCCCCCTGCATCGCCGATGTCAGCTTGGCGCAGAGAGTCAATCCGGTCTCCTCAGGGCATCCAAGGTCAGCCACCTCCCAGACATTCTCCCCACCCTTGAGGGCACCGCCCAGGTGCGTTGTCAGCCACTCATCATTTCCGAGGATATCATCAGGAAGGAGGACACCATTGTCCTTGTCCTCAATGGAGGGGTCTCAAGAACACAATCCCGACCACAGGTGAGTACGGTCGCACGAAGCTCGGATCGTCAAGCGGGCGCTCTCGTACCTCGCGCGGACGATCTTCGCGAACACGGGCGAGGAGAGCTCTGTCCTCGTCAGCACCATGACGCAGCAGTACGGCGAGGAGGACAAGTTTGCGTGGAGCTACGACACGTGCAAAGGTGAGTTAAACGATTTATTTGCGGCTAATATTGTTGACCCATGTAAGGTTCTGTGCGCTGTGCTCATCGATGTGGTGGGCCCTGTTGTACACGACGAACGAAGTGAGCTGAAGGCTCCCATGTCAATCCGCAATAATGCTAGACAATTAGGTGTTGCCGGCGGCCCGAAGATCACAAAAGGTATGTACACATCTTCCTCTCCACCACATCGTGCTCACCCGCTCGCAGATGGTGTTACGGTCGCCAAGTCAATACAGCTGAAGGACAAGTTCAAGAACCTCGGTGTTCAGTAAGCTGTCCCCTCGTGTACGGCATCCAGCTTTCCGCTAATCCGCCGTGCAGCCTCGTTCAGGATTTCGCCTCCAAGACGAACAAGATTGTTGGTGACGGCACGACCACCACAACCATCCCCGTGCGCGCCATCTACGCGGAAGGTGTGAAGAACATCGCCGCCGGCTGCAACCCCATGGGCCTCCGCCGCGGTTCCCAGGCCGCTGTCGAGCGCGTCGTCGAGTTCCTCTCTTCGCACGCAAAGACCATCACCACCACCACCGAGATTGCCCAGGTCGCTACCATCTCTGCAACGGCGATGCTCACGTCAGAAACCTCATCGCTCAGGCCATGGAGAAGGTCGGCAAGGAGGGCGTTATCACCGTCAAGAAGGCCCGCACGATCAACGACGAGATCGAGCTTACCGAGGGCATGCGCTTCAACCACGGCTTCATCTCCCTGTACTTCGTCACCGACGTCAAGAGCCAGAAGGCCAAGTTCGAGAAGCCCCTCGTCCTCAGTGAATCGAAGATCAGCCGTCTCCAGGATATCCTCCTGCGGACGTGGTGTTTGCGAGGGTCACGGTTGGAAGATATGCAGCATGTAGATACCTGCTGTAGATACTGTAGTACATGGTCGTCAATGTCACTATCTTACCCATTATCTTGCTGTGCATGTGAATCAACCTGTGAATATGAGAATGGAGGGCTGGATTGTGCCTGTATTGTGCTCGGAAACACTAAGTAACGTCGAGCTACTGCCCGAGAAATCCAGAGATTACCTCGTCATTCTGACTCGACGGGGAAGGACATGGCTAATTCTGCTGTTTATCAGATACAAGGTAAAACTCAATATTACCGCGAAAGCTTGATGATTACGCAGTGTTTACGGGAATTCTCAGGTGGGTTATTTCCTGATGATGTGCTCCAGTACTCCTCACCGTGCACGCCGCCCGTCCATCAGAACTTCTCTGATTTCGGTTACGGGCTGTGACGGGCCGTAACGGTTGCTAAAATCCCGATTTTACATCGCGTCAGCGTGTCAGACGTTAGCAAGACTCGCCGCATTTTACAGGGTAGGGAAGATATGGCGATCGCGTCGCTAGATAGTCGTTACTTAACCATCACAGCTCACTGAGTCACACAGCCGTCAGCAAGTGTTAACTTACTGCTGCAGCTCCTATTCTCCGGTAGCAATAAATGTCATTTGAATGTATGCTATACATTGTAGACTACTACTGTACTAATAATAAATGCACCCGCCCGGGTATATACTCGCCGCAGCGGGTACGGGTTGCGTGTGGGTAACGCGGGTTCGTGAGTCCACGGGTGGGTTTGTGGTTAAGTCGACCGGTGGGCGAGTGACCATTCGGGTGAGCGTACGAACATGGGGCGGGAAGATGTACACTCGCACGCGGGTGTCCGTGCAATCGTGCGGGCAAGTGGGTGGGCAAAGGATCAAGCGTGCAAGCGACTCACCAACGACCATAAGCGGGAAACTTGAAAGAGCGAGCGGGATACTCACCATAGTCGGTAGTGTCTCCCTCCCTCCTTTTCAGACCCATGCTTCACGCCCGATTGGGCTCGCCATTCTTCTTGCCATCTACCAGGCTCACATGATACTCCACGACGATCTCGTCCTATGCGACGATCTCCTGCTTGCCATCTGCAGGGTCGGTGTATAGCCATACGACGCCCTTCCCGTCCTGCATATCAAGCCCTGCTCCTCAAACTTCCCGATGAAGATGTCGTGTGCAAACTGGTCTGTGCACGCGTCAACGAGGAAGCCGACCGTGCACACGGTCTCGAGTGCGGGGAAGAGCGTGTGGTGCTGCAGGAGCGAGTGAAAGTGGTCTTGTGCGTGGCTCGGCCAGTTTGGGTACAGGCGCGAGATGCCCATCCTGCGGATGCCGATGCGGCGGAGAGTGCAGTCGGCATGTGTAGCTCGGGCGTGGGCGCGTTCCGCGAGGGCGTGGGTGGTGCGGAGAAGGTGGGCGAGCGCGTGCTGGAGGCTGGGAAAGCGTGAGTTGAATAGAGGGATGGCGGTGGTGGGAAGCGTGCATTGAGCAGCTTCTCGCGGCAGTCAAAGACGAACGTCTCGAGCGTGGGGCAGATGTCGGGCTGCAGGAACGTGGTGATGCTAATTGGGGAGCCTTGGTATGAAAAGATGTCATCGGGAGCAGCTTGAGCATAGTGATCTTTGACACGTACGGGGTGCTATTACAGCGTAAATACGCGTCCAGAACGAGTCTGCGAAGAGCGAGAATCGACAGCGAGGCGGAGACTACTCAAGCGTGGACACAAGAGGGTGGGAGTGAGTCGGCGGCAAGGCTCTGCCAGATGGCGAAGCTTGATGAGAGCATGGTCTTGAGCGTGCACATCGACTGTTGCAGGCGGCGAGCATGGGAGAGTGGCAGCAAGCCGACAGCGAGGGGGGGAGAGACGGCTTCGAGGCTTCAGGCTGGACGTGAGCGTTGGCGTCGGGAGGCCCGCGTGGCGGTCGAGGATCGCGAGCGCGAGCGGCGCGGACTGCGTGCCAGAGTGGCCAGAGCAGCTCGAGCTCTTGCCGGAGAACAAGGTCATGGAGAGCGAGATGGACGCGCTCAGCGCGACGGGGAACATGAAGTCGAGAGCGAGGACATGCCACGACGCTGAGTCGCAGCTGCACCGGGACGCGCAAGTGCCATAGTGACTTGCCCTAAACCGCCTAAGCGCCGGCGGCCACGTCCTCGCTCTCGTGTCCCTGTCCACGTCGTGGTGCTGATCTGGGGCAAACGGGTCGGTGTACCGTACCGGATTCTGGAATGCCTCCTCGTCGTATGGCTGCAAGGGCGGTGATATCGAGGCGCTCGGTAATGTGGTCCTCGTGAGTTCGGTAGCTCTCTACTGTATCCCTCGACGCGCGCACCGTCTCGCGCACACTCTCTAAGGCTCCAACCAAATAATATATATACTGTGTATATACGGTTTATACTACATACTTTTTACATATACATACGGCACAGCCGTACACTGTATATATACAGTATGCTATACTGTATATGGTATCCCGCCTTCCCAAAATGGAAGTCGAACATGAGGCTCTCAAGAAGAGGCGCGTCGCGCTTGTCAGCCACATGAGAAGCCAATCACCTTCGTCCGGCGAGGGCAAGGCACGGAAAAGTTTATTATGCTATCACGTCCCTGTCTGCGCACCTGGCTACAAGCCAGGTGCAGAGGCTGCTGCGCCTTGCCCCGCTGCGTGACGGCTCTTTTTGCGCTCAAACTCCAAGTCCTACTTCCCAGACCTACATCCGCCGTCAACCCTCACGGTTCAATCAACGATGGCCTCCCAAGATCACGACAGACTCGAAGAATTGGTTGAGGAGATAGTTGACCTGAGCAAGCGCCTCCCAGCTACGATTGCCGATGCAACGAAAGAGGACAAGATTTACCATGTTATGACCAACATCAACGAGGAGTCCGCTTGGGCAACCTTCAACCGTCGGTTCGACATCCTCTTCGGCGAGGATTGCCGTGACAAGGACGGTCGGCTGCACTACGTACGACGCGGGCGGCATGGCATGGCGAAGGTAGCAAGCTATCTAAGTCGGGTCATTATGAACGAAGACACCCTGAAGGGCTTCTACGCCCTTGCAGCTATCAAGCTCGAGAGGTTACGAACCGAGCTCAGACTCCTGGTATTGTACGTCAATCAATCTCGTTATAAATGCATGCAAAGACAAGGGGTCGTTTATCACTTTACACAGATCTGAATCTGAGTCTAGGGCTGGAGGCTCGGGGACAGCAACAGATCTTCAAACCGTTGAAGCGACCACGCTGATGGCGGGGGGCAATGATGGCGTTCAGACACGTGTTGTCGGGGGTGAGGCAGGCGAGGCAGAGGCGGCGGGCAGCGCTGGCGGGAACGCGCAGTCGATGAAGGGTACAGACGGCACGGGCAGTACTACACAACCTGGGACTAGTAGGGCCGGGTTACCCAACACAGCTGGTAAGAACTAGGATAAACGCAATGAGCAAATATCACTCACCTTAATATTGCGCAGTGAGCGCACGGAACACCGGCGGACCACTCCCTACAAAGCGCAAGACTGGCGGGACGAGCAGTGCGCAGCTACTGTCGGAAGGTGCGATCCGTCACTGAACATTTGTGACACGGTACGATAAACTCACCAGTATGTAAAGCTACGATCCCCGACGATCCGCGTGATAAGACGTACAAGGGCGGGACCAACCGCGCGCAGTCTGCGGATCCAGTCCCAGCATACACTGTCGATGAAGACGGGCACGACATCGTCCCTGATAGCAATGACGAACAACCGGTAAGTATTGCGTAGAATAATAGTAGAGACGCGGACCGCTGAGGGCGGGACTTACTATATGATTCCAAGCGACGGCCCGCCAAACGCAAGTATATCAATGTTGATACCGACAGTTCGGACTCGAGCAGTCTTGCGGTGCCGTCTGATGATGAGACGTCCGGTGATGAAGAAGACGAGTCGCCCTTGGAGGATGAGGTGGTAGCGGCCGCGGCAAGTGGGAAGAGCGCAGCGAAGGGGAAGGGGAAGAGCGTCGTGAAGGGGAAGAAGGTGAAGGGTAGCGCAAAGGAAGGGAAGAATAAGGTTTGCGCGCTGCATAGCCTCATTCGTCCGCGGCAGACCGTGACTGATGGACCGCGGTATCTCCCCACTGGCAGCACCGCGGCACGGCAAGTTCACGGTTGCACGTCAAGAAGAAATCGTCCTATCGCCGCCCACCGCGTCCGCCGAAGAAACAAAAGGGCGCGCAAGAGCCTGAGCCCTCGCATGCCCCCACGAACTCTTCGACCTCTCACCGGCGGCGCACAACCGTTGAGGACGTCGAGGACGAGGACGAGCCTAGCCTGTCCGATGGGCGTTCAGCGCTCCGTGATGTCGAGGCGCGCGAGAAGGCTCAGCAGCAACGTACGGGGACGCGCGGCCCAATCAACCGCACGTTCCAGCACTGGGAACCTCCCCGCGCAACACTCGACCCCAAGGCGGGCAAGCGTTGGACGTTCAGATGCAAATTCTGTGCTAGGTAAGCCTGATCGCTTTATGATCTTCATAGCAGTGCAACTTACGGGCCTGGTTGATGTTCCGTCCTCAGTGAACGCAGCTTCGAGCGGTCGGTCGACAGCAAAGATTGGGCCGACGAGAAGAAACGGCCTGCACTCGGAAACCTCTCGATACACACGAAACAGAAGCACCAGGACGAGGCGGCTGCTGCTGCTGCTGCTGCCGCCGCCGCCGCCGCCGCCGCCGATGGCACTGTGCCAGACAATACCGAGAGCCACCAGTCGACCTCAGGCCCCCGTCATGGCTTCACGCAAGCCAGCGCGAAGCTCATGGAGAAGTACCTAGAAGATGGCAAGCTCAATCCGACACTTGAGCCGACGCAGCGCGGTTTCCTACAGGTCTTCGCGGCATGGATCATTGAAGATGACCTCCCCTGGACGACCGGCGAGTCTCCCGGCCTTGCGCGGATGTTTCGCTACATGCAATCAAAGTTCATGCTCCCCTCGGACACGACGGTACGGAATACTGTCGCTACGATCTTTGCACAGCTGCACGCAGAGGTCGTGAAGGAGCTTGCGGTGAGTGTGCAGCCCTGTTTCGTCCTTGATACATCTCACTGAGCCACGCTGTTTGGCCGCCTGACTGTAGGCGGTTAAATCACGCATCGCGTATTCAACAGACACCTGGACGACCAAGTCGATGATGTATACGTTCGCCGGGACCATTGCCAACTTCATCGACGACGACTGGCAGCTTGTGGAACGTCTGATCGACTTCCGCCATCTCTTGGACGATGAGCACGAGGGTGTCAACGCGGCAAAAGCGTTCATGGAGTCAGGAAGCAAGCGCGGTAGCCTGGATAAGATAAGTCTCATCTGTGTTCGTCAATCCTACGGAGCTATACAGTGATATCACTTCATAGCTTTGACGATGGACAACGCCGCAACAAATGACGTCCTGGCAAGGACGTTAGCTGGGCTACTCATGGAGAAGTATGGCATTCATTTCTCACCGGAGAACGGCCAGATTCGATGCCTAGCACATGTCGTCAATCTGGTCGTACAGAAGATCCTCGCGTCGCTGATCGATGAGGATGATCCTGATGTCAACGACTGGTATCTATTACACAAGTTCTTACCGTTTCACTATGACATCGACAGCGATGATGAGGTCGTCAACATGGAGGCTGTAGAGACCATTGCAGCAGATGAGCGGGATGCAGGGCTAGCCCCAGATGAAGAGAAGGATGCGCCTATTGATCCTGAAGAGCGGCTCAATGCGGTGCAGAAGGTATGTGACCTGTTCGTCTGTGCTGTGCGAGGTTGTACGAGTCACATAACCTACAGTTACGCCTGATTGTTCGGAAGATTGTCAGCTCGCCGCAGCGCCGTTCGTCATTCCGAAAGCATGCAAAACGTCACTACGATGGGAAAAAGAATCCGAGCGGGGGAAAGGAACTCAGCACGCTGATGCCTGTGCGCGACGTGCGCACTAGATGGAACTGTACGCACGCGATGATAGAGCGTGCTTTACTTCTCAGGAAGGTCCGGTGCTTCAATGTTTGCTCGTCTATTGAATATCATCCTTCTGACGCAGTCTGTTTGTAGGCTATCAATGGCTGGGTCGCAGAACGTGATGACCTTGAGTCGCTTACACTGATTCCCGACGACTGGAACCTATTACAGCAGTTAGCTGACCTTCTCGGTGTAAGTCTCCTTCTATTGTCCACGTCCAAGTGCAAAGTAGGTCTCATATCTTCTCAAGGCTTTCACACATGTCACGCATATCATGTCAAAGGGAGGCATGCCGACGCTTCCATGGGTCCTGCCGATGTACGATAACATGCAAACCGCGCTGAAGGAGACCATTGCTACTACAACTCTTCCAACGCTGTCGAAGGCTGCACAAGCTGGTCTTGCAAAGCTGGAGGAATACTATGCCAAGGCGAAGGAGTGCCAGTACAACGTGGTTGCTACTTGTATGTTCGCATATCCTCCAGTTCTCAATATTCTAATGCTCTCAACAGTGTGCCATCCATGTCTCCGTTCCAAGTGGTTTAAGCGGCTCGGCGCGCTGGAGAAGGTCAAGGCAGAAGCTCTATTTGAGCATGTCTTCCACGAGTACGAGCAGAAACAACCAAAGCGTGCAGAGGTCCAAAGGAAGGCACAACCCAATGAACCTCACTCGTTCCTTGACCGTCTTGCTGCGATCTCTGACGACTCAGAGGATGATCTTGCCAAGGCTGATCCCAAGCTGTCTGAGATGACACGCTGGCTACGATTCGAGGGAGGGAAGGGTCATTCGTATCGCCCACTTGATTGGTGGCGAGTGAGTTGATTGCTCTCACTACTTAATTGTTCCATTGTTGATCTGCATACACAGGAACACGCGCATGATTTTCCTGTCATTGCATCCATGGCTCGGGATTTCCTCGCTATTCCAGGAGCCTCTGTGTCAGTAGAGCGCTTGTTCTCAGCTTCTCGTCATCTCTGTGCAGACACGCGGAGTTCTCTGAAGGCACAGACAATCACCGAAGCCATGTGTGCAAAACGATGGCTCCAGGACGGTCTGTTTAAGTTCGACAAAATGAAGCTCTAATTGACCTATCATGTACCATATATACCATATATATACAGTATATATACATTATAATATAGTATACCATATATATACAGCTTTTGAGTATATGTATACTATATAGTTGGAGCCTTAACACTCTCCCTCGACCAGGCTCTCCCTCGACCAGATCGCCGCCCGCG